TTAGGTATCGTGCGTGTCCTTTATATATATACCGTGGGTTTAGATAGGGGTATCCGAGTTTTTTATCGAGTCGAGCTATTAGTCGTTAAAAGTCCTTATCGTATATATTAACGTTTTTTGTCTATCGGAGTTACTGTATCTTCTTAAGTAAGTCTTTACTTTTTTAGGGGGTTTTCTTGAGGCGATTCCGGAGTCTCCTAAGAAGTCTCCTAAGGTTTAGGCGTTGCTAGAATTTCGACCGGTATTTCTAAGATACTATATCCCTAGCTAGAGGATTCTTTTAATAGATCCGGCGAGTTATTGTTCTCCTAGGGACCGTTCTAGGTCTATCCTTGACTCTTAACTATTTCCTAATTAATCTCTAGAAAACCTTCTAACTCTCTTTAGTTAGGTATACCGTTATTAGCGAATTCCTTATATATAATAAATACGTCTTCGCGTCTTAGGACCGGTGTCTACGCGGTATTTAGGTTTAAATTATATCTAGTTATTTTATAGTCTTCGCTAAGGGATTCCTCGTCCTAACGGTCGTCGTTCGTTATATAAAGTTACTGAGCTAGTACTCTAGTAGTATTATAAGCTCCTTTGTCCTACGTGACTCGTAGTTGCTGTTGTTGATTACTATTATCTAATACTTTCTTATAGCAATCCTTGATCTAGTGGCTTAGCTTACTATAATAGAAGTAAAGATTCTTTCTTTTACGTTCTTCTTATTCTTTAGTCGGAAGTCTCGCTGCGTCGAGCTCTATAGGTTTTGGTCTATAAGGATTATTATTATATAATTCTCTTACTGATTACTACCTTTGTCCTTATTTACTATCGTGGCGGCGGAATCCTTGTGGGATATGTCCGGTGCCGTTCTATCGTGCTTTACGTTATTATTGTTTTCGTTCGTAAAGCCGGTTATCGAATTTGACCGCTATCTCGATTATCCGGGATAGGTTAGTTGGTCGATTAATTCTTATAAGTTTGTCTTTAATTTCTTCCTTAAGTCCTCGTTCGAATAGCTAAATATATATATTATTATTATAATCGAGATACAAGATAATCTACTAGAATTTAGCGGCGTAAATACTGGCTAAGCTGGTTTATCGGATCCGTTTAAGTTGTCGCTCTGCGGTTCGTTACGTATCGATATCCCTGAATATCTATTCGAGTTTTCTTTTAAAGTTAGTATATAATTAGAAAATCGCTTAAGTCACGTCTCCCTAATCTGGTTGCCTTTTCTCGTTAAATTCCCTAATATAGGGCTTGAACTAGTTAAAGGCTTATTCTCAAAGATAGGTCGAAGCGTAGATAACCTTATCCGCTTCTTCTATATAGTTAATAATACGTAATTATATATCTATCTAGGTTAGGAATCCTCGAAGCTTAGATCGAGTTTTATCGAAGAAGTCGGGTTTCGGTGGTTTTATAGACACTACGGGTCTAGTTCTCTCCTAGATAAGTTACTTTTGGAGCTAACTAATTATATCTATAAGTTACGCGTTGGTCGGAGTAGATTGGCTCGCGGAACCACGCGAAAGGTTACTAGTACTATCGTTGCCGGCTATAGTTGTCGAAGTATTAATATCTTATACACTATGATTTAAGACGGGCGTTCAAAGTATTACGTACTGGTCACTTATAGATATTAGCTGGAACCTAAAGGTATACTTCTCTTAAGATACCAAGACACGTGGGTCTTTCTAGTTATACTAGAAGACTAAGGGTCTTCTAGTACCAACGATATCCGGCCTTGTAATTATACTATTGCCTTACTTATTAGGCCTTATATAGGCTTAGGTCTATTGAGGTATCGAGGAACGATTAAAGTAAGGAGTGCTTAGTGATAGAAGTACCGAAGGTGCTTCACTACTAGAGGGGTTATCTTAAGAGGATCACAGTGTAAACGAGACAATCTAAGTTAAACTGGTAACTAAGGTTGATAACATAAGTTAAACGCGAAGAGCTAGATATACGATGAATAAGTGTCTTTATATATCCTTCGCCGAATATTCCATACCCTTATTTGTGGTATACTACATACGGGCATGTAGTAGTCCCACTAATATACTATCCGATATACTATTCCTTAGCAACGGATCGTGGTATATTGCCACGTGACCCATACCCCTATTGTCTTGCATCATCACCGCGGGGTTGGTTGGCTCTGGTTTTCTCCTGTACCCCTGCTGGCGCGAGTGAGGTGGCTTGGTTCGTAACATTAATCTACCCTACAATAGAATAATCACGATATATAACAGAGACCTAGTCATTTATATTATCGATAATATATGGAGTTACGAAGATACTATATAATAAATTAATACTCCTATATCCAGCTAGCAAGACAAGATTCAGTCTTGATAGTAATAAGGATATACTATTTACCCTTACTCCTTCCCCTTATTTCTTTACCTGATCGACAGGCCTTATACCCTGACAAGTATATTCTTTACAGTATTATCGATAATATAAATAACTAGGTCTCTATTATATATCGTGATTATTCTACTGTAGAGTAGATTAAGTAACGAGTTCCGACTTCCTTCAGGATCATATAATATCACCTGATTCACCCCTTCCATCAGTTAGGAATAACCTTATGCCTCACCATCTTGGTAGACCCTTTACAAGTAGTTCGAAAATTATAAGATTTAGATTATCGATTAGTCTCTATATTCGCCTAACCTAAACCCTATCGAACTAGTATAGCGACTTCTAAAGATTAAAATCTTTTAATTATACCCCTAGCTAGGTAATAGAAAATCTAAATTAGATTAGGAGGTCTTCAAAAAAGCTATATACAAAGTATAGGGTCTACTTAATTAAAATATTATTAATAGCTTAATTCGATCTATACCTCGTAGAATAGCTGCTATACGCGTAGCGAAGGGTTGGTATACTAGATATTGACCTTTTTTATTATATATTTAGTCTGAATTCATATTACTTAATATTGGGTGATTTATCTAGATTTTGATATAATGGGGTAAAACTAAATTATAGGGTGTAACCAGACTTTTGACCGGGAGTGTATACCTCCCAAAGCCACCCGAGCAAAGTAAGGGTTAGCAGCTGGCATATAGTAAAGAATACAAAGAATACAAAGAACTAGGAATCTATTAGGAAGCACCTACACCGAAAGGCGTGGGGCGAGTCAAGGGCATAAATAGCTTTACGGTTTGACATGTCATGCTAGACAGTGATGCAAATCTACCTGCCACACATTTTATGAACTTTTTTGTTATCTTATGACCAAAAGACCACAATCGTCATGGCTGCCCGGTACTTGACACCACTTCAAATCTCGTAACTTTAAACACTCTCGAGGACCTGCTCCTTGAACTCCCGCTCAACCTTCTGGCCCTTGTCATCGGTTGCCGACTCCCCGTGCAGGGACAGAAGAGCACCAAGGTCAAACTTGGGCGACTTCAGGAGTTTCACCTTGCGAATGTGGACCTACAAAAGTAAGAAAATGTCAGCATTCTGATATTCACTCCACATGGACTCGGGTGAACCAACATTCTGCAGGGGGTAGATGCCCTGGGTGGATTTCTCGATCTCACGACCAATGACCTCTGGGATCAGCTTGTGGGTAAGCTGGGAGAGAGTGCAGCTGGCGGCCTCGCGCTGCATAATCTCGGTCATCTTCTTGCGGATGGCACGGATCTGAGACGAGCGGGCGTAGGTGGTCTTCTTGATCTGGTTGGGGCGTCTCTTGGTGAAGGCAATGGCGAACAGACGGATGAGGTACTCGTCAGTGGTCTTCACGGTGACGTTGGCCTCGATCAGGGACTGCCACTTGCGAACGAGCGATCGCAGCTTGTCGGTCGTGAAGTCCAGGCCATGGAAGTTGGTCAGGCAGTTCTTGCCCTGGATCTCATCCACACGGAGCTTCACCTTGCGGAAGGCGTGGTCCTCATCGTTCTGCAGGTCGGCGAGGGAGACCTCGAAGATCCGGCCCTTCAGCGAGTCGTTCGCGTTCTTCAGACCGCTGGTGCGGTTGACCAAAGTCTTCCCGACACTTAACTTCTGTTAGCACAGCAAATATAATGGAGTCGGACATGGGGGCAAGTTCATACTCGCGGGTTTGGAAGGTCGAAGGCGCCTGTTCATGGTTAGCGGTGCTTCACAGTGTACGAGCAAACGGCCCTTACCTTGACGGAGTATTCGTCCTTTCGCGAGAACGGGTCGACAGTTCTCTTCTTGATGCCCTTCTTACCCTTGGATAGGCGCTTATTCCTATAAGAGGTAGATTAGCCATTGATTCACTGGCTGCCGGCGATGACACCGCAACCAAGAATTTGGCAGCCGAGGGCGAAAGAAAAAAAGAACCAGAGCCACAAGAAAAAGTTAGAAACAAGGAGCTGAGGGCGCTTACTTTCCAACGGCCATGATTGCGAGTCGGGTCGATCTGTGGGTTGTTGGAAGACAGACGAAGTATCGCACCACTTCGAGACGCTGCACTGGTCGACGGGGTGAAAACCAAAACCCACAGAAAAGTCGGCTAAGCGAGGCGCGGGCCCTACCCCATCACATGACATACACGTGACCACAGGGCCCTCGCACCATGCCCCCACCATCGGGACAAGCCCCAACAGGCTCTTTGAGAGAATCATTAACCTCGTACTAATCTTGCAAGAATAAATTACTTTTAAACCTTTTTCCCCTTCACTTTTTACTATTTGCTTTTTGTTTTTGCATGTACTGGTACTGGAGCTCCTACAATACCATGACAATGGTTTGCCTTTGGGCTGTTCGCCGGCTCCATTGGCCCTATGACGTGGATCTGGGGATATGATCTAGATATACTCTTTTTTATATACATAATCGTCTCTCATCGAATTTCCCATTTGATCTTCCATTTATGGCCTAGTTCCGAGGTCTTTTGGGCGAGTATACACTTCACTCGGGATGAGTGTTTTTCCGATCCCTAGTCCATAGCTCCGCAACCCACCCTCATACAACTCCCCAACTTTCTTACAACTGATCCATCGTCATATTGCGTCAGGAGCATGGTATATTTCTGCCCCACCCCTTGATTCGAATGCATTCTTTTTTTTAAATTTTTTTTTTCTAATTCCACTTCCAGGGCAAGCGCAAGAAGTCGAGCAGACAACCACAAGGGCCCAGAAAGGTGCGTGGACTGGACCTGTACTAGGCCACAACTCAAAACTGATTCCATACAGCGGGAGCCTCTCCCGACCGCCTTCTCCTGCCTTTTTTGCAACCATGAGAACTCGGTCGTGGTCAGGTTAGACAAGAAGTTGGGTCTCGGGGACCTGTCCTGTAAAGTGTGTGGGCAAAAGTTTCAGACGGGCATTAACTGTAGGTTTGTGTTGCCCTTGTTCCGTTGAATCCATCGCTAACATGGCTGCTTGTTTAGATCTCTCTGCTCCGGTGGACGTGTATTCGGATTGGGTCGATGCCTGTGATGCTGTCGCCAAGGACACAGCCAACCAGTACAGTGACAATGCGCCTGGCTTGGGCTCGCAGGACCCTACTGGCAGCAAACAAGACACCTCAACGGAAATCGGGCATGGAGATGCCTATGTAGATGACGATTACTGACTTGGTGAAGGGCGAACGGCGTCTGGGGCAATGGTACCGTCAGGTTGAATCTTATGTGTTTTTACGCTACGCATCCATAATCGTAACTTTCATTTGCTGCCTTGGCCTATATCATCCCTTCAACTACATCCATGGATACTATTTGAGATGTATCTCACCCCGCGAGGCGTTGACGGGCGTGGGATTTCTGACGACATACCGGTTTTATAGACACAGATGCCTATCCCAAGGTCTATGGACCCTTTTGTATGCCCTCTTGCCCATCGGCCGGGTCGGCAACCTTTCAACCCGCTCACTTGACTCTTCTCTTCCATCGGTTGTGTATGGCTTGTGTCCGTAGAAAACTGGAAGACGGATGGCCTCACAGTGTATAGTATCGGTCGCCGAAATCGCCCAGCCCAGGGGTAATGTATCTGTCACTCAATCAGCATGATGATCAAACTGCGCGCAAGTCTTCCCAGATGTACTTTTTTTCGTCCAGTCCTTGATCGATGAAAGCAGTCACGACTCTCAGTTTAGGGAACCTTTCCGCGAATTCAGCAACACCCGATGGGCTTGCAATAAGATTCAAAAACAATATCCGGTGTTCTGGGACCCCCTTGTTCTTCAACACCTCCACGGCCAAAGTCGCAGATCCTCCTATATAGAGTTAGTGGAGTCAAGATCGTGTCAAAGAGCTTAATCCTCACCGGTTGCAAACATTGGATCCAGAAGGAGAACCCAACGCTCGGCAATGTCTGCCGGTAGCTTCTCGTAGAAGAGCTTCGGCATGCATGTCTCTTCGTCGCGTTGAATCAAGATCTTCCCGATACGGACTGACCGACAACAGTCTCGGAGCCCCTGTTCCATGGCTTCTCCAGCCCTCATGATCGACACCCCACAGATTTTCCCTTCGAATTTGACCCCGAGGTAGGCGCGGTCGACGGGGGTGGTCACTGACTGTTCTACAACGGGGAGGTGGTTAAGTCCTTCTTCCACCAATAGCCGGATGATTCGGTTGGAATAGAAGATGAAGTCGGCCCGGCCGGTTTTCTTGTCTCGGATCATCCTACGGAGTGGGTTAGGTTGAACAGAGCAATGGCCTGAGATTGTGAAGATCCCTCTCACGTCAACAGAGCAATCAATTGAGGCGTCTGAGGCAGCACGTGGACGTTTTCGTAAGATACATCTCTAGAGACTGTTGCCGTCGGCTTTTCACCGTCAGGTCGGTAAATAGGGCCAACGCCCTGGGCAGGAGATGGAATCGGCTCTGGCTTGGTGGCCATGATCGAGAGGATTTTCAACTGGGCTGGCACATATAGGTTCCGGATTCAAAGCAGTGGAGAAAGAGAGAGGAAGAAGAAGAAGACGAGGAAAAGAAGCTTGGGGAGACCTTGGAGGGGAAATTTTGGGGGAGTTTGTCTTATCTCGCTGGATCCTACGGCCACCTTATCACCCCGAGGTCATCTCCACATGCTGACTCATCGAGGGGCCTTCAACGCCAGCCCTGAAGCTCTGAAGGGATCTCTGTACACCTCATCTCTTGGTACCTTTGTTCTCTGTCAGAAGCGCATTTGCGCAAGTCTTGCGTGATTGGGGAACCGAGGACATGGTCCTATCTTGAAGAATGTCTACCCTGTTTGCGACTTAAGAATCCCGATTGTGTCGCGACATGTCTCCATTGCCTCTCGAGACTTGGCCCTTCAACCACACTTGTCAACTTGCGCACCCCTTCATGTCAGACTGGTGGGTGCATCCAGGAACTTTCGCTCTTAAGAATTAAATATGGATCGTTCCCGCCCCCGGAGTCGCAAACTTGTGACTTATGGCAACACTAAAAAAGATCGGCTTGGTGCGAAGAAGACGCCTACGCGCACCCCCCGACAAGCAAAACTTCACCTCAGATCGTGTCGCCAAGCTCGCCTCGCCAATCTCGAACTTTGAATTCCAAACGAGATAGCAGAAATAGCGAAAAACAGCTGGCAAGTCCTCAACGAGCAACTGCAGCTGGTACCGTGGCCCGAACGCGATCCACCGCCGAAGACAATGTATACGACTTTCCGTCCTCTGATGATGAGGATGAAGCATGGGTTGTTCAGCGGAAGCGAAGGAGATATAGTTCTGATCGGAACATGGCTTCCAACGATTCTCGACAACGCCCCGCAGCCAGGTCGTCTACGGAAACCCGTGATGTTTTCAACCTGGAAACAGCCGCAAATGAGCCCAGAACTGGGGATCGCTTACCGCGGGCCAATGGATCGGAAATCCACAAGCGGCCATTGACACAAAGATCGAGTCCCATCAAATTAAGAGCAACCACAAATCTTGGCAGGTCCCGGAAGCCTCATTTCGAGAAGGCTGACCTACCTGTGCCCGATGAAAGTGATCCTATAAAACGCTCGTCGATTGAAGAAGATGTTCTCTGGCCTCATGGATCCGGAAATTTGCAGGCACCCTCGAGCTCTCAACAGGGCCTATGCGCCTCGATCGAGAACACTACTCCAGGTCGGAGAAGATTGATAGACTCTTTGGGTACAAAAGAACAGCCCTCCAGAGAATCGTCACCGACGGGATCAGCCAATAGTCAATCATCTCCAAGTCTAGCTCGTCACAGCTTCGCTAAGTTTCCCGACTTTGTGCTCCCAAGTGTGCCAGTGACAGAGAGCCAAGAGGAGAGTCACAACCAAGATTCTAGTGGCCCATTATCATCCCATCTTCGAGGTTCCAAGGTCACATATGCACGCCAGCGCTCTTTCCTGGATGATCTTTCCCTGGCAGATGACCTTTCAGTTGGGCTGGGATCCCACGACCTGTCGGCCCAGCAACCCTTGGGACATGAAAACACCTCTCACTCTCGTTTGATCACGACAGAGGATGATGTCAATGATGATGGAGCTGTTCGAAGCATTCACGAACTTCGACAGGCCGGGGGCAATGCCCGCTACCGGGCCGCCGTCGAATCGATATTCGAAGACATCGAAGATACGCATAGTTCGGTGTCGGGCCGGTGCAATGCGTTTGTCCAGCTTTGTCGCAAACTCTTAGACCCGTCATTGAGATACCGATTTGTTGAATGCGGCTTTGACAAAAGGCTTGTGGACTGTCTTTCCAATGAGCTTGACCTCGTCTCTACTGCCCTTGCCTTCTCTGTGTATAGCCTGGGTGCTTTAGGGGAGCCCCTGCCATATGTTCTTGCGACCGCCGCATGGCCGAAACTTTTGGATATATCAACACTCTTGCTGGACTTTCAAGATGATCTTTCTGTCGTGGCTCGAGCTCAAACAAATGGCCTATCTCGGTTCGCACAAACATCGGTGCAAAGCATTGTCCCACAGATTTCGTCTACACTGTTCCATGAACATCCACAATCGAGGCTCTCTCCCTGCATTTTAGCACTGCGATGCTTGAAATTGACACTGTCAACACTTCAAGCGAAGGGTACGAGCCCTAGCGGTCTTCCTGCGTCTCTGTTGAGCCGGCTGGTCAGTCTTTTGCAGTCCGAAAGCTCCAACTGTAATGCGCCCAACGGACTTTCACCGGAGAGGTCTCAGCTCTTGACCTTGGGATTGTCGATTTTGGAGGCACACACTGCCTCCATAGACTCCCTCCCGGAAGGAAACCAGGAGATTCTTTGCCAACTTCCCGGTCTACATGGCTTGCTTGATTCAAAGAGCGAAGACCCTTCGGGCGATATCAGTTCACAGGTCCAAACACTCTATGTCCGAGTGGTTTTGAATGTGACCAACAGTAGCCCGTCACTTTGTGATGCATTTGCGACCTCCGGGGTGGTTGAGGGATTGGTGGACATTGTCACGACAAATTTCGGTGATTTGACCGAGGACGTACTTGTCCAAAAGGACAAGTCGTTGGACAGTGTAATACTGGCACTCGGTGCTCTCATCAACCTGACAGAGCAGAGTGACGTCTCTCGAGGTATGTTTCTTTATCCTCTCTCCCTCGGTCAGTCCTTTCTGGACAGGCTTCTGCACCTTTTCCTTGCCCATGTGGATTCGATTGCCAAGGTAAGTCCACTTACATATTCCTGACCCTTCCTACTACACCAAGGCTTATCGCATTCTCTAGGCCCATTCGGTCGAGGAAGTTCATCACAATGTCGCTGTGGGATACTTGGCTGTGCTTCTCCTGGCCCTTTGTTTACACCACGAGACCCGTCTGCAATTCAAGAGGTCTATGCACCCAGATGCACTGGCGGCCATTCTTACCACCGTGGACGAATTCTTGCAATATCACCGGAAGATTGAACAGGAGTTGCACCCTTTCCAAGCGACCGGGGAGTCCAGTGGGTTTCTGAACCGACTGCAGGCCCTCATTGTTCGAATCAAAGAGACCGAGATGTGATGATTTTTTTTATGTGGAAGTATGACACTGGGGCGGCTTGTTGGAAATAATTGATACCCTGTCTGTAGGATCTCCCCTATGAATGCTAGTCCATTTGAATCGAATCTCGTCTTGGTTGAAGTAAACATCTAGGTCTCAATATATCTAATTATATCTAATTATCAATACATCCATGTATGTATGTACGGGGATGTCTCCACTGCGAACAAAACACGATCGAATGCAAGATCTCTGTTTGCATGGTTTGCAAGGGGTGAGCTCCGCAATGCTTCAAGTGGGATTCGCCACTCCCCTAATCACTTCCCAGGCCAAATCCTGGGTTTCGCTTTTCGTGGAGAGCAACCCAACTGAATTACGTTCATCTCTTCCCTTCCCATCATTCCCTGGCGAGTGACCGACAGGGTTGCACATTGCATCAGTCAGCATGCCTGCCGCCCCGAAGCAAAGGAAGATCGCAGTTGTCGGGAGCCGTTCCGTGGGTATGGCTTCTCCAGTCTCCGACACAAAAGCCTCTGCAATTGATTTTGGTACCTAATGCCACGCTTTTTTAGGTAAATCTTCTCTCACGGTCCGGTTTGTCGAGCACCACTTCGTCGAAAGCTATTATCCCACTATTGAGAATACGTTCAGCCGAATTATCAAGCACGATGGCCAAGACTACGCAACCGAGATCGTCGATACTGCAGGACAGGTATCGAATTATGCCGATAGAAACCATGCCGGGTGACTAACGCTTTTGTAGGACGAGTACAGCATCTTGAACTCCAAGCACTTCATTGGTATCCATGGGTACCTCATTGTCTACTCTGTCACATCGCGCCAGTCGTTTGAGATGGTGCGAGTTATTCGGGACAAGATCTTGAACCATCTGGTCAGTTGTGGGATCTTTTTCTTCACCCCTTTCCTCGGAAATCAGGATTGGTATGCTCACTTATTTTTCATTGTCAAAGGGAGCGGATGAAGTGCCCCTGGTTATCGTCGGCAACAAGAGTGATCTCAAGCCCGAACAACGACAAGTCTCCCTTGACGAGGGTCGGCAACTGACCGAAGAACTCAACTGTGCATTCACCGAGGCTAGTGCCTTCCTTGACTTCAATGTCGCCAAGGCATTTGATCTGATGATCGGGGAGATTGAGAAGTCTCAAAATCCCTCACAACCAACTGGTGGCAACAAGTGCATTTTGATGTGACCCTGCCTATCTGCTCATCTTTCCAATGTGTATTTTTCTTGGGGGGATTCTGTTCTTTTTTTTTTGATTCTCGGGGTTGGCAAGGGGAGGAGGCTTCGGTGGATCTGATTCATGTATTTTCATCTTTCTCCCGCATGTGTTTTGGACGCTGACCTGGAGCTTTGCAGTGTCCATGTCCACTTGCCGGTACCCGTATAGCTCTGCTAATTCTTTCGTGGTTTTGTGTTGATTTTTCTGGTTTTGGTGGAATACGGCATGCATGAATCATGAAAGGGCTCTGGAATGGCAGGTATAGAGTAATGAAGTTTCTTCTTATAAGACCGGATATTTTGCGACAAGTAATCCATGGATAGCAGAGAATATAGTAGCGCCTTGAGAAATTGAGACTTCAAAGTATAGATATAGTCTCTATAGAGCTGCTGGCGCTTGGTGGCTTAGGTAATATCCCGCAGTGCGTGGGCATACGCACTTTGATTTTCCCAGATTTTACCCCTCCACCTTTCGAGTCACTTGCTCTGCCACTTTTCTCTGAGGGAAGCTTCACTTCACTGAATTCTTGCCCATCATGCTTGACCTTGCGGATTTTGTCAAGGACCGTGGTGGAGATCCCAACAAGATCAAAGAGAGCCAGCGAAGACGGTTCGCTCCAGAGGAGACGGTGGATGGAGTCATTGCTCTCTATGAAGAAGCCCGAGGAGGTATGTTCGTGCTAACCTTGGGGCAAGATGTATTCGTACTGACTTTGCTAGCACGGTATGAGGTGACACAAATTGGTTCGCAACTCAACGCCCTTCTCAAGGAGATCGGAAAGAAAAAAAGGTGACGCACCTCTGCTTTTGGCCTTGGTTCTACTTGGAATTGGAGGCTCACAGATCGATCTATTTAGAACAAGGAAGATGCCAGTGACTTGATCGGACAAAAAGCAGATCTGGAGCAACGCAAGAAGGCAGCAGAGGAAGTTGCAATTCAGAAGGAAAAACAGCGGGATCGACAGGTTGCTTTAATTGGCAACTATGTCCACGAGTCAGTTCCTGTGAGCAACAATGAGGTATGTGAACCCTCCATGCTCCTCGAAGATGACAGAATTGGCTGGCTCACAACCCATTTCCGATCACAGGATGACAACCAGGTGATCAAAACATGGGCTCCTAAAGATGCTGTCATGGAAAGGGAGAATTGCCTCTCTCACCATGAAGTACTGACCCGCCTTGACGGGTATGACCCAGAGCGCGGCGTGAAGATTGTTGGTCACCGAGGATATTGTTTGACAGGGTATGGCCTGTTTCTCAACCTAGCCCTTATCAACTATGGCCTGGAATTTCTCTTCGGGAAAGGCTACAAACCCAACCAGCCTCCTCAATTCATGCTCCGGGACCTCATGGCGAAGACGGCACAGCTTGAGCAGTTTGACGAGGAGCTGTACAAGGTCACTGAGAGCGAGGACAAGTCCACAGACAAGTATTTGATTGCGACCTCCGAACAACCATTGTCTGCGCTGCATGACAGCGAGTGGCTGCAAGAAAAGGATCTTCCCATCAAGTGAGATAGATTGTCATTGCGTTATATACCAGTTGCTGACCATCGAACCAGGTACGCCGGCTACAGCACATGCTATCGAAAAGAAGCGGGTGCTCATGGGAAAGATGCGTGGGGCATCTTCCGGGTTCATCAATTCGAGAAGGTATGATTTATCCAGACCTAGGCTGCGTTACCTCAGAGTTCTCATTTCCTGCAGATTGAGCAGTTTGTTCTGACCAAGCCGGACGACTCGTGGCAAGCGTTCGAGGAGATGATGGCTACCTCTGAGGAGTTTTACCAGTCCCTCGGACTTCCATACCAGATCATGGCCATTGTCTCCGGTGCGTTGAATAATGCAGCGGCCAAGAAATACGATTTGGAGGCCTGGTTCCCATTCCAGCGCGAATACAAGGAGCTTGTTTCTTGTTCCAACTGCACGGACTACCAGGCTCGGGCCTTGGAAATTCGATTTGGCGTCAAGAAGACTACCGACTTGAAGAAAACCTATGTTCATGCGCTGAACGCGACCCTGTGCGCAACCGAGAGAACCTTGTGCTGCGTTCTCGAGAACTACCAGCGAGAAGATGTAGGTTGAGCGCTCCCTGGTGGTGAATTTTTCGTACTGACCGGATTGTCTAGGGCATTGAGGTTCCCTTGCCGCTGCGCAAGTATATCCCAGGCGCACCTGAATTCCTTCCATACACCAAGGAGCTCCCCAAGGACACAACCTCTCAGAAGCCCAAGGGGAAATCAGCAAACAAGTCGGCTCGTACCGACGATGCGACCAAGAAGATGGAGGGTCTTCAGGTTTAATGTTCTAGGGGCCGGTTGGATCGGTGTTTGCAAATATCCCCATGACCTTGTTTTCATGGTAGACAGAAACACCAATTCAGTGATGTAACATTGAGAAGTTTTCCATCGGGCCCCAACAACCCTTGGAACTGGAGATAATCCATGCCCATCGGATTCGAGCAACTGGTGCCTTGTGCCTGATGAATAGCCTGATGAATTAGTTGTTTCTTAGTCATCGACAGCGAACTCGGCGGGGAATTCACCGCTACTGTTCTCTGATTGGCCCTACCTAACAAAAAAAAAAAGAAATGTGTGCCCCGCGATGCCCCTCCAGAGAACACTATGAGGCATCCAATTCATATCTAGCAATACTGAACATATAAATCGATCTTGATCACGATATGTAGAGAGATCAAGATCGAGATCACGAGATCCATATCGATCTAAAGAGCCCTCGGTGAAGATGAATGAGTCTCACGATGAGTCACTTGCGGTCCGATTCCGGCGGGCTTATATAAACGAGTCACCCTCAATTGGGCCAATCTTGTAAACTTTTCTTTCTTCGATCTTCTCATTCTTTCTCCCCAAGCACCCCGCCATGGCAACTGCAAAAGATATTCGGCCCCGACAGGACGAATTGTCCCTCCAGGCTCAGCATCTCTCGACCTCCCCCTCTGCCTCCTTCCACTCCCCCTCTAGCCACGGCTCTGCCCTGACACGTACCATCCCTCTGGCCAATGCAAAGCACTTGAAGCCATTCGCCACCGAGGATATCAAGGTTCTCTTGCTGGAGAACGTGAATCAGATCGGCCGCGAAATCCTGTCCCAGCAGGGTTACCAGGTTGAATTCCTCAAGTCTTCCCTCCCAGAAGACCAACTGATTGAGAAGATTCGGTAGGCCTCCGATGGGAAATGGCTTCTTTCTCTTGGGGGGTAATCACTAACCGCCTTTGACAGAGATGTACATGTCATTGGTATCCGCTCGAAGACGAAGCTCACCGCACGGGTCCTGAAAGAGGCCCGAAACCTCATCGTCATTGGTTGCTTCTGTATTGGCACCAACCAGGTTGACCTTCAATATGCCGCGGACCATGGTATCGCGGTTTTCAACTCCCCATTTAGTAACTCCCGCAGCGTCGCAGAGCTGGTCATTGGCGAGATCATCGCTCTGGCACGACAGCTGGGTGATCGGTCCAACGAAATGCACAATGGCACGTGGAACAAAGTAAGCAACAAGTGCTGGGAAATCCGGGGGAAAACGCTAGGTAAGCTGCTTTTTCGTTTCGAGCTACTCAACGGGATCTTTCGTGGCTCACAAAATGACCCCAGGCATCATTGGCTATGGGCACATTGGTGCTCAACTGTCGGTATTGGCCGAGGCAATGGGAATGTCGGTCATTTTCTACGATGTGGTCAATCTGATGGCGCTGGGAACGGCACGCCAGGTGGACACCTTGGATGCTCTCCTGGCCGAGGCTGATTTTATCACTTGCCATGTGCCCGAGCTCCCCGAAACGAAGGGCATGATCGGACAACGACAATTTGAGCAGATGAAACAGGGAAGCTACTTGATCAACGCCAGCCGGGGCACCGTCGTGGATATCCCCGCACTGATTCACGCAATGCGAAGCGGCAAGGTTGCTGGCGCCGCTCTGGATGTGTACCCCAACGAACCTGCCGGCAACGGCGACTACTTCAACAATGACTTGAACACATGGGGTGCCGATCTGCGCTCCCTCAAGAACCTGATTTTGACCCCTCACATTGGTGGCAGCACCGAGGAGGCGCAGACGGCAATTGGCGTCGAGGTGGGCCAGGCATTGGTCAGATATGTGAACGAGGGCACGACCTTGGGAGCCGTCAACCTGCCCGAAGTCACACTCCGCTCCTTGACCATGGATGAACCAAACCATGCCCGGGTGATTTACATCCATAAGAACATTCCTGGTGTGCTGCGAAAAGGTAAAAGTGCCTTGAAGTTACCAGACAACACCCAAGCAAACACTAACTTTGATGTGTAGTAAACGAGATCATTGGTGATCACAATGTGGACAAGCAAATGACCGACAGCCGGGGTGATGTATGTCCACTTTATTCCCCCCTAGGATCCCCGAGACAAGAAACTAATGATGCCTAGATCGCCTATCTGATGGCTGACATCAGCAATGTCGATGCTTCTACCATCAAGGACTTGTATGAGAGATTTGAAAGCCTTGCATGTAAGAGGACTTCTCTTCCCTCGTTGTTTTCTGTCTTCTAACCCTCTCTGCTTCAGCTCGAATTATGACTCGGATTTTGTACTGAATAGGGTTTGTGACGTAGTATATTGTACTCATCATATGTCTATATGCAAATAGAGAAAAGCCACATGGATTTGCAGTTTTTAATTGTCCACAGAATTTGACGCCTGAAGATAGATTACATGCGTAGTCATGGCCCCGTAATCTTCGTCATTGAGATCATTCGGGTCTCCCGTCTTCTTGTGCATGTGTGCGTTGGTGAAGTTGTTTTTTTTTGGATGGAAACATCTGCGCGAGATTGAGCCAAGCCTCTGCCTTGCTGTGAAGTTACCGAGGACTCCGGCTCCTTCTCCGAGGCACGGGTTCTCGGCGATGATCACGTCGATAATCGGTAGCCTCTCGCCCACGATCAAGAGCATTGCCATAGTTAGGAACGTATGAGTCTAAGTTCCCCGAGGGCCTACCTCCGGACCGGCCCTGACCAAACCGGTCTCGTCGCTGATCATCTCTTCCATCGGCCCTGCCGGCTGGTGCTCCATCCCATGGCTGGTGAGCAGACACCGGTGGCCTCGGCGGTAGACCGTTGTCTCTCTGGGAAGGTGGGAAGGGCCCGCGCCGCATAGGGTTCACATGCCCCCCTGGTGCGCTTGGTCTTCCCCCGCGGGCGGCACCAGGAACCCGACTACTTCGGGCGTCTCCCCGGGATCCCGAGCTCACCCAGCCTCCGTTGGAGTGAGTATCCACGCCGCCTGGGGCAGGGGGCCGCTGACTGCGGAACTTTTTCCGATCAAGCTCGTGAGAATCCTGGAAGTGGGGAATTTCGCCCGGGCGTGCTGGGAGTGGGGGCGTGGAGAAATAAGGGTGCTTCAATGCGTCAATGGCATTGATCCGCTTCCGCCAGTCAAGCCTGAGAAGCTCGCGTAGCAGTGAAATGGCTGTTGGGCTTTGACTATTTCACCGTTAGTGGGTTCCGCAAACCGGCCACAAGCTGGAACCAACTTGATCGGCCCGGTACACATCGAATTGGACGTACTCCTTGAAGACATGCGCAAGGTTTCCGGGGTTGGACCCAAAGTCTCTCACATTCTCGCAGCCTGGGAGTGCATTCCATCCAGGCATATTCTCGTCATTAGGAGACCCCACAAGGCTGAAGATCAATTGCGCTTGATTGAGGTCGCTGTTGCCGGCAAGAATGGGTTTTCCTTTGAACATCTCGCCAAAGACACAGCTGAGTTGGTAAGAATCCGAGCGAGAAAGACAATGTTTGAACACCACTTACCCTACTCCCCACATGTCGATGGCCGTCGTATATCGCTTCAGTTGAAGGAGCAGCTCCGGCGGACGATACCATCTCGTGACAACGAGGGCGGTATATTCTCTTTTGGCCTCTCCCCCGCCTTTTCCAGGCTGGGGCGGGGACTCATCGTAGGGTCGTGCGAGTCCGAAATCAGCGATCTGAAGAATACCTCCATTGCTGATCAGAAGGTTGGCAGCTATCCAGACCCGTCAGTTTACGCCCCAGGTAAACTAGGTTCTACACCTACCTTTCATGTCCCGATGCAGAATGCGATTCTGTGATACCGTTAGAAATTTCCTTCTGGTAGTTGGAGTATGCGTACCGCATGCAAATACCGAAGTCCTTCTAAGAGCTGCATCAGGTAGCATTTGATCTGGGGCTCACTGAAGTGGACTGTTGGGTTTTCCAGGAGTCCTGACAGGTCATGTTCCATGTATGGTGTGACCATGTACATGCTGGGTTTTTTGCGCCCCTCACCTGAGCTTGGTGTCAGAGCCACATTTTCCATGGACCGGCTAGTGGGGACAGAGATGGAGCGTCTCTGAATCCATACCCTTACTCCGCTCCATCGCCATTTCTTTGAGTTGCAGGATATTGGGATGGGAAAGCGCCTTCAAAATTTTGATTTCTCGGATGGCGGTAATGGGAAACTGGAGAAATTTAGCTATTGCCGATGGAAGTCCGTACACATGTGCTCACGCCCTCTTTCTCATGGTGCATGAGGATCTTCTTCAGTGCCACCACTGAATTGTCCTTTTTAGACCTTGCTTTGTAAACCTCGCTGTATAGGAATCAGTCACCTGGATATATTGGCCACAGGGAACGGGGACCTACCCGAAAGTTCCTTCTCCGAGTTTCCCGACGAATTCAAAGTCACGGATGTTCGAGCAGCCAAAGAACCGGGGGTGGCCATTGCTATCCTTCTCAAGAGATGAGATGGCCATTCTGTCCCCAGCCAAGGCCAACAAGGCCTGGAATGGAGTGGAAGGGAAGGGATTCGGTGGCAGAGCTGTCAAATCAAATTATCGAGAGGTCGGTACGTCACTGTGGGCAAGAAAGGTCTCAGACCATGTCAGGGCTGAGAAATCGGGTAGGACCCATTTTATATTAGGGAGTGAGGAAGGGAAGGGAAAGAAATGCGCAGTGAATGCGCATAGTCGCGGAAGCCTTGAATCAGAAAGTTGCGACAGTAAGATAATAAGGGTCACATGACCACTACTCAACCTCTCCCGCCCGAGACGAATACAGTCTGCGACACTATTCACCACCATCCGACAGTGCGTACCTATTGTCAACCCCAGCCACCGCATATTGTTGAAGACTAATTGTCTATTCAGTCATGGGAAATTCTCACCCAATCCACGTCCACCCGGTGCGACCTCTGTACCGCTTCACTGCCACTGCGTTGGGTGCCAGCATGTGGTTCTTCGTATGATTCCCACCTGATTCTCTGAGTGACAGATGCTGACTTGCAAATCTTCCATGTAGCTCATGTATCGGGCCAAGAAGGATGGACCGGCTCTGCTGGGCTGGAAGCACCCGTGGGACCATTAAATGTTGAACTCGCCTGATTGCCAGGCTCTGAATCCCTCACCCTACCTAAACTCTTCCGAATTCGAGACGCCCCCCATTCCGCGCAACGAGGTCGAAGAGAATCGCCGAGTCGTCTTCAATTTCAGCTTCCAAGTCCTGAAAACGCCACTGGATAGCCTGTTTCTTTTTGTTCTGCAATCGAATTGTATCATACCTTTCCCTCTGCTCGCTATGTCTTCATTTGAGTTACCCACTCTGCCGATAAGTAAACCATAGGTATAGCTGCGTTAAGAAATACATTTCTACATTATATCTCTATGTATGAATTCATGAATGGCATAGAAACAACCCGGAAAAGCGCTCCCTGAGAAGCATATCCAATTATCGGCGCATTCCGTCCAGAAGAACCTTGTACTGACGCCGTTTTTTGCGGTAGTTGGGTTGCACGCGCGCACGAATATGACCAAGGATCCGTGCTAGATGAGGGAGTAATTTTTGCTCGGCCATCCAGGAGACGGTGAAAGTCCCAAAGGCAAGTGCCACCAACCAAGTTTTGAAGCCGCTTGACATCCATGTCAGTTGCATCACGTCCAAGACCCACTCTGATGGTCGAAAGACCATATATCCCGCAACCAAAAGGTCGATAAGAATGGTGCACAAAAATGGTACTATCCGGACGACGCTAGTTAGTGTCTGTTCCCGGGAGAGAAATGGAGTGCATTTCCTACCATTCTTGGTTATTGGTTTTCGGAAGGGCGGTCCAACACTAAGGACGACGCTGGTCAGGATGTACTGGAAACAAGAGAACAGAAATAGAGCCGTGTTTTCCGAGTTGACTATATTGCTCTTCTCTCGGTCGAGCTGGGGAGGCAGAAACCTGCATAGCTTGTCAGCGGTTGCAAAGGGTGTGGCAATATAGGGTGATGGCGGACCAGGGCTGATATTGAACATTTTTGAAGATCACCAACTGGGACAGAACAAGAATCGTAATCTGTCCAAGCAACGGTGTCAACACTTTCCGCGAGACAAGATCCGCCGTCGGCCGTTTGCGAGAGAGCGTGGAATAGGGACCGGACCAGCCCACTGATTGTTCATCGTCAGCTTGTTCAAGCCTTGAGCGCTTCTCGAACGGTCAATAAACTCACTGAAGACAGCAATTGGCATAATGAGTGTGAGATCGATGAAAAGAAACTGAAGAGCCCCAGTCAGCCCCCGATCAATACCTGTGTCCCGGCGCTGCCTGCTTGCTTACTTGGAAATTACCCAGATTTGATCCGGAAGTATAGAGAAAACTGACGGCGGAGAACTGGATGGCCGAATACAAGCTCATGAATTTAAAGCAGCAGAAGCTTGTTACCAAAGCAGCTCGGCCCTCTCTGTGACGACATGAGTCGATGTATCCGATCAACAGTCATGGTATGCAACTTACCTGATCAGGGTTGGAACGCAGGATATTTCGAAGAGACGGCTGGTAAAGGGTGCGGCAACAGACGCCTCGGCATCGGACAAGGAGATACCCACATCTGCGGCTTTTAATGCGCCGCAGTCATTGGCACCATCTCCGCAAAAGCCACAGCAGTAATCAATTGATTGGAGCTTTTCCACCAGCTCGTGTTTTTCATCCGGCGACATCCTGGCAAAGACTTTACCGCACACAAGTATCTGAGATGCAAATGACTTAGAGCAAAATTTCACCCACGGGTAAGACATTTTAAATCAGATGCAATGACTACTCACCCTGTTGAGGACATCCTCGTTCCCAAAATCAACCATCCACCTAAACACATCACCCGTAACAGCTACAGAGTACCTGCGCTCGTTCAGAGCATAGTCCGGTATGGATAGATCGACGCCGGCTGTGGCTTCCACGGGCTGCACTCCGTTAGCCGATGTTTGTAGGTGGAAACAAGACGACTTTACCAAAAGTGTTCTTGGGTCCAATCTGAGTTCGGGATCGTCCACACTCTCCCAGTAAAGCGATGTTTTCGAGACAAGACCAGGATCTGCACTGCTTAGTTAGCTCGACAGGTCAAGTTGGCCCCTAACAGGTGACAGGCAAGGCAGACCTTCGGCAAAATGAGGGATAAAACATTGTTCATCGGGGCCAATCATCTGGCACTCGCGAGCAACGCTGATCGCGGTCAAGATGTTATCACCCGTGCACATGATGTTGCGTATACCCGCATGGTTTAGCTCGGAAATCACTTGTGAGGTACTGGGCTTCAGTTTGTTCTCGAATATTATAAAGCCCACAAATTCTAGGTCGCATTCTGCTTCGGCCCGAGTCATTTTCTGAACTTTCATCCAGCTCAACTTTCGTTCGTATTTGGCGGCACAAGCAATCACACGGTATCCCTTGTGGGTGTAATGATTCAAAAGTTCATCGTAATCGAATGGGACTACGAGAAAATCAGCGAGCATACCCAACGGTAGAGTGAGGGGTTATGACGAACGGCTTTCAGGAACACATATATCCCTGACACTCTCGGGAGCACCCTTGACATAGAAGCTTGCTCCGTTGTTCCCGAACTGCCTGACCACCACACTTGCACGGCGGAGCTGGGAGACAAACTCAAAGTTTCGAAGAACCCCAAGCTCGAGGGGAGTCTGAAATAGATAGCTATGGTTAGTGAAATCTCAGACCTAATCAACGAAGCAACATACATCTGAGTCATTCCGTAGGCGGTCACTGGCCTGTGCAGCAGCCGGGGGCTTTGCAACGGACGGTGCGATGGTATCGTATCTGGGACTCGTCTGCTCCGAGACATGGCTGCCTCCCTCCTCGTAGGACCAGCCTGTGAATTGGAACATCTTGACATCAAGAGGATCCCCTAGCAACTCCCCATCCACGACCCGGAGGGAGTGACACGTGGCCATGGTGTAGATGATTTTCCTCTGTCTTTCAAGCTCAGATACATGACCCGCGGTCGGAGGAGCGAGAAGAAAACCGGCGGATGTTTCAGATACTAACTCGGAGAACCTGCAGGCCACTCAGTCATGGTCCATCAAATCACCCTTGATCACCTTTAAGAACTGAAAACAAACCTCTGTTCATGGTTAACAGTGCGGGTGCCGAGCACATCCAGCCCGTCTTCGGTGAGAGTCCCGGTCTTATCGAAACACACGACATCAAGCTTTCCGCCGACGTTGACCCTATCTCATACATCAGCGCAAGGGCTCACCACCAATCCAACCAACCGGGTCCACTTACTTCTGGGGACTAATACAGAATATATCTTGTTTCTTCAGACGTGACAGTGCAAAATTGGTGCCGATTGTGAGAGTCGCCGGGAGGGCTGGCGGCACAACAATAGTGATCAGATCGAGGGCTCGTACAACGATCAGGTGCCAAGCGAGCTTTTCTGTTTATCAGCGAATGGAGGGAGATAGCTTTCATGGCGATTTACTTACTCCCAACCGAACAAAATTGACGAATGAGGCAATGAAACCAAGCAGGGCGACCACTGCCATGACCGCTATGTAGCGAAAAGAGTCCCGATAAAACTTGAAACCAGAAGGCTTTGGAAAGAGCATCGAACGGACCAAGGCTCCCTTGGTAGTCAAAAAGCCTGTTCGGACGACTACTGCCAACGCAACAGCCTCGTCGTCATCGACGTGTTGAGGGCGTCTAGCCCGAATGACCTTGGTCCCACTGAACAGAAAATGCTTTGCAACGTTTGGATGCACCGATGGGGCGCTGAGATCAAGATACTTCAAAGCATCATCGGTAAGCGGGGCCTTGGAGACAGGAACAGATTCACCTGGTTACGTTGTTAGCATTCCCCGTAATACTGGGCAGGTATTTGCTGGGTACAGACCAGTGAGCATGCTCTCATTGACGATACAGTCCCCAGATAGAAGTATAGAGTCACACGGGACCAAGTTCAAGGACGGATCGGAGAACTCGAAAACATCTCCCGGTACCAGCTCCTCGGAAGAAACAGATCGCCCTGTTGCAGCAAGTGTCAGTCGTGGGGTTACCGAGCAAAGACGACAAATATGTCGCTGGATGGACTCACAAAATCCATTTCGGAGAACGCGAACATCACATTCGAAGAGGGATATCTCTCGGAGCCGACGCATTGTCTGCTTCAATCTTAGCTTCTCAAATCTCTGGTCAATACGCTCTCAAGACGTACCGATCTGGTTTCCAGCACCGTCGTTCCGATGCTGAATACAGAAATGAGAAAGATGCAAACTGCGTAGTAATAGTACTGATCCATGGACCAGAGGATCAAGCTCGCGACTTGGAAGATATAGAAAGGATGAAAGGCCTGGGCGTGGTCAGAAAAGGCCAAGATGAAAAATACTACCAAGGGCACTGACCTCGTCAACGAGAAGCTGGGACAAATTCTTTTGTTGGATATCGATGATGTTCTGTCCAAAAATCCGACCTCTGCTGTCACGCTCGTCGGCATCCAATCCTGTTCGCATGACCTTTGCATTTTTCCACGAGGGGTCTTTCCAGCCATTGACTAAGGAGAACTTATCCTCAATCGGGTGGTAGAAGAACCGAAGATACCGGAAATCGAGAAAGCGGAGAATTGCAAGAGTTGGGTCACTGTCCTCATCGTAGGCGTGACTGAGGGAGTCCACAAAGACCGTCGACAGTGGACACCCGTACGCCTGGTGGCCTACTTCATGGATGGTGAACTGATTCCATTGGTCCTGCAATACTGGTCAGGTTACAGTCGTGGATCCACAGAAACGGGGACCCCTTACCTCAATAGCAATCCATTGGCATTTCCCCAAGGGCGTTGCCTTGCCAATCAATTTGATCCGCCATCGTGGCAGCCATCGAAAAATAAGATAGGCGAGCCCGCAAGTCATAATACAAAGGGCAACATAGAGTGCGAAGCCGCCAACACTAGTCGAAAACCCGGCAAATACTGCGGTAAAATCTTCTGACGCAATATACACCTTTTGGTTGAGTCTGTTGCCGGGGCGTCGATCTCGACCATATGAGCTAGCAGAGAGATAGCGAGAGAGAAGTGGATGCTCGACAGAATCCTGGGAATGCGAGAGCCTCTTGGACGCGAACGAGCCTCTCGCAGACTCGAGGTCTGCCTCGCCTAGCCCATCTATAGATTGGTCCCCGATCTCGCTAGTCACGTCCACTGCATCTTCATTGGACCAGTCTGCAAAGTCTTCCTCATCCTGGAAGTATGTAAAACTGACGGTCGAACCGGCTCGGTTGCGATGCGAAAATGACACAACACTCGAAGGAATGCTCTCGGAAATGGGGCCGTCAAAGACCTTCAGATGCAATTCGGGTCAACTACGGGGGTTTATTGCATTGAAACAGTTGGATTAACATTACCTCATCCCGTGCCATCTCCACATCCGACACGACACTCAAGCTACAGAGAAATTAGCGGGCGAGGGAAGTGAGATTTGGGGAGAAGAGGCACACCCACCTGCTCCTCAAGGAATCGCGCCGCAGTCCTGAACGAGGCATTGAGAGGCCAGCAGGACCTGTGTCTGTCGGAGACTGCGGACGACTTCCCATAGTGATGGAAATGATCTCTTCGCGATCCTTCAGTGGTTTGGGTTATGATGCCCTGGTCCAATTTCACTGATGCGGGATCAATTATTATTATAGTTCGCGGGGAACTTCCAACACATGCATTGCAGTTTGGGGGGGGGGATAATAGCAGGGGAGAGAGCTAGAAGAAAAGGGAAAAGAAAAACGAGCAAGGTAGGGTGACCAGCTTATCTGCCCCAAAGGGATCAGCTGAGTTACAGCTACCTAATCTCCTATCGACACGTGACTCTATCCCATCTCTTCTGGCCTGGATGCCTGAGAGGGGGGATATGGGAGTAGTCTGTCTCTACAAGAATAACAATTCATAGGTATACCTTCCACTATGACAGGAAATAGTCAGCGTTGGATCAGTCAGCAATATATTATTATTCTCTAAGGCACGGAGTCAAGCTCTCCAGGTCGAACATCACACCCATATGCCGGGGGTGTTTCTAAATTTATCGGGTGATCTATGGGAGAAAAAGAAAAGAAAAAGACATCGAAAACGGGGGATGACCGGTAGGTATACTTCGTTATTTGCCCCAGAGAGGGGTAAATGGGACACTGCGAAAGGCGCCACAAGGCTGGCCTAGAAAGCCTACAAATAGAGAGAATGTTGAATAGAATTATGAAAGAACAATAAATGGATATCAATACCAACGATATTAAAACATATAAATTAGAAAGAGAATATAATAGTAGAGATGGAAGTAGAAAGAAAAACAGTAGAGAGAAGAGTGTTGGGAGTTGTCTAAGAGCCCCGTCCCGCCAAGCCCCTCGGCCACCCTAAGGATCCCACCATCTTCCAGACTTCCCCAAAACTGAGTATCAAATTCTTCCTCCCTTTTCTCCCTTGTCAACAACCTCTCTCATCTCTCATCATGTCTGAGCCCATCAGGAATAAGAAGGCTGATTTCCCGGTCGCCCCGTAAGTATTTTCTTGCTTTTTTTCTCTCTCTTGACCGCTTATCGCCCCCCCCCCCCCCGAAAAAAAATGCAGAGGCAGAGCGATGGCGAAAAATGAACATGCACATACAGACAGGTCAAAAAAAGAAAGAAGAAAAAGACTGACCGGCTCATTAGGACCCCGCAAAACACGCCGGCCAACAATGCCCCCATCTCTTCCCACGCTCAGGAACCTGGCGTGTCCAGCATTAAAGAAGGTAAGCCACCGTTTTTTGCTGAGGTGCCCCCCGGCATCGTTTCTGACACTTGTTTTCTCGCTCCAGAAAACTTGGATAATGCCGCGGCCGCATCGCTGTTTGCTCGAAACCCTGCTCTGGTCTCGATGATTCAAGGCAAGCTGGGTCAACTCGTTGGTCGCTCGTCAGGCTACATCGAATCCCTTCCCGTGGTCGTCCGCCGCCGTGTTGCTGGCCTGAAGGGTATCCAGAAGGAGCATGCTAAGCTGGAGGCTCAGTTCCAGGAGGAGGTTTTGGAACTGGAAAAGAAGTACTTTGCCAAGTTCACCCCGCTGTACCAGCGCCGTGCCACGATAGTCAAGGGAGGGTCAGAACCGACTGATGGGGAAGTTGACGCCGGTAAGGAGGAAGAAGAGGAGGAAGAGAACAAGGAAGGCGAGGAAGAGTCGAAGAAGGAGGAGGGTGAGGCCATGACCGGTATCCCCGAGTTCTGGCTCTCTGCCATGAAGAACCAGATCTCCCTTGCCGAAATGATCACCGACCGCGACGAGGAAGCTCTCAAGCACCTTACCGACATTCGCATGGAGTACCTGGACCGACCCGGGTTCCGCCTCATCTTCGAGTTCGCCGAGAACGAGTTCTTCACCAACAAAACCATCTCGAAGACATACTATTACAAGGACGAGAATGGCTACGGTGGTGATTTCATCTACGACCATGCCGAGGGCTCCAAGATTGACTGGAAGGCGGACAAGGACTTGACGCTTCGCCTTGAGAGCAAGAAGCAGAGGAACAAAAGTAAGTGCACTGTTTCCTCCCTCGAAACCCAGCATTTCAGACACTAACAACTCCCTTTCAGACACCAAGCAGACGCGTGTTGTCAAGATCAGCGTGCCTACCGAGTCCTTCTTCAACTTCTTCGCTCCCCCGCAGCCGCCGGTGGATGATGATGAGTCGGTTGCCAGCGACATCGAGGAGCGTCTCGAGTTGGATTACCAGCTTGGTGAAGACATCAAGGAGAAACTCATTCCTCGCGCGATTGATTGGTTCACTGGGGAGGCTCTCCAATTCGAAGAATTGGGTGACGACATGGACCCGGACGAGTTCGAGGATGAGGAGGACGAGGATGATGAGGATGAAGATGACGACGAGAGAGGCTCAGACCGTGATGTGGAGGATGAGTCAGACGAAGAGGTATGTGGATTTATCCCGAATTTCCATCGAATGAACTGCTAACTTGCTCCAGGATGGCACTTCCAAGCCCAAGAAGGAGGCGGCCGAGTGCAAGCAAAACTAGAGGGGTGGGGGAAGGAAAAAAGCCAACCCACTAGAAGAAAAATCGGCTCCATGGTGAAATGATCGAACGGGATGAGTCGTGATTGATGCTTTTCTATGTCCTTTACTCTCTGATGCCTTTGTTTGTGCGTGAAACCTTCTTAATATGCCACAATCCATAGTTGACATAATTGGTGTGTAATATTCGAAGGGTAGTTTCTCTGTAATTTCTCTAGACTAGAGACCACCATACCTAAGTCCTTAATTACTATAGATCATAAATAATAAATAATCCATGCATCCATGCATGGGCTTAGAGTCATTTCTCTCCATTGCAGAGGCGGTGACAGCCTGTGGGGGTGTGGCGCGGCAAACCCCCCCAGGCCTAAGCTCCTTCAGGGGCTCTCGCTAAATGGCCAGCTGTTAGTCTCTCTTTCAAGGGCGCTTTTCTTCTCGACGATCTCCCCTTCTTTACCTCTATTCTTTTCTTTTCTTTTTATTTCCTTTCTGGATCATGAGCCGATGAGGGGTTACAGAGAGTCCCCTCGTCCTCGTCCTTGGACTGCTCATTCTTAAATTATTGTTACGTTTTCCCTTCGATGTTGAACCGCTCTCCCGACATCTCCTAGACTCCTAAACCCTCTACCGATTTTTTGGTTCTGAGTCCTGATTGCATCTGGATCAAGAGCCTGAAGAAAGAATACCATGGCGCATATTTTTGAGGTCGGGACAAGGGCCTGGCAGCCTGACCCGACGGATGGATGGCTTGCGTCCGAACTCAAGGAGAAACTGGTCGATGGAGAGAAAGTGCAGCTGGTGTTTGAGCTGGAAAATGGAGAAGTGTGTCCCTGAAGCTAAGATGGACTTTTGGCTTCGATGGCAGCAATCGAAAACAAAGCTGACCCGGTGTGGACGAACAGACAAAAACCATCGAGACCACGCAGTCCGAACTGCAGGTCGACAACAACCCAAACTTGCCTCCGTTAATGAACCCGGCCATGCTGGAAGCCAGCGAAGATTTGACCAACTTGTCTCACTTGAATGAGCCCGCTGGTTTGTCTTTCAACTGGCACCTCGGAATAACGTTCCTCGGCTGACGGCTTTAAAGTACTGCAGGCTATAAAGCTCCGCTATGCTCAGAAAGAGATATATACCTACAGTGGCATCGTCCTGATTGCGACCAATCCTTTTGCCCGGGTGGACTCGCTCTATGTGCCGCAGATGGTACAGGTCTATGCAGGGAAACATCGAGCTTCACAGGCACCTCATTTGTTCGCCATTGCTGAGGAAGCTTTTGCGTAAGAGTACCCTTAACGTGGCGGAATTTGCAAATTCGTCGCTCACATGCGAGACAGTGACATGCTTCGTGACGGCAAGAACCAGACCATTGTGGTCTCCGGAGAGTCAGGTGCCGGAAAGACCGTGAGTGCCAAATATATCATGCGGTATTTTGCAACTCGCGAGTCCTCGGACCAGCCAGGGAAATACACCACCAGTCGCGCAGATGCAATCAGTGAGACGGAAGAGCAGATCCTGGCCACCAATCCGGTCATGGAAGCGTTCGGTAACGCCAAAACGACACGGAACGACAATTCTTCTCGTTTTGGCAAATACATCGAGATCATGTTTGATGACCGCACCAACATCATTGGTGCCAAGATCCGGACCTATCTTCTGGAGAGATCGAGGCTAGTCTTCCAGCCACTCAAGGAGCGCAATTACCACATCTTCTACCAGCTCGTGGCCGGCGCCACGGACGAGGAGAGGCAAGACCTGGGTATTTTGCCTGTCGAGGAATACGAGTATCTCAACCAGGGTGGAACGCCTAAGATTGACGGTGTCGACGACAAGGCGGAATTTGATGCCACTAGGAAATCCCTGGCCACGATTGGCGTCCCGGAGCACAACCAAACTGAGATCTTCCGCATTCTCGCGGCTCTGTTGCACCTTGGCAATGTCAAAATCACGGCTACCCGCACGGACTCCTCTCTCTCGTCGTCCGAGCCTTCTCTTGTGCGCGCTTGTGCTATGCTGGGGATCGATGCTAACGATTTTGCAAAATGGATCGTCAAAAAGCAGCTGATTACACGAGGCGAGAAGATCACTTCCAACTTGACTCAGCAGCAAGCCACTGTTGTACGAGACTCGGTCGCCAAGTTCATCTACTCGAGTTTGTTCGATTGGCTGGTAGACAAGATCAATCGTGGTCTGGCCACTGATGAAGTTCTCAGCCGATTCCAGTTCTTCATCGGTGTTCTGGATATCTATGGCTTTGAACATTTTGCCAAGAACTCTTTCGAACAGTTCTGCATTAACTATGCCAACGAGAAGCTGCAACAGGAGTTCAACCAGCATGTGTTCAAACTAGAACAGGAGGAATATGTTCGAGAAGAGATCGACTGGAAGTTCATTGACTTCTCTGATAACCAACCCTGTATTGATCTGATCGAGGCCAAACTTGGAATTTTGTCTCTTTTGGACGAGGAATCCCGACTTCCAATGGGCTCCGATGAACAGTTCGTCACCAAGCTTCATCACCATTTCGCCGCCGACAAGCAGAAGTTTTACAAGAAACCTCGCTTTGGCAAGTCGGCTTTCACCGTTTGCCATTATGCTGTTGATGTCACCTACGAGTCCGATGGTTTCATTGAAAAGAACCGCGACACCGTCCCGGATGAGCACTTGGAAGTCCTGCGCAACTCGTCCAACGACTTCGTCAAGGAAATACTGGAAACGGCCGCCGCGGTCCGTGAAAAAGACTCCGTGTCGGTCTCATCCAAGCCAGTCGCAGCCCCAGGGCGCCGAATCGGTGTTGCGGTCAACCGCAAGCCCACCCTGGGAGGAATTTTCAAGTCTTCGCTGATTGAGCTGATGGCCACCATCAATTCAACGGACGTGCATTACATCCGCTGTATCAAGCCCAATGAAGCCAAAGAGGCTTGGAAGTTTGAGGGCCCAATGGTTCTCAGTCAGTTGAGGGCTTGTGGTGTTTTGGAAACCGTTAGAATCAGCACTGCTGGGTACCCGACTCGCTGGACATACGAGGAATTTGCCATTCGCTACTACATGCTCTGCCATTCCTCACAGTGGACATCGGAAATTCGGCAGATGTGCCATGCTATCCTTCGAAAAGCCCTGGGAGATGCCAACCATCAAAAGCGGGACAAGTATCAACTCGGTCTGACCAAGATCTTTTTCCGGGCCGGTATGCTTGCTTTCTTAGAGAACCTCCGGACCTCTAGGTTGAACGAATGTGCGATTATGATTCAAAAGAATCTGCGTTGCAAATACTACCGGCGCCGCTACCTGGATGCCCGTGAATCGATTCTCACCACCCAGGCCTTCATCAGGGGATTTTTGGCACGACAACGGGCCCAGGAAATTCGCCAAACTAAAGCTGCCACTACAATACAGAGGGTCTGGCGTGGGCAGAAGGAGAGGAAGCAGTACCTCAAAACCCGAGGCAATTACATTCGCTTCCAATCCCTCGCCAAGGGATTTCTCTGTCGACGAAACATCATGGACTCCATCAACGGCAACGCTGCGAAGATCATCCAGCGCTCGTTCCGTTCATGGCGTCAATTGCGATCCTGGCGACAATATCGCCGCAAGGTGGTCATCATTCAAAGTCTTTGGAGAGGTAAACAGGCGAGGCAAGATTATAGGAAGCTGCGAGAGGACGCGCGGGATCTCAAGCAAATTTCCTACAAACTGGAGAACAAGGTGGTAGAGCTGACGCAGTATTTGGAGTCCCTTAAGCGAGAAAACAAGTCCTTGGGCTCTCAGTTGGAGAACTACGAGACCCAATTGAAGTCATGGCGAAGTCGGCACAACACGCTGGAGGCTCGCGCCAAGGAATTACAAGCCGAGGCTAACCAGGCCGGTATCACCGCAGCCCGGTTGGAAGCTGTCGAAGAGGAGATGAGCAAGCTACAACAAAGCCATACCGAGGCTCAGACCACCATCAAGCGTCTCCAAGAGGAAGAGAGAGTTTCTCGTGAGGCACTCCGTACCTCAAACGAGGAACTGGAGCGCCTGAAGCTGCTGAATGGCGACCACGAAAAAGAGCAGGCTGCTCTACGCCAACGCATTTCTGAGCTTGAGGAGGAGCTCGAGGTTGCCAAGCGGTCTGTGCCAGCGAACGGCCTGAATGGTGATCTGCCGAACGGTGGCGCCGTCCAGCCTCCCGCCACTGGTCTGATCAATCTGGTATCCTCGAAGAAACCTAAGCCCAAGAGACGCAGTGCAGGAGCAGAAAAGATCGACACTGATCGCTTTAGCGGTGCATACAACCCGCGGCCGGTGTCGATGGCGGTCCCCTCAGCTGGCGCTGGGCGCCCGAACGCCGCAATCTCGCCTGGCCTAGACTCGGTCGAGGTAGAGCTCGAGAACCTGCTGTCCGAAGAAGAGGATCTGAACGAGGAGGTCACCATGGGCTTAATTCGCAACCTCAAGATCCCGCTCCCAAGCTCGACTCCGCCGCCAACTGAGAAGGAAGTCCTGTTCCCGGCCTACCTGATCAACCTCGTCACCTCGGAGATGTGGAACAATGGCTTTGTCAAGGAATCCGAGCGATTCTTGGCCAATGTGATGCAATCGATCCAACAGGAGGTTATGCAGCATGATGGGGAAGACGCAGTCAACCCTGGTGCTTTCTGGCTCTCCAACGTCCACGAAATGCTGTCGTTTGTTTTCTTGGCCGAGGATTGGTATGAGGCCCAGAAGACTGACAATTACGAGTATGATCGTTTGTTGGAGATCGTGAAGCATGATCTCGAGAGTCTCGAGTTCAACATCTATCACACGTGGATGAAGACGTTGAAGAAGAAGCTCTACAAGATGATCGTGCCGGCCATCATCGAATCTCAGTCCCTTCCAGGCTTTGTCACCAGCGAAACCAACCGGTTCCTTGGCAAGCTCCTGCCCTCCAACAACAATCCAGCCTATAGCATGGACAACCTCTTGAGTCTGCTCAACAATGTCTACAAAGCCATGAGGGCGTTCTACTTGGAGGACACGATTGTCAACCAGACCGTCCACGAGCTTCTGCGCCTGGTGGGAGTGACTGCATTCAATGACCTTCTCATGCGCCGGAATTTCCTGTCGTGGAAGCGCGGTCTCCAGATCAACTACAACATCACGCGGATCGAGGAGTGGTGCAAGAGTCATGATATGCCGGAGGGGACTTTGAAGCTAGAGCATTTGATGGTAAAGTTGCCCGATCCATACTGAGTTTTTTTTTTTTTTATGATTTTTTTTCCTTAACACATTATACAGCAAGCGACCAAGCTTCTTCAGCTCAAGAAGGCTACTTTGAATGACATCGAAATCATTCAAGACATTTGCTGGATGTAAGTTAAATCCCTTGGGATGTTGAATAACTCGGGCTGTGACTAATCTGGTTCATGAATAGGCTGTCGCCAAACCAAATCCAGAAACTTCTGAACCAGTATCTTGTTGCGGACTACGAACAGCCCATCAATGGCGAGATCATGAAGGCTGTTGCCTCCCGCGTCACTGAAAATAGTGACGTGCTTCTGTTGGCCCCGGTGGACATGGATGACAGTGGTCCTTATGAAATTGCCGAGCCTCGTGCCATCACGGCCTTGGAAACCTACACACCGTCCTGTCAGTGAACATTGATTTTTCTCCCCTTTTTTTTCCATGGTTACTGACGACCTTCGCAGGGCTTCAAACGCCGCGACTCAAGCGGTTGGCCGAAATCGTGTCCGCGCAGGCGATGGCACAGCAAGAAAAGCTCGACATGGATAATGGGACGATTGAGGAGTAGTTGTGTATATTAGTTTTGGGGGATCTCCCGTGAGCTACGGATTACGACCAGAGTTGACATTTCACCACGACCTTGTGCCTGGAATATTCATGGCTTTTGAATACAGTGATGCATATGAATTTCATTTGTTCCTGTCTTTTTTTTATTTTCGGGTTCTTGGATCATGGCAATTTCGTTGTATCTTCTCCGTAGACTATAGAAGAGTGGGAGTGGATCGCGAGAGCTGGCGGTGGAGGGAGACTGTGGAGTCCCGAAACTCCCCTTCTCAACACACATCCAAATTCAAGAAACAAAGGATTATAGTGTCCACACTCGCCACCATGTCGTTGAACAAAATCAACTTCATCACTGGCAACCAAAACAAGCTCGCCGAGGTGCGGGCTATCTTGGGCAGCGTCATTACAGTCGACAACCAAGCAGTCGATGTTCCAGAAATCCAAGGGACCATCGAGGACATCGCCAAAGAAAAGTCCAGACGCGCAGCCGAGGCGGTAAGTATATCCTCCGATGGCTTCCATAATATCCGCTCACTGTTTGAGTAGATCAATGGGCCCGCTTTGACCGAGGACACGGCGCTGGAATTCCGCGCCCTCAAAGGCCTCCCTGGCCCGTACATGTCAGTATTTCTCGGTGTTATGACGGTGAATCAATTGCTGACTAGAAACAAGCAAATCATTTCTTGATGCCCTTGGCCTTGAAGGCCTGAACAAGATGCTTGATGGCTTCGAGGACCGGGCTGCCGAGGCCGTGTGTACCTTTGCCTTCTGCCGCGGACCTGGAGAGGAGCCCATTATATTCCAGGGAAGGACCGAGGTAAGACCATTGCCATTGGCTTTTACATTGAACCTCGATGTTGACCCACTGGACAGGGTGCGATTGTGCGACCCCGAGGTCCAGCGAAATTCGGTAAGTAGATGGATGAAGATCTATATATCTATACCCAGAAAAAAGAAGCCGTGTCTGACGTGCGATCCTCTAGGTTGGGACCCTATTTTTGAACACCAAGGCAAAACATATGCCGAAATGGAGAAAGAAGAAAAGGTGAGCATATAGTCCCCTGCCAGGATGCTAACCAAAGAAGGGGGGGAAAAGCCACTAATGCAGTGCAGAACCGCATTTCCCACCGGTACAAGGCTCTGGTGAAATTGCAGCAGTGGCTGGCCGAGGGACAGTGAAATATTCCGAGGGTATATAGCAAGGTAGAAAGGTCCAGCGGCGGGCCGTAGAACGAGAACAAGAGACCAATTTGGGCGTTCATTCCGCATTTTCCGTTTGATTTTTCTTCCAAGCCTCGACCCAGGCAGAGACTCTGGCACAATTGTTTTCCACATCTTCGTCCTTCTCGCTGTTCAGCTCTACCACAATCTCATCCTCGAACGCCTCGCGGGCTTCCTCGACCAGAACTCCGAAAATCTCGGCGTCGAGGTTCTCTTCTAATTTCTCCTTGTGGTAGCCCCTAGAGAGATAGACCTTTCAGCATGGGATGTAGACAGAAGTGGGAAATCCGGGGCGATATTGAATACCTTGAGGCGAGACGATCGTACAGCACCGCAGTCGAGGGACACCGGAGGACGACCACAAGATCGATCCAAGATCTGGGGAAGAGGTCGCATGCGTGCCAGTCAATGAGGTAGCCACCTCGGGGGATTTCGTCCTCGAGGGCATCCAGAAGCTGGAGCACACCTGGTAAGCGGCTGCAGCCACAATTATCTGGTGGTTCAAACACCAGGAGGAGGAAATGAGCTTACTTTATCCTCGTCGACCACCCAACTCTTCAATTCCTCGTCATAGGTCTCATGGCACCCGCGATCTTTGGCGACCTGGTTGATCGACAGGTGCTTCAAGCCGATCTCCTGCGCCAATTGTTCGCAGTGTACAGTCTTGCCCACCCCGGGGGTGCCGGTGATGATCACATTCGGAGAGGTCCGCATGCTTCTCGCGGTCAGAGCTCAGGTTTGACTTGAAGGAAATCACTTTCTTCGTGGGTTTATCTTATCGTGTGGAGGGGGGATGTCACGGGACTTGGCGCCTCTACACACACAGTATGGCTACAATTATGCCCAGAGATAGCTGCTCTATTTGTATTTGTATTTGTATTTCCATGTAGCAATATTGGGTATTCTGCAATGAACAAGAATCATACAACATGGGGCCTTGGTTCCTGGGGCCCCGTGGGAAGGCTGGGGGTACATAGTCTATAGATTGTCTCTGCATGAGAGAAGGCTCAATCGCAAGTGGAGGGGCACGTACTTGAGAAGCTCGAAAAGCTTGTATTTCTGCAGATAGGGTGTACCCCTGCGATATGCCTTGAGCAGGCGACCGGGATCGGGTGGCCTTGCAGAAGTGCCGACCAGACGATGAATCGCCGGTGATGTCTTGAACATGGGGTCGAACACCAGTAGGTTCGCGCTACCATTGTCTCGAATCTCGAATCCCACGATGGTCATGGAATGCCCTGTTCATTGTGTTAGACAAGATATCGGGCTAAAGCAGAGGCAGTCTGACCCTGGTGTTGGAAATATATCGGTGGGAGATCAGTCGTGAAAACCTTCGTCTCTTGGTCCAAGGAACATGCAGATCGAAAATAGTCTGCGACATTCATGAAGAGCACGTCATAGGCTCGTATCTCATTACTCTCGCCGAGGCTACTGGCATCACAACTAGATTGAAGTCAGTGTGGTACACACCCTGCAAAAATCACAAAGGACTTACTGAACCCCAAGATTCAAGAAAAGCGCCTGCGCCTTTGCTGATATTAGCCATCTGAATAGTGCTCTCAGGAAAAATCACAAAGGCTGCTCACCTCGGGTGTCCCAATATACTTCCGCGTGCCTTTGATGCCCCCAGTTTCAGTCCTCCCCACACTATTGAAGCCCATATCCCATGCCAGCTCGATCATCTCTTGCAGTTCCAATATCGTGGGGCCCTTGTTTGCAAAGTTCTCATGGCCTGGGCTATGAGTTTTTTTGAGATAGGACACCAGCATCTGGATATTTCGATAGCCACAGAACCCTCCCTCGCGCGGCATCTTGCAGATATGGCGGACCTTGGGACTGCAGAGAAAGGCACGCTGAACCGATTTGTCCTGCTCACAGAGTCGAGCTAGCACGGGAATGAGATGGTCTGTTTCGTTCTCCACCTTCTTGTACCGGGCAAGTCTGCCATCCGGGGTGATTTGGTTCTGCTTCGTGGTATGACCACCTTTCTCCAGTATCTTCCTGAGCCATGATGGCATCTTCTTCTCATGGGCATGAGGACCCAGCTCCGCCCGCTAATCAAATCAGCTGTGGGAACGTAGGTACCGTGTCCGATCATCAATGACATACCCCTAGCTTCTTTGCGCCATCGGGACCGACGGTTCTGGGTAAGCTGCGCGGTCGATCTGGTTTAGCGGTATTCGTCCGTGAAAAGTCTCGCTGTGCTCCACGTTTGCTGCCTTTGCGAGTACCCACGACATCCAGCGAGTCCGTTTGTTCCCAGGATGGACGATTCTCGAGCATCCCCGCATCTGCGCGTGTCGGGGTTACACCGTAGTCATCTACATGTAATGCGACGCTCTCTGCGATGTGCAAATCGAGGTGTGTTGACAGATCGACACTAGCCACGGTTTCACCACAACAATGCGGGCAATCGACGTATTTGTCCGTCGACTCGTCACTGGATGATGAGGTCGAACGGGTCATTTCTCGGGGATCTGAATCCCGGGAGGTTTCCAGAGCGCCATTTTCTGGATGACAAAATTCAATATGCTCTGCTACACAATTGGCATCGGAGTCGGTGAAGGGACAGAGAGGACATGTTGGACTCGAATCGTCCATGGCGGGGTGAAGAAGTTGGTTTGGTCGCATGCGGGAAGTTGATGCCTCGGATATCTCCAGGCTGCAACAGGGAGAATTGCAGCCGACGCCACACACAAAAAAGTCACGACGCAGGGTGAGTTCAGCCCTGGAGGTACGTAGGTTATGTAGGACATTTCCTGACTATTGCACCCCACCTACTGGCTTGATTTCTATGGGATTGGGTATATCTCAGCGAGTCTTGTGATGGATTTGCTAGAGTCTGTGCTAATCCTGTACTACAATACAATAAATTAAGAAATACAATACAATACAATAGAATGGCATAGCAGAGAATATAAATATAAAGATAGATTCGTATACATCGACCATTATTTATATGAGTCAATCGATAAGCTCTCTATCAGCGACACTCCGACATCGTTCCTGAGGCGGAAAAACTCAATTGGCAGTTGAGTCACCGGAAAAAAAAATGTGCATTCGCTCCATCCTTCCCCAACTCTCGCATGTTTCTTGATCGTTTCTTCTTTTCGTTCTCGCTTTTGCTTTTTCTCTTGTTTCCCGAGTGATGGATCCCCACGTCCCGGTCAATCCCCAGGCCCTTGCGCAGGCCCCGCACAGCAACTGGGTGGTGCAAAAGTTCGGCGGCACCAGCGTGGGCAAGTTCGCTCTGAATATTATTGAGCAGGTCGTTCAGTATGTTTACCCTGAATAATTCTGTCTCGAATTCTCTTTTCTTCCCTCGGGATATCCCTTGAATGCCTGGGTTTTCTGACCATCTGTAGACCTAGTCTGGCCGAGCACCGGGTCGCTGTCGTGTGTTCAGCAAGAAGCAGTTCTACCAAAGCCGAGGGCACCACCAACCGGTGAGTCACATGTCAACGGGTTGACCCTAGCAACCTTGGAAGCACTCCATCCTGACGACAAATCACATAGATTACTACGTGCCGCGCGGGACGCCGAAAATTCGCAATCACGGCAGTATGAATCTTTTGTCGAGGCCGTTCGCGCGGAGCATGCTCAGGTCGCCCAAGAACAATTAACGTCGGTGGAATTGAGGGACCAGGTGGTGGCAGATATCAATGGGGAATGTGAACGGGTCCTGAAAGTCCTGGAGGCGGCTCAGACCCTGGGAGAGATCAGCGCACGCTGCGTGGACAAAGTGATCAGTACGGGCGAGAAACTCAGCTGCCGGCTCATGGCAGCCTTCCTGCAGGATCGGGGAGTTGATTCGCAGTACGTGGATCTGGCCGACGTGGTGGATTTCTCAATCGGAAGCCAGGGCTTGGACCAGGACTTCTACAACACCCTGGCGACGGTTATCGGCAAGAAGATTGAAGCGTGTGGGCACCGTGTACCGGTAGTGACTGGGTACTTTGGGACGATCCCCGGCGGCCTGCTCGATCAGATCGGTCGTGGTTACACAGATCTCTGCGCCGCCCTCGTCGCCGTCGGAACCCATGCGAAAGAGCTGCAGGTCTGGAAAGAGGTGGACGGCATCTTTACCGCAGACCCGCGCAAGGTGCCCACCGCCAGTCTGCTGTCGGCGATTACGCCCGCCGAGGCCGCCGAATTGACCTTTTATGGATCAGAAGTCATCCACCCATTCACCATGGAGCAAGTCATCCGTGCCAAGATTCCCATCCGCATCAAGAATGTTATGAATCCCAAGAACAAGGGTACCATCATCTTCCCCGACTCGACGGCCGAGCTCGAGAGGACCACCCCAGGTCATGATCCGCGCCTGTTCCGGACCCGGAGCCCCAGTTTCATGCAGCGACCGAAACGGCCCACCGCGGTGACTATCAAGCACAAGATCCTGGTGATCAACGTCCATTCGAATAAACGTTCTTTATCGCACGGATTCTTTGCGGGGATCTTCTCCGTGCTAGACAAGTGGCGCTTGTCGATCGACCTGATTTCGACCAGTGAGGTCCACGTGTCAATGGCACTTCACTCCGAAATGCCTCTCTTGAATGGCAACGGCCGGGATGAGTACCAGGTCATTGACGATGATCTGAAGGGCGCTCTCAGCGACCTGGCTCGGTACGGGACGGTGGATATCATCCCGGAGATGGCCATTCTCAGTTTGGTGGGGAAGCAGATGAAGAATATGATCGGGGTCGCGGGCCGCATGTTCACCACTCTGGGCGAGAACAATGTGAACATTGAGATGATCTCGCAAGGTGAGTTTCCATGATCGTCCCCCCTCACTCGGTCCCTTTCGTTCCCTTCCCAGTGGCTGACCACCCCTCTTCTCCCCTGCAGGTGCGAGTGAAATCAACATCTCCTGCGTCATCGAAGAGCGAGATGCTGACCGCGCGCTCAACATCATCCACACGAGTATGTTCACTTTCCTGGATTAGAAGGCCGATGACTACGAGTCACGAGTCATTTTTTTTTTTTTTCTTTGAGATATCCCATTGGGTCTGGTTTTCTGGTTTGTTTCGGCGATAGAGAAAAAGAACCAAAAGTTGGCATATCCATGGATACATCTAGGCACGACAGGGGGGTTTGACGAGGACACCCAGCATATGCTTTCTTTTCTCTTTTCTTGTCTTTGATGCATGGGTTGGGCGTTTTCTTTCTTTTCTTTTTGTTTCTCGGTCATATTCTATATAGATGGCATCAAGACCATATTCCACGGATTGTCCTCCCATATAGTTCAATCTCCGCAAGGAAATTGTCCTTTTTTTTTTCTGGTCTTTTGTCTCGACTTGAACTATTCCTGCCGAACACATGCGCAGATCCATCTGAAAGACATGATCGTCGCCCGTGCCCCATTGACAGCGGCTGGGGGGGGAGCATCCCTTGCTGGAGATGAGGTGAAGCCACCGGCGTGTCAGAGTTACATCGACATACCGGGTGTTCTGGGCCAATGGTCAAGAGAGGTCGAAAGACCGCCATTATCGGCAGTGGAAGTCAAGAGATTCTATTTTGAGCTAGAGGCATATATATGTATGTATACATACATATATGTGCAATATCAGTAGTGAGTAATAATTAGTTGAATTATCATAATTGTCATAATTCTAGTATGGTAGATATAGAGCAAGGGTATATACAAAGGAAGGGCGCATAGTCCGAGGTGGATCCAATCGATGATCGAATGCCGAGCAAGGGCCTTACACAGTGTGACAGCCGGAACATTCCCCGACCCCATAATAAAACGCGTGACGCGAGCGTGTGATGACCATACCTGACTGGTATTATTACATCTCCTCCACCTCTCTCTTCAGCAAGGTCTCTTTTCTCCAAAAGAAAGAGAGAGAGAGAAACGAGAAAAAGGGCTTCCCTTCCCACCTTCGGCTTGTCTCCTCCCTCTCTCTCTCCCCGTCTTCATTTTTCTTTCCCCCCAGGTATCTCATACCATACATATCTAATCTTCATTTTTTTGGGGGTGAATCTATTTTCTGCTATCAACGCGTGTCTGAGGAAGGTTTCCACTGGCTTGGCCCCAGATTGGAGTGCCGTCTTAGCGCCTTGTGGCCCAAGTCAACTTGCTGCATGACGGCCTAAGATTGACTTGTTTGGCTTGCAATTGGTCCGACGCGAATTCCCATCACATTGGTCTCTCCAACTCAGACTCGTGGGTACTTGACCTGCCCCCGATCACCCGTCTCGAGAGAGAAGAAAAAGGCCCTTTTTGAAGCGTCATATGGTCTCGCTTGGCGATCAGTGACGTTTCTGTCTGTCTCTGCTGTCCAGATTATGGGATCGACGCGTCCGGCGCCCGGCGCGCACAATTCCCCGGCGCTGCTGACCCCATCTGCAAAAGCGATCAAATCGCAGCCCCATCTGCAACCTTCACCGCTACCACTTCAACCCATTGAGAATCCGTCCTTGAACCCGGCTTCCGCTGGCCCGCACAGGCCATCGCCAACAAAAGCACTGCTGTCTCAAGGCGGCTCCCACCCGGGCCAAGGAAAACTCGGTTTCGTGCCCATCACCGCCCCGGCTCCTCCCACGTTCACCACCGACTCTCCCACCAAGAAACCGCCATTCTCGATCTACTCCCCGTCCTCGATGCCCCAGTCGGCTCTATTTACCACCTTCCCCAGTGTGGATCTTGAATCTTCCAAAGAAAACCACCATCCGGACGAGCCGTCGAATGACAACTTCGCGGACTTCCCCGAACCCTCGTATGAATCCAAGCTGCCTATGAAAAGAACCCTCATGGACGCTGCTCCGTTAAAAGAGCGCTCGGTGAAGAAGCAGAAGCGCGAGGATGAGCCCTATGTCCCCCTTCCCGAGCCGCATGACATGCCGCCAATCGAAGATGATGGCACCAAGCCCCCGTATAGCTACGCGACCTTGATCGGGATGTCCATTCTTCGCGCCCCCAATCGACGCTTGACGTTGGCTCAGATCTATAAATGGATCTCAGACACCTTCTCCTACTACAAGAACAGCGACGCCGGCTGGCAAAACAGTATCCGACACAATCTTAGTCTCAACAAAGCATTTATCAAGCAAGAACGCCCCAAGGATGACCCAGGCAAGGGGAATTATTGGGCGATCGAGCCTGGGATGGAGGTTCAGTTCCTCAAGGACAAACAAGTACGGCGGCCAACCATGGCCAGTCTACCCCTCCCCGCCGTCCCTCAAAGAGATCTCGTCCCCCAGCCGCAGAGTGCCAACACCACGACATGGATGGTGCCGCCCCCGTCGGTGCAGCAGCCGGCTCCCAAGCTGCCGCGCAACGTGGATCTGTCATCCGACGCCACATTGCCCGCGTCTGATCCAGCCTTGCAGGAGGACATGGGCGACGAGGGATTCCATGGGGGAGCACCGCATGCGGGACCACCACGGTCTTCGCCGCCACAAGCCATTCAGTCATCGCCTCCGATTGCGCCCCGCTGTGTCCGTCAGGGAACTCCTCCCACGCCGACCCAGTCAGGCCCCATCGCTGCCCCACGTCCCCGAAAGCGCAAATCGATCACCATGAATGATAGCGGCTATTTCTCTTCTCTGGAGTCATCCGCTTTAAGGCCCAACAAAGCAGGCCATATCCTCACATCCGATCTTGATATCGATCCACCGCGCATCAAAAGAGGTCGTGCCGAGGAGGAAATTGCGCGCATCCGAAGTTCATCGCATGACCTGAGTCCCGGTCAGCCGGCAACTCGCAAAGATGCCAGCATGTTGGTCGGTTCTTCTCCGCTTCGGGGCGAGTACGTGAGCATGCTGCCACCACCGCTCACTCCCGTGATCAAGTTCAAGAAACCCGCCAAACCGCCACCATCGGTTTCTCCAAACACCAATCTCCGGAACCATCGTCGAAAGATACAGCAAATGGTCAACTCCCCCATCAAGCATCTGGGCCTCACTGACGAGGACCTGCCGTGGAGTCCGGCCTTCAACCTGCAAGACGAGACCTACACACCACAGGATCACTTCCACACTACCTTTGATGTTTTTGCGGATCCTGGCACTGAGAATAGCTCTGTGGCGTATGGGTCCCCGGAGAAGCGCTCGGCAAAGCGCCCGCGCACCGACAATGGTAACACAGCCCTCACCGACATCACCTCTGTGAGCGCGAATAGTCGGCTGGGTGCGCCGTCATTGCCCCGATCCAAGACATCGATCTTCCCCGAATCCCCATCAAAGCTGCCGGACACGAGCCGCCTTGGGGACACAAGTCAGGATGACTTTTTCTCGTTCCATCTCTTTGACGAAGCCAGCGACAGCCCTGGTGAAGTGGACGGAGTTGATCTGTTGCAAGGATTCCAGAAGATTGGAGGCTCCAACAAAGACGACACCCTCAAGCCTCGGGCGCTTCATGCGCGGCCTCCAATGAGCCACCGCAGCAACACCACTTTGTTTTAAAAAGACCCTGATGTCATTTTTGTGATGGGATTCACTGCTTTTGGCGTTTGCTGCAGGCTTCTGTCTGATTTTGTTTGATTTTTTTGTTGGGTTTGGGTTTGTGGAGTTGAATATTGGTAATGTTTCCAGGTTGGCTTTTGGGCGGTGTTTTCGTCCGGGAGTTTTTTTGAGGCTCGGCCGTCTTGACCTATCTTTCACCGAGCCCAGGATGGCCTGGTTACGACCTTTGATGACGCCAAGATGTACATGAGCAAGCGATGGTTTTATGATTCGGATCTTGGGGTTGGGATTTATCTTTATGGGCACCTAGGGCTGGACACATCAGAGGCGCTATGAGATTAATGTAGTTACAATGGAAAGTGTACTTGTCTGATCATTACTCTTTTGTATTATGCCATGGGCCACAGGGTATCTGATGAAGATGAGAGAAAATATCCAAGGAAATAGTACACTAGTCACTGCTCGCACAGCCCCGACACCCACAGCTGACACACTGAATCATCTGGTCCTCCTTCAGCTGGGCCTTGGGCACCCGGCAGATGCATGTTGCATTGAAATTGGTTTCTTTTGTTTGGACACAGCGCAGACAACACAGCTAGACAGACATCAGCCGAGGTCTTCTGGGAAGGAGGGGGTCAGTCTCAAGCCTACCTTCTCGTAGCCCTGCTTCTTCCACTTGGCGATCAAGTTGGCATCGGCGTAATTATTTTTGAGTAGCCAGTCATACAACTGCTTGGAGATGGCTTCCTTTTCATAGTAGAGGTCATAGATATATCGGGACCCTGATGCACACATAAGAGCAGTTCGTCAGTAGCTGAATGGGTCCAGGTCTCTCTCTCTTTCTCTCTCCAACGGGGTACCTACGTTGATGACTGATCTGGAATATCGGCCACAGCACCTCGTATTTCTTCTTGCCTTCATGTGAGGCATTCTCTGCATCCTTCATTTTATTACCAAACTCCAGTAGCGTGTCTTCGATGTCTTCGAACCCCGCGGGCGGTGGCTTGCGGTTGCGGGAGGTGCGAATCGGCGGCATGGCGGATGAAGGTGGGAGGTGGATAGATGAAAGAAGATATTTTGCGCAAAAACTGAAATAAAGATTCAGCGAGCGATGAGGCCACAGGAGAACTAGTGCCAAGACAGTAGCGAGGGATGGGAATGGGAGAAGGCAGAGAGAGAGAGAGAAGAGCAGAGCTATCGATAAGTGCCTTTTTTGTGCCGGGTGCCACCGCCTTCGATTTTGCTCAACCTGAGCGCGATCTTCCTTGAACTCGCTGCACACTATCCTCCCTTTTTTAATCCCAGCCATTGCCGCTTTCATTGTTGCGCCCGTCATGGATCCTCAAACCCAGGTCGACATCTCCAAGCTCAGCGACGCTGACAAGAAGGAGCTCAACCAGGTCCTCACCAACGAGGCCCAGAAGTCGACTATCCAGCAAAGTAGGTGGTCGAAATGGCCCAATCCTTTCGTATCTGCCCGGATTCTCACCTTGTCTCAGCTGTCCACCACTTGAACGACGTGTGCTGGAAGAAATGTGTTGCCGGCAAGGGCAAGATCACCGCGGGCTCACTCGACCGGACCGAGGAGGCGTGCGCGCAGAACTGTGTTGAGCGGTGGATGGACACGAACCTGTCGATTCTGAAGAACCTCGATTCCATGCGGGGACATTAAAACAAGAAAAAAAAAGAGAGAGAAGAGAAAGAAATATCTTGTTCCTCTTACTTTCCATGTCGATGGCCCCCATGACGTCCTACTCCCCTTGGTGTTATCCTTACTACGGCACTGCACATCGGTGACAACTCCAGTGGGCGATGGATGCCGGCGGGTCGATTTCTTGTATACTAGTAAATTTCACTTTTATGGTGCTCTTGTCCGCTTCTAAATCTTGTGCAAATTCCGAGTCAAGCGTACCAGTGATGACCCGGGAGCTCGAAGGGAATTGAATCCTATGTATAACACCGACTCTTCTACTTGTGCTTCAGTCATTCAAATATTAAATAAGGAGAAAGATGGTAGGGAAATAGATGATAAGGATGCTCTGGAATTTCTGGAGAGCTGTATATGACCGAAGCCAAAGCCAGACACTAGACAACATGTACTCCTACCTCGACCGCCATGCATCCATGTAGTTGGGCTATAAACCCAGATATCAAGACATTGTCAATGCTCTACAAACGGGTATCTGAGCAGTGGTCATCAATCATGATGCACCAAAGCCGAGTAGCACCGCTGCACTGGCGAGTCCTACGAGAATACCAAGGTCACAGATCTTCAGGGATCGTGCATTTCAAGACATGTTCTTTTTTTGTAATCATTCAGCCCTTGCTGCACGGACAGCCACAGGAACTGGCTGGTATTGAGAATCACCACGGTGGAAAACAGTTCGCCCAAACCCAAAGAAAGATCCATTTCCTACCCTAATCTTAGACGATAGCCAGCTTGGTGGCGGCAATGTCCAGGGCATCGACGTCGGGGGTTAAACGGGCGAAAGCCTTCTTGGAGCCGTCGGGACTGTCGAAATCAGTTAGAAACGTATTCCCTTTCATGCATTTTCTGCATGCACTTCAAAAAGAGGCTGCCGTACCGGACCAGAGTGTTGACCTTGACGGTGTCAACGTCGTAAAGCTTCTTCAGGGCCATCTTGATCTGGCGCTTGTTCGACTTGACATCCACGATGAAGACCAGGGTGTTGTTCTCCTCAATCTTCTTCATGGCGCTCTCGGTGTTCAGAGGGTAGAGAACGACCTTGTTGGCGTCCAGCTGGGGCGCGCGGGGGATCGACACACGGGGGTACTTGGGCGACCGCGAGAGCTGCAGGGTCTTGGGGCGGTGGAAGGTGGTCGAGGTGCGAACCTTGCGGGACTTGTGGAGCTATTCGTTCCCCCGTCACATTAGTATGTGTTTCCCACAAGAACTCCATTTCGATGTGTGGAGAAACATACGGAAGAGCCCTTCACAACTGCCTTGGCGGCAGCGTTAGCCCGGGCGGCGGGGCGGGTCTTGCCTGAAGACACGGAAGACTGGTTAGTATCGTTGCTTCAAGTACATGGTTTGCAGATTGCGGTTCGACATGGGCGAAGTGTGGACAGAAAACCCTCGGGGAACACAGGCCAGAGAGTAAAAAATAAATCCCCATCTGAACGACCAGTATTTATCCCATGTTTTCCAAGCATTCCATGTTGTTGCAAAGGGTATCTCGCAGTGTGGTATATTTTTGAATAGAACATCCGTCCCGCGACCATCCACACCGTCGCAAATTCGCAATTGGTAGGGTTGAAGTCACACGGTCATGACAGGCTGGCAAAAATCGAACATACCTTGCTTGTTCTCTGCCTTAGGAGCCATGGCTGTCGTCCGACGCGGTGGTGATTGTCGCAATGTCGAATGTCGAACAATTTGGAGTGGCTTCGCTTAGCGAAAACCCTACCAGTGTGTGGGTCAGGTGACCATTAGTCATCTCCAGCTGAGTCACACACCGCCCAATCAGATCTCTCGGGACGCCGCTCCGCAAATAGGCTGTTTGACTGTTTGACTCGGTTTGCTTTGCGATGCTTGAGTCTCCTGCGCCATGGCTCCCAAAAATCGGCCTAAGCGGCCGCAGTTGATGTCGCGGACTCGGCCACCAACTGTCAAGTCCAAGCATGCGGCATTGTCATCCAAGGCCACCCGCCATCTCATTCGCTCCCACCACCAGTTGCTCAAGGCGCGAGCACAGGCTTTGCAAGCGGGCGACGAGGCTCGCGTCAGTAGCATTGATGCTCAAATCCATGCGAATGGGGGCCTCGAAAGCTACCAGGTTGCCAGCAAGCTTGGGCAGTCCCTTGAACGAGGAGGTGATTCCAGCAAGACCCTCCTCGACTGGATCAGGCCGCAACTGAGCCAGTGGGATACCACAATCTCTAAACTCCGCGTGCTGGAAGTTGGTGCTTTAAGTACGAAGAATGCGTGCTCCATGGACCCGGCCTTGGATGTTACGCGAATCGACCTGAATTCCCAAGAGCCGGGGATTCTCAAACAAGATTTCATGGAGCGGCCCTTACCGTCTGGCGACGAAGAGCGCTTTCATCTAATAAGTCTATCTTTGGTACTCAACTATGTCCCCGATGCCACGGGGCGAGGTGAAATGCTCAAGCGCTGTGTGAAGTTCTTGACATCCAATAGTCCCGTTTCCTGTGTGCCTCGCCTCTTCCTTGTGTTGCCGGTTGCCTGTATCGACAACTCGCGCTACCTCACCGAGCAAAGACTGCTCGACATTCTGGCTTGCTTGGGATTTCACCTCGCTCAGAGCAAGCGGACCTCGAAGCTAATCTTTCAACTTTGGGAATATACGGGTGAATATTCGCTCAGAGTCTTCAAGAAGGAGATGCTCAACCCTGGGAAGAAGAGAAACAACTTTGCCATCATTCTTCAGGGAGATTGAGTGGAATTCCGACTCCAGCTCCGATCTGTGATCAGGGTAGTACCTAGCTTGCAGAGATCATATCCTGTGGCAAGAACGCCCAAACAGTCCCCACCGCCGCCAGTATCGTCGAGGTGACAAGCAGAAACCAATCAAGGATGCGCTCCCTTCGGCTGATCTCCTTCCCGAAGATCTTGAGGTAGAACGCGAGAGGGAAAATGATGCAGATTGTGAAGCACAAAAACGATCCCAAGAAGGCCATGATTCTGTCGAAGGCCGGGAACACCACAGCCAGCACTACAATCATGACTACCACGAAAATGCGGACTATTACTTGTGACACCTGTCGAGTCATGTCTGTGGATCTATGGCCGATTGCCAGATCACAAAGGACTTCGAATGTGGCCAGCAGCGGTCGGGCACTAGATTTGTTTCGGTTAGCGACAGTCAACCGATAGTCAAGAGGTAGTCGACTCACTTGAGCGGCACTTTGGTTATAGGAATCATTGATATAAACATGATGATACAGACAGACAGAGGTTGTGGATAATCGGTTATGGTGAGGATGTTGGCAGTGATTTCATCCCGAACCGTGTCACCGAACATGACCCAGCCGATGATTGCCATGGAGCAATCGAGAGAGAACTATGAAAGATTGTTAGATGTGGAGTGGACTCATGGGCGACCGGGTCGTCTTACTGTAAATAAATAAGTTGTCCACAGACTCCTTCCATACTTCTGTGGATGTCTCATATCTCGATAGATGTTGGGAAAGACACCGTGACCACCCCAGGGTGCTTTTCAAATCATGTTAGCCACGTTCAAGTTTCCACGGCACATCCATCCTTACACATAATGAGACCGAAACTCAGCGGAAGAGTAGCCCAATTCTCGGGGAAGAGAAATGTACTGGCGGGCTGCCGCAGGGAGCCCGGTGCATCTGGCTTGATCAAGCCATCGACACAGACCAGGACCACAACTTTTCCAAGGTTAGCTTCATTCTCTCATCAACCAGGCGAGTGGAGTACTTACTAGATGTGCAAGAGATGATCCCCAGGATGCTGGTTACACTCAGGAACCGCAATGGCAGGAAGTTCAGAGGAACAAGTACTAATCCACAGACCATTTTCCACTGGATGATGCTCAACCCTGGAACAAGGGCATATAGACTATCTGCAAACAGGACCACCAGGGCCACACAAGCCCCCAAAAGTTCCATACAGAAGAGAAAGCTGGTTACCAAACGAGCGTGATGTCCAAAACTGATATAGGCCAGGTCGGCATAGGTGACGAGGGTCCGATCGACATCAAGGCATTTGGCCAAGATCTTAGCCGTGTAGGAAGTAGTGATTGCAGAGTAGACCAGGAAGAGTAGCCCCAGCAGCCACCCAGCCTGCTTCATCGCCAGCGGTAGACTCAGCAGACCGATGCCGATCAACACGTTAACGGAGTTGAAAGTGGTCTGCGGGACAGTCGATTGACCGACGATGACACCTTCACTGGTGCCGTCGTCCCGCTGGACATGTTTGACAAGCAGTGGCTCCCGGTCAGAACCCCCCGGACCATCCACATGGGCCTGTTGCTCATGGTGAAATTGGATGGCATGCCTTCGAGTCGACTCACTCACTCGGGAAGAAATCGTACCGTACGACGTCGCGAAGCTTCTGTCTAGCGATGAGGCCAGAAGTCCGGTGGTCGGTAGTCCCTTCTTTGACGAGTCAGGCCCGAGCAGGTCGTCATCGCCATGTTCATCCGAATCCGAATCACCGCGCAATAGAGGTCTTTCGGCGTCGGATGGTCGACCCTGAAAAGAAGAATTCCCAGCATCATTGCTCAGCCCCGTTGCAATGTCAAATTCGTCGTCCGAGTCGGTAGACACAAACGACGACCACCGTGGCCAGACTTCTGGGAAACAAGCAGCTCTTTGCCAAGACCGGGCAAAATTATCGAAACTGTTCGGACCACCTGCTTGGCGAAAGCGGGTGGAGAAAGACGACGATCTGGAGAAGAGCGTGATGGGCATGAGTTGGGGTTGTATCAAGGTGAAATGAAGGATGAGATACCTTTGTCTCCCCAAAGCTTCCGACTCGGCGATTGGAGGGCCACGACTTAGATGTCCATAATCATACGAGTTGGGTGCCATGGCCGTCGGCACTCTCAAGGATCCATGGCTGGCATCACCTTCCAGATCCTCGTTCGCAGTTCCCGAAGCTCCCGGCATGTTTACCTGCCAGTGACCTGTCACTGGGAATGGATATGAAGGCCTCAGGGAGAAGAAGGAAGGCCGAACAATTTGGACCTCAGGGTAGTCCCCCTTTTTAATCGATGGCTCAGAGATAAGCCCAGCTCAGTCATAACGTGGACATGGAGCTTTCCGTGTGGGGTGTTGATAGCGATCCTGCAAATCCCTGATAAGAGCTACATCGCTTCTTTCCTATGCATTTGTGTTTATGATTTTTACCTTCTATTGATCTACTTTTATATCGATATTCTTATCATACTTTTGATAATATTTTGGTTTATCTAATATATGCTCTCTACCTAGGTTGATCCCGTGTGGGCAAGACAGAGCTAACGCAAAGGATGGCCTCAGTCTTGCCCCCACATACATACATGTATATATATACATGTAGTATAGGGAATGAGGCACCTTGAGAGGGAGAGAGGAGGGTAGATCGAGGTATATCCAAGTCTATGTTGTCTGGTGAGCTGACAATGTTCTTGAGACCCAAGGAGAAACTCTAGACCAAATTCAATATGAAAGATATCACGATATTCAAGACTATCGTATAGATCTCGAGAGCTACATGCAAGAATATCAATATCCCACAACCCAAAGCCATCTACCACTCGAGAGATCCAAATACATCCCGCATCAAGTACCCGGTACCTCCCAGGTCGGGCGCCACACCAGAGTGGACCAAGTAACTGGTACCTACGTCAGGGCCATTGCCCTGGCTGACTCAGCCGTGCCCCTCGACGTCTTTCCCCCCACGGTGCCTGAGAGGAAATTTACTGGCATCCACGTCAACCAAGGTGTGGTCCCCCCCCTGTTCTTGATCCTTGTTGTATTTTGGCGAGATTATATAAAAAGAAGACGAAAAAGGAAAAGAGAAACTTGCTTTTCACCTTTCTTCTGCTGCTTTCGCCCATACTGACTGTTCAGGTGTTACCAGGCAAGCCCAATTCTTTGTTCCCCTCGGGCCGTCCCTCCCACATACTGACCGGCCGCCAGGCGACAATCTTTTTCCTGACGGATCACCTTCGCCTCGCCCAAGATGAGCGCGCCTCAGCCGAACGAAGCGGAGAAGAATATTGAGATCTGGAAGGTGAAGAAGTTGATCAAGCGCTTGGAATCCGCCCGCGGAAATGGAACGTCCATGATTTCCCTCATTATTCGTAAGTGCTTTTGAACTCGATCTCTTGTCGTCGCCACTGACTCGAAAACGCAGCGCCGAAGGACCAGATTTCTCGCGCGGCAAAGATGTTGGCGGAAGAATACGTAGGCTGTGCCCCCAACCCATCTCGAGAGCTCAACATTGTCTAACCCCTCGCCACCAGGGTACCGCGTCCAACATCAAATCGCGAGTGAACCGACTTTCCGTGCTGTCAGCCATTACTTCCACGCAGCAGCGTCTCAAGTTGTACAACAAGGTCCCTCCGAATGGACTGGTCGTCTACTGTGGTGAAATCATCACATCGGAAGGCAAGGAGCGAAAGATTAACATCGACTTCGAACCCTTTAAGCCCATCAATACCTCGCTCTATCTTTGTGACAACAAATTCCATACCGAGGCACTGAGCGAGCTTTTGGAATCCGACCAGAAGTTTGGTTTTATTATCATGGATGGAAATGGCTCGCTGTTTGGTACTCTCAGTGGCAACACCCGAGAGATTCTGCAACGTCTTTCGGTCGACTTGCCTAAGAAACACGTGAGTTCTTGCTGCTGCCGATATGCTCCCGTCAATTGATTGACTTTTATGTTCAGGGTCGTGGTGGTCAATCCGCGTTGCGTTTCGCGCGTCTTCGTGAGGAAAAGCGTCACAACTACGTCCGCAAGATCGCCGAATTGGCTGTGCAGAACTATATCACCAACGACAAGGTCAATGTTGCGGGGTTGGTGCTGGCTGGTTCTGCTGATTTCAAGAACGACCTCAACCAGTCCGACATGTTCGACCAGCGACTTCAATCCAAGGTCATCAAGGTGGTGGACGTCTCTTACGGTGGTGAGAACGGCTTCAACCAGGCCATCGAACTTGCCTCGGAAACCCTGAGCAACGTCAAGTTCGTCCAGGAGAAGAAGCTGATCGGCAAGTACTTTGAGGAGATCAGTCAGGACACCGGCAAGGTTTGCTACGGTGTCGAAGATACTCTCAAGGCTCTGGAGCTTGGCGCGGCAGAAATTCTGATCGTATATGAGAACCTGGATATGACTCGATGGGTTCTCAAGAATGCCAGCGGTTCCGAGGTTGTCCTCCACACCACCAAGGCCCAAGAAGCCAGCCGGGATCTCTTCATCGACAAGGAGACGGGACTTGACATGGAAACAGTCGACTCGGGCTCCTTCCTTGAGTGGCTCGCTGAATCGTACAAAGACTTTGGCGCTAACCTGGAGTTCATCTCGGACCGATCGAGCGAGGGTAACCAATTCGTCAAGGGATTTGGTGGAATTGGTGCCATTCTCCGGTACAAGGTGAACTTCGAACAACTTGCCGATTATAGCGACGACGACGAGTTCTACGATGGTATGATATCTCCCCATATCTGTCCCTCGCCGTCCGGATCTTATGACTGACTTTTCTTCTTTGCAGATTGACGGTTCAGCCCCCTCGCAGAGAGCGAGGATGAACGGCCAGAAGCTCCCGCGGTGGGTCTTCTGACGGCTCGCCCCGTGAATCATGAAGGCGGCTCCCGCGATGGAACTAAGGCATCCGTGATGGATCACATGAAAAGGCCTGGTCCCAGCTTCATGAAGCTGCTTAGAGGTCAGTCCTATTTTGCTCCGGGTTTGAGTAGTTACCCAGATCGGGCTCTGACGATTTGGCTTGCAGGGTCATCCAAGCTCCGTGATATGCTCACCGAGGTGACCTCGGTGTCGGAGATGAACAGGAGGTGTAAATTGCAATTTGAAAGGTTGGATGTGATTCTCTCCAGCATTTGGCCATCCAATGCCATCTGTTCGACTTGCCGCGTGTAAGCCAGGCAGTGAATTTATTTTCTTGCTTGGCCAATTCTTTGCCCCGGATCTCCCAATTCCGGTTCTTCGCTCATTCGTGTTACTTGCACTCGTTATTACCGTGAAAATGTACTTGAAAGGTTCGATATATTGGACTGCTGCTGAGTCTTTTTCTGCCTGGCTTTGTTATGCAAGACAGAACAGGGAGGTCGTCAGTCGTTTCACTCGTCACCAGGGAGTCCCAGAAGCTCCCGTAGAACGTATATAAACATAACAGAAGGAAACAGCGTCAAGTTGTTCTTGTGCTCAGCTGGTCTTTCCAAGTGCCCAGGTCTCTGCATGCTTCAGTGACCTCTCGAAGATCCCTAATAGCCTTGACAACTGCATCTTTATTTTCATCCGAGGGGGCACGCCCGCATTCGACAAAGAATATATATTGCCAGGCCCGCTTCAAACTTGGTCTAGTGTTGATGCTGGTGAGATTCAGACCATGGGCCTTGAAGATGAGTAGTGCGTTGGCCAATGCACCCGTGGAAGAATGGTCAATTGTGAATGAGATCAAGGTCTTGTGGGTGGTGGCCAGGATGGACTGAGCTTGTGGGATGGGCGGATGCGGCTGCTCAAACACCAGCTGGGCCGTGTTTTCAGAGAGCACATTTCGTAATATCAGGAAGCGGGTAGTGTTGTCTGCTCGGTCCTCGATGTTCTCGTGGAGCACATCCACGCCGTGGTGCTCTGCCGCGAACCGACTGGCGATTGCGCCGCAGGGTTCCGAAGGCTCCTTGGCGACAATCTCGGCAGCTTTTGACGTGGACGACACGTCTTGTCTCTCTACGCCCTTGAAGTGCCGAGAGAGGAAAGTATCGCACTGTCCCCATGCCTGCGGGTGCGTGTAGAGCTTGGTGATTGACCCGTCATAGCCAGCCCAGCCGGACGGGAAAGATCCTTTGCGGACCAGCAGACAGTGGTGCACGGTTAGATAGTACTCGCCGCACACTTTCACATCGTTGTACATGCCATTGCGGTCCGCCAGAAGATCCAATGTTTGAACGACCGACCCGTTGGTCGAGTTCTCAAAGGGAATCACTGCGTAGTCGGCCTCTTGCTGCTGCACGGATGCAAATGCCTCGGCAAACGAGGCGTGGGGCACCAGGGTGGCTGAAGTCTTGTCGAAGGACTCTGTTGCGGCCTAGGGCAACTGTCAATTAGTGCAGATGATGGGTTGTGCTCTTAGCTTTCTTACCTGATGCGAAAAGGAGGCCACCGGGCCGAGGAAGACCACCCTTAGGTGCTCCATTGGGGGGTATCTTAAGAGAAGATGTCACTTGGAGGTCTTGCAAGATCCAAACTCCATCGCCAGCCCAAGCGGTGTGGGCATCGCCGTTTCCACCCGCCAAAAAAAAAAAACCCAGACAAACTCTCGCATCTTGCCTTTCTTTGCTCCATGAATCCCCTCCGGCTTTCTTTGCAAAGGGCGCTTCGGCCAAGCCGGGCCTACTCGTCGCTCTCCGAGTTGCGCCTTGAATTGATCTCGAGGAAGCTTCCATTGACTTACGACTATCTCCATCCACAGCCATCGCATCTGCTGAACTTGACCCTGCATGATTTCCTCCCGCCATCACCAGAGCCCAGTACCGAATTGACGACTCTTCCCTCGATCAAAGACTCATCTCCTCTGCCGGTCGGCCATCACTTAATCTACTTTCCGCCCCAAGTTCCCTTGTCTCAACTCCTCCCCGACGGCACTGATATATTACATACCCCCGGCGAGCCCTTCAACCGGCGTCTATGGGCAGGAGGTAACGTAAGATTTCCGGGTACCAGCCCTGCTTTGGATGGAAGCCGCGCCGTATGCATCGAATCGATACGCAATGTGCAAGTGAAGGGACGAGATGGCGACGAGAAGGTGATTGTCACCATCGAACGGCGCGTTGGCATCGTGCCCGAGGCAGAAGCGCCAGCCCACACCTGGGCGCGGATCTGGCAGGACGATGGAGAAAACCCGGGGGAGTCGTCGGTCATTGAGAACCGGGATTTGATCTTCATGCGATCAAAGTCCCAGGAGCAGATCCAGACCGATCAGGCACAGTTTGCAAAGCCCAGTCGGATTGTCAAACGTGCGCGTTTCATTCTCAACCCATCGTCGTAGAAAGTGCTGACTCCATGTGGTTTCTTGTGACACAAAAGCTCCCTCCGATGCTATATTTCGCCATCTCGTCATGCCCACCAAATCACTGCTTTTTCGCTTTTCGGCGCTGACTTTTAATGCCCATTCCATCCATCTTGACAAGGGCTACACCCAGAATCAGGAGGGATATCGAAACCTCTTGGTGCATGGCCCGTTAACTCTGACGCTGCTTCTCCGTGTGTTGCAACATCATTTGAATCCGCTGAACCTTGGAGTCGGCCAGGTCGAATATCGGAACTTAGCGCCTCTCTACGTGGAAGAGGAGTTGACCATCTGCGGCAAGCCCAAGAGCGGCAGCGGAGCCTGGGATGTGTGGATTGAAGGCCCCGACGGCGGCCTCGCTGTTCGAGGCACTGCGCGTGCCCACGATATACCACGATGAATGACAATCTACCTCTCGAATTTATATACATGTTCACCACCGTTCAGGCCGTTTTCTGGTGCATCGTGTGCACCACCACACGCTCCATCTTTGGAATGCGTAGGTCGTCTTGGTGTTCTTCAACCGACCAGCTGGAGCTGTCAGCCACGGCGAGGATCTTGAGTCTACACCGTGCGGCGTTCACCATCTGCACTAAACTATCCACCAAAGACTTTCGGTGGTCATAGTTGACGTAGTCGCAACACCAATCGGTGCGGTCGACAATGATATATACCGTCTCGCTTTCATCGAAGAACTGCACTACCCGCCGTGCAATATTGTGAAGGGGGTTTGTTCGGCTATCGTACCCGTTCATCCTCGAAGCTTTCATTTCCGAATTGCGGTACTCGTGCAGCTCTGCTCTCAGGGCATCGCGCTGTTTCTCCACGCGCAGCATATCTCTCTTTTTCGCCATTAACTGCAGTAGAATGCTCGGAAGCACTTGATAGAGTGACGCTTCCTGCTGCGAAAGGACATAGTAAGCACAGTGTGCTGCAGATGCCATGACTCGGTCAATAGTGGAGATGGCTACCCGGGAGAGCCAGCACTGCTGCGAGAGAAGCCCGGGGAAGTTCTGACCACTCAGAATAAGCAGACAGGGCTGCTCCGATGCATCCCATTGCTCATACACTCCCTTGCTGATAAATTGGTCCAAATGAGGACCTCGCAGTTGCTGCAAGAACCCAGCATTTATGTCCAACTCCATGGCCAGGGCGTCACGGCGAGCGGCAAGAGTTTTCTGCAACGTTTCCTCGGAGAAGCTCTCAAGCTTAAAAGCCTGTTGGAAGTCATCTGTGTCTCTATTGGTGAGCTGGTCCTGCAGTGCTACGTCCATTAGTATGCTGGTATAAGAACAGGAGGTGCTGCTTGACCCTACCCGACACCTTTTTTTCGAGATCTGAATACACGTGAGCACGGCATCGGCGAAAATTCAGCAAGGGCGACAGAGAATACCTTCGTTTTTCTTCTTGATTCGATCGACATTCTTCGCCAGCAATTCATGGCTGGTCCGTTTGATATCAACGAAGGAATCTTGCACATTGGTTGCACTATCAACGAGACTGCCCGGTGGGCCCAATGCCTTCAGCCAACGTCCTAGATGAAATCAATCAACCGTTGCGCAATGTCACATATTGCAAGGCACACTTACGAGCACCCCGGGCCTTGTAGTACTTGGTGGCAACAATGCAAAAGTCGATGAAAGTTTGGTAGGCCGCTACGATCTGATTCTGGAGAGTGTGATCCAGTGCATGATTTTCATCGTAGATATGCCGGTATAGGTCGATTCCCGGCAAACGGTTTCGAATCTCCGAGATGGTCAAAGCCAGAGTTTTCTCCACGCTGTCCTTGTTTCGCGCTACCTAGAAACCCCAATGATCAGCCACGGGACTTCGATGATATGCAAGCGAAAATACCAACCACAAAAACGAGCGAGATGGTGCCAATGGCGAGTCCTCCATACGGGGAAGCAAAGTTCTTGACTGCATCAACAATGGGAGAAAAGTCTTTCATGAAGCCTAGCACCAGGTCTCCCGACGACTGGTATCGTCGGACACAAAGACCACATCCTGCTTCGTGCTTGTCGTCGAAATCTCCCTGCGCTCGATTTGCTTGGTTCCAATAATTTTGAAACTGTTCAACGCTCGTGAATTGCACGGTCGCCTTTTCGGCATCCGAGAAATCCTTTCCCTGGAGGACACTTTCCTTGAATTGATGTTGAGCGTCCTCGGACTGTTTAACGGTATCTCTGTGCACGTCAGCTTCTTGTTCACTGGGGGTCTTTTGGGTGGGATCAAATGCCTATACCGATCCTTTTCAGAACAGCGCATAAGGGGGTTTTTTCCATCCCCCATGGTAAGTGGATGATGTCTTCTCCCCGTCGGATTGAATCCACGATGCCCCCCGGACTATCAAAAGAAACCACTTACAGGGCCCTTTGGATTTGCTAGAAACGCACTTGGCACAATATCCGCTGTCTATGTTGGGTAGCAATCGACTGGGGCATGTTTGTTTTGCCCAAGCTGAGAAGTGGAGCGTGCAGGAGGCGCTTACTCTTCAGCTCTCATTGGCAACAAATGGGGGCCGTCATGCACGGGCTGATATTTGACACTATCACTGCGGGATGATCCGCCCGAGATCCAACGACTAATGCAATGCATTGCCACGCAAGTCTTAACAAGTATTGGACTGAGGGCTTAAGCCCCCCCCCTCCACCTTTTCACGGTCTCAACCGTTGTGTTTATGGGTGGTTTTGACAGAAATAATCTATCTATCTGTGAAGTTGACAGGCAAGGGACGTGAACACCAGAATGGCAAGCATATCTACTGCACTGGTTTTGGGATGTAGTTCGACTGAGCTGACGCGAAACAGACCACAGAAGAAAAGCTCGCGGCGCTAGAGGCCAAGATAGCGGCCCTCGAGAAGAAGCTGGAGGAAAATACCAAGAGCCCAGCACCCAAAGAGACCTCTGATGTCTCCGTTTCGACTGATGTAAACAAACCTTCCTGTCGACTCTACCAGCATGTACTGACTATCTTAGGACAAACCCAACGATGACAAGGTGAATTATGGTCTTTCTTTCTATTAGGAAATTCTTTTGAAAACCCCAACTCATATCTTGTGGCAGCTTCAAGCTCGCGCGAGGATTGTCATTAACAAGATCAATTCCGACGGAGTGCGCAAAGACAGCCCGCCTAATGAGCCTCTGGAGAAGAAATCCTCCGGAAAGAAGGAGGACTACGCCTTTAAACTGCGTAAGATCATCACAGATGACCTGAGTGATGTCAACAGCAGTGAAATCGAGATCGAAAGTTCGGCACTGTGGGAGCTTATGAAAACAAGCCTGGTTTCATACCCCTACCATATCTTCCATGGGAATCTTCCCAAGACTCTCTACTCTCCCTACGAGGCCATCGTTCTCAAATGGGACAATCTTGTCAGGGCCACCGAGGATCCAAATGCAGGAGACGAACAGGCTCGAAGTGATCTCAAAGAACTTCTCAGCGTCGTCGAGACTGGATCGGGAGATCCCAAACTTGAAACTTATTTCCGCAAACGCACCTCGATCAAAGAACAAAACTTGATCACTTATGAAGCGCTGTGGACCTTATTTCCTCCAGGAGGCCTCATCTATGGCAAAGTTTTTCAGGGCCAGGATCAAGTACTCATTGTGGAGGACAACACCAGCCCTTGGCCATACCGGGACAACCATTTCCAGCTCTTGTGTTGGACATACGATTGGGACGGCTCCCAGTTCAAGCGCTTGCCGCTACGCCTGGATTTCGAGCCGTATGACAACGAGAAACCTATCAATTCGTTGCCATATTATCCATTGGAATACCACGAGGACCCCGAAGCGCTCAAGACAAGATTGATCGAGCGGGGGATGAAGTACAGGAAGCTCTGCACAGCCAGGCCTGGGTCGCAGATGTTTGAATACGCTGGACAGACGGTTTTCCTCAAAAAGGGATTTTCAGGTGTCCAGGGCAATGAAGAGTCAGACAGCGATCTCATTTCCCAGGATGTATACGGATTTTCTTCGAAACCATATCCTGGCGGCCATGTCACCAAGTCCGTCCAGGTGACAGGTCGAGTCATGGTTGACTTTCAATCGTACTTTCGATACGGGCTTGGGGTTGCGAGCGTTGGTGATCTCGTGCCGAACGAAGGCCACACTGAATGCCAGTGTCCAACTTGTCTCCATAACCCGGCCCTCCGCACCATCTTCAGATCTAATTTCGATGGAGCTAATTGTGATGGAAAGCAGTGGGTTCCGGAGCAATATCTTATATGCCCCCCACGAGTGTTGGGGTATATCTTGCGTGAAAAACAGTGGGCTCAGCTGCAAGTGGACTTGTTGATAGATGTTGCTCCGAAGGATCACAACGACACTTGGTCTTCCGGGCTGAAGCTGGCCAGCAAATCCACCAAGCAGATGATCCTGGATCTTGTTACCGGTCACGGCCAACGAGGGTTAGAAGTCAATGATATTGTTGAACGAAAGGGCAAGGGTTTGGTGATTCTGCTCTATGGTCTGTTTACGCTGCAAATATCCCATTTAAATGCTTCAACTGATTCCTCTAGGTCCTCCCGGGGTGGGCAAAACATCGACCGCTGAGACAGTTGCGATCAAGGCTCGAAAGCCATTATTTGCGATTAGCGTCGCTGACGTGGGCACCACCGCGAAGCATGTTGAGGCCAACCTGGCCAGGATCTTTGCCTTGGCTACCACTTGGCAGGCTATTCTGCTCATGTCAGTCATTCTCTTCTCTGCACGGGTCCGGTACTGACTCTATGTAGTGATGAAGCGGACGTGTTCCTGCAGAGCCGATCGCTGGGCGTGGGTTTTGGGAACAACACCGAGAGAAACGCGCTAGTCTCCGGTAAGACACTTACATTGCTTAAAAAATGAGGCTCGTGCTAATTGTGGCAGTCTTCCTCCGCGTTCTTGAATACTACCAAGGTAGGGAGTTTGCCGGTCCCTTGTCTCTCTGAATCTGTCCCACTGACCCAGCAGGTATCCTCATGCTGACCACCAACCAAATCGCCCAATTCGATGTGGCCGTCCACTCGCGTATCCACGTCGCAATCAGATACCGGGAACTCGATGAGAAGCGCGCCATTGCGATCTTCCGCAATTTCTTAGATCCGCTGAATGATCAAGGCAAAATCCGGGATATGGAAGATATCATGGAGTGGTTGGAGGGGGACATCCATCGCATGAACTTTGATGGGCGCCAGATTCGAAACGTCGTCACCTCAGCTTGCAGTCTTGCGCAGGCTCAGAGGAGTTCCCAATTGGAAAAGTCGCATCTGATAAAGATGGCAGACAACGTCAAGGACTACAAGCTTGAGTTTATCAAGCAATATGAGCAGTACAAGTCGCAGCAAAAGGGATCTTTGTTTAGTTGATAGGGCAAAGAGTGATTGAATCTCTGTTCCGGAGTGATACTACCCAAATATAACTATATACCAGAATGACATATCTCACTACACAAAAGCCACCCACAATTCTGCGACACAATTGGATTTGACAAGAGTTCAATAAATAATATCTGCCAATTTCCACGATATAGGTATTCATAATATATAAAATCACCTGAATAGAGTCGAGCAGGGAGATTTCCCCGTGGGAAATGATCGAAGGCCAAAGAAGGTCTCGGAGCCCGGAGAAATTGCGCCGAGACTAGTTTGCACACGTTTTTCTTTCGCTCGCGTCCTTCAGTTCTTTTTCTCTTCTTCTCACCTCCATTGGCCTCAGAGTATTTTTATCACTCTGTAAATGATATGGGCTTCAATTCTCTAACCATTTAGCCTTCGCATCTATTCTCTCAAGATGGATGTCTTCTGGGCAGCCCCGCCTGTGTCCAGGTCCGCACCCTTGTCTCTGCTTCCCGCTTCTGGTGACTGACAGATTCTGGGTAGGACTCTGACGGCCTTGACCTTTGTCCAGTCTGCTCTAGTTTATGGTGGTGCACTGAGTGGATATCATGTTGTCTTCCTGCCACGCAACCTTCTCAAACTGCCGCCGCAGATCTGGCGGTTGGCCTCTCCCTTTCTACTAACTGGCCCACAAATCAGCTTCATTTTTGATCTTTACTTCAGTATGCGACCTGGGTGTGGTTAACTCGGACAGTCCGGAGTGCTAATCTACCGGCAGTGTACCACTACGGCACTGCGTTGGAGACCAGCTCGCCTCGGTTCAGCCGGCCTGGTGATTTCCTCACCTATGTGGTCTTTGTAGCATCTACCATCTTGGTAAGTGGCTTTATATTCAGAGCCTTTTTCATTTCTTTCATCTGGAACCCATACCTCGCATTATCTGCCCGCCCAGCCTCTTATAGCTGAAGCGGTTCCTGGAAGCGAGGGAGATTACCCCTGCATCCCGTGCAGTGCCCACCAATTCGCAAATCCTTACGGGGCTGCATGCGGTGTGGGAATGGTGGGATGACCTCTGAGATAGCCGTCGTGATCCTATAAGTTCACGCGCGGTGTTAAAAGGTGCCCTACATTACTATATACATCCTCAAGTCATCTATTCTCTTCCAATGTCATTGAACACTTGAAATTCTTCTTGTTCCCCGGTAGCCAAATGAGGTTTTATGTGCATTTATGCTAACTTACCGAAGCTCACTGCAGGTTGCTACTTGGGCGGCGTGATCTTTACGTCTGGTGCGTTTCCTTTTCTTCATGACAGCGTACAATCCACTGATTTGCGGGGAAAACAGCATTGATTCTCGCCTTTGCCTACACCTATGCCCAGGACAACCGAGGCAAGAAGGTGATGTTTTTCATCGTTCAAATCCCCGTCGAGTACCTACCGTGGGCAATGCTCACGATGACGCTGGTGATGGGTGGGTGGCCGGCCGCTCTGAACGAGAGCATGGGAATTGTCGCCGCCCACTTGTATGATTTTCTCACCCGCATCTATCCGACATTCGGCGGCGGAAGAAACTACATCACCACACCAACTTTTATGCACCGACTCTTCAATACCAACACTGTGCCCACTGGAAACCGGTCATATAGGACCGCCTACCGCACCCCGCAACCATCTCAGGCGTCCTCAGGTCGGGGCTGGACGTCCTCCATTCAAAATCCCTGGGGTAGTCGAGGCGCCGGCCGGAGACTCGGGGGTGATTAGGATGTCGATGGTTGGTACGAATTAATGATGACTAAAAAGGGTCGGTGATAATTGACACAATCGATCAGAATCAATGAAGCATACAAAGCTTCTTGAGTTGTACCGAAATTTGAAGTAGATTGCTTCGAGAATATTGTTTTGATCAATTACTCACCGTAGTTACCACTTTTTATGCCCGGGATCCTTTTACATAGCTTATGAGTGATTTTGGCACGGCGGATTTGAAAATTTCTGTATATACCCCCAGCACCCCTATACTTGATTTGAGATACTTACTTCCGTGGCATAATATTAAGGGGAGAGAAGTACCTCCTCTAAGTACCAATACATCTCTCTACGGTAAATCGAGTATGCAGACGAGGTAGTGGTACTTGCGAAGAAACTAAGATGGTAAACACGTGACTCCAACATACGCTAACCCAATTAGGCGATGGAGCTGCCGCACGCAAAATTTCCTCCAGCGATTTTCGGGGTCTTTTCCAACCGCGCAATTCTTGCCTCCAATCCACCACCCACGATGGCAGCCGTCAAGGATCAGGAGATTGACTACGCCATCAAGCCTGAGGCGATCAGCCCCAACATTTCCTCCTCGGACTGGCCGCTTCTTCTGAAGAACTATGAGCAGTGTACGCATTTTCCGCAGACAATTCCGTGATCCCCGATACTGATGTCCTTTGGCCTTCTCTTCAGTGCTCGTCCGAACCGGTCACTTCACCCCGATTCCTGCGGGCTCCTCGCCCCTCAAGCGTGACCTCAAGTCCTACATCAGCTCGGGTGTCATCAACCTGGACAAGCCGTCCAACCCGTCCAGCCATGAGGTTGTGGCGTGGATGAAGCGGATCCTCAGGTAAACTCGCCTTGGTTGTTACCCCAGTTGGCTGCAGCCAATACTGAACTATCTCTTTCCTTTAGATCTGAGAAGACTGGCCACAGTGGCACTCTGGATCCCAAGGTTACCGGTTGTCTGATTGTTTGCATCGACCGTGCGACTCGCCTGGTGAAGTCCCAGCAGGGCGCCGGAAAAGAGTATGTCTGTGTGATTCGCCTCCACGACAAGATTCCTGGCGGCGAGGCTCAGTTCCAGCGCGCTCTGGAGACCCTGACGGGTGCTCTCTTCCAGCGTCCTCCCCTGATCTCCGCTGTCAAGCGCCAGCTTCGCATTCGAACTATCCACGAAAGCAAGCTCTACGAGTTCGACAATGACCGCCACCTGGGTGTCTTCTGGGTCAGCTGCGAGGCTGGAACTTACATCCGTACCCTCTGTGTGCACCTGGGTCTTCTGCTCGGTGTCGGTGCTCACATGCAGGAACTTCGTCGGGTGCGCAGTGGAGCCATGGACGAGGGCAGCGGTATGGTGACCCTGCACGATGTCATGGACGCCCAGTGGGTGTATGACAACCAGCGTGACGAGTCGTACCTGCGCAAGGTCATCCGTCCCCTGGAGAGCCTCCTCACCACCTACAAGCGTATTGTCGTCAAGGACAGCGCGGTCAACGCCGTCTGCTACGGTGCCAAGCTAATGATTCCGGGTCTTTTGCGCTTCGGTATGTCGTTTTTCCCGCTTTTTGTACTTTTGTCTGCCGATACTAACGTTTCGTGCAGAGGCTGGCATCGAGGTCCACGAAGAGGTTGTCCTGATGACCACCAAGGGCGAGGCTATCGCCATCGGTATAGCTCAGATGTCCACCGTGGAGCTTTCCACCTGCGACCACGGCGTCGTCGCCAAGGTCAAGCGCTGCATCATGGAGCGTGATCTGTACCCCCGCCGATGGGGCCTGGGTCCCATTGCTGTGGAGAAGAAGAAGCTCAAGTCCGCGGGCAAGCTGGATGTACGTGAAATAATCACCCGGCTCGGCCTTTGACATTGCTAACTCGAACTAGAAATATGGTCGTACCAACGAGGCCACCCCGGCCAAGTGGAAGAGCGATTACAAGGACTACAACGCCACCGAGGAGACTGCCCAGCCGGCCACCGAGACTAAGCCAGAGGCCCCAGTCCCCACATCTGCCAACGAGACTGCCGATGCCGTCGAGGACGAAGACGCCGATGACGACAAGAAGAAGCGCAAGCGACACGACGGCGAGACGGCCGAGGAGCGGGCGGAGCGCAAGCGGAAGAAGAAGGAAAAGAAGGACAAGAAGGAGCGCCGGAAGTCCAAGCAGGACAAGGAGGACAGCGATGACAGCGATTAGATGTCTCCAGGCAGACCTGTTCATGTCCCTTTCCTGTATCATATTGTTTTCCTCCGGAGTCTTGGTTCAAAAGGGAATTTGGTATTTCAGTTGCTTTGAATCGAATCGAATCTTCGTTAAATCTTGATAAACACCTCCATTCGTAGAAATAGAATCAGAAGGTGCTTGCTTGTGCCTAAGGTACACGTCTCGAGGTGCTCGATAAGGCGATCTCGTGACCTTCCCGCGATCTCCGCATTCCTCGAAGCTTCCCCTCGTCACTTTTCTCTCTTCTCACTATCTCTCTTGAAATCTGATTGCTTGTCATATTCTGCAAGCTCTGAAGCTACTTCAGACTATTCCATCGTCAAAATGGCCGCCGAGCTGACATCAATCAAGCTCAACCCCGAGAGTCACCTCATCTTGGTAATGTGCCTTTTGATCGACGTCACCGGACCTGTTACCTAACTTTTTTCGGTCTGCACAGGATCAACCGCTTCTTCGTCTACCTCAAGAACTGGCTCGCCGGAATTTCAAAACGGTCCAACGAGTCGTCGAGCGTGAAAAAGAATATGTCCTCCCGTCACTTAAAGATGCCGCCAACGCCTCTCTGTCGAACACCCAGACACCTGACCAGACACTTGCCGCACTCGACGCCATGATAGCTCGCATGCAGGGTCTAAAGCGAAAAATGGAGAGTCTTCAGGAGGAGGAGAAGAAAATACAGACTCAATCTAGGAAGCGTATCCAACATCTAGAGACCCTGCACAAGATCCCGAGTTTGGCCGATGTCAAATACGATCAGTGGTCCCGAGTTCGACTGGATCGGCTCCTGGTGGATCATATGTTGCGCTCGGGTTACTCGGAAAGTGCGAAGCAGCTGGCCCAAGAACGAGGGGTCGAGGAGCTTGTGGACCTCGACGTCTTTACCCAGTGCCAACGGATTGTCGAAAGCCTTCGCCGCGGGGAAACTAAGGAGGCATTGCAGTGGTGTGGGGAGAACAAAGCAGCGTTGAAAAAAAGCCGGGTGAGTCGTGGTGTCGTGGAATTCCTCGGATGGCGAACGAATTCTGACATCAACAGAACAATCTGGAATTTGAATTGCGGTTGCAACAATACATCGAGATGGTGCGAACACAAGACAAATCCAAAAAGCTCGAAGCTATCATCCATGCCAAAAAATACCTCATCCCGAACCAGGAGTCCCAAAAGACGGAGATCCTGCGCGCCGCAGGACTGCTCGTTTTTACTCAAGACACGAGAGCGGAGCCCTACAAGGTACGCTGGATCTTTCCAATCCTCATTCACCCTGACTGACAGGTCGCAGTCGCTATTTTCGTTGGATCGCTGGAATCATCTATCAGACCTTTTCATCCAAACGCATCACGAGCTACTATCGCTGCCGTCGCAGCCGCTATTACATATTGCGTTGTCCGCTGGCCTCTCAGCACTCAAAACGCCTCTGTGCCATTCCGCCTACACCTCCTCCAGCTCAAATTCGCAGTCCACGACGACTTCAATGTGTCCAATATGTTCGACAGAACTGAATGAGCTGGCGCGCAAAATGCCCTACGCACACCACTCGAAGAGCTACGTCGAGGGCGATCCAATTGTTTTGCCCAACGGCCGGGTGTATGGAAAAGCGCGACTCCTGGAGATCAGCAAAAAGATGGGATCCGTAGAGTCGGGCAAGGTCAAGGATCCCACGACGGGCGAGGTCTTTGCCGAGAGCGAGATGAAGAAAGTGTACATCATGTAATTGCGCAGCTGGTATAATGCCAAAGCCACATTTTCCCCTTCCTTTTTACTCGCTGTCACTGGAATCATCCGGGGCTCTCTTCTTCTTCTTCCCGACCTGCGTAGCCTCCTCGCGCTTCACCTCAAAGACATACATCCTCGCCTCGCGGTCTTCCCCACGCCAGCCTCCACGCCCGCCATTCTTCCCCTCGACCTCGCCCAGCGTCCGCGCATGAGAATAACCCTGGTACGACGACCACGGAAACCGAAAGCTAGTGACAACTTTCAGTCCAGCATGGCGCGCCAGATCCTTAACATTCCAAAGCGTGTAGGGCTCAGCCTCGAAGAGCGTCACGAGGATCTGGCCGGGACCAGTCCGCCGGGCCTTACCGGAAGTCAGGACATGCTCCTCCCCGTCGGCATTGCCCTCGGGTTCGGCGTCGTCATCATCATCCGTGAACTCATCCGAGTCGGTCCCCTCATCCGCCCACTCAGCATCGTCCTCGTCGTCGGCGGGGCGATCCGGCGCCACCGACACCAGCGGCACGCACGCCTTGAAAAACGCCACGAGCAGCTCCTGGTTCGCGCGAACCTGCCGGTTCACATCTGTCGAGAGCCCGCCCACATGCGGGAAATTGAAGCAGATCACGTCCCACGGCCCGCCCTGTGGCCGCTTCTTGGTGTCTGCTGATGATGGGTCTGATGCCGAGGACCGCTGCTGTTGCTGCGTCATCTGCCATGCGGGCCGCTTGCGCTCACGCCGTGGGAACCCCGTGCGCACGTCTTTGCCTCCGCCGGCGGGGGTGCCGAGCTTGCGCGCGTCGACGGAGAACAGCACTTTGGGACTGGGGCGGGCCCGGTGGCCTGGGTTAGATTCTTCTTTTTCTTCTTGGTCTTTTTGCTTGGTTGGTTCCGTCTCGTGGTTTTGATCTTGGGCGTTGTGTTTTGGTCGGGAGGCTTGCTGGATTTCTTGGATATTCTGTTCTGCCTGTGGATACTTTTCATACAGTGCTTCCTGCGAGTCGTAGCAGGTGGCACATAGCTTGCGGCATCGGTACTGGGTGGCCAGGGAGCGGGCGAAGGAGAAATCGCCTTGTGCTGTTAACTTTTTTGCTTGATGCCAAGAGGAACAATACATAAATCCATAAACAGAGAAGAAATATGAAGTATAAAGCAGGCCAGCATCGCTAAGCATATATTCATGTATAGATCCATAGATATGCACCTCAAGAACCATGTATAACTACCAGAGTAGAAACGCATCTCCAAAGGAATAGCAGCAGTAAATAAACCAAACGAATGGGAATAAAAAAAACATACCTTCACCAATCAATAGAATGCGATCTCCCCTGAGAAACGGAACAATAGGTCGCTGGTTCGATGGGACCTTTTTGCTCGCGTCGTGGGCCCGGTCATTCTGCGAGGTTTTCTTGGGAGCGGGTTTAGACGGGCCATGGGCGCGGGATGGAGGGCCTCGGGCTTTTTTGTTGCGGGGCATGGCTGATGGGGTATTCCTTTGCAGATACTTGGAGAGCCCTTAATTCCTTTTGTGGAATTGTCGAGAGAATTAACGTGGTGAGAATTTGAGAAAGTCGGCGGTCGCGATGGTTGGAATGTCCAAGTCGTAGGCGGCCAATCGCGGTTCTGCCGCCTGCAGTGCATAGCTAGCTCACTTTATATTGACTTATTTTACCCATTCCACCTATTCTACTTAATCTACTTAATCTACTTAATCTACTTAATCTAGTAATATCTTGTTTCATTCTCCTTCCATTAGACATTAGATCAATCAGCTTCTATTGCTCAAATTGCGGCATTGCTATATACATCAAAACAGCCCAGATGCTACGGCCGCTGCACCATTACAACAATCATACAGCCCGGGAATGAGACCAACTCAGATCTTCGGCGAAGAAACCGTTAATCATAGTGTCACATGCGAAGCGAAGAGCACCTTGGGAAATGCCGACGCCCTGACCAGTCAGGCACATCATGCGGTAGTTCTGTGTTTTTTTTTTTTTTTTTTTTTTTTTCTCTTTTTCTCGCTTTCGTTTTTTCTTCTGTCATTGAAGAAACAAGAGACACTGCCCGCGCTGCAGTCAAGACCGTAGCGAGTCTCGCATACTCTTGCTGCTGGCGCTGACCAGCGGGTTGGACGTCGGCAGCACCCCGACCTTGGGCTTGGCGTTCTGCTTGATCTTGGCCACCGCATAGACAATGCCACTCACAAAACCGACTACAATGGCTGACACACTGGGGAAGGTGACAGGGGCGTCAAAGAAGACCAGACCGGACACGGCGATGGGAAGCTTGTTGAGGGCGCCAACCATGGAGTAGGTCGTGGACGAGGTTACGCGCACACACCAGGCCGAAGTGTACGAGATGAAGACCGACGAGAGACCCGACAGGATCATCGCCGTAAAGATGCCGTTGCGGTTGGCCTCGGGAAAGTTGCGGGCCAAGTTGGCGGCAGACCAGTCCTCCACCAGCAGCGTGAACACAATCAAGACGGGGATCGACAGGAGGTTATTGTAGAACATTGCTGGAAAGAGTGAGCACACACACACATACGACAAAAAAAAATCAGACAAGGGGCCACCTACTGTCAAAGTCCTTGAAGTTGGTCAGCTTGATCCGCTTGCGCATCCCCAGAACGTAGGACGAGGTGCAGAGGCAGTTGATCAACATCCACACATATCCGGCGTTCAGAGTCGAGACCTTGGTCGAGGTATCCCCGCTGCTCTCCACGGCATGCTTGATGTCGGCCCACGCGGCGATAAGCGAACTCACGACCATCAGGCCAAAAGAGAACAGCGTGAGCCCGGTGACCGAGCCACCGAACCACAGCACCTCGCCATACGCGATAAGAATAATAGTCAAGTTCTTGAAAATGGTGTACACCGGAATCGAGAGGAATTGAAGCGCCTTGGAGCCGGTATAGATCATGCCGATCAAAAGCAGTGTGATAGGGAACCCTGACCAAAGAAAAGAACCGTTAGTGTTTGGAAACAAAAGCCAATGTTCTATTCCCATACGTACATTTCCTTGCCTCGTCGGCGCTGAAGTCGCGGTAGGTAATGAAGCCCATGGACTTGCACGACTGGATCGCGGTGATACAGACCAGAGACTGCCCGAGTAATCAGCACATTGAATTCCAGAGCAAAAAGCCGCGTCAGCCTACCTGGACGCAGAGCAGGAGGAAGTTCAAGTTAAAGTCCAATCCCGACAAAACGTATTTGTTCATCACGGTCATGAGGATTGATGATCCGCAGTAGGCCAGGACGGGGAAGGCGGGGTTGTTGCTGATGGTGCTAGGAGAGACAACCCGGGGCTGGGTAGCCGGCGCAGCCCCGAATTCCTTGTTTCCCTGGTCGATCTTGTCCATGTGGACCGTGTAGTCGTCGGATTTCTTGTCTTCGACCATGTTGACGGCAGCGTCGGGACAGAAAGGAAGGGCGTGTCGGGATGTATTTCCACCTGTCGCTTGTTCGTTTTTCGTTTGAATACACGCAGGGATCGAAAACCAACTGACACACGCGTCGGGGTCGACAAAGAGAGAGACGTTGGAGAAAAAAGTCCCAAGGGAGAAAGCGACAAATACTTGGGGACTTTGACGGCTGAGCTAAGCCAGGGGGAGCTGACTCAGCCTATAGGTCGCGTGCGACTTGATACATGAATGCCCTCGAGAGAATGTGAAATTCAATAGATCGTTTGATTTACCGAGCAGATACTCCTCGAGTTTACGTAGAGAGGTTGCCCTGTTGATCAGTCAATGCCCGTGGTTGTATGCGGAGCTATCGGGATGCCTTCTCCCGAGTGCACTCCCGGCACCGCGCCAAAGCCAGTCCCCAGATCTCCATGGAGAGAGGTGGCCAAATGACAAGGCATGGGATTTCCCACAGATTGTGTTTTCTATCAGAGTTCCAGTGACCTTCGGCAGGGGCAGAGTATGAGAGGTCCAACGTGTGGAGCGTCCGATCTACAACGTTTGGAACACCACTTTCCACTTCAACCTCATTCCACAATTGCTCCCAACATCGAGCCCTACCTAAAAACCCCCATTGAGTCACCAAATGGAATAATCCCAGCTGTCGTATAGTCCAGCCAGCTCTCCGCCCCTCCTCAACCTTTCTTTCCCTCTCCCCTTCATTGCCCCGCTTCCAAAAAAAAAAAAAAAAAAGAAATGGCGCCCGAACCAGACCACCTCCGAGGCACACACGGTGACAGCGACGACGACGCAGTATTCGCCGCACTTGAAAACGAAGACGACACCAGCTACCGAGACCAGCGAATCCAGCAACTGAACGCCGAGTTCGCGTCGAACAAAACCAACCGCGACGCGGCATCGCGGGCCGCGGGGGCGACGATCGACCACCAAAAGACATACCCCACGCTAGACAGCGACCAGGCTGTACTGGACTTTACGACCGAGACGACACGGTGTATCGTGCACTTTGCGCACCCGGATTTTGCGCGGTGCGCGGTGATGGATGCGCGGATGGAGGAGCTGGCGGGGCGGCATTACGATGTTCGGTTTGCGCGCGTGGACGTGCGGCACACGCCGTTCATTGCCGAGAAGCTGAGTATCCGCGTCTTGCCGTGTGTGATTGGGTTCCGGGATGGGGTGGGCGTGGAACGTATCGTGGGGTTTGAAGGGCTTGGGGCGCGTGGGCTGGACGGCGCCGAGGGTTTCGACGTCGCTGTGCTTGAGAAGCGGTTCCTTTTCAAGGGGGTGTTGGTGCAGGCCAAGTTCTCGACGGCTGAAGATGCTGAGGATCGACACTCGGACGACAGCGAGAGTGATGAGGGTAGAAGAAGGCCAAGGGGCGCGAGGAAAGCCATTCGGAGTGGCACTGCTCGACTGCGCAACCGCGATGATGACGACGATGATGATTGGGACTAATCTCATGTGTATATAAATAAGCCTCGATACTGTTGGCTCCTTGTCTATGCATTCAAAATGACATACTTCATACTTCAACGACTTACATACTATGGCGGTATCTACTCGGAGTATTAGCCCTAGCTCTCCGTCAAGATCAGTGGATTATAGCCAGATACGAGAGAAACCAAAACTGCATCATCATAGAATTACAGACACGATATCAATAGACCGTCAACGCAGGGCCTTTCGATACAAAACCAAAAAGGAAAGGAACAAAACAACAAAAGCTCCTTAGAGTTACAACAAATGCCGGGACCAGAGAACAGCGGAAAGGGATTCTATACACGGAAGCAGAACAGGACCACAGAACTTCACATCGACGCCGAATGCCCTGGAAAAGAAAAGACAACGAGAGGCTCGGAACCCCGAAGAGACCAGACCCAATCTAAATGGCTACGTTCTTCATCTCACCAAGAACTTCCGAGTCCACATTCGACGACCCCGGTGTGGCATCGTTCTCTGCCTGCTCCGGTTCTGATGATGTGGGCTCGGAAGCCTTGGCGGAAAATCCTTCATTCTCTTTGTTGGAGATCGGAGTCGCAACTTCCATCAGATCCTCGGTCTGCGTCTCTGGGCCATTCTCTCGCGGGTCTTCGGAGATCGTGGGCCCTGCAGTGACAACAGGACTTGTCGTTTCCTCAGTCACGCGGGCGAGGGGACTGGATACGCCGAATTGCGTTTTAGGGCTCTGCGTGGATCCGCGGTTGGGGAACCGATGCGGCGATCGGCCACGCTCCTCGGCCCGGGTCGGGCTGCCGTAGGGCGAGTCCTTGCTCGAGCGTTGAACCGACGCGTTTACCCCCAGTCCAGTAGGGCCCTTGCGGCGAGGCGGGCGCCGGCCGTACTTCTGATCCGTTCTCCAGCGCAGGATTTCAAAATACGGAGGCTCAACGTTCTGGGTCTTGAACTCCTTCAGCTTGAGCTCGTTCGTCTCTTCGTCGACAATGACCTTGCCGCTGCAGAGGTCATCGGCCAGAACAGCCAGGAACGCAGACCACGACCGAGCAATCACGTATTTACAATCGTAGTCACGGCCAAAGATAATCACCTGGCCCCATTTGCCGGCGGGACCGGGTGCCAGATCGATCGCGATGTGGTTGCCACCCCAATCGCGGGCCAGAGGAATCCAGCCGGGGTGGGCATAGGCTTTCTGAACCGCTCCGGGAGGCTGAGAGTCCTGGCGGTCCAGCAGGTCTGACCGCCACATCGGACCTGAGGGCTGTTGAGCGGCGGCGGCTGATGTGCTTGCCGCGGAGCTGGACATGGGCTGTTGCATCAGAGTCGATGCGCTGAGGAATTCGTCGTTGACCGTTTTCCAGTTGTTCCATTCCTGGACAATTTCCTCACAGTCCAGCAGCATCGAACTGAAAATCACACCGGTGGGCAGACCAGGGCGTTCCTGACCGTCGTGAACCATCAACGATTCCCGCACCTCCAAGGGCAAACTACAGTCCAACTCATGCTCCAATTCATTGATATCATTCTGGGTGCATCCTTCACACAGGTTGTCGAAGAGTTCTTCGTAGTTGCGCTCCAGCCACCGTTCGATCTTGGCCCACGAGTGAACGACCGGCGGGGCGGCGGCGCCCCGTCATGAAAGCTCTGCATCTGGATTTCTGGGCCTTCGCCTTGGTCATTTGATCGTCTTTTTTGGGATGCGACCGATCGCATCCCCGGCGAGTAGGGACGATTGGGGGAGCCCGTGTCGTTGGGAGAGCCAGTCCATTCGGTAGCGTGGGCACTTGCCGATGCTTTCGGGTCATCATCGTACGGACTGGAGAGGTCAGGGCGAGATTCGATCGCGCTGGTTGCAATAGAGGTGAGTGGTTCATGGCGGCTCTGGCTGAGCGGGACGTGGCGGCCGGTGCGGTAGGGGGAGTCGTGGGAGGCATGCCGGTCATACGAGGTCATGGTGTGCCAGAAGGAACGCCATGCCGAACCAAATCTGGAGCCGAGGTCAGTGATTCCAGGATAAGAGGAAGGGGAACCTCAAAAGGGCAAGGAGAGGGTACTGACACGTTCGCCATGGTTGGCGAAGGACTGGGAATGATCACAGAAAGACAGACGCAGGGGGAGTCATCCCAGAGTCCCGAGGGGTGGAAAAGTAGATAAGTGAGAGACAGACCCGAGAGGCAATTGAAAGAAGAAAATTGAAGAGGGTTCGGGGAAATGGATTTTTGGGGGATGATGGTAGGGGCGAGAAGAAGAAGAAGTCTTAGGTAAGGAAGGAGACAGTGGGGGAAAGTGGTTCTCTGAAGGTCACCGAGACCATTCAACCTGTCAAAATCGCCAATCTTTGTCTTTTCTTTCTTATTTTTATCTGTTAGTCTGGTCAATCCCCGAGAGCATCAATGTCAACCTTGCCCCTGGCCGCATCCAGAGAAGTCTGGAGGTATGCAGATCGGCTTGAGGATGATGTCGACGCCTCTGTATGCGTCTGGGAGCATGCCAATCGCATGTTCTTTCTGTTGACTCGGCATGTCATGTTTCTTGAGAGGGATTCCTGTTGTATTTTCTATTCCTTTTTATTTTATTTTATATATATATTTTTTTATTATTATTTTACCAGCATAGCTATGATGCCCAATACTCCGATGGTTTCCACTGTATCTGTGACCACTGCAACAATAGCATCGAACAATGGAATTATACTCAAATAAAGCCAAAGTCCTGTTCCGATAGACTTGCGTAGCGTCTAGGCAAATCTGTCAGAATCTGGGAGTAAACCCGATCATAAGTGATCTATCTGCTGTAAAGTCGACACCCTTTGTTCCCTCGACTCGCAATTAAGCTTCCTCCAAGACAAGATGGACACTCGAATTGAAGACTCGAGGCTCTCGACAGTGTCGTTTCGAATCGACAAGGCCTTGGGACCAAGCAGGCAGAGACAATCCCAAGGGCCTTGAATACTCTCAAGAAGACACAGTCTTGATGTAATCGAGAAGAATCGAAATAAAATTAGATCAAGTGGATCTCCCTGGGGCAATTGTGGCGTTGCGGGTTATTAAGGGGGATTCATGCCTCGAAAAGAATGATAGCCCACGGAGAGAACCGGATTCACGGTAGAGAAGAGTGACAGTTGCATCTATCGAGGATTGGAATCATCGTCTAAATCACCGGACGGAATCAGGCATTGAAGACTCACGAAAAAACGACATCGTCACTCGAGTCTGGACAACATGGAAATTGGGATCGGCACTCATCCACCGCCGCTGGAGCTCCACCGGCGAGAGCAAGTTCAGGGTGCATGATTCATTGGTACCCAGGTCCCCATTATTTTGTCGAAATTCCTCCGAATTTTGTACGTGATGCCCTACAGAGTGGATGATAGCCACGGAGTCCACATCGACTACAGTAAACCAGGAACGAAAAGGACGCTCTGACCAGAAATGATGGACTAAAAAAACGAGTGCAGGGTGTGGAGAACACCGAATCGGACAGGTCAGATACAACAGACATCCCAAGAGAACCCAGGAGCCAAAGAGAAGAACAAGAGCGCCATCGCGTCGGAGCCCCGACCAAAGAATGCGATCGGGACTCACCGCGCAGGCTCGCGAAAGAAAGTGACAAAAAGAAACCAAAAAAAAGAGTGACAAGAAACAAGCAAAGACAGCGAAAGCAGAGGATGGCCATCCTCGGCTGGACCGTCGCGACACGGCAAAAGCACTTGGAAAGATCCCGACTCCGAACGATGCAAGAAGGTATAGAAAAACGCTACCCCCTCCTTCAATGTACCGAGAAGACCCGTGTATCACAAACCATCATAAACATCAATTGCGCGGGCGAAAACATCAAGCCCCTTGTCGCGACCAAACGTAGCCACCGAGGGACCTTGGACCAGTCAAGGATGCCCTCCAAACCCCCAGGAACCAGAGCATGCGGAAGGGCAGGCTGAATCACGAGAAAAAGAGAAGAAAACAAGAAACGAGCGACTGTAACAAGAAAAGAGTGGCAAGATCAAGCGAATGAACTCTGCATACCACTCGACGGAAGGCCCGATGGCCCGTCCAGCTTCAAGATCCTCCGAAGATCATCCTCCATTTTCTTGGTGTCGGTGGATTTCGAAGGCGATGGCGAATTAGTGGGCATCTCGACCGAAGCGGACGGATACCGAGCTGGCGGAGAGGCATAGCTCGGGTGCTGGGGAGGATGGGCCATGTATGGGTTGCCGTAAGGGGCCGGGGACGACACGCCAGAAACGTAAGAGTTGGGTGGAGGCACTTCACGCTTTAACGGCGAGTTCGAGTTCCGAACCTGCTGCAGGCCGCTAGACTGGGTGTACGGGAACGGAGGACGTCCAGCGTTGTGAGGCATTGGCGGCTGGGGACCAGCAGGAAAGCCGTGCGAGAAAGTAGCCGGGGGTCCGGACGTGGTTCGCATCGGGGTCGCATAATGAGGTACTACATGCGAAGGTGTGTTTTGTTGACCTCTAAAGCTCCCCGGTGATTCGTAAGGGGACGAAACTGACGATGGCGGCTTCTGTGGGCGCGGATTGAGCAACAGATGCTTCAGTTCCTCCGTCTTCATCCTGCGCTGGTCCTCGGAGGGACTGGGAGACTGAGAAGGGGAGCTCGAAGATCGCAGGGCGTTCATGCGATCCTGGTAAGAAGGAGCAAAGGAAGGTCCGATTTGCGAACTGCTTGGGCGCCCAGAGTTCTCCATCTCAAATGGGAAGATCCCACCCGGCATGGCATCGGGATGGGCGTGGAGAGCCTTCGAATCGGTTTGGGGAGACCGAACCCGGTTGCTCACCTCTGGACTACCCGCTGAAGGGGAGTTTCTAGCCTGCACGGCAGCCTTGAAAAGAAAGTCCAGAGGAGTGGGCTTTTGATCTTCGCTCATGGGTGTACGGCGAGCTTTCGGTTTAGAGGGGGTTGTGTCAAGATCAGGTTCCATGTCCGCAGTATCGCTGTCCGTTTCGAGAGTGGGCGGCAGGTCAGAATCCGGGACCGACTTGGAGAAGAAGCTTGGAATCGGGAGAGCGGACGGCGCAGGCGATGCATGGAAAGTTGGTCCTGCATAATGCGCGCCTTCCTTCAGCTGGGGAGTGGTGACGCTCGGCTGGGACGAAGTGTGTCGGTGTCCGTTATTTGGCGCCGGCGAAGCTCGATTGACATCCCGGGGTTTCTTCGTCGATCGAGGAGGCTTCTTCTTGGAGGATTGGATATTATTCGACGAGTCGGTCGTGATTCCCCCCGGGCTCATATTCCTGGGTGGAGATGACGGAGGAGTAGTGAGGTGCGCGACCTTTTGCGCATTAGGAGTGAAGTTCTTCTTTGGACGTCGATTGTTGCGAGAGCCCTTGGGCGTAGGAGGGTGAGGAGATTGGGTCGACATTGCGACGGTTGGCTTGAAAAATAGGCAGCCTTTGGAAGAGAGATAAGAGAAAGAACAACGCTTGAGGAAGCAGAAAAAAACGGTAAAAACAATCCGCGAATGAGTTGGGGAAAACAAAGGAATCGGCCAAATCACTGCTCAGCAGCTGTCGACAATATTAGATATTCCAACGCCGGATAAGCAGAGAAAAGAACGATGTACGTCCAAAGGAAAGACGGGTGTCTCAGACACGATCTGAAACGCCTTCTAAGATCGAATGGGTGCAAAGAAAAGAAGAGAAAGTCAAGAACAAAAGCTCAGGAAAAACCATTTCTAGCGAGGAGACCGCAGAAGGAAAAGACCTGGAATCATGGTGGATTGTGGATTGAAGATGGTGACGGAAGGCGGTTTGCGGGAGAGGGGAGGTTTGTCTGACTAAGGCCGCCACTCCATACAACAAACAGAATCAAACAGACAGACAGGTGGGGTTGACGTTCAGAGAGAGAAAGAGTACCTTGGAGTTCTTCTGATTCAGCTAGCTCTCGCCACGCTCTCGCCTCGGTCATCATTTACACACCGAACCCTACAGCTTTGAGCTCATCCAGCAACGTCAGGTGAACGGCAACGATCCTCAGCGAGCAACCACCACCATCATGGCGGACGTGGAGATGAAGGAAGCGGGCGCTTCGTCCAAGGGAAAGGGAGTGTCTAGGGGCCCCGAAGGTGCTGATGGCAAGAAGAAGTTTGAGGTCAAGAAGGTAACCGCTGTTCGGATCTTTGTCTCTGGCGCTCGACGTCTAACTGGTCCAGTGGAACGCCGTTGCCCTGTGGGCTTGGGATATCGTCGTCGACAACTGCGCCATTTGTCGCAATCACATCATGGACCTCTGTATGTGCTCAGTCCTTCCGTCTTTCCCTTTCCTCGTCAAACCGTCTGAGGCTGAACTTCTGAAACAGGCATCGAATGCCAAGCAAACCAAGGTTCATCAACAACGGAAGAGTGTACGGTTGCTTGGGGAATCTGCAACGTGAGTCACCCCAAATCTGGAATCAAAGCCCTGGTCTGATTGCTCGTCTAGCACGCCTTCCATTTCCACTGCATTTCGCGTTGGTTGAAGACTCGCCAGGTGTGCCCGTTGGATAACCGAGACTGGGAGTTCCAGAAGTACGGCCGGTAAAAGAAGAGCTAGAGGGGAAGCCATACGCATTTTCCATGGCTATGATTGCTTGAAGATGAGACCGGAGATGGAGGGACAATGGGTTTTACTGGCGTTCAGGTAATCAGATTTGCCGTTGCATCCACGAGCTCTTTAGATTTTTCAATTTAGATTCGATCCTATGTCTCTGTTCTCGTAGAACATGATGCAATGTTGTCCGTAAATATCGCCAATATCCGCATCCAAGATCATTTATGCCACCTTAATTCCATCCACGACCACCCTGGAACCACTCGCCTTTCCACCCGCCGGCACCAGCCACTTCTCTGGGTTCTTATTAAAAAAGGGCCACGGCGGGACGACCACGACCGCGGTGAACACGGTACCCGCCAAGCTGATCCATAATGTCTGGTGAATGTCCTTGTAGATGTATCCGACCACGAAGCCAACGGCCTGGAAGAAAGGGTCAAGGAGTCAGCATTATCCCATGTGAATTGAACAGCACATCAAGGCAGCTTTCTAGTGCACACATACCGCGGAGATAATCAACAACACGGTAGAGAGGATCTCGGCCAAGCGCTGGCCATGGAAGTCCTGCGCGTCGTGATGTTTATTAGCAGCGGCTCAAGGAGCTCTGGACAGAGATAAACTCATACGATTTGCCCCTCAAAGAAATCTTGAAGTGGTGCAAGTAGGTCGTCCATGATTGAAGGGGGGGGGGGGTCGAGGGAAACCAAATTGTCGCTTGAGGGGTCTCTTGGGGAAGACGAAGCGGCTTATCGCAATGTTGTCATCTGCCGCATCACCGCCTCCGGCAATCCGCCCTACGATGCGCTTTGCAACAGCAGAATTTCAATTCTGTCTTTCTCTCTTTCTCTCTTTCTTTCTTTCTTCCTTAATTGATACTGGACTATCCCATCTCCAATATCTCCAATTTACATTTGGCGACAGTGTCTATCCTGACGGGATCTGGGGTCTGTTCTCGTGATTTCATTCGTTGATATCTTCCAGACTCTATAAAAAATGCCGGCGTCAGCAGGTCGTCGCAAATTACCTATGTCGAGTCACCGTGTCTAGGGCCAGCTACACACCAATCTGCAGTCTCGATCGGGAACAACCAGCTTCCCGTGTCTCAGGTCATATGCACTCTGCAATGCAGGCAAAAAAAGAAGCGGTGAGAACCGAAGAGATCTTGCATCGACACATGGACGGCGTGGGCAATAGAAACCTCCGACAAGCATTGATCCCTTGCTCGAGATCAAGCGTGCCATTGCAGTTGGCGCGCTTATATTCTGACCCAAAAGAAAAAGCAGATGGGTTGAGTCTAGTTCGGGGTCACAGTGGCCCCCGACTGGGCGGGCTCCAGCAGCTTCCATTGGCACGAGATGTTGTTGGAAGCGAACCGTGCGATAATGCGGTCTGCAATCTCGGTGAAGCGATCCGTCGCCAGAGCCAGGATGGTCGGTCCTGCACCAGAAAGACATATCCCCAGCAGACCGGGCTGCGTGGCAGGGGTCATGGATTGGAGAATCTCGGTCAACCCGGGGATCAGAGTCTTGCGGTACGGCTGGTGCACCTTGTCTTGCATGGCCAGGAAAATCATATCAGGGTCTGGTGGGGAGCTTCCCAGGGCTGCGGGGAGCAAAGCCGCGCGTTGGAGATTGAAGACCTGGACATCGGATGAGTCATGTTTCCAAAGCTGCATGTAGAGGAAATGATACATACCACGTCTGCTCTCGTGTACGTCTTGGGAAGCACATCGCGAGCATTAGCAGTGGGAACCACAAAATCCGGGATAATGGCGATAGCCTTGATTTCCTTGGCCCAGTTGAATTTTCTGTAGTGGCCAATGCCGAGGGGGGGGCTCGGGGGGTTTTGAACCCCGTGTCAATGCCACCGGCTGGAGCAGGCAAGACTTCGCTGAGCGGGATTTCTATCCGTGCCACATCCTCGGGCTTCAGTTCGTTGAGATACGTGCCCACAAAGCCTCCGAAGAGCGATGCAGCCACATTGTCTGGGTGCCGTTCTGTGGAACCCGTTAGTATTTCTGCTCAAAAGAACATTCTTTTCCCCCTTTTTGGTCCGTGTGTCTGATCCCTCGTGCACCTCGTGCAGGGTCAGAGAACCCCGAGCCCACGAAGAACTCACCAATCATCAAACAATAGTCCAGCAATCGCTCCTTGCTCAGGCCCAGGCGACCAACTTCATTGCCCAGCATCACTCCCGCCACCACAGCCGTTCCCGATGACCCCAAGCCTCGGCCTAGTGGGATGGGGTTGATAATGTGCACCTTGGTCTCGGCGGGGAAGGCTCGTTGGTTATGGCATCGTAGCACATACAGGGCTACTCGGGTGATCAAATTGACCTCGGGGTCCAGGCTGATGGATTCGGTACTTTTGCTTTGGTCTTCATAGGTGATTTGGCAGTTCAATGGCAGGTCCGAGGATGATTTTGGGTCGATGGTGACGTGGAGTTCGAGGTGGAGGGACAGTGCCAGGCCGATCACGTCGAACCCAGGGCCAATGTTGGCGGAGGAGCAAGGTGTTCGAATGACAAAGGACATGGCTCAATGAATGTAGGATTTGTCTTCTTTTTTTACAAGAAGTTTGAAGGAATATGCGATTGCAGTGAGTCTTCGGTTCGAACTTGCTTGGCGTCAAAAAAAAAAAAAGCCCAAGTGGAGTCTCTCTCTCTTCCAGCGATCCCCGCGATTGGTTTTGGAACGATCTACAAAATATCTTTTTAATAGGGGCGATTAGAATGGATACTCTCAGTCTTGTCCATACGGGACCAGGGAGTGTGCTTGTACTACTATTCCACTGCTCTACTCAATCCATAGATATCCATAGATACATGCAATAGACTCGACTGCAGTATTAGTCCGTACTGTACAAACTAGTATACCCTGAGGTTATTTGGATTTTTTGAATTTTATTTTATTTTATTTTTTTTTTTCAAATTTTTTAAAAAATAAAATCCCAGTGAAACAAAAAAAAACCAAGCTTTTAAGTCGGCAAAAAATGCCTCAATATCTATTCATGTCAAGATGTATGTGGGTGAAAGGGGCGACCCGCTGAAAATTTTCGCTGTTTAATGCTACCTCGCCCCGGCAGTTTGTCTCTTCTATTTTTCTTTTTCTTTGTCTTATTCTCATTCTTATCCTCTTATCCTCTTTTCCTCTTTTCCCCTTATCCATATTTCCCCATTCAAATCACCTCTCGAGGTAGACCTGCTTGTGTGCTTACAATTTTCCATTGTTCTTCTCACTTCGGGCGAGTCGACCCGGTGACCGAAACCATCAGCGGCCCACTCGACTCTTTGATCATTCTTCATCACTACAGTCTTCGGGCCTTTTTCCCCCTTCTTCTCTTGTCTCCAAAACTATTTCTATTGACCCGATTTTCACTTGACTCCCCAACCTGTCCATCGAGGACATTTCGAGAGATTCACGTCATCGGCTGAAGATTCTGCGGGAGAAATCGCTCTTCGCCCTCACCCCCATCTACAACTCTGGAGCAGCTGCGCTCCCGATCGTTCTACCTGTTCAAGTTGGCGGGCCTTCGCTACTCTCAGTCGTCTCTCCCCCACCCTCTTGCAGGCCCTAAATTCAGGGTCTTCTGCGGGGGCGACACCAGACCCCCCTAACTGGGCTTTCACAACGTCCTCTATTGTGGCAGATAAAAGTGCGTCAGTACCGCTAGACCCTCGCGAAGGGTCTGGCTTATGGATGGAGGGCCGTCACCCCTGATCGGACCTGTTACCGGTTTGCGTCTGCTCTGGCCGTCGCGCTGAACCCAGCAAGCCTAAGAAGAAAAAGGGGAATCAAAAATAAAAGCAGAACGCAGAATCTCCCAGAACGGGAACCCGGTCAATCTGGCGTCCTAATCAGATCCGACGAGATCGAAGAAAGAAAAGAAAAAGTCCAATCGAGAATTCACCATGTCCGAGTCTCCCAGATCCGAGAAATACATGTGCCTGACCCGGTACAGCACGCCAGTGCCAGAGCTGGATGATCACCGCTTCCAGATGGATCGGCCTCGCATCGAGGCGCCTGTGGAAGCTCCTCTGAGCCAGCAAAATACCGCTCAGCAGGGACCTGCGGGAGAGCTTCCAGAGCGGTCGGATTTGCTCCAGGTACAAGATGCTCTGCGGGAAGCGGGGCCGGTCTTCCGAGACTTTGAAAATGCCGTGGTTGATGACGATCGATCTCTCAACGATGTGAATGGGGTAGGTCGGCGATTCTCAGTCGACCCGACTGCGAACTTCCAACCTCCTCGTCGCATCAGTTGCACCCAGCAAGACCTCACCAATGTCTCGCGCACGTCGTCCGTGTCAGCTCGGTCTACATCGCCGCCCAATTCCGTGGAAGCTTTCGCCGACCCACGTCGCCGTGAACGTGCCAACACATTGGATAGCCATGGAGCTCCCGACTTGGAAGCTATTCTGCAGCGTACTGTCTCTGGTGGCACGCATCGCCGGCGCCCCACTTTCAGCAATGCTAGCGGGGTTCGACCACAGCCCGGTGAGGTGCAATTGGATATGCCAGAAGAGGTTTGCATGCCTCCATACGAACAACCAGGTCGCATCCCCGTCATCGACTACGAAGAGCTGGAGGAATTTGTGGCACTCAACCAGAAAGTCAAGACCGCTGGTGACCGCCGGAAACACAGCCTAAGCTCGCAGAGCAAGAAACCCCGTGTATTCTATGACCTCCGCCCGGGCGCGAAAAGCCCCGATGTCGACGAATTGAAGAAGTCCGATTCATCGGATGCTTCGAGCAACGCATCCGGGGAAAAGCCCAGCAAGGTTGTAGATGGAAAGGTGCTCGTGGAGGTCCTCCAAAACACCAACCAGCCAACTCGCTTTGGTTTCTTTTCGTCCGAATCCCAGAGCACGGTGCATGCGGCGGAGCTGGGAGATCTGGTGCTCCCCGGCGACACCTTCCGAGACCTGTTCCAACTGGGACCGGATGGAGGCGTATGGTGGCTCGACGTCGTCAACCCCACCGAGGAGGAGCTTGGTGCCATTTCTCGGGCATTTTCAATTCACCCGCTGACGACCGAGGATATCCAGACTCAGGAAGCACGCGAGAAGGTCGAGCTGTTCAAGCAGTACTACTTTGTCTGTTTCCGCACTTTTGACCAAATGGACAAGACCAGTGAAGAGTTTCTGGAGCCGGTCAACTTCTATATGGTCGTCTTCCGGGATGGGGTGCTGACCTTTTCCTTCGTCGACAACCCTCACGCCGCCAATGTACGAAAGCGAATTGGAAAGCTGCGGGACTATGTGTCGCTCAGTAGTGACTGGATCTGTTATGCCATGATGTAAGTTGGTCCTGTCCAAACACCCACCGCTGCCATCAGCTAACGTGTGATCTAGCGACGACATCGTGGACAGTTTCGGCCCGGTGATCCGGGATGTGGAGGTGGAATCCGAGGCGATCGAGGACCATGTCTTCATCGCGCGCGTGGACGATTTCGAGTCATTCCTCCCGCGAATCGGCGGCCTTCGCAAGAAAGTCATGAGCTTGATGCGGCTTCTGGGTGGCAAGGCAGATGTCATCCGGGGATTCTCCAAGCGCTGTAACGAGCAATACTCGGTGACTCCCCGCGGTGACATCGGTCTTTACTTGGGTGATATCCAGGATCACGTCGTGACCATGATGTCGAACTTGGCCCATTTTGAGAAAATGCTCAGCCGGTCCCACACCAACTACCTGGCGCAGTTGAATGTCACCAACCTGGTATTGGGCAACCATGTTAACAAGGTTCTCAGCAAAGTCACACTGATTGCAACAATCCTGGTCCCTATGAACCTGATCTGTGGTCTCTTCGGCATGAACGTCGAAGTGCCCGGTAAGGACACCGCCGGACTGGGGTGGTTCTTTGGCATTCTCGGAGTGATGGCTGGGATTGTAGTTCTGAGCATGATGATCGCCCGCTGGCAGAAGCTGGTTTGACGGCTTGTTGCTATTCTTTTTTATTTCAGTATGATTCTGGATTTTTTGTTGATATTTGCTACTCGAGTGGATGCTGTTTGCTTTTGCTGAAATACATTTAAATTCCATACATACTCAACATTAAATCAACATGGAAATCTCGTATGATGAATCTGTGCTGCTATGAAGAACACCAGAAACAAAGATAATTTCAAGACTTGAAGCAGTTTTAGCGGCTGTCACAGACTTTTCTATCGCGCCATTCTCCTGGCAATCGACTACTGATCGACACTTCAATATCTGAACTCATATTCGTTTAGCCATTTAAGCTAGGATACCTAAGCTAGGACAGGCAGTTTAGACCACCTGCCATCCTTCAGCAATTAAATCATCCAAGTGAGCCGATAGACAGTTCGTTCCATCGAATAGATGGAAGAAGCCCCCAACACCGCCTGTATCACAATTCACAATTGGCGCGCCACAAACCCCATCCGCCACATCGGCATTTATGACTCCGAACGTTGAGCTGAGAGTAAGGGCCCGCCAGTGTCGGAAATCGATCTCGGGATGACCAGGGGGCGCATCGGCTCCATGAACATAGAGCCATACGCCATCAAACTCACCAGGCCCGAGCTCATGCCATCCACCTCACTCCAAGCCCCTTGGTTAATCTGGTCGCCTTCCAGAAACATCCGAGGGGGCTGGGCCTGGAAATAGCAGTTATTTGTAAACCTGGCAGAGGCCGCCGGGGTAAGACTAACAAGTCCCACGTCAAGTTCAGGAAGTGCATCTAAGACATGCCCGATCTGGTCTGTATTCGTGCGTGGGTGGTACACGTCTTTAGACTTAAGGAAACCATGGTAGGCAACTGTTAATGCCTGTTCGCCACGAGCATTGCGAATTTTCACCCCCGAGGACGTGGCGCAAGTAACAAACTCGTTCATGGATCCCGGTAGGCCAAAGCCACATTCCAATCTACACCCTGGCGTAAGGGAAGATCTCTGGAGATAGTTCGTGTCATCTTGCGGCAGCGTCTGGTCGTTATTGTTCGTGTACTGTTGGGGATCAATAGCTCGGACTCGCGTGTGGTCTTTCATGGCCTTATAAAACGGCTCTTCTTCATGGTGATACAGTGTTGTCCGGCCAGCAACAACGCCTGGAAGAGACTTTGGTTTGTAGACACGCCCATCTCCGTGCCTAAGTTCGACGATAGTCCAATTTGGTAGATATAGGATCGCCCGTACATCTGCAAGAGGCTGCAAAGCTGTTAATACCATGATATTTTGCTCCTTTGTCGGGAACTGCATCTCTGGCAAACGAATAGTAGGACATGGATCCGGAACCCGAGGGTTGGCGTAGGGAGCGCGCGGAAGGGCTTCGAAGTGGGTTTCACCCGTTCCCACAAAATACACTGGCATGCATCCGATAGTAAGCGGTACTGGCAGGGGTGGGTTTGCAGTCTCAATCCAAATAAACCACCCGGTCCAACCGATTTTTCCATCGCCGAAGTTCCCTCGAATCCACGATAATTCTACGTGTGTGGGAGATCGAAACTTGCGGGTTTGACCATTCCATAGCGTAAATGGGGCTATATCGTTCATATGTCGCGCTCCCCATCCGCCGGGGTTTTGCCATCGTTTTGGCTCTGGATGTGAGTGTGTTGTCGAAGGCGGAGAATCGACGGTTACTGGTGAACGAAGAGGGTTGGATAAGGCTTGGGTGTAAATGTCAACGTATGGCGACCTCACTTGCAACCGCTGCACTTGCGGCGAGAGCCGGACCGAAGTTGCCATGACTTGAAAGCGTAATAGAATTACGCACAGTAGAGGACGGCAGTGGATGAGAAGGAAGTGGGTGATGAATGAGGTGGGTAAGGAGGTGGGCCGGTGTTCCCATCACGTGACATTGGCACATGCTGAAGAAGTACCAGGTACATAAAGTGATACGCAAGTCTGTTGTCAAAAGAGGTACCCGTTACTTGGCACTTGCCCTCTCGTAGACAAGGCAGCAAGGCAGCCACAATCGATAAGGCAACCACGTCCACCTGGGCAACATTCGCAATAATTAATGCTTTGAACTCCCACCCGACTACATGCAGCCGTCGGTCAAAATCCCCGACCTTACCTACGTATCCTTGATGCAAACTTATTGCCCGTGATCCGCACCCCGGCTCCTCGAACTCCCCCATGCGCCTTTCCGCGACTCGGTTCTCTCCTTCGACTTTCCATGCGACTTCAGTACACCACCCTGCAGTGTTCGTTTACTGCACTCATCGGTGCGATTTTCCCTCTCGTCGTCGCTAGCGACTCGATTGTTCATGCCACAAACTCAATACCGGATGGCTCCAAGACGGAGGACAGCCCGAACTTTCGCGGGGCGGTGATGGGCGATGGAGGGTCGCCGCTCGCGCTGGATTCGTTTAATGGGCTGGAGATCCGAGATGGTACCACAGAGGACGGGGAGCTGAATGAACTAGAGCTAGTGCGCCGGTACCCCGCTGACGCCAAGCCCCTGGGGAACAACCAGTTCCAGGAGAGCAACATTCATCTCGGGGATGTCCACTGGTGGTACATGCCCAAGAAAGAAGTGCATGGCAAGAAAGGAATCCCGACAACCGGGCTTCCTGCGTATCTGGATCCCGACAATTTGGGCGACTCTGGTCATGAATTACGGAAACGCGACGAGTCGTCGAAAAAGACGACAACGGTCTACCTGTCGCTAACGACCTGCAGCAAGCCTTCTACCAAGCATAACCACCACGACCAAGATCTACCCCGGCAGCTGGATGTCTATGTATCGACATCTGAAAAGGTTCAGAAGCCAGGACCAGGTAATGACGATCAAATTCAGACCATGACCAGAGCCAGACACGGGTACGCGGGATTCACGGTAGAAGCCGACCGCGATGTTTTTATCGGGGTTGCTGCTCCGAACTCGACCAGTCATTCTGGGTCCTACAAGTACCAGATTGCGGCTTCCATTGACGCTTTCTTCCATAGCGTGGTCGAAGATGAATCGTTGTTGTATTTTGTCGACGCGGACGTCTCAGCGGCCCTGCTGGTGACCAACAACCTGACGCAGTCCGAGCCGAGCTCGGAGAACTACCAGCAGTGGATGAACATCACGCCCCCGTACACCATGTTCGCACACAACAATTCCAGCTCGACTCTCCGTGGACTGGAACGGTCGTTTTGTGCCCTGAACGAGCTTGCGCAGGTGGGCCAAAACAACCACTCGGTCGAGGTAGGCATGACGCGCCGGGGACTCGGAAACAAGCCCAAACAGCAGTTCTATTTGACGGGTCTCAAGTCGAATTCTTGGTACAGCGGGACTCTGGCCCTGGTGAATAATTCGACTAAGCCATTAAACGGCGTCATTGGGGGCGGTGGGAGAGTGTGGAAGCCGATAAATTTCGCGACCAAGTTTGGTGAGCGATCAACTGTCGGTTTCGATGTTCCGATGGGAATTGGTTTCACTGATGCTTTACATAGAGGACAACTGTGCCATCCTGTTCAATCTGACATTTTGCTCGGAGGTTGCCTACGCGGTGCCCGCACGGCCTGACCTTAAAACGGACCACCTCCGGTCCATCTACGACGACAATGCGAAGGCGCTGTACAAGAACTTCACTTACTCGCTGCAGCAGGTGCAGTGCAAGACGAACCAGGAGGCGATGTTTTCGCTAGCAGTCGACTGCGACGACTGCGCCAATGCGTACAAGCAGTGGCTATGCAGCGTCAGCATCCCGCGCTGCGCCGACTTTGGCAACAACAAGCCGTACCTGGCAGTGCGTAACGCCGGCCAGAAATTTCTCAATGGGAGCTCGCTGCCGGCGGACAACAAGTACCGGCAGTCTCCCATATGGAACCAGTCACGGAACTCTTTGATCGACACGGAGATCAAGCCTGGTCCGTACAAGGAGGTCTTGCCATGTCAGGATATTTGTTATAATTTGGTCAAGAGCTGTCCATCAGCCCTGGGATTCGGCTGTCCGACCGGGTCGTGGCTCAATGCCTCGTACGGCTACCGCAATGCCGAAGGCGACATCACCTGCAGTTATTTGGGTGCCGCATACTACCTAAATCGAGGATCTCGCGTGCACAGCATGGGAGGTGGACTCGGGTTGGTGGCGATGTGGCTAGTCTTATGGGTGATGATATAGTCTTGGGGTGATTAGTATCTGAATTGAAGGTCACTGTAAAAGTAGTCTATCCTTGATATCGACATTCTGACTTGAAATACTCTATAGAACATGTCAAACCCGATGCCACCCCCTGTTTCTACCACCAATCTCTATATACCTTATTTACATACAATCGTTAGACTTCAACACAGGGGATATAATATCTACCACTGCAAAGACGAACATAACCCATTCCCTACACCACCCACTCCACCTGAACCTCTGCTATCAAAATCTTCTCCTCCTTTACCCTTATCAGTACCATTTTCTTCTCTGTCATCCTTAACCCCCCGATCCCCCCAAACCTCCCTCCAAACCCCAATCTCCTCACGCCAAAGCTCATTCACGCACGGATCGCACGAGCTCCCACAACACATCCCCAGTGCCGGCGGGGGCGGCGGGTCGTTGTAGGCGCGGCTGGCGGCGCGGAGGAGTTGTCTTGTGCGGGTTCCTGTTAGACGCTTGCGCTGGAGGGATTTGAAGAGGGGTGTTTGGTTTGGAGTGTAATATGGGTCTGGTTCTTGTTTTTGTTTTGGGAGTGGAGTTTGGGACTGTGGTTGGGATTGGGATTGGGACTTTGGTTCATGGATTATGGGGTTTGGAAGTTGGGCTGATGGTTGGTTTAGGGGCTGGGTCTTGGTGAAGGGGGAAAGGAGTGTTGTTAGGAGAGATGTTGGTGTTGTTGGTATTGGTGTTGCTGAATTGGCTTGGGATGTGCCATCTTGAGATGCTTCATCTTGGTCTGTGTCTCTGCAATCTTCCGTCAAGGGTTTATCCCCGCTCATTGCTCTTCTTATAGATATCTGGGTTATATCCAGCTATCTGGCAGAGCTGTGTGTATGTGCAGGAAGATAGTGTAGCACTTCTGCCCTTTGATATATGATCTAACCCGTGGGGTTAGCAAGAAACCACTCCTGGCAGCATTTGGTTTTGGTTATCAGTTACTTACATAGACATAGAATTTGTGTATAGATCGGGAGGATAGTTCCATTCAACAATGGTCGAAGAACATCCATGGATATTCTGGTAGCTTAACTATCCGGACACAGCCGAGGCCGGGTGAGTGCTTTTCCTGTTTATCCCGAGAGCGACACTTGCACTTCCCAGCATGCAATATCTACTGGACCCATTTTATATCTCAAAAGTCACTCTTGATGGAGCTGCTCTGCTCACTCTAATTGTAATTTGTATTGTCATCGCTGGTTCTTTAACGCCAATTGAAGTCACCCGTGGTATCATGCTTTCACCGCAGAAAGTCCCTAATCCGGGAAGTTAAAAAAACAAAACAAAACAAAACAAAACTACTAGAAAAGAGAAAAGAATGAAATCACTTGCGCCGAGGCGTCGGAGTCCACATATTCGTGTTCGTACCCCCCTTCGCTCTCGACGACGGCGTACTTCCCCCAACCCGATGCAGCAATTTCTGCGCAGCCGGCGTCAGCATCTTCCCAGAAGCCCCAGCCGGCGTTCCACCGGGAGTCGAGCGCATCGCGAAATCCAGACGCGGACCACTAGTGAAGCGCGGCGTAGCTGTGACGGGCGTCTTGGTGACCTGGCCAGCCTTCTCGGCGCGGCGGTTGCGCGCCACGCGGTCTACCATGCGGTGGTGCAAAGCTTCTCGTTTGCGAGTCTCGCTGATCTGGAATGGATTCGGGGTGGCGTCGCTTGACCCCAGAAGACGCCAGTCTGCGTCGAGGCCCGAATTGAGCGCTGGTTCGGGCTCCGGCTCGTCTTCATCGACAAAAGCGTAGCCGTTCACCCGCGGCGTTTCACTTCCGAGAACAGCGGATCCAACTTCAGATGCACTGAGATGCGGTTGTCCGGCAATGGCATCTTGGATGGCGGACAGAGATGGGGACGGCGGTACGGCATCAGCTGCAGCGGCCGCCTCGGGGTCTGGGAGCCGGGTGTTTTGGTACAAAGTACGTTTGGGACCTGCCCGAGGTGCCGTTTCCGCTTTTTGCTGGAGAGTCTCGTGGGTATCCTCGACTGAAGACGGTGCAAACATGAGCGTGTTATCCGGGCGAGCATCCCACGAGTCGGGCTTGGCGGGCCGGGCACCCAGATCTGTTTTTATGGCCGGTGCCGAGACCTCATCGCGTTTGACAAGGCTGGTATTCGGGTTACCACCCTGGGCAGTGATACGCTTCACTTCGCGCTGGTGGTGCGCGATCTGGCGAGCCGACGGGATCTTATTTTTGTTCCAGAGCCAGGCGTACTTCTCACGCCGCTTCGCGTTTTGCTTGTCCACGACCTTGTTGAAGGACTCGTTGTCTTCGCTGGTGTATTTGGCCTGGAAGGCCATCAGTCCCAGATTGGATACATCGGGGGCCTCCGGTTCGCGTTGCTCGGAGGCAGCGGTAGTCCCCGAGACGACGGACATCGGGGTCTCGCCACCCCAGCCTCGAGGGGTTTCATCTGTCCGGCCCGTCGGACGATGTTGCGGGGTGCCTGAAACAGATGTAGAACTGCGCTTTCGCCTCGCATTCGAGCCCGGGGTTGGCATGCGCATAACATCCGCAAGCTTCTTTTTGGCGCTAGAGATCCATTCCTTATCCTTCGACTCTAGCGCATCAAGGTACTCCTGTTTGGACTGGGTCTCGAGAAGGCCTGGGAAAAAGTCACGGGCGATTATATGGGATAAAGCATTGGTATAGACATCCTCGTCAAGGACGGTCGCGGGGCGTTTGATTCGTTTCGGTGGTGGCGGGGGTGGCATGAGCTGGCCCTCAGATCGCTTGACCAGTGCCTGTGATGGAGAGGATGCCATGATGAAGCACGAAAATCGAAAAAGAAAGCCAAGGCCGAGTCAAGTGAGGAAGACGAAGATGAGATCGAAAACGTGGGATTCTGATTGCCGATAAGATCAGGTCATGTGATCTGTGCCTACTCTATTTGTATACCAATTACTGGCTCTTCTAAGACGTCGACACAAGAATTACCAAGTAATGAAACTCATGACTGATGTGAAAGTAAGATAATGTAAATGATCACTTCTATAGATGCACCTATAGATGTATAGAAAGAAGCCTAGCGAATGTCCCAATCCCAATCCTTTTTCTCTTTCCCAGTTCCCCCCTCCAAGACACCAGACCAAACAATCGCTGAGAAATGCAAGATGAAAGAACGGCCACAGCAGAGTACATGAAAGAAAACGACAGAGAAGGACATGGCTCCCACAAACGCAAGGAAACACACAGGTCATGGACTCGTGGAGAAATTCTATCGGGTCAAAAAAGAAAAAAAAAAAAAAAAAAAAGAAAGAATAATGCAACACATGGTGTATACAGTGGATGTTCTCAGGCCCTGCTCAGTGAGCGGCCGTTGGGAACAGAGAATAAGAAGTAGTCCGGCCCTTCTTGCGGTTGGGGTTGCGCGGAGGAACCGGAGGCAATGGAGGAACGCTGAACTGGACGGGGCGAGAGTCCACTTCAGAGGTGGACTTGGCCCGGTCGTGGGTCAGAGTCGTGAGCACCGGGTCAGCAGTCTCGAGGCTGGTGGTACTGTCTGTTTGGAGAAGAAAATGGGCTTCGGCCAGACTCTTGGTCTGCCGGTGCAATGGCAAGACCGGGCCGGTGGGACCGGCCGCCAGCGTCTCGCCAGCGGTCTGGCGGTCGGTCGGCATCAGCTCGCGGCTGTTGGCGAGACTGTGGACCAGCTCGGGGACGCTCGTCGTCGACACTGACGAGCGGTGCTTGCGGACAATCGAGGCCGCGCGCGAGAGCATCAAGCTCTCCTGCGAGTTGCACTTGCTAATAGGGGAGAAGCTGCTGCGGGGGCTAATTGGGTTCTCGGTGGGAGCGATCATTCCTTGGGCAACGAAGGGAAAGTGCCGATCTGATTCCGCATCAGTGGCCAGATATTCCTCGTAAAGAGTGTCCTGGGGGAGCTGTTTCCCCAACGTCGATGGCAGGATCGAGGAACTGACAGGTTGGAAGTAGTCGCCCGTGCCTCGTGCCATGAAGTCCCGCTCATAGTCAGCCGTCGACGGGGTAGCGGCCGATTGCGATGGCACAGATCGCGCCGAACTCGGGTCCAGATCTGGAGTCGCCAGCACAGAAGTGCTCAGCGGACTAGGCTGCATGTGCCGGGTCTTGGGTGCGGCCATCCAGGGCTCATCGCTGCAAGCGACCCCGACCTGCGGGCGCGTCTCATCCAAAGACGTGCGCGACCAGTCAAAGTTGGAAGTGGACTCAGCGGCATGTTCGTAGCAGTAGTCAATGTCCGCGTCCCACGAGTCGTATACTTCATCGTCGTACGAGAATTGATGCAGCTGGGGTGCCGGCACCGGTGGCGTCACCTCCACGTGGGCCTTGGGAGCCGCATGGGGCATCGCGTTAGGGAGATTCTGAGGCAAGGTTGGCGAGCCCAGTGCCTCCGAGAACTTTTGTGAGAGCTCATCGGCGACATAGATTGACAAGGGAGCTGGAGGCTCCGCGACGCTGGGCAGCTGAATGTCCACTGGAGGCTGGCTCACTTGGGAGATCGAGCGGGAATGCGGGCCCTCGCTGGGCTCCGGGCTGTCCCAGTACCGGGTCGCTTCTTCTTCCTCTGGAACATCTTCCAGGTCATAGTGGCTGCTCATGGACGAGGAGCGAGCCGTAGGGTCATCGGCGGGTTCCGGGCTGAAATGAAGATGGGTTGGTGGCACCGCGTCGATGTGCTCGGGATAAGTCTTGGCCGAGTCCAAGCCCAAAATCTCGTCAATGGCGCGCGGTGCGGGCTCTGCCATATCGGGAGGAGGGGTTTCGGGCACGACGGGAGGCGGCGGGGTAGTCGGGCAGGAGCGAGGGTATCTTGAGACAGGCCGCGAGAAGTTCTCATTGATGCGGGATTCCCGTCGAGCATGGCGTCGCACCAGCTGGGGGGACGCCGGCGGGCTTTTGCTGGGGGTGGGCTCGTCGACAGTTGTTGCCGTTCCAAACGTGTCCAAGTTGTCGGTAGAAAAGTTGCGGAAGTGGATGTCATCGGCGCGAATGCCCTTGAGTCCCGTTTGGGGTCGCTGCGAGGCCCGGATGGCGGAGAACTCGGTAACCAGATCATTCTCGCGCGTCTGGTCCAGAGATTGGAACTGCGAGGGGTTCGTATGGGTCAAGTGGTGGAAATCGAACGGGTCCGAGATCAGACTTTTGAGATGTTCGTCTGCATGGTCGAGATTAACGGGGGAATCTTTTCTTCACAATCGATGCACTTAAAAGAAACTTACGGTGATTGATTTGGCGGGTGTGGTGACGACTGAAGAAATGGGATTTTTCAGATCGCGGCTGCTCGCGATCCAGCTCATCTGCCTCGTCCAACGTGGCGACGATGTTAATCTTACTACCCTGGCGGCGCAGAATCCGGCTGCCACGCGCAAGGAACGACCGAGGCTTCTCGGGCCGCTCAGCCCGGAACCCCAATGCTGAGGAAGTGCGTTCATCCTGAGACGAGCCATCGGTCGACGTCATGGACGAACTCGGTGAGCGACGCGATGTAGTGGACGTCGTGGTGTTGCTTCGGGACCGGCCACCGAAGACAGATAAACGCTTAGGGCTATGGGTGTGGGCTGTTGACCTCGAACGACTATGAACATGCTCGGGGCCTTCGTTCGAGGACCGGGTGGAGGGGGTATCCGACCCATTATCCATCCAGTGGCTCTGGGCCATTGGATAATTCATAAAGGTCGACATGGTGCAGGATTGCAGAGAAAGCACCAATTGCGAGTCTAAACCATGGTAAGAACACACCAAATCAACCCTCAAGGGATAAGGAGCGAATAGATTGAGGGGAAAAAAGGAAAGAATCAAGTAAAACAATAAGAATAATAAAGAGAGAGAGAGGGAGGGAAAGACGGGGGGGGCGCAGTGTCTATAATATCGCAACGTGCGAGATGGCGTATTGGAAATACACCAAAAATACCAAGTGGAGTCAGGGGCGACGCACTGTGATTCGGTTGCACAGACGCGGGCGGCCGAGTTTCTCGATGCGACTCTGGCTGTTATTTTTGTATTTTTGTATTTTTGTATTTCTACTCTTTGACTATTGACTATTGACTATTGACTATTGATTGTGTATTATGTCTCTGTTATTTGCTATTTTCTACTTCAGAACTATTTGGGCCATTTGGTGGCTTCCCGGCAATAGCGTGTATAGTGTGGACAGTGTAGCCATCAGTGGTATCATCTCGGCGTTCCCTCCCAGCAATACGGACCCGAAACTCATGCGTCGGGCCAGGGGCCTTTTTCTTTTTTTCTTTTTTCGTGAGAACGTGTTTGAACGGGCGTGTGGGGGGCCCGGCATGAGCTTTGCCCCGTCAAGTAACAATCGGCGGTGCAATACTCCTATGGGGCCTTTTTTTTTCTACTAGTTACTAGTTAGAAACCACACCCAGTTCACCGGGAATCTGGAGGCAGATGAGGGAAAAAAATAAATAAATACTTTCAGGATCAAAGGTGCCCTCCAGGAATGCGGATGGCCAAAGGTCGATAATTCCTTCAAGCCACAGAGAGGTTGCAACTGATACCTGTATTCTTTTTCTCCTTACAGCCCTTCACGCCTTGGAAGCCCTAATCGCGGAGAGAAAGAATGTGGGACAACTTCGGTTCTTACGGTGGCCTTGCGTCTCAGCTCACCTATGTAACATGATAATAAATAGTAAAATAGTAAAATAATCATACATAATCAAATGAATATAAACCCCTTCGTTTCCCCACGTTAGCGTGTCAGGTTCAACGGTTTTCCGCAACCCATAGCCCCTGGACTATCTTGGGATCTTGGGATCTCGGGCTATACTGTATGATTGGGAAAGGATCCGTTTCGCCGGGCGTGTATAGAGAACGAGGCCACAGATCGCAATCTCGCCCGGGGACCCGGCAGTGGGGGTCGTATAATCACATTGTAAGATGTGAAAGATTACCAGTGTGCGACTCGGCAGTTGGCAAACATGTGTCAGTTTTTTTGTACCTAGGCAAAAGAAAAACGAAGTAAACCCCTGTGTTTGATCCCAGCTCTGTACATATGACCGTGTCTATCCCTCGCAAGGAGAGCAAGTTGAATCGGAGAGTGCCGGGATGGTAAGAGAATCAGAGACCAAGATCTCGCAGGACCGTTGGAGGAGCCCGCATGAAGAATGCCGGAACTCACCGGTGGGTCGCCCTTGCGCAAGGTTTGCATCAGACTTGGTCGAGATGGAGTTCCAAAGCCGAGAGGTTGGGAGCGGTAAGGAACCTATGAAGCCCTAACTCCCCTGTGGATGTATACACAGTGGGTGGAAAGGAAACGTCATTCCCAGCTTCCTATCTGAGAAGCGGAACATGTTCGACTGCAGCTAGTCCAGCTAGTGGCAGCTCAACGGTTGAAACAAGAGAGAAGCCCGAGGGAAAAAGTCAAGAGAGACGCCAGCGTCTCAGATGACGAGACTCGTAACGTGGGTTATTTGAGGGGTACCCGGGTGGTACATTGGGTTCTCACCCAGTGGGGGTACAACCCCCAGGTAACCTGCAAGTACCCCCTCGTACCATATCTGGCAGGTATCGTCGCTCCTGACGATCCCGTCTCGACCGTCGGTGACTCTCCGGGCTCAGCTGAAGAGGCTGAACGGTGCTCTCAGTCTCTCAGTCTATTGCTGATACTTGCCAGTCCTCTCGGGTGTCTCCTCGGTCTCTCTTCGGAGATGACTCCGATGATCAAAGTCGATCAGACTTGCGATCAAATGGACAAACTCGAGTCAGAATGGACCTCAGACTCTCTCACTCAGAAATCCTTCAGGAGCACGAGGCAAAAGATCCATGGGTGCCCCATTCTGATGTGCTTTGTAAGATAACACCGAGTCCATGGAATGATTTGCAAATGATTTTCAACTGGTTTGACTCGCCCCTGGGGGCCACGCTCGAACCAACCCCTGGCCCAACGGGCACATCTTCAAAAGGTTCGCGATCCTGTCAACACCATCCATGGATCAGATGTCCTAAGGATCTGAAATCATCGGTCGGCCCCATGTGTTTTTTTTTCTCTCGGCAGCCTTACAGAGATTGCGTGGATGTGCCACGAACAGCGTATGTTCGCATGCGATTTTCCCCTCGACGATCCCTCGCTCAGCCCCAGCCTTGGGGTCCAAGATGCGAGAGAGGCGGTTGCGACTCAGTGTCGACTTGCAGATCTGGTACAAGGCTGACTCTTGCGATATGCTGATTATGACCGGAATGTGTATGTGTATGTGTGTTGTGAGGGAAAACTACTGACCATAGTTCTGGGCTGACAGGATCTCCCTAGGTCCTCATTCGATGATCCATGGAATCCTTCTCCATCCCGCCCCCTTCTCTCTCTTCTTTTTAGTTACCATCCATGGCGCTGACACATGTGTACCTAGGGTCCGTCATGAGCCCTGACCCGCGTATATGTGGAGGGGCGATTCCTTCTGGCGATCTTGTGGCCCGTTAGTGCCCTGCTAGTTCACCTAGTTACCCCTTGACTACTCTTCTTTCTACGGTACTTGCAGGTCAGATCGCCCCGTGAGGATCGACAAGCGAGCATGGCAGATTATCCGTCCAGGTCGCATCTGGCTGTTCTCCATGATCGACTGCACAGTGCAACGTCCTTGCATCCCCGAGGTATCACCCGGTGGCCCACTAGACCATATACTGTTGATCCATGTCGTACAAATAGATTGATTTTCTGGAGTGCGCTTCGATTTGATTTAACCATTGTATTAGTGATTATAGTATTAATGCACTAGGATCCCACCGAACGCCGGTCTCTCCTTTTGTTCCCCACAGTATAAATCATACAATAAACAGAGAGAAAAGAAATTGAGAAATCAAGATCCCGAGTGATACTCCGTGATACCACCGTCACAATACGCTTCCAATAGATCATTTTGCTGCGCCGCATCATCCATGTTACTGGTAACGAAGCCGACAACTATGGGATCTCGCGATTAGGTGATGTCGATCCCAGGGAGGCCAACGTCGAATTGGCCAATACCCGCGGTGCCAACATCGATATTCTCATATGCGCTTGATGACGATGTTGCCGTCACCGTCTTCGCCGCCAAGGCCAAGGTCAACGAGGTCGTCCTTGTTGGCAATGTCACGCTTCTTCTTGTCCGCGTTGGTGACGAGGCCAACGGCTTCGTCTTTGAGCGCGGTCAGGTCAAGTTCCAGGTCCTTGACCACATCCTCGTTGGAGCGCTTGAGGACAATGTTGCCACTGGAGTCGACGTTGTCGGTGCCCAGGCCCAGGCTGACCAGGCTGTCGCCGTTGGGGACAGGGGCGGCAATGACAGCTGCGACGAACAGCGCGGTAGCGAGAGTGTAATGCATGATAGCCGGGAGTTGCGGCGCAAAAGAGAAGGAGACTGTATGTTTTCTGTGAGCTATATTCCTATCATAGCACTAATATATATACAGAGAAAGAGGAGACTCTGCACTTACTGTCTAGGGGGAGGTTGGAGCTGGTGGATCGGGATAGAGAGAAAACGGGAGAAAGGCGAGAAATAACCGCCAGGGACACTCAGGGCACTTAAGAACCTGGGGTCGGAGAGGATAGCCGACGTGCTTGGGCCATAGAAAAAAACGACGACAGTTTTTGAGAGTTCCCATCAGGCCATTGCGAGCTCATTGCTACCTCTCTGTGAGGAACGGTGCACCGTCGAGGCCCGGATCAATGCCCACATGAGTGGTTCGCGCAGCGATCGTGTCTGGGTAAGGTTTGGACAAGCATTGGCTCGTCTGATACAGCCATGGATCTGCGGTCCCTTTCCCGGGTATACCAACTATAGAGACCGCGAAGGTACATGAAGGTAAACAAAAGTTGTATTCCGGTGGGTCCGTAGATGATCAGTCAATGCGGGAGACTCAAGACGATCACTGACTGTTTGGGCGATCGAGCCAGCGACCGGAAAATATCATCGGTTTATCTGACAGTTGACATCGCAGCTGTCATTCAACTGTCATGGGGGACGGAGGAATGCAATGGGGTAGAGATGAGGAAAGGAAAGTACGATTGGGAGATGGCCCAGGAGTTATTCGCAGAAGCCTCAGGCCAAGTAGCGACTCAATAACCAAACAGCCTCAAAGTATGAGCTTCTCCGGCGCAGAACTAGGGCTCAATTGCCTAGCAACTTGGCTAACAAAAAAGGTCAAGCTTCTTGTCAGAATTCTACTTATCCAACTTATCTACCAGCCTCCGGAAATATCTACTCTTTCCGAGTGCAACTATACACGCACCGGGACCCAGAGCTTGCCTCCATGCAAGACCTTTTTCTGAGTGCATACGGTTTTTTTTTTTTTTTTTTTTTTTGAGTCCTGGATCCAGGGATTTCTTATTTGACCTGGTCCTTGAATATGCTGTCCAGGGGAGTGAGTATATTGATGTAGTCATGTCATCGACTGCTGTCGACATCGCCGTAGACGATGGCATATGCGCAAGCTAAACTTCCACCGCAGGATTTGTTTCATTTCATTTTTCTTCTTTCTTTTCTTTCCAGGTGCAGAATCGAGTCTTTCGTGGTTTTTTTTTCGCCCACTGAATGGGAGTCAGAACCTTTCTAGTCCAAGATATACCGGGTACTATCTACGGCATTGATCCGGTGCAACATGCAGCATCAAACCCTTGTTATTCCAAATAGTCGAGAAATCAAATACTTGAGATGATCATATTTTTACTCCATTCGACGCTGCAACCATGACATTGGTGAAAATTAGCCGACTGGTTTAGCTTGATAGGGACTGTTGCAGTTCGAACATGGTATATATATCTTGAGTGGTCTGAATATATACCATTCAGAAAATCTTTGGCAGAATTGCTATAAGAATCGATTGATTCAACTGAATTTCTCACGCAATGCATAAACTACTAAGAGAACAAACCCATGATTTACGAGAGATAAAATCCTTTGCGTATCCTCTTTCACCTCTTTCTTGATATCTCTTGACAATAGTACCAATTCCAATTTCTAGAACCACTAGCATTATACATGCATATCTTCGCACTATATTTAGATATCCCCCCTGCAATCCTCCCACAAGACCAACCAGTTGAGATATATACATAGTAACATCTGACACGCATAACTCGCGTCTTTCCCTCATCCGCCCCCAAATCCAACGCGGATCCGTCTCAACTTACAGATGAGGTGCGCCTTGTAGGTTGATAGCCCCCCGGCCCAATCCCTCTTATCTCTCAAGGATGTTTCTCATCTCTTACGCGTGGGGGCTGGAGGGGCTCACGGGGTCTTTTACTCATGGTATCTACGGAAATCATACCTACAATCATAGAATGCGTACTGAGATCCGTATGAGCAAGTGGCAGGGCGAATTGAACAAACTCTCAGGGCTAATTACACAAGGGTCGAAGAAGTCCGGTCGCAAAAGAATTTGTAAGTGATTCAGATGCCGTGTCCCAGACGCCGGAGATCAATAAAAAAAAGAATCAAAGCACCAGAAAAAAAAAAAAAAAACATATGTAGTTTTGTAGTGTGGCAGCAAAGACAGCATCAGTCCTGCATCTCGGTGTCCTCCTTCGCGGGCTCCTCGCCAAACAGATCATCATCGTTGTCTTCTTCGTGCCCGGTCTGCTTTTCGGCGGATGCCGCCGCTTCCTCCTCCTCGTCCTCATCGTCGTCGTCGGTGATGCGGCGCGAGGCCTTGGCGCGACGACGAGGCGCCGCATCTTCATCCTCTTGCATCGGCTCGTCATCAAACAAATCATCCTTTTCCTTGTCGGCGTTGGGGGTCGCGACCGCCTCTTCGTCGTCCGAGTCCACCACCATCTCACTGCTCTTGTACTTGCCCTGCGGCTGGGCCTTCCCGCCAGACCGGCGTTCAAGTCTCCGACGCTTCTTCGGTGCGGTCTCGCCTTCGCTCTCAGGCTCTGCGCTGCCAGCTGGCTCGCCGTCCTCATCGTCGGCCACGAAGTCGTCCTTGCCCTTCTTCTTGCGCTTGGAAGCGGGCTTCTTCTTGCGTTTGACCTTCTCTCCGGTCTCGGAATCGGCCGTCAACTCAGCTTCCTCGCGGGCGCGTTCGTTCTCGGCGCGTTGGGCGGCATGTCGCTGTGCCTCCTCGACCATCTGCTGGCGCTCCTCGGCGATCCTCTGCTTGCGCTCGAGTTCGACCTCCTGTGCCTTGCGCAGCTCCTCTTCGCGCTTTCGCATGGCCTCTTCACGAGCCTCACGAGCCTGTTGCAGTTTCGCCGCATTCTTCTCTTCGTATTCCTTCTGACTCTGCATCGCACGATCCAGCTGCTTGCTGATTGTGCGGCCCATGTTCGCACGTTGCTCCAGGGCCGCGCTGGGATAGGGCGGGTTCTTTTCCTTGGAGAGGCGATCAAAGGTCTCAATGGCCTCCTTAAGCCCTTCGGCAGCCTCTTGCACGTCCTGCAGGGTCTTCTGCGTAGGCTGGAGACCGTACGCGAGCGAGGCAATCTGGTTCTGCACCAAGGCAACGTTGAACTGCAAATGGAGCTGATCTGGCGAGACCGACTGCGCACGCTGCGCGTAGTCCAGCGCTGTCTTCAGCGCCACGAGACTTGATTCCTGCTTTCCCTTCAGCCACCAAACGCGGCCAAGACAGGCCAAGATCTGCACATCGCGGGAACGATCCTTGGCCAATGCTGCCTCGTAGTGTTCAATAGACCGAGAAAACTGGCGTAGCTCGGCGTACACGTGTCCCAGGTTAAGGTAGACACTGGCATCTTTGAGCGTGTCCCGAATCTTGGACAGAATCTGCACCGCGGCGCTGTGATTCTTCTTGTCATCGATCAGAGCGATGGCCACTCCCTGGGCCGCATAGGCATTCTTGGGGTCCAACTGGAGAGCCTTGTCAAAGAACTCTACGGCCCGCTGGTACATCTTCCGGCGCTTCTCCTTTTCTTGGTCGGATTCACGGCGCATATCGCGTGCAGCGATGAGATGCACATTGCCCATACCCGTCAGGGCATACCGGTCGTGCTTGTCGTAGTACTGCAGGGTGTGCTTAAAGTGGCGTTGCTCGTGGTCCTCGGCAATGTTGGCCACGCGCTTCTTCGATTTGCTGAGATACCATCCGAAAAGCGCCCGAACCTCGAGGCTAGAAGAATCGACTTCGTAGAGCTTGGCCATCTTCTTTGGGCCCTCGTCCGTGGGACTCTGGCGCAGCGCGATGTAGGTCATCCGTGCGCTTGCTTCTGTGTAATCACCGTGTCGCTCCAGAAGACCTTCGTAAACCTTCTTGGCTTCGTCCCACATGTCTGCCGCTTCGTAGGTCCGGCCAAGGTTATAACTGATAGTGGTGACGAGCGCGTCGTTGTCTGTGTCGTTTTCCTTCTCCTTGGATTGAACGCACGCGTTGAGCGCAGACTGGAACATCCCACGGGCGAGAGCAATCTTCTCGCTCTGGTACAGGAAGCAGCCCATATTGTTAAGCAGTTGCGGCGGCAAACGCTCTCGGAGAGCCTTGTTCATATCATCTTCATTTTCGATGTCTTGCGGCCGGTCATCCTCCGGAATACTGGAGATTTGAAGCTTTTCCAGCTGAGCCAGACACTGCATACTCTTGTCTGGAGCCGTAATCTCATAAAGACGAGACAGGTAGACCAATACCGACTCTTCTGGCGAGAGCTTCAGCTTTTCATCCTTCCACATAGCACGCACTGACTCCAAAAGGCTGATTGCTCGCTTTGTTTCGGTTGATTTGTCTTCCCTGCTGCCGGCTCTGTGAGCAGCAAAAACCTCTTCTGCGTAGAGCGAGGCAAGCAGAATCATTGCTTCGGCGTTTCTCGATTGCTGGACAATCTTTTCCAGGCGGAACTTTGCTCCATCGTAATCCTTGTTCGTGACTTGCATCTGTACAGTGCCGAACTTAGCCGGCAGATAGCCCTTGTCGCCTCCGCCACGAGCCTGGTCAGAGCGATTGTAAAATTCCACTGCGCGGGCGGGGTCACCCTCGTAGTGCGCCTTTCGCCCAAGAAGGTACCAGCCGTCACTGGCAATGGGCATCACGTCCGTGTTCTCAATAGCTTTGCGCGCAAGAGTCTCCACAGTCGCGTAGGATTTGCGAAGGAGGAAGTAGCCGCCGAACATAGCACAAGTCATTGGGTATTCCTTGTCCAGTTTAAACGCCTTTTGGGTATACTGAGTCATCGCAACTTTGTACAAAGAGCCAAACATCGGATCGGTGGTCGACCGGCGAGAGCTGTCATAGAGGTAATACACAGCAAGAAGGATATTCGCAACCTTGGATTCGGGGGTCTATAAACAATAAATCAAGGTCAGCTATGCCCCTTTAGATAATATCGCCCGTCATAAACACATACCAGAGACAAGGCTCTTTCCCAGGCTACCTTTGCTTGATCCTTGAAGCCAAGCTGCCACAAACAACATCCCAGACCAATCCGAGGATCGGGATCTGCTAGGTGAGGCATCTTCAATAGAACCTTTTGATACCCTTCCAACGCTTCTGTGTACCTTCCCAGCATGTAATGCGCTCGAGCTCGTCCCAGGATGGCCATGATGTTACGGCCGCCGAAGGCCTTGGATGATTCGTCGAAGCATTTCAATGCCTGTCGTAGCGATTCTACTCTCTCTGACGTATCGATAGCACCGGGGCGAACCGCGCGAGGGGGGTACAAGGATGCACGAAGAAGACACAAGACACCACGCGCAAGAAACAAGGGTGGATACGCCGGGTTCAGACGCGACGCCTCGTTCAATGTCGAGGTCGCCAGTTGTAAGTAGTGGTCCTTGGTCTTGGCTTCGGAATACAGTTCGCCTTCCGGGGCAACTCGGGGGGCCTGGCGACTCTTCAGCATCAGCAGCCAGCAAACCCAGCCCAGGAGTCCGAGTTTCTCCTTCGTTGCGCCGTGAGCTACCGAAGCCAGGCCCTTGTTCAAGATCTCGATGGCATGGTCGAGTTGCTTTCGCTTCGCGTACGCGAGAGCAATAATCACCCAGAAATTCTTCGCTGCTCTCTCGTTTTCCAGCAGGGTACACAGCTCGGTTGGGTCCTCGGGCAGATCGAGTAGACTGACTTCGACTTCGCTGTCGAAGCTGGAAGCTGGAATGTCGATGGCATCGGGGATATCGGAGAAGCGGAGGCTGTCAGGCAAGCTCGTCGAAGGCAGAGTATCGCCGTTCAGGCCATTGGCATGGCCATTCTGAAGAGACGCCATGATGCGACCCAGAGGGAGGTGGAGAGGCCACTGGGATGCGACTGGATGCTCGTAAGAAGGTCAAGTCATGATCAGGTGAGATCCATAAAAAGTCTGAAAGATTGACGAGAAGTTTGGAGACTTTGAGATCACACCAAACGCGCCAGTGGAATCGGAGGCTTGACCGCGGTGCTGGAGAAGTTGAGAATTGACGATCGGAGCGGCTGGGCACCGCCACAGACAGCCACACTGACCCCTTACGTAAGACATGGTCAAGCCTCAAGTCTTCGAAGTATGAAAAAATATGGAATAATAATGAACAATATCTAAGAATAACGCATCTAGGTATCAAGCTCACAAAGCTTTCCCAATGTGAAGGGATTAGTGGGAGAGAGAAAAAGATTCGTAACTGCTATAGTCCACCCCGCGCACTCAGTTTCCCAGCATTCTGCACAAGAATCCGAGACCAGCCAGCACCACAAAGATCTGACCGAGTTCAATCCAGTGATGCAGTTGAACGTAGGACTCAATGTATCCAGCAGAAACAGCCACCTGCTGTTCATTTGTGGTGCTGTTTGCTTCAATCGAACCGGCCAGGTCGGACGGGAATCGACCTGTCTCGAAATATTGACCTAAGAGCAGATCCTTCTCAGCCCATCGGGCCCTCAACCAAGCATCAAACTCTTTTTGGTCATCGAGGGGGATTTCTGAAACAGCGAAGCGTCTCCAATACATGTTGACGGAAGTCGGTGGTCGTCCCTGACCGTATGTGGAACGAAGTGTGAAGTATTTGTCGGGATAGCTGCCTTTTCTGTACGAATGGATTCAGTATTATACGAAATCCAGGGCAAAAAGAAGGGGAAGACGTACGGTGGACCTTCGTAGGCAATGGTGCTATCATACACCCAGTCGACGGTGCCCCGCAACTGCTGCAGACAGAAAAACAGACCGGTGGACCGTGGAAGGATTTGGTGGTTAAACGAAGGCAGTCCCTGCTTTTGTCCATATTCATCACTCCGTCGCTTGGTGTTAATGGACAGGTTCGTCCCCTCGGGGAAGATGAGAAGCCACATAGGATCATACTGCGGCTTGCCCGACTTGGAACCGGTATGACACGTCTTGAGCTTCTCCAAGCGATGCTGCAGCCTTGGCTTATCCGAAATCCACTTGCGGGCCATGAAAATGAAGCCATAAAACATCATCCCTTGACCCACAACAGGGATATACTTGAGTGATTCCTTCAAGATGATGAAGATGCGTCCGTGCATCTCGTTGGTGTATGCAATCCACCACAGATAGATCCAATCTGTGTAGACCTGGTGGTTCGCAACCAGGACCAGACGCTCCGGAAACTGCGTTCGCAGCATTCCATCCTCTGATAGATGAAGCTGACCACGTACACTGGCATCGCCACTGACCCGGAAAAGCGTTGGGCAACCCCAGTGGGTGACCGCGGTGATCACCAGACCAAAACATTGCTTCGTGTGTGCCATATACGAATAGTACCAATCCTTGTGTATCAAGTACAACGGAGAGCCAACCAGCTGCGTCACGAAGAGGACCACACAGCAGCAATTGAACCAGGTCCCCAGCAGGAGAGAGCGAAGAACCTGCATGGGAATTCCATGTTTGAGACGGGGCTCCGTGGGGGGTTTACTCGAAAGCTTGTGGAGATCGCTGGCTTCCTTGACGGTCGGCTTTCGCTGTCGAACCTCGGCCGCGTCCATACTGGTCATTTTTTCTGTGATGTGTACACGGGTTTAAAACGAGGGGCTATTTTGTCAAAGGTCAGACTGGGAGCGAGCGAGCACTCGCCGAGGTGCACAACAGCCCACACATACAGTGTCTTTCAGGCACCAAGTGCTATTAAGAAATACCAAGAATTCCACCTGAGTGGGTAGATGGAGGTTCGCCCGTGTGGGGTCTGTTGCAAGCAGAGAGAAGAAATGTCATAAATCAGGGTATCATGAGGCCATCGCCATTGGGGAAATAGAAAAGGAAAAGGAAGATCCGGGGCATTCGGAGGGAAAATCAGACCTGAGCTCGTGACGTTCACAGCCAAAATAACGTCAGAGCCGAGGCGGTGGGTCTGTTGGCTCCCTCGAGGCGGTGGGTCTGTTGGCTCCCTCGACTTTCTCTTCTCTTCTCTTCCTCGAATTCTTCCCCTTGTTTCTTGCCCAATAAATCGCCTGGCGTAGGTGATGCTGTGATTCTTTTCTTCTATTAATACCTCCCAGGCCTCACACATCGACCATCGTTGAGTCACGCTTGGGCTGCGATGCCGCAGCATTGGGAGCTCTCCCGCAGATACACATGACCACGGTCATCTCGGTCCCCCAGTTTCCAACATGCAGTGTCTCCGCAGGACTCCACTCCTGCGGCGCTGCTTTTCTACGTCTCTGGCGCGTCACGAGATCAAGGATCTCGGGTCTTTGTCTCGGCGCCTAATCCCCAAATACCAAGGTGTGGGTCACTGCGCGAGGTGACCTGTCCGGCGGCAGAGTCATCGTTGTGATGCGAGGTCTAATGAATCCTTTCCAGAATCTAATGAGGGAGAGCTGCTCTCCCTTCAGTGGCCGGCACCGCCACGCAACATCCTCCTGGTGCGCAAGGACTGTGCCCCGGCCGTGAGCGACTCTCTCATTGAATTTGCAAGGTGCGCGCCCGAGCTCGTCCAACCATGATAGCGCTTGATACTCACACTAGCCCCCAGCCACATCAAATCGACGTATCCGTCAATATCAGTGATTCTCGAATCGAAGACCGCCGCCGAACTCCATTCGTCGCTACCTTTCTCTGTATATTCTGCTTCTTTGGAAGAACGACCGACCGCGTTTCATGACAAGGTAGATCTCACGGTGACCCTTGGTGGAGATGGCACAATCTTGCACGCATCCTCGCTTTTTGCTACATGCTCGAATGTACCCCCGGTCTTGTCTTTCAGCATGGGCACCCTGGGGTTTTTGAGCGAATGGAAGTTCTCTGAATTCAAGCGGGCGTTCCGCGAAGTCTACATGTCCGGGGCCGGTGCTGGGGATCGTGCCCCGGTCTTGGAGGAGCCCTTACAACCGGCGTTGGAAGTACAGGAGTCTCAAATGGGTCCGACCGGATGGTCTTCCGTTCGAGGCAAGTCCATGGGCTCAACACGTGGAGCCCGCATTCTGATGCGCAACCGGCTGAAGGTCGGGCTGTTCACTGCCGATGGCACCGAGACGACGCCAATCCGCGGTAAAACGGACCAGGGCCAAGGGGTGTACGTGATGAACGAATTGCTCATCCATCGGGGCAAGGAACCGCACCTCGCTGTGGTGGATGTCTTTGTGGGCGGGCGGTTTTTGACCGAGGCGGTGGCAGATGGAATCATCATTTCGACGCCGACGGGAAGTACAGCCTACAGCTTGAGCAGTGGCGGCAGTATTGTGCACCCGCTAGTGCCATCGATCCTTCTCACGCCCATCTGTGCGCGCAGCCTCAGTTTTCGGCCATTAGTGCTTCCCTCTAGCACACCCATTACGCTGCGGCTGAGCGAAAAGAACCGCGGCCGCGAGCTGGAAGTCAGCCTAGATGGCGTCAACCTGGGTCAAGGGATGGCGGTTGGTATGGAGGCTCGAGTGTGGAATGAGGAGATGAGGCATGGCAAGAATGAATGGCATGGTGGCGTGCCCAGTGTGATGCGGAGAAGCATGGGCGGCGAAGCGCACGAGGGATGGGTCGGCGGCCTGAACGGACTGCTCAAGTTCAACCATCCCTTCGGCGAGGAGTTTTGAGTTGTGTACATACCTCCCCTGTACTGAATATTGTCAACATACCCATGGATTGCGGTGCGATAGGGCAGAGCCATGCTTATTCAGGGCGAAGGATCCATGGAATGCCAGCATCTTTCCCATCGATGCATCCGTGGATCTGTCGGCGCCTTATAAGTAGTTGTGTAGATGGAGGGAGTAGTAGATGCGATGAGGTATTTACTCCCTAAGATGCCAAGTCCCAGGGACCCTTGGGAGTAGAGATGCATTGGCATGTCAATTGTAAAGAAGAAGAAAAGCACAGGAACAAACAAAGCAGACGAATGTTTTGTTTCCACCCATTCAGGAACAAACCGTGGATGCCTGAGTGAGCAGAACCGGGTTTCCTGTAGATTGAAGCCTTATCAACTTGGCAGATCTCAGGGGAGAGGGTCTTTCTGCCCCCAGTTTCACCCACCCCCCTTTCCCACCCAACTGATCCAATCAAAAATCTCCCGACTCATCTTTTTTTTTCTTTGATTCCGTCTTTGAGAGCAATCCTCGCAGTGCGAGGCTCCGCTCCCTCTTTCCACTCGGTAGGTAACCCGTTAGGACACCGCTTGTCAGATCACCCCTCCAAACCGCCCCAAGCCCCCTCAAGCCTCTCGTCATCCCTCGTGGAACCATCGTCTTTCCCCTGACTGATTGGCCCCCCTATTACTCGCCCCTGGATCAAAACGGCTGATCGTGTCTGTGCTGCCAGTGTGTCGATAGCCAGTCTTGAGGGGCCTCAGGAGGTCTCGGCGCATTGATCCCGCTCTCGCTGTTGCACGACTCCTGAACCTGGACAGATCCCGACAATGACTTCTTCCTACGGAAAGTAGGTCTTCTTACCCCCAATGAGGTTGTCAGGTTAGCAGCTCACCCGCTCGCAGCACCATGTATACGCCGGATCAGTTCATGAATCCTGGGCCGGCACCCCGCCCCCCTACGGAGCGCCCTCCCAAGTTGACTCTTCCCACTAATAACAACGTGGCTACCTCGTTCAATCAGATGAGCTTGAATTCACCGACTACCCCGGGGTCCGCCAACCTTTCTCTGTTCCCCAACACCAGCAGTCCGTCCCTGACTCGGAGCCAGACCGCGGGGCAGGGCGGTTTCGCTATCATTAAGGAGGGATACGTTCGCTGCAAGGAAGACAAGTTCCTGGCCACATGGAACCAACGATACTTGATCCTGCGCGAATACAAACTTGAGTTCCTGAAAAATGAAACGGGCAAAGTGGTGATCTCTTTCCCGCTCTCCTCTGTCACGGCGGTGGCCCGCTCCGAGGAATCCAAAATGGCCTTTGAGATCACACGGTTGGCCAACCCCAAGGACGCATCATCCAAAACCGCTATGATTACCCGCGACGTCCCCACTAAGACTATCACCTGTGAGGTTAAGACTGACGACGAGATCTATGAATGGATCGACAAGATCTATGAGCGTTGCCCAGGCATGGGCGGAGTGAGCAATCCGACGAACTTCAGCCACCGCGTCCATGTTGGCTTCGACCCGCAATCGGGCGCCTTTGTGGGCTTGCCTCCAGAATGGGAGAAGCTTTTGACGGCCTCCGCCATCACCAAAGAAGACTACAAGAAGAACCCTCAGGCGGTCATTGAGGTACTTGAGTTTTACTCCGATATCAAGATGCGCGAACAGAACCCGCAATACTACGGTGGGATGAACGCTCCAGCCGGCGGTCAAGCCAAGTCACTCGGGAACAGCACGGTCGGCAGCTCCATCGCGCCTCCGCGACCTCCCCCGCCGGGCCCCATGCAGCGACTCGACAGCAACCAGTCGAAGCAATCGACGGAAGGCTCCATGCGCTCGGGAACATCCTCACCGGGACAGTCACAGGGCAAACCAGAGTCGGACCGTGCGATGGAACAGCAACAGCAATTGGAGCGGATGAAGGAATTAGCCGATCAGGAACGACGTCGCGTGGAAGAAGAATCGCGTCGAAAGGAAGAGCAAAACCGGGCCGAGCAGGATGCGTACAATGCCTCTTTGCCGCAGACGCGCGTTCCGCTAGCCAAGCAGGAACTTGGTGGCTATAGTGGAGAGGAGTCTTCGATGAATAGTCGCTACAAACCCAGCCGCCCGGCTCCGCAGGCTCCGGGCCCTGGGGCTCGGAACCAGTCTAATGAACCTCGGCAGCTGACGGCACAGCGTCCAGCGCCGCCGCCGCCGACCTCATCGCAGAGCCCCTATGGACAAGGCCCGCCCCGCACCCCTGGCGGGCTGCGGAACGAGGACCAAGGTTCCCCCAACTCGCGCTACCTCCCCAATGACCCTCGGGCTCAGGGCTTGGCGAATCGTCCCCAGAACAATGGCAACAAGGGCCAGCAGGCACAAGGACCTCCTCCAACTCGCCTGCCTGCTCCTGTGCAGGCAGTCAAGCCGCTGAACATTGCCAACAAGCAGACGGGCAACAAGCAGGGCGTGCCCGATGGTGTCCGCCAGGCGGAAGCGGCGCTGACCAAGAAGCCGGAGCCGCGGCAGAAGGAGGTGCGCATGTCAAACATGACTGAAAACGAGGTCATGGACCGACTGCGGTCAGTGGTGTCCAAGGACAACCCCAACGATTCTTACAGCAAGCAGCGCAAGATCGGCCAGGGTGCTTCTGGATCGGTGTACGTGGCGCGGGTCAAGGAGCACGCGACCTCGTCTGTGGCACGAGAGCTGTACCGACAGTATGGCCCGCGCTGCCAGGTGGCTATCAAGCAGATGGATCTGCGCAGCCAGCCGCGGAAGGAGTTGATTGTCAACGAGATCATTGTTATGAAGGACAGCCAGCACGCCAATATTGTCAACTTCCTCGACTCGTTCTTGCAAGAGCAGAGCAACGAGCTTTGGGTCGTCATGGAGTTTATGGAGGGTGGTGCGCTCACCGACGTGATTGACAACAATCAAGTCATCCAAGAAAACCAGATCGCGACGATCTGCTCCGAGGTTGGTTGTGTCCTTGTCTGTTCGTGGAAACTTATCACTAACTATATCGCTCGCAGACTTGTAAGGGACTTGCCCACCTGCACAGTCAGAACATCATCCACCGTGACATCAAGAGTGACAATGTCCTGCTCGACCGCGTTGGCCATGTCAAAATCAGTAAGCTTTCACGCTCAACTATGTGTCAAGTGAAACATGCTAACCAACGATGCAGCCGACTTTGGCTTCTGTGCTAAGCTTACTGAATCCAAGAGTAAGCGTGCCACAATGGTGGGAACACCTTACTGGATGGCCCCCGAGGTGGTGAAGCAGAAGGAGTACGGCCCCAAGGTGGACTGCTGGTCACTGGGTATTATGGCCATCGAGATGATCGAGTCCGAGCCGCCGTACCTGAACGAAGAACCACTCAAGGCACTGTATCTGATCGCCACCAACGGGACTCCGCGTCTGAAGAAGCCCGAGAAGCTGAGCAAGGAACTCAAGGCGTTCCTGAGCGTGTGTCTCTGCGTGGATGTCCGGAGCCGGGCGACAGCAGACGAACTCCTGGCGCACGAATTTATGCAAACGGGCTGCAGCTTGGCCAGCCTGGCGGAACTGCTGCGATGGAAGAAGCCCAGCGGCCAGTAAATAACTCCCGACTTGATTTCACCTCCTCTCATATCCCCTTGGAATTTGGAGATCTGTCCTGCGCACATATTCGATCCTACCTACGCACGCGCGCCTCTGGTTAGCCTTTCTGTCTTTTTCTTTTCATCCCTCTCACGAACCTGCATGCGTCAATTCCCCTCGCTTCTTCTGGACAATTTTGTGGTTTTTTTTGGCCCCTATTTTCGGGGTCTTGACTTCGTTGCTGCTTTCTGGGCGTGGATAATCCGGCGTTTTCTGCTTTTTTGGTTTCTTTTCTTTTCTTTTTTTTTCGTCCTGTTTTTTTCTCTGCACAAAAGACTCCCCCTTTTTCTCCCCGACGATGTTGACGATCCTGCACCTGCACTGTATTATGCGTCTTTGCGCTAAAAGCGACGACTTAGTCCGAATGAGATGGTTTTTGGTTTATATGGAAGATTTGCTTGTATACTGGCTATAGTCTACATCGACAGTGTACTGTAGCTCTTGATATGGCATTGGTCTAGTATAGATCTAGTAGACCACAATATCAATTCAGACTATCGGACCCTCGAGTCTATAAATCTAGTATATCATGGTGCTATGGAATTAACCCAAGGATATATAGTATATAGTCAATTCATACAACGAAAAAGGAGAAACCACACCAATATACTTAGTGCAAGACAAGAGAAAAAGAGAAAACATCAAATCAGGGCAGTTCCTCTCTTACCCAATCACCAAGCCGACCACACACCTCGCTAAACAGCACACCCTGCAGAACCGTCTCGCCCTCACTAGCAGCCCAGCGACCAGCATCCGTCAGTCGACGTTTCCAGGCAGTCTGGTCCTGCAGCGACAGATCCCGCCAGGCGCGCAGTTTATCAGATTCGGACTCGGACTCGACTGAGGCCGACTCGGCAGTCTCAATCAGGACGCTCTGCGCGGGGCCCGGGCCGTGCTCATTGCAGCGCACAATCACGGAGAGAGACTGCGGCGGGGCGACGTCGAGATCAACGGGGGCGGCGCCGGCGGCGTGGACGCGGTCCAGGATATCGCGGAGGCTGTCAATAGCCGGGCCGGAATCGGGGACGGCGGCAACAGGGGCGGAGGACCGTTGCGGGGCGAGCAATGAATCGAACAAGGAGCCGCGGCCTGGTGCCGGTGGGATGTATTCGTTGGCGATGGACTGGCGGAGGCCGGATGGCAGCCAGTTGGCGGCGCCGAGCACGGGCGGGGTGCCGCCGCGGATCTCGGCGAAGGCGAGGAGGGCGACGCAGATGGCTATGAGTGAGCCGAGCAGCACGACGGCGCTGTAGACGAGCTCCCATACCTCGGCGGGGCCTGGCATCACCAGGACGTAGCGTGGGGTGCGCGACGAGGTTGGGAATGGTGATAGCGGCAGCGTGTGCACGACTACCGTGTTGCCCATGCTGACCGATGCCAGCTTGACGTGCTGGGGGCCGACGTCGGGCGTGATGGGGTGTGCCGGCGCGATGAATGTCGAGAAACACAGGCCTGTCATCGAGAATGGGTGCAACGTCGCGCAGCGTCGTGTATGCGCGGAAGTCACCGTACCCACGGTTGGGTCCGTACTCCAGCGTCCACAGTGAGATCGAGTGATCGCTGCCGCTGGTCGCGATAATAGTTTGTTGCTGGCCCTGCGGGTTGGTACCCAGCGGACAGATGTCGAGCCCCAGTGCGATCTTGACAGCCCGCGGCAGCCGACGCCGCCGCAGAATCCGTGCTGTAGTCGATGCGGCCGTCGGCAGCTGCAGGAGAACCAGCTCGCTGCCGCCGCGGTCCGGCGCGTTCTGCAGCAAAAGCAGCGTTGTCGGCGAGAGGAACCGCAGCGCCCGGAACTTGGGGCGTGCTTTGCGCACTCCAGTCGCCGGCAGCGGGATGGTATAGACACAGCGAACGTCGGGTGCCGCATTGGATGTCGCGGCCGACGCCGAGATCTCGCCGACCATCACGTCCGTGCCTGTGGTATATGCAAAACGGAACCGGTTGCGTGCATCCTTGCCCTGGTCCGGGTCGAATTCCAGGCTGGCAAAGTCGATATCCTCGGCCTCCTCGTTGTCGCCGAGTCGGATACGGCCAATGACATCCGACTCGCTCGGGGTCTCGGTTGCGCGGAAGAAGACAATTTCACCAGACGGCGCCAGCCCCGTCGCAATGGCTCCGATCCTGGCAATATGCTGGGATGCATCCCTTGTCTTGCGCCACGGCGACAGCCTCAACATTCGTTGATATGTATCTGCGGCCTGGGGCCCATTCTTGGTGCGGAAGAGCGACGCGCGCGACAGAGCCGCCGCGGCACCAGGGATCAACTCCTCTTCTAGCTGCTGTTTTGTCTTTTCATCCTCCTCCTTCTTGTCGTCCGGCTTTGCTTCGCCCTGGTCGTCCTGATCTTTTTGTGTCCCTGTCGTCGCCAGAGCCGGGGTCTTCCGCGGGGCATCGAACCGAAACGCGCGCAGATGCTGGTTGTTCTTCTTCTTCTGCTGCTCGAGAGAGCTATTAATTCCGGCCAGCGCGACAAGCGAGCCCTCCATATCGCCGGGCTGCGGTGCGGCAGCCAGCGACGTCACAGAGTCTTCATCGCGCGACAGATCCAGCTCGACAGCCTCGGAGATATCGTGACGATGCGACGTCTCGAGGAGAGACTACACGGCCTCATAATTAGCACGAGATCCTTCCACAACCAAGTCCCAAATTCTTGGTCAGGAAAAGGGGGCAACTTGCGATTTTGTTCCCGACTCCGCTACGCCCCTCGCCGCCGCCGCCGCCCACGAGCAGGAACTTATCGCTGCGCGGATCGAACTCGGCCGCGAACAGCGGGCACGAGAGGGTCAATTTTGCGGCGTGGATTGTGGGCGCCATAATGTGTGTGTGCCTTGACTTGCGAAAAAGAGAGAAGAGAGAAAGAATCAAAAAGACAGAGAGGCCAGATTGGAATGACGCAGGAAGATTGCCCCGGATTTCTTGGCGCGGATGACCAGATTGGGGGATGCCGCGAATCTACTTCTTTATAGACGCTAATCCAGTAGACGCTTCTTGCTATTCCTGTAGGAGTCGAATGTTATAGTGGTGAGAACTGACACTGAGTAGTAGCACTGTCTATTTTCAATCAAGTATAAGTGCTTTATGTCCCTAGATCGGATCGAAGATGAATAGTCAACAATTATAAGCTTACTTTCTAATAAGAGAAATCGGGAAGCAGCTCAATGACTGACCACAATGTAATAAGATCGACGGATTCATGAGACCATGTGTCTTGGTATCTGCGTATAAACCGAGTTAAATTGACCCCAGACTCAATTTACGCAACCACTCGTACAGAATTTAACTTGGATTACAAAATTCCCTATTAATCTCGTCAAGTCAACGAGTCAAGGGATTTTGTGAAAAAAAAAAATCTTTTATAAAACGGCATAACAATTAACCAGAAGGATCTACTAGAGACTGAAACTAGTACCTCTTTCACACACGACGTAGATCAGTATAAAGGCTTATACTGTGGCTGAATTTCGATAACTCCGTACTATATACACGCAGACAAGTATGAAAAGTTATATAGAGCGTTTTTTCTGTCGATATATCTTTATTAAGTATTCGCTGTGCTGTCACTATCAGAAAACGCTAATTGCTAGATAATTGACGTTATTAAGACTCCCTTTAAATTATGTACATCTGACCAAGCACTGTCACCAATTTGCTGGTATTGAGAGCCTTCGTATAAGAACTTTCTAGTATACAGGACTAGAGAAAAGGGGTTAAGTTAATGAAAGCTTGTTCGATCGCAGAGAGCCTTATAGGTCGGGACTTATATCAATACTTAGAAAGTTTAGATATCCTCTAGAAGGAGGACAGCATCCTTTCATCGTGCTTCTAACGAAATTATGCTTCTCGTCAATTAATTCATCTGATTGTTTATCTACCAAGGTAAGCTCAAGTCATCTCGAAAGTATTCTCGACTTGATTTATAGTGCAAAAGACTTCGATATAGAGGTTAAGCGATCTTCAGACACTCATGGCCGCGAATAAGCTTCAATCAACGAGGCAGTCCATATTCAAATCTTCCAATACCATTTTGACTACCTTGTTCGTAAACTGTTTAATCCGGAACTGTTCGTTTATTCTGTCAAATCGGCCTCATGTATCAACACGGGCCCCGGGGAGCAGTAGCCTTATAAGTTAAGCCAGGTGATTTAAGGAGTGGTTATCAAGCCGGTTATAAGAGGAATAAATAGGCAGTCTCTAATAGGTAGAATCAGTATCTTATTCTATATCTTTCAAGTTACCCACTTTGTTTTATCCTATTCCATAGAACTAATAGAACAGCCAAATATCTTGTTATACTTGTGACTCTATAGGGATCAGAAATTTGTAGAAATATACAATTTCAATATAAAAGAACTAGACTGAACCCTTTAAAGCCTATACAGACGACAGTAATCACAATAACAATAATCAAAGAAGAACATCAAAATCAACATCAGAACAAGGAAAATCAAGCAAGGCACGAGATAACAAACTCTGGACACCCGAAATTTTGAAAGCTCGCACTAGGAAAACAAAGAACGATTACCCCATAAATGGTACGTTAACCATACCCTAGGCTATCTAGCAGGGACCTTTTGATAAGTTTATCTTGTTCAATATCTGCCTTGGAAACCTGAAGGCCATAAAGGATGATATATAAGCCTCTCAACTAGGGTCTTCTAGTACCTGAAGCGACTATGAAACGACTCGTGTATGGAATGATAAGCGATACGCCCAGTCGTCGTCGAGGAATATGTAATGAATCTTAAGCGAGACCCTGAGAAGGATTGGGAATGGCATTATGCTGTTTGGGACGAGAAATGATTGCAGGAATGGGGGGCGCCACACTTAAGAGAGGATGGTGGTGAAGCCCCTGGCAGTACCCGAGTATTTATTCTTATTGAATATGCTGCTCTCTGGGCTAGTTCTGTGGTCTACGATCCTCTGTGTTAGTAGTAGGGCCTCTGCATCAATTATCTATCCATAGATTCCCTCAGAAGGTTGCATCATTACGATATCGCTTTTCTCTCAAAAATTTTAAGCTTAATAGTCATCTATCGCTTGAGATAAACAGGTCAAGTGCTCTATTTAAGGCTGAAGGTAAGATGCTAGCAGTGGACTACATGACAGAAGCTATAAATCGGAAGGTGTAGCACCGAAATCATGATCTAACAAGTACACATATACAATTACCCAAGTTCTACTTGCACACTTTCGAATTGCCTTTGATTTGCGAATTTTAGCACCTATTATGAATTATTTGTTGTTTATCTTATACGCTATGTATTAGTCTATATCTTGCTTTTCCTCTATTGGGCACCGCAACCGCTTTGCTCTAGGGAAAGGCTATGATGGAAATGGAGCCATGCTTTTTATGACGAGAGACGATTACAGATATGGGAGACGCAGTTGTTAAGAGAGGACGGTGGTGAAACCCCAGGCAGTACTCGAGTATTTTACTCTCACTGAATTTTGCGTTTAGCTATCTTTGATATAACTAATGTATTAAATGCAATTGGACATAGAAAGCAAGACCAAAGAAGAAAGGAAAAAAATTGAATTTTATATGGCGCAATCAGCGCCTCTATTCGACATCTTGCCCAGTAAACTCAGGGAGCCGCTGGCGCACATCCTCCCACGTCTCATCGCCCTCGACAAGCGACTTGAGCGCGTTCAGGATATCCTCCTCACCGGCGCGCACCTGCTTGGTCGAGTCACGGTCACGCAGCGTGAAGGTGCTGTCCTTGACGGACTGGAAGTCGACGGTGACACCGAAGGGCGTACCCAGCTCGTCGTTGCGGGCGTACCGCTTGCCGATACTGGCGGACGAGTCGTCGACGCGGCTGGAGACGCCCAGCCGGCGCAGCTTGGAGCTCAGTCGCTCTGTCAGGGGCTTGAAGGACTGGTGTGTCGAGAGCGGGACCAGCAGGACCTTAGTGGGGGCAATGACCGGGGGGAAAGAAAGGACCTAGCACAGTTAGTATAAGAATTATTGACACCCAAAAAAAAAGGAGGTGACATACACCGCGGGCTTCGTCGCCGGCACGCGACCAGTAGACATGCTCAATCATGCTGTACAGAATGCGGCCAATACCGAACGAAGGTTCAATAACGTTGGGAGTGTACTCGCGGACATTCTCGACGCGGGTACGCTTTTCGATCTTGATCAGATCCTTCTCGAGCTCGATCTTGCCCGAGCCGACGCCCTCGACGTCGATCTCAATCTTGCCGGACTGCTCGAGATCCAGGGAGAGCTTCTCGCGCAGCTCCTGGGAGAGAGCATCGACAGCGGCCTCAACAGTCTTGCTGTCTTTCTTGAAGCGGGGGCCGAACTTCTTCTTTTCAATATCGACCTGCCACTCCTCAATGCGCAGGGGCTCGGCGCGAGTCTCGCGCACCACCAGCGGAGCACCGGTCTTGTTCTTGTGTACCGTCAGGTCATAGGCACTGCGGTCAGCGCAGCCGACACACTCGATCCAGCCGTAGCTGGTCTGCAGCTCGGCATCCCAGCAGTCGGTGGCGTAGTGAGCCATCTCGTTGGCCATGTGCTGGCGGAAGCGCAGCTTGGTGGGGTCCACACCCAGCTTCAGCAGGTATTGCTGGATCCGGACCAGGAAGTACCCCAGAGTCTCGTTGTCGACCAAGCCGGTCTCGACCGCCTTGCCGATGGTCATCTTCGTCACCTCGGTGCTGCCGGACAGCTGCACATCACGGTTGAGCAGCGACATCTCCACATCCTTGACACCCGCGAAGCGGGGTGCTTCTTGCCACCCTCCGGGTCGACATAGTGCTCGATTTCAGCCATGAGGAACTCACGGACACGCAGCAGACCCGCGCGCGGCGAGATCTCATTACGGAAGGACTTGCCAATGGCGGCCGAGGCAAACGGCATAGACTGCTGGTTGAACTCGAGCAGCTTCTGGAAGTTCAGGAACTGACCCTGGGCAGTTTCAGGGCGCAGGTAGCCCGGCATGTTGCTGCTAGGGCCGATAGAGGTCTGGAACATGAGGTTGAAGGAGACAGGCGGCTGCACCTTGCCGTCGGTGGTAGGGTTGCGGATATCATACTTGGTGATGATCTCCTCGAGCTCGGGACCACCATAGTTGTCAATCTGCGCCAGCACCTCCTCGTACTCTTTAACCACAGCATCGTCCAGCTTGACAGCCTTGGTTTCCTTGGCCGCCTTCTTCTTCTTCTTGGCCTCCTTCTCCTCGTCGACCACGACCTTTTGGCCGCGCGCCTCCTTGTCGCCCTTCAGACGGGCCTCCAGCACCTCCTCCACCAGGTGGTCGGCACGGAAGATCTCTCCCGTCTTGGGGTCCTTGCACATCCAGTCGGCGAACTTGTCCACGTGCCCACTGGTCTTGAGGATCTCATGCGGGGTGAGCATGGTGGTGTCGACCTCCAGCATGTCCTCCTCCAGCACGAAGTGTTTGCGCCACAGATCCGTCAGGTTGGCGATCAGCGCGGTGCCGGGAGGGCCGTAGTCGTACAGACCCGACACGCCCCCGTAGATCTCGAACGAGGGGGTATAGAACATGCGGCGACGGAGCATTGAGTCGAGCACCAGCCGGTCGACGGCCTGGCCGGTCTTGGTGGTGACGGTGGCCATCTTGGGGTTTCGCTTGGACGGCTTCGAGGTGAAAGTCTTGCAGGGAAGAGAGAAAGAAAAGGATGGAGGGGAAAGAAATCGGCGGGGGAGAAAGCGCGGCAATTGAGTCATCCACCCACACAGCCCACCACCGGAGCCAGGGAAACAATGCAACAGAAAAGAGAACGAGGAATTAACGTGGGTTTGAGTAAATTTTTCTGGATTTTTTCTCGATTTTTCCTGTCTCCAAACAGCCAGAAAATAAATCTCACAGCAAAACTGCGCTGTCGTCGGCTCTCTCGGGGAAACAATTATCCGGGATAATTTATTTTTTGATCTTCACGATTGACTGCGAATACACTCGACACTACATTCACCATGCCTAGAAAGGGCCAAGGGAGGCCGCCGCCCAATTCTGGGCTTGAGATAAAGCCCGCGAACAAGCTGCGCCGGCAGATGCAGCATATCAAGCGCAAGAGGTCCAAGGACAGTACCCGACGGGCAGAGCGCTATGCCGTCAAGAAGGAAGAAGCCAAGAACCCGAACCTCAGAACAGAGCGTCTGCGGCGCAATGTGCCCCTGACCCTAGACCGGAAGCGAGTGTGGGATGATGCCGACAGCGACGCTGAGGACCACGGATTGGGGCTGAGTGTCGACGTCGAGCGCATCAAGCGCGCCAAGAAGGACGAGGAGGACGAGCTTAACCGGCCATTGGAGGATGGAGAGGACGAGAGCGGGGACGCGCAGTCAGACGACGGGTCAATTGACAGTATGATTGCCTCGAGCGACGGCGAAGACAACGACGAGGACGAGGGCGACGACGCCGACCCGGACGACAGCCGCGGCCGAAGCAAATCGTCGCTTCCCACGGCAACGGACCGGGCCACCAGCCCGACACACTCAACCCGCAGCACCAACCTGAACCTCGCACCAGAGGCGCTGGCAGCCAAGTTCCCCGCGCTCTTCTCGACGGAGCCACCGCCAACACCCAAGATCCTGATCACGACATCGCTCAACTCGACGCTGCACAACGAAGCAGAGCTCCTGACAGACCTCTTCCCGAACAGCGTGTACATCCGGCGCACGGCGCACCGGTACTCGCACAAGTTCTCGATCCGCGAGATCGCCAAGTTCGCCTCGAACCGCAACTACACCACGCTGCTCGTTCTGCAGGAAGACCAGAAGCGGCCGAGCGGGCTGACAATCGTGCATCTGCCGCACGGGCCGACCTTCCACTTCACCATCAGCAACTGGATCGAGGGCAAGCGGCTCCCCGGCCACGGCCGCGCCACCGACCACTGGCCCGAGCTGATCCTCAACAACTTCCGCACCCCGCTCGGCCTGTTGACCGCGCACCTGTTCCGCTCGCTGTTCCCGCCCCAGCCTGAGTTTGAAGGCCGCCAGGTTGTGACTCTGCACAACCAACGTGACTATATCTTCGTGCGCCGCCACCGCTATATCTTCCGTGAGAAGCGCGAGACCGAAAAGCCTGTTGTTGGCACTGACGGTCAGGAAATGAAGGGTGCCGAGGGAATCCGGACTGGTCTGCAGGAATTGGGCCCGCGGTTTACCTTGAAGCTGCGCCGCGTGGATAAGGGGATCCAGCGTGTCAGTGGACAGGAGTGGGAATGGAAGGGTGGAATGGAGAAGCAGAGAACCAAGTTCCAGCTTTGATTTATTATCTTGTCTTGTCTGTTTTCCATCTTACGAGGGTTTTGCATGGGTTGGGGGAGTTTATTCAAAAGCAATGTCTTTTGTTCTTTTGCTCATATCGACTTTGATGGTTACATATCCCAATTGATTTGAACATAGACCATTCTGCTTGAATAGAATCTATAGAATCGATGGTCACCCAAATCCTGTGACCAAGAAGATACTGTGCAAGTGAAAGATGATTATAACCACACGCTTTTGTCTCGGATGCCTCATGCAAGAATCCACTCGCTAATCACACCAGCAATGCACACGCTTTTCCAAATGCTTATGGTACATTTTATGCAAAAAAAAAAAAAAAAAAAAAAAAGGAAAAAAAAGCTAGTCAGAGTTAGACTTAGGTTCGGATTCGGACTCGGCAGGTCCGTCATACATCCTGACCTTCCGCATGGCGCGGGCCAGAACCTCTTCCCGACGCTGGGAATACGAGACGGGTTTGCGGCCCGTCACGACACGCACACGGGCCGTTATGCGATCTGCGGTCAGGAACTCACCCTTGACCTTCTCGCATAGATCGCGGGCTGCGTCGAGGGACCAGCAGCCGGAGCGAGTGAGTGGACGTAGCGCAAATGCTTCCAGCCCCTCGAGGGCGGCAATGAGGGCCATCTTTCCCAGGCTCTTCTCGTGCAGGTCATCGGGCCACAGACCGATGGGGATAAAACGTTCCAGCACGCGGACATCGACGAAGCCCGCAGCAGAGAGGGCGCTCGTTTGCAGATGAAGCAGATCGCGCGGGTAGCCGGCGGACTCGGCGGCGGAGCGCATGGCAGCGGCGAAGATGCGGATGTAGGACTCGTCGGCGTCCGGGTTGGTCATGGTGTCGCCGGCCGGGTCGGCGTCGGCGACTTCGAGGTAACCGCCAGGTTTGAGGTGGGTGAAGGCCTGGCGGTAGATGGCGTGCCAGTCCTGGAAGGCACCCGAGAGGCCACGCATATGCACTAAATCAAAGGGTTCGTGGTAGGTCCATTCGGACTGGGCGTCGGCGAGCTGGAAGTCCACATTGGGCAGGGAGAGATGGCCCAGGCCCGAGTCGAACACACCGATGTCCGAGGCAATGACGGAGGCTCGCGGATACTCGGCGCTCATCTCAATGGCCCAGTCACCCGGGCCCGTGCCGACGTCAAGGATGCGCGGTTCCTCCATGGTGAGCGGGGCGGTAGTCAGACGTCCATCCAGCATCATCAGGTAGATCTGATGCACGATGTTGAGGCGAGTCAATTCGGGTTCGTCGTTGGGCATGAAGTACGTGCCGTCACAGTATCGGCGGCCATTTTCCATGGTGCCTCCGAGGTTTTGCCATGAGCATGACCTAGTAGATTTTCTACCGCCGTCAGCCTTTTTTTTGGCTTGGTGTTTGGATCCATTGAGACATCTCCCAACCATATCACCTACATTGACGCCTCTCCATCGGAATCACTGTCCTCTTCGGGGTCCGGGCTGTCCGTTCTCGCCATGTCGGCATGAGATGGGTCAGCACCCTCGTCCGATGGCTGGATGGGTTTGCCGTCCATGACATGACGGGTCTGGAGATGCAGCTGAGGGAGAGGGAAAAGAGACGAAAGAGACGGAAGAGCAGAAGAACAGAAGAACAGAAGAACAAAAGAAACGAAGAAAACAAAGTGAAAAGAATGCAGCGCGAGAAGTAAAAAGCAGGGGCACGGATGTACCCAAGAAACCCACGAAAGCCGAGAAGGATCAGGGGAGATCCAAGCAGGGGCCTGAGTTTGACGGGACAAGATAGCGGACCCGACCAGCTGGATGGGCTCCATTCTAGGAGGGAAGAGAGAATCACATAGTAATCAATAAATTACAATACCATATGATAGATGAGGTATGCGAACCCAGCTGGCTGGCACCGTCCACACTAGTGGAGAAGGGGGAGCCGTTGCGGAAGAGAACAGACAGCAAAAAAAAAAAAAATTGGGACGGCCCCAGAGGGACGGGCGCTAGAGCCGTCCAGCTGGGTGACAATCCCAGGGAAGAAGGATCCAGCACTCGGGGATGTGCTGGGAATCCCTGGAAAGGTGAAACTGCCCTGTCCGTGCGAGAGACCCGCCAGTCTGGACCAAGTCACGAGACGATCTCCCGTTGGAAACCTTTTTCTTTTCTTTTTCTTTTCTTTTTTTTTCTTTTACTTCTTCCCCCTTTCTCAATGGAGAAGTCCCCCCGTCGATTCCTGTTCATCGCCTCCATTGGCAACATTCAAGCTCCTTACCGCCATACGCGCCATAGCGCCGGCCATCTTCTCCTCGATGCCGTAACCCCCCTCCTCCCCGCGCGGCTAGCGCCCGCACCCTTCTACACAAGCTGGTACAGCCCGGCCTACATGAACGAGTCCGGGCCCAGACTCGTCCGCCAGCTCCAGAAATGGGCCGCCAAGCAAGGCGAGACCGTGCGCCTGCAGACAGCCCCGATGGTCCCGCCGTACCCAACCACACTGGTGATTCTGCACGACGAGTTGGAGGCGCCGCTGGGCAAAATCCGGGTCAAGCGCGGAGGGCCCGAACAGGCGAGTTTGCGTGGGCATCGCGGGCTGATTAGTGTGCTCGAGACTCTGCGTCTGAAGAGGATGTATCCCTCGGCGCGGGAGGGTGGCCGGCGTCCTCGTCAGGATGCTCCGCCGATGGACTTGTCGATCCTGCGTGTTGGCGTGGGGATTGGTCGGCCTCCGACCCGTGAGAAGGGCGCGGTGGCCGACTATGTCCTGGAGGGTATGAGCGATGCCGAGCTGGCGGCTGTGCATCGTGCTGCGGCTCCGGTGGTGGAGCTGCTGGCCGAGGAGTTATACCGGGAGGACAGCGGGGGGTTATGAGGCAGTGTCCCGGTGTCTCCACCGATAGAGTGTATGATATTGGTCGAGAGACCAGGCTCGATGTACATGTACAACAGTTGTGTTATGATACCCCGGAAGATCTTGAAATATACTCGAACATTGATTCTGCTATTGAAGGGCATAAACCCCTTTCATGCAACACACTGTAGGAGATTTCCGTCTACTCAGATCAAAATGCCCTTGGACAAAACAAACCACAGCCAAGGATTATAATACTCCTCGTCATCCACCGGATCCAGAATCATCGGCCAATACCTCGAATGCCACTCCTGAACCGCACCTCCAAAATACACCGGATTCAACCAGCACCCGCCGCGCCTTGCAATACTCCCAATAAGCGGGGTACCACCCTGTCTCTCATCTTCGTTCATGCCGCGCCATCACTCTAGTAGGGTCTCTTCCCTCGACCAAGGCCATATAAATGAATCTCTGCTGGCCATGGTCGGCCCAGCCCTACACCTATACACCTCTGGGATCGGCACTCGGCCAAGTAGTTGTTTGCGCGCTAGGATCTGAGTCCCGACCTCGGTGCGGGTCACGTTGCCTCCCCACTTGACCATTGACCCCAGCGATGGTATCATGACAGGGCGGTGGACGACTGGAATTGGTGGCGTAGACATTATCCCCGACTGTTTGGTGATGGTTCTGATTTCTGATGGTGGGGGGAGCGCAGACGCTCGTTCCTCCTGGAAGAAGCTAGCCTCAGGGAAGATCTGGACTTGGTCTAGGGTGGGTTGGTCTTCCATGTTGTTGCTTGATCTGCTTTTTTGTGGAGGTTGAGACCTGGGGAAACAAGCTGGGTAGTTGATGTCCGTTGAGACTGTGTGATAGGCAACAGTTCCCGTTGGATATAAGCACGAACCACGGATCTAATCTAATTGCTCTCCGTCGTGCGCACTTAAAACTAGTGTAGCGAGAAAATTGACATCTAAAATCATGAATCAAACTGAACCCAGTGGTATTGCTTGAGAGCGGATCATGTACATAACATAGAAGCAAAGTCATAATCGAGACAGACATCGTCGATAGTCCACCGGCCAGCGAACACAGCCTCAGCGCAGTGCCAGACAACAGAAAAACAACAAAAAAAAAAAAAAAACAGGCATTACGCTAATGATGTGAATAAACATGGAGAAAAGAGAAGGAAAAGGAAAGAAAAGCACACATCTCAGACCGTGCCTGCTATGCTCAGATCCCGAATCTCCTGCAGCACCTCCTCGACGCGATTATCCAAATCACCACGGGCGTATTGATCTCGGGTCTCAGCCTCGAGGTATTGCTGCACCTGGGCCATACGTGAATATGCCTCGGCACAGAAGCGCAGCTGGATCTTGACCAGAGCCTCGAAGCTGGGGTCGAGGTAGGGCACACGCAGGTCGATGAGTTGGGGCAATTCAGTAAAGAGCTGCTCGTTCAGCTGCTCGTAGGCCTGCTTGGCCATTTCGGTTTCGCGCTCGGTGCGGGGCAGCTTGGTGACGTCCTTGTCGGGCTTCTCGACGAGCTTCTTCACTTTGGCCCGCATGGCGTCGTAGTCCAGGAGCTTGTGGTTGCGCTTTTTGATGCATTCGTTGACGTCGGGGAAGTAGGCACAGAACCGTGAGATCGGGTCGAGCACCGTGGTTCTGAAGGATATGTCTATTAGCAACTTGCTCTTCGAACATCTCCAACGGGGATTGCGGTTCATACCGGTATGGCCCATCCAGGGCCTTGATGGTCTCGGCGTCGAGATCCTCGACGGCTTGCTTGTAACTTCGGCTCACACCGTCCTTGGTACCGGCATCACCATAGAAGGCATCGATGGTTTCTGCGATGCGCATTTGCGACGCCGTCATAGCTGCGATGGATTGTCAGTCATGACTGTCGCCCGTCTTCGATCACTGTGCAAGACAGACCTCGTAGCGAATCCAGGTACCCCTTTGCTTCCTTTTGCAGCCGGTTTGCAGCAGCCTCCATAGTCCGGTACCGTCTGCGATCATAGCGTCAGCTGCCGGATCCTCGGACAGAGCCCGAAGAACCTACCGCTCCTCAATCTCATAGTCGCGATCATTAGTCCTTTCCACATGACCTGTTCATTCCCAAATCCACACTGGTCAGTCCTGAATTCGATAGATCGTGGATGATCCGGAAACGAGTCCCATTGCGGGGTAGCCTCGACTCCTACATGAGACACTCACCGGTCTTCATCATCATCTGCGTAGTTGCACGGTTGACATTTTTCTTGAACCCTGCAATGAGAAAAACACCGAGTCAGCCACTGGCGCCTGGAGCGAGCGGTCGGAGTCTGCGGAGTGTTACCTGTCCACGACATGATGGCGGAGTCCGGGCAGAGATATCGATAATAGGCACAGAAAGATTCACACGCAGAGTCCTAGGAGAACATGGAGAACAAAAACAGTCACGTCGATCCACAACACTGCAGGATCTCAGGAAGCAAGGGATTTGGTTAATCCAGAGAGGGTCCCGAAAAGGCCAAGTTCGCGGATGACGGCGCAATGAGGGTGTGGCGGTGCTATTATGGCTCTGCTGGTTATATAATCACCGTTTGCGGTGATGTGGCGGTGCGGTGCCTGAGTAGAATACCTAGGGCTACAGGGCTATATGCCACACGGTTATACTACGGGGTTATGCGACAAGGCTGCGGCTGCACACATTAGATTACACATGATTTCACCCATACACGATGCAGGCGGTATCAATATAACCATCAAGAAATTCCACAAGGCTGAATAGACCCCGATGTGCATGCATTACCCACTCTGCCGAGCCTGGAATGTCGGTGCCTAACAGCAGTGCCTCGGTGTAGGAATGGGATTGATAATTGAAGTGAAATTTTGGCAAATCAAGAAAGAGAAAAAGAAAAATTCAGGGAAGTGCCCTCCCCCTATCGACTTGGTCTATGACACATCCCATTGCATCAGGATGGGGCCCGCCTGCAGCCCTCGGGTGGATCTCCGGAGAGGGAGTGCTGGTATTCCGGGGATCGATGCTGTATCTACCGTCTTAGGTAGGTAACCGTCTGCTAGAGGCGATCTGCAGTGGGCCTCCCCTTCTGGTGCCCGACAATTGTCTGATGTCGCTCGGCCACTTCCGACGTCAAGAGAGACAGCCCTAGATGATGTCGTCACAGCGCAGTTGATTTCGGAGGATATCGTGTTCAGGTAGAAGAGCACAATCCCATTCAAACGAGTCAGGGGCTATATACAGGAACAGAATCGGTAGTATATACGGGGGGACCGATAGAAAAACGAGAGAAAGTAAACCAGAAACAAAAAGAGAAACCAGTCGAGCATCCATTCAATTCTATCGTGATCCAATCCCAGCTAAGACACGAATCGTGTACCACCGAGTAGCGTGGACCACGTCCAGTCCGAACTGCGGATGGCCGTGGATCCCAATAGAACCAAATTGCCGAGCTCGTGGCCATGATGATGGTACAAGGGGAGATTGACAATGCCCGTCAACGCCGTCCGTAGGTATCGGTGCAAGTCCCAGAAACGCAAACCCCGAGTAGAACCCCCAAGAGAAAAAAAAAAAAAAAAGGTCATGACTCTTCGTTGCATTGACGTGGAAACATGGCAAATCCAGACACGAAAGAAAAAAGAAAGAAAACGAGACAAGCTAAAAAAATGAACACGGGCTGGAGAATATGATAATGCGCCGGGGTTGAAAAGAAACAAAAAAGATCGAAAAAAAAGGGCCTCCATCTATTAGGAGCATTCAAAAGGACAAAAAGCCTCGCTTCTTGGAATGGGTGTAAGACAGGGAACCGCCCGATGCGAAAAAAAAAAAGCCCAACAGCCTGCATCGATACCAGCCCAGACCCCGATCAGAACCCTTCCTCGCCGGCCTTGCACAGCTTGATCTGGCGCACCCACTCGGATTTGAGCACCTGAGAGGCGTTGATGCGCCGGGAAGGATTCGGATCCAGGATCGAGTAGATCACGTTGCGGCAACGAGCCTGAGAAGGGATGAGTGTTTGTCCCGCGATTGCAGGTTGGAAGTGAGCAGTTCTTACCCGGTGTAACGTCTCGATGGGCGCATATCCATCCTCATGCTTGCGGCCGTCCAGATACCGCTGGTAGAATTCATCCTCGTCCCTGCGAGCGACGCGCCAGAGGTGTCGTCCCGTCCGCATGGCCATGTAGATCACACCGGTCGCCCACAGATCGACCGCGCGCGGGTCAAACTCCTTTTCAACATACTCCTCGGGAGCGATGTACGGGGCAGACCCACACAGCCCGGCGGTCATGTGGGCTTCCTTCTCCCAAGCCATCCGGAAGCACTCACCGTTTCCGAAATCGGTGATCTTCAGGGCCCCGCGCGTGGTCAACAAAAGATTCTCGGGCTTGAGGTCACGGTGGGCAACGCCCATCTCGTGCATGTACTCGACACCGCGCATCAGCTGCTTGAAAAAGCAGTCGGCTTCGGCGACTTCCAGTTTACCCGCGGCGAGCACCAGAGTGTACAAGTCGCCACCGGCGCAGTATTCCATGACCTCACAGTAATCGCCCTTGGCATCCTGCAAGAGGTCCAGAGTATGGATGACGTTCGGGTGGCGAAGTGACGAGGAGATGCAGAACTCCGAGGTTAAGCGTTTCTGGTATTTCTTGGCGGTTTCTTGCGGGCGGCGGCGGAACTCCTTGACGGCGTACAGCTGTTCGCACTTGGAATCCGCGGGGTCAACCTTGTGCGAGATGCGAACAATGCCAAACGCGCCGCGGCCGACAATCTCCTGGCATTTGCCGTATTTATCCACTAAGGATGCGGTCGCGTTCGGACCGCCTCTTTTATCGGCCGCCAGCCTGTCGCGCTCGTGTTTGAACTGATCGATCCAGGTCGACATGAGTGACAGCTGCTGCTCGTCGACCTGGTCATCCTTCTTCCGACCACCCCCGAGCATATCCCGCAGGAGGTCGGTCAGTTTTTCCTGGCGTCGGGCGCTCCGAAGATGATGCGAGTGGGTGCCGGTACCCTCCGGCAAGACCTCAAAACGCTTGTGGGCGGTGGCTCCATCCTTCTGGTCCTTGCCACCGGGCGTTTTCTTCTTCTCCACGGGCTCACTTTTCAGCGACGGCTGTCGCGAAGGAGTTCTGGACGGAGGACGGGAGTTGGGGCGGGAGTTCGGACGGGAGGTGGGGCGTGAGGACGTTTTAGAGGACGGTTTCTCTTTGCCGTTGGGTGGGTGGACGCTGTCCAGGCTGCTGTCGGAGAGATCCCGGTGAGGATCTTGGTCCTTGTGGGGGGTCTGTTTCCCCGGACCGGTGAACATGCGCGAAATGCGGGTGGCCATGGTAGCTTTGCTAGCTTTAGAGTGAGGGGCGGGGAGATGCTCCCCGTTCAGCGCGGACAGGTTCATGCCCGCGAGGGCGCGTGTTACCGAAGGATCTCCATCCCGAGGGTCATGTGAATGTTGAGATGCTGCTGCTGAGGAGACTGCGGAAGGTACAGGTGAGGGAGAAGGTGGAGTCATGTGTGGTAGGATATTGGAGGAATGAGACTAGAAAAATCACGTCTCCGAAGAGAAAGGGAGACGAGCGACAGCTCGCACGAAGCTGACGCTGTTAGAGCAACTGACGCCGTAAATTTTTTAACTGTGGGAGGGGGAGAGAGAGAAAAAAAAAAAAAAAAAAAAAAGGAAGAACTGGCGAGGGGCAAAGAAAAAGGAAAGAAAAAAAGAGGCGAGCTGCTTGTGGCCTGAGGCAGAATCGGAAAAAGAAAGAAAAAAGGTGACGCCAGTGACTCGGAGTCCACAGCGATGCGATCGGAAGTTTGTGAAGAGTCAAAGCCACGGAATTTCTGATGGAAACACCCAGGTCCCGGCGACCCCCTCGGGGTATATGTGTATATAGAAGAGCAATATGAGGGGAGAAAAAAAAAGAGGAAAATAAAGGGAAAGAGCAAAGAGGCAAAGAGGAGGGATAAATGGACTGAAATACCAAGGGCAAGGCCTTGTATGGGGAATTACCATCTTTTTTTTGGGTCGAATTTTCGGGTGAATAGCAGACGATTCTGAGGGCCAAAAAGCTGCGGAAAAAGGTGGGTGCAACAGTAACGGTACAGGTAATGGATTATTAATTACACCTTTGTCACGGAGAGGCCGATTCAAGTCTCCATGAATATATTACTGCTACCTAAGTGTATAATCCATGGATACTTCATACTGTAGGTCCACGTACAGGGTGTACTCGATCTAAGCATGACGGATCATGCAAGTCGAGGTACACTTACATGTACATGAGTATATTACATAGATGATATATATTACTACCGGGTATCAGGGAACAGTGGCACCCGAGGTTTTGATACCGTACCGAGAACGGCGTCAACGTGGCGCATGCTCTCTTGCCCTACCTAGTTGCGTAGAGTATAAAGATTAGCGAGGGGAGCTTCCGAGGCATTAAAAAAATACATTTCTTTTTTTCCTTTTTTTTTTGGTGAGAGATTTTCCGGAGAGAAACCAGTTCTCAAACTGGGTCCGTGTTGGCTAAGAAAGATTAAGCAATCCGCAGCCCCAGTTGAACTGGGGCTTGGGAAATTAGCGATCCATGAGGGATCCTGTATACTACGTACATAGTATACATAGTATACATAGTATCCAGTATCGAGTGACGTCGAATTTCCCCTCTTCTTGTTTTGAGGCTGTGCACACTGTGAGGGGGGACATGAAACTTGCGAGGATCTCCCACATCGTCTGAATTCTACACTCGCATTATTGTTTCCTCACGAATCAGAAACCTGGCTTAGGATCTGACTCGAGTGACCATGTATATCCTCTTTTGGGGTGGAGACCGTGGGGAGTTCTGAGCGATGGGGTATTATTTATTATTTATATTAGATCATGGTATTAGATCATTCTCATAATATTATTATAATCATTATATCATTCGGGAGCCTTTTTCCTGTGCCCGAGGCATTCCCTAGAGCCTGTGAAGAACCACCTATCAGACGGGCACGAGCAGTCAGCACTGGAGCTTGGTTTGCACTCACCGTCTTTTTAACATATATGATACTGTACATACTATAGTATTCGTAGATTATAGACTATACATATTATCCATGGCTGTATGTAGACATCCATTGGTGGGGTAAGACAAGCTCACCTGGTCTGATCCCAGCCCTAATGGAGAATTTGCCCCAGATCCTTACTTTACCTCTTCATTTACGTTTACATGATTATTATAATCTATTATCTATTGTATCAAATTCTTTGGAATATTCTGGTTTCTACTCAAGATCTTCGGAAAAGTGAACTCCCCTTAAACAAGTCTCTCTCTCTCTCTCTCTCTCTCTCTCTCGGGGCACCAAAAGCCCCCCAAATCCACTTCTCACTTCTCTATGTACGAGGCATTTTCTTTGCACCAATCACACGCGCAGCTTGGACTCCATTTTCCCACGCCCCGAATGCATGCGACCGTTTTGTTTTGCTTTGCGTATGGTAATTGATTAGCTATAGAATTGAACAAATATTGCCACCTACAGTAAGTCTCGCAATTGCTATGCTGTTGCTATTGCCATGCCATGTCATTTTCTGTATCCAACTGTAGATCTATGCATCCCCTCTTCTCCCCTCTTCTCCCCACCACCATCCCCCCCTCCATTTCACATTTCCACCAGATCCCCATCCAAGCTTTTCTCCCTTGGCCCGACTGCTCCTCCGATTCGATCTTGCGTTGACCGCCAGTTTTCATGGGTGACACGCAGGACACACGGGGAAGTATACACGGGAAATACACATGGACAACACATATGGGGGAGAGAAATGCCAAAACATCAGACTCCATCACGGGGGGAAGTTGGCCAATCTATGCAGCTTGAGATAAGCTGTGCTATTTCCAAGCTCATCGTGCAGGGAGCTCGGTCTTGGGTGCTTGGCATACATCTCGACTCTTGTAAGTACTTCTGTACTATACATATACCTCGGTATGTATCCAGGAAACAAGCCAAGTCCTGCAGGGCGATCAAAGGAGGAATTGTCGTGTTAAATAGATGGATGAATGGATGGATGGCCTGATGCTCTCTCATCTTACCATCCACAAAGCCTTGTCTCACAATATTCACCCAGTAAATTCCACGAGTCTGGTCCTTGCGCAGCTACACATGCGCCGATCGACTGCCCTGGTGGCCGAGGACGCGCTGCATGCATACGCCACGCCGTGTCTCGTCCGTGCTTGGCATAATCTATTGAAATAACAATAACAATAATCATAATAACAGAAATAACACGATCACAAGCCTAGACCTGACATCCATGGATATGTGCCGTACTATTAAAAGAGGAGACCCCCGGTCGATATGCTATGGAGATTATTGAGGTACTCGACACAGATTGCGCCGGCCGTGTTGTTTTGCCTCTCCGATTTATCCCGGCTGAGTGTCCTGGTTCTTCGTTCCTCATGACACTCGCTATTCCCGTGTATACAATGCCACTCGACTGGCCAGGGAACGCAGTTTTCCTTTCTCGGGCAGTTCACTCCCACGTGCGACACGACTCTCGATGACAGGCCACGGCTCAAAAAGGCGGTGTTGGATGATGCGCAACCTCTGAAGTGTCATGTTCAGCCGAGCACGCTGTTCATGCAGGTACTCGGCCGGCGCCATCCTTAGGCCGTAGCGGTGTACGGAGCACCTCATCCCACTGTCCTGGCCTCATTCAGCTGGCCTAGAGAACCAGACGGCAGGCGGGTCCAGACAATAGCATTGCAAATTTATTCCCATACATCCTGCTCTCGGGAAAAGGGCCGAGCTCGTCGCATTACTCGACGCCTACGTCGAGCAATCATGATAAAACCCGAGTCTGCTAGCAGATCAGAAAACAAGTCAACAAAAGGCAAACTCGCAGCGACCACCTAAAACACCACGTACCACGAACTGTTCTAGAGACTCCTCAAAAAGCTCATTGTTGACGCCCACCCCACCGGGATGCTCGGTCGGCGAAAGTGGATTCTTCACCACTGTGCATCGAGTCAGCAGGCGATCACCAGACCCTAAAACCAGAACCACGAACCGTATTCCACAAAGAGATTGATATAGATCTGCTGCAGCGCAATGTGCATGCTCGGACTCTTGAGGTCCGTGAGCATGACGAACTTGATATTGGTGGGCGTCTCGTAGTAGTGGAGCTTGTACTGGCTGGTGGTATACGAGATAAAACTGGCGTCGGCCCAATGTCAGCGATGCCGGTCTGGTGCGGACATATTCAAGGGGGAGGAGGTCATACTTGTCCTCTTCGCCGCCCAGTTTGCGCACCATATTCCGCAGCGAGAACACCGTCCCAAACACTAACTTTGAATCATCATCCGTGGACCGCACCGTCTGGCCGAGGCCCGGGGTCGGGGTCTCAGAGGCGGAGCGTGAGGATTTCCCCACGATCGAGGTCGGCCGAGGGAGCCAGCGGCGTTTGTAGATACATTCCGCTGCACAGCGAGTTAGTGGGTGATTCTCTGGGTGGAGACGCAGAGAGCCGTGCTTACCGTGGCGGTCAAAGATATAGAACGAGTAGACGGCCATGGTTGCGCTCAACAGACCCCTCGGGGATTTGTTGATGTTCAGGAGACTCGGGCATGGGGCGGTGAACGGGGGACTATCGATAAAAAAAGGTACTTTCGGTAGTATGGGCGATACGGTGGGACAGGAGGTACCCGATAAGCCAAAATAAAGCTGCCTAGAAATCCTCCTACAATGACACTGTTAATTTATGCGCCTTTCTTCGGGGGATTTTTGGTGTGTGGTTTTTGGCCGGTTTTTTACGATCTTCCTTGCAGGGTCTGTAAGGCTGACAGCCCGCATCTCACGTTATCAAAACCCCCCTCCGACCAGTCTCTCCTCTTGACCCCACACCCATCTTCCGCCCAGAGAGGGCCACCACCCTACAATGAATGATCAAGTTGAGACCCCCTCCGATGTCTCTGCTGAGGCTTCGATTGACTCGGATGGTCTACCTGGACCCCCACCAGCCAAGAGACTTGCGTAAGTTGCCTCGGTGCTGGATGTCAGGTCAAGATTCGGAAAACACCAAGGCCTTATATATGGGAACTTTGGAAGGAATGCTTGGCTGACACATGCCATTTACATCTCCAGCTCTGAGGCCTCATATGACAGCCATCAGAGACACCGCCGACGAAACCCGAGAACACGGCGTCCGGTGAAGGTCGGTTCCTGCGCACCATCGTGACAGAGTCGGTGAGCTGATCCTGCTTCGAGGGGACTAGGAAACGCTGGACGCCCGCTCCGAGTATCGAACAAGCCAGGATGATGGCACCGCCGAGCATCGCATCAACCAATATGTGATCAAGCAGGAGATTGGACGAGGTTCTTTCGGGGCCGTTCATCTGGCTGCTGATCAATTTGGCAATGAATTTGTACGACCCTCCTCCAGCAGTTTATATACAACCCCTCGAACATTGGACGATTGGAAAGGTTCCTGTCGCTAACAGTCCGATGAACACTCTATAAAACCAGGCAGTCAAAGAATTCTCCAAGGCCCGGTTGAGGAAACGAGCACAATCGCATCTCTTGCGAAGACCGCGCGGCCCCCGACGACCGGGCACCGAGTTCAACTCGCCGCTTCACCGGAATCCGGCGGGCGAGAATGAGAATGCAAAGAATCCTTTGTATCTGATCAAGGAGGAGATTGCAATCATGAAGAAGCTGAACCACAATAACTTGGTGTCGCTGATCGAGGTGTTGGATGACCCAACGGAGGATTCTCTGTACATGGTGATGGAAATGTGCAAGAAGGGCGTGGTCATGAAGGTCGGCTTAGAGGATAGGGCTGACCCCTACGACGACGAGCAGTGTCGCTGCTGGCTTCGCGATTTGATCCTGGGGATTGAATACCTGCACGCCCAGGGTATTGTCCATCGAGACATCAAACCAGACAACTGCTTGGTAACCAACGACGACGTGCTCAAGGTGGTCGATTTCGGAGTGTCTGAGATGTTCGAGAAGAATTCGGACATGTTCACGGCCAAATCGGCCGGGTCTCCTGCGTTCCTCCCACCGGAGCTATGTGTCGTCAAACACGGCGATGTCTCGGGGAAAGCCGCGGATATTTGGTCTATGGGGGTCACTCTTTACTGTCTCCGATACGGGAAGCTGCCCTTTGAGAAACAGAGCATCTTCGAACTGTATGAGAGCATCCGGAACGACCCGGTTATGTGCGAAGACGAGACGGATGAGGGTTTCAAGCACATGATCGGCCGGATTCTTGAGAAAGACCCGACCAAGCGGATCAAGATGCGCGAATTGCGGGTAAGTGAAGAACATCTAAATGAATTTACACACGAGCTCATAGATTACAGGTCCATCCTTGGGTCACGAAGAACGGGGCCGATCCTTTGCTGCCATGGGAAGAGAACACGGCGCAGATCGTCGAGCCTCCAACCGAGGAAGAAATGAACTCGGCGATTACGAGGAACATGAACCACTTGATAACAGTGGTATGTGGCCATCACACTCACTTTCTGAAGATTGCCGCTGATGTGATCCATGTAGATGAAAGCCGTCAAGAGATTCAAACGGCTGATCGGCCCTGCAAAATCAGCTCCCCCCATGCAAAGTATCCTGGGTGAGGGTCACGAGGCTCACTTCGTCGAGCCGCCCATGGAGATGGACCCAGATGAAGAATTTCCGAGAGTTGGTGCCGACCTCCATCCCCCTACCAACCAGGCTCGGGCGGGGATGGGGCGGCACCCGATGCTGGCGGGGATTATGGACCGTCGAGGAGATTCCGGGGTAACGGGGTCGAGCGATTCAACCAACTTCTCGTCCCGGTACGAGCACAGTCCCGCCAGCAGCCAGTGGCCGAGTGGCGTGTTTGAGCCTGAGCGGAAAGACTCGGGCTCAATACACAGTGAGAAATCTCAGGGGAAACCAGATGTCTTGGGAGAAACCTCCCAATCGGCGTCGCCTCGGCATCCGCTCTCGCGGGCTAGCTCGGCCGCGACCAAGCGCAGTGCCGAGGGGACTCGAGGCCACGCGCGGGATCCCCTGAAGGAGGAATACCCGTATCTCTTCATCGGCCCATCCACATACTCAGGACCATCGACGCAGCAGTCCAACAACCCGAACATGACCGACGACTCAGGGCCCATTTTCGAAGAGCCCGAAAGCACGCTGGACCGCGCAGACCCCATGGATCTGCAGTCGGACGAGCCCATGCATCCCGTCAGCGAGTCGCCGGGGGCCGCCGAGTTCGACATCTACGAAACGGCGTACCGCCAGGAACTCGAACGCATCAAGGCCAGCCTGACGGACCGCGACACGGGGCCCAAGGTGTATCTGACCCGGCGCGTCGAAGGCAAAGACGACGTAATGAAGCTCGCCAAGGACAAGTCGCTGGACCTGCAGATCGGCCGAATGAAAGACCTCCAGCCGTCGCAGAGCGCCCCGTCGGCCTTCAGCGCCGCGGCCAGCCTGCTTCGCAACCAGATCCAGCAGCAGAGACAGTCGGCCGAGCGTGCGCAGGAGTCTTCTCCTGCTGCCAGCCATCCGCCTTCATCTTCGCTGTCCTCGCAGTCTCTGCCGCACCCGGAGGCCTCTTCCCTCGAGGCGACTGGCGTGCCGGCTACAGACTCGCAGCCGGGGACGGACGATTCCTCGGCGCAGCTGCGGCGTCTGTTGGGCCGTGTTCGGGACAAGCAGGGTGATGCGTGAGTTCGATTCTCATATTAGGGCTTGATATATCGAGGTATAGCAGTATAGCACGGGGTGTTGCGAGGAGGAAATAGTTGATTCTTACTTTGTGGATATTGGCGTGCTGAGTGGCGAGTTGTGTACAAGCAATGCATCTGTATTACCTTTTCTTCCTTCTTATCTTCTGGTCTTTCACCTCCTGTCGTTCGTTTTCGAGTGCTAGCGGGGTAAGACAATTCCAATTTCCACTTTGAACATCTTCCTCGACGAGTCTGCATGTAAATAATGGTGGTTACGGGGTAGCTCGTCTGATATCCATTTAAGCAGGTGGATTAGAAAATCTTTAGCAAGGCATCAATCATAAAGTCGGTTAACGGCCACAGAATCACGCACGAAATATCAATGTCAATATCAATGTCAATATGAGAAAAGATAAGATAATACATAATACAAAGTCCAGCGAGACACTGCAGCCGAGAATAAGAATAAACAAGGCAGTAAAAAGAAGAGAGAGAGACGGAAAAAGAAAAAAAAAAAAAAAGTCATAGTCAAATCAAACAGGTCCAAATCAAAGCTCAAGCTTTTGAAAACAAAGACTTGGAAGGACTGCCGCGTCGCCATGCAAGAAAGAGGTCGTGGCTGCTTGGGATGCAAATCATGCAAGGCATATGAAGAAGGAAGATGAAAAGATGAAGAAGAAGAAGAAAAACCATCATAATCAAAGAAGCAAAAAGCAACAAGCAACAAGCAACAAGCAACAAGCAACAAGCAAAAGCAAGTCAATGCAAAGATCTGGGCATCGCTTGGCTAAAACGTCTTGGTCGTCAAGTCCTCTGGTACTGAACAGCCTACCACCTGGGCAATCTCATGCCGTGGTAATTCAGGCGCATCAGGGACGGAGGATGAGGGGATGAGTGAAGGCAACTGGGTGCAATCGCTAAGACAATATCAAAGCCGTATCTTCATCGAACGTGAGCACTCGTGGGCACATCAAGGTCAGGGTTTGCAACGCAAAACGGGATGTCGAGAAGGAGTCAAGGAATGTTTGAGAGGCTTGAGAACTCGAGGGCTTGGATAGTGGGTGAATAAACACAAGGAACGCTATCTATGGTTCATCAATTGGCTGGATCGTTCATTCATGGCGGGGGGGCGAGACGCGAGCAAAATGATAAGAGAGGAAATGCTGATGAGATGCTGAATAGATTGAAGCAGTGATAGGTATCAGAATGTCACCGCGGCGGTTTTTCGGCTGGCGCTGTGCTCATTCGTCCTTCATTGTATGGCGGGTTAGGTTGGCTGGTGACAGAGTCGCGGCGGCCGCTGTCTGGTGGGGAGAAGCGGTCTGCGGCAAAGGAACTGTAGGATGGACGCTCAACTGGGTTGCTGCCGAGGCGTGGGAATGAATCTCGGGGTCCGAGTTGGAGGGTGTGAGGTGATGGGAGGGTATGGCCGAGCTCTGTAGGACGGGGCAGCTCACGCAGATTAGAGCCCATGCTGCGTGAGGGAAGATCACGTCGTTCATCGGCCGCAGATGGGCCTGGTGGCAGCGCGGGAGGCCGGCTTGCCGGCCCCTCGTAGTGCATTGGAGCCGGGGGAAGGCCCGGTGGTGGGAGCGGTGCTGGTGACGGCACTGTTCCCGCGGACGCCGCCGTGGCCGGGCTCGTCGGCGACGGGGGGATCTTCAGAGGGCCGGAGTTGGAGCGGCGCGGCGGAGGGTAGGTCTCGCCACGGGCCTCAGCAACGGCTTTGCGGCGCTCGGTCTCTGCTTTGCTGGGACGGCCACGTTTGCGCGGGGGCTCGTTGGAAGACTCCAACCGCGGGGACAGCTGAACTGACGCGCCGCTCGCACTGCTATACGATACGGTGCTAGCCGACGGCCGAGGTTGGAGAGCGCGAGGCGCCAGAGCCGGTTTGTCTGATGGATAGAGCGGCCGCTTGCGCAGGGCGCTCGGATCCATTGGCGGCGCCGGCGGGCCGGTCACGTCCAGACGCGGGGGAAACGACGCGGGGTGAGTCGGAGGGTGCGCGGGCTGCTGGCACATATGATAGAAGGCCAATTGACACGAATTGAGGGACCGGCCGGAGGGGAGGGGGATATCCCCCCAGTTGGGCGCGATGCGAAAGTCGCGAATCATCCGGACGAGATGGCTGGACGGAATACCGGCCTTCTTGAGGATCTCGGTGAGCAGAGTGTACTGGACGAGGACGAGGGGTCAGCATGCTGAAATTGAAGGTCAATGGGACACACATACCCTCTCCTCTTCGGTCCATGGCCTATCAGGTGGATTCGACATATCCAAACCATGGAAGCGGATAGATCTTCCCTCGTGCAGGAAAAAAACAACAGACCAAAACCTCCCAGATAGCCCCAGATAGGAAATAACAAGGAACAAAAGAGAGAGCAAATGACAGAAGAATAGAAGAAGTAGTTTAGGGCCGAGACAAGAAAAAAAAAACACAACACAACACAACCTCGACCCTCAAGGGTTCGGGGCAAAAAAAATGGGAAAAAAAAAGACCAAAAAAACCCCCCAAGGAAAAAAGTAGAACGAGAGAAGAGGCAACTTTTTCTATATCCCCATATCCAGTGGACCACGAAAGAAAAAAGAGAAAAAAAAAAGAAAAGCAAAAGAGGGCACTAGAGAGAAATGTAAAAACACAAGGCCTCCAAAGAGCCACAAAATAGAACGAACCTCCCCCTATTATTGCAAAACAATCGGGATCGCGCGCGTTAGAGGAAAGCTGCAGTTTATTACATGTTTCAGGTTTTGTGTTTGGGATCGTTGAGATTCAAAATTACCACTAACGGGATATTGGTGTAGATGTGGGTAGTACATAGTACATAGTACATAGTATATAGTATCTTATATAGTATATAGCATAGTATATATAGTATAGTATGTTGTATCAAAGATGGTAGATAGGAGAGTATAGAATAGATTGTAGAGATAGAGAGAAGTTGGATATATAGAAATGTCATATTCCAGAGCCAAGGGACTGCCAGGCCCTAAGTCGCCTTTTTCTCCCGGTAAACCACGGTATTGGGGCGCCAATCCCCCCGAGTGGCTGATAGGCGCTGGAGGGGTTGGCGCTGGGATCCACTGAAGATCGGAGGGTTGGAATATTAGAATAAACTGAATTAGATATTATATATTCAATAGAATAGAACACGGATCAGAAATGGATCATAGTGTTCTCTATGGCATAGTACATCCCTACCTAGTAGTTCGAGGTTCGAGGTATTCTTCTCTAATATTCTGATTCGATCGGATCCTCTATTTCCCATCCTTCCTACTCCCAATCGTTACCCGCCCGGGTTTTTTGATTCTTTGGCGCTGCATTGAACCCTGCAGCATCCATTGATCACGCTGAGCCTATGGTTCTACCGCCATCGATGTCTTCTTGGAACGTGTTTTGAGGTGAACTCGACACACAGAGACTCCTGCATCTCCGCTAAATCACTCTCTGTGGATTCACCAAAACCCAAGCTTTCTGATAACTGAGCTCTTATCGATCCTGAGCGTACTCTCCAGCTGTGAAGACGCGTCGTAATCCCCACGTCGGGGATGGCCCGCTCGAAGCACGAGCTCAAGAGGCTTCCCAAGCAGCAGAAACATGATTCTTAACCAGGAGAGACATCTGCCACTCTATTGATCGAGTCCAAAATTTCAATGAATCCATGAGTGAATGAAACAAAGCCAGCGTGAACTTCGTGCCTCCAAGACCCCTTGATTCCTCGGTGTCGGTTCTTGGCGCGCCGGAAAACCACCCTTCACCCCAACCTTCTGCTTTCCTCTCTTCCTGCGCGCGCACCCTTCCCTCTTCTCTGTCCGTGTCGTCATGTCTGCCCATGACAACGCGGACTCCAAAGACACTGAGGCAGCCATGGATTCTCCCCGGGTCAACGGAGACCCCAATCCACCCCCCGAGCGATCGCGATCTCGATCCCCCCCCTCACCCAAAATGGAGATCCCGCCATCCCCTGAGTCGACTGGAGAAAACGTCGGTGATCTTGTGGTGAAGCAAGAGCCGGGCCAGCCGCCCAAGTTGTCTCGCAGTTCCTCGCAGAAGGTGGTGTCGCGTCCTCCGCCGCTGTACACCCATCTCCCAGACAGCACCCAGGATGCGCTCGCCACGTTTGAGCAGATCCAGGCCTGCTGGTATGCCAATAAATACATGGGCTACACGGAGCATGCCATGGAGTGCGATTGCACCGAAGAGTGGGGTACGTCTCAGTTTTGGCGGGTTGATTTTTTTTTTCTTCCCATGCCGCTCGCTCATCTCGGTGCGACTGTAGATGGCGGCATCGGAAAGGAAAAACATGATTTCTGAATGGGGACCGGCATTATCTCGATCTTTTTTCTAACTGAACCCTTCCAGTTCCCGAGATCGGCCAAAATTTGGCATGCGGCGAAGACTCCGACTGCATCAACCGCGCGACCAAGATCGAGTGTGTGGGAGATTGTGGCTGTGGACCGGACTGTCGGAACCAGCGGTTTCAGAAGAAACAGTATGCACGTGTGGCGGTCATCCAGACCGACAAGAAGGGTTTTGGGCTGCGCGCAGAGACCAACCTCGAGCCGCACCAGCTGATCTTCGAGTATGTCGGCGAGGTGGTGGGCGAGCCGCAGTTCCGCCGGCGCATGAGACAATACGACGAGGAGGGCATCAAGCACTTTTATTTCATGTCTTTGAACAAGGGCGAATTTGTCGATGCGACCAAGAAGGGCAACCTGGGCCGATTCTGCAACCACTCCTGCAACCCCAATTGCTATGTCGACAAGTGGGTGGTAGGTGAGAAGCTGCGCATGGGCATCTTCGCCGAGCGCGCTGTGCAAACCGGCGAGGAGTTGGTCTTTAACTACAACGTCGACCGCTATGGCGCGGACCCCCAACCTTGCTACTGCGGCGAGCCGAACTGCACCGGATTCATTGGCGGGCGCACCCAGACCGAGCGCGCAACCAAACTGTCGAATGCGACGATCGAGGCTCTAGGCATTGACGAAGCCGATGGTTGGGACACTGTGGTGGCACGGCGGCCACGCAAGAAGAAGACGGAGGAAGACGACGAGGAATATGTCGACAGCGTGCAGCCCAAGTCGCTGGATGAGGATGGTGTGACCAAGGTTATGGCTGCGCTGATGCAGTGTCAGGAGAAGTGGATTGCAGTGAAGTTGCTGGGCCGCATCCAGCGCTGCGAGGACGAGCGGGTGCGGAACCGCGTCGTGAAGATGCACGGGTACCAGATCCTCAACTCGCAACTGGCTATGTGGAAGGAGGACCAGAACGTGGTGCTGCAGATTCTGGATATTCTGGACAAATTCCCGCGGCTCACGCGCAACAAGATCATCGATTCCAAGATCGAGTCGAACATCCAGCCGTTGACGACATGCGGTGAGGAGCGCGTTGAGTCTAGGGCCGCCGCGCTCCTGGCAAGCTGGGCCAACCTGGAGGTGGGATACCGCATCCCGCGCATGAAGCGCGGCGAGCACATCAAGCAGGCCGTCAATCAGTTTGAGCGCCGGGAGTCAGGCCGTGAGAGTCGCCAGCGATCTGCCACGCGCTCTCCATCGCCGTCCTACGAGACGCCCCGTCAGGCAGCGCAGCCGCGCAGGGAGCGGAACTCTCATAATCATCGACCCCGGAACAACCGCCGCCAGCGTCAGCCCCTGCCCGAGGGATGGTTCACGGCAGAAGCCGATGGCGGGCGGACCTATTACTACTCGGCTTCGGGCGAGACCACCTGGCAACGTCCGACGGCACCTGCGCCTGCGCCGCCACCTCCAGTCAACCAGAGAAACCTGGCTCTGCAGAGCATTATCGACGGCATCATCAACTCCCAGGAAAAGACCCCCTCCGAACAAAAGACCGACACGCCCGCTACCCCACAAGTCTCTGTCGAGCCGCCGGAAAAGAAAAAGAAGGACGAGAGTCGGTGGAAGAAGCTTCCATTGGAGAAGCAGAAAAAGCTTTATGAAAACACAGTGAGTTTGATTAGGCAACGATGCAATCCCCACAAAACAGATCGCTCATGCGTCCCAGCTCCACCCCTACATCAAGCACGTCGTCGACCAGTACAAGCACAAGATCCCCAAGGATCACTTGAAGCGATTCGCCAAAGAGGTATGTCTTCAATTGATAAACCCGAGGAAAGAAAGAAAAGGCGAAAGAACAAAGTGAAGGCTAATGATGAGATAGACGGCCAAGAAACTGGTCGAAGGCGACTACAAGAAGAACCGCGTCACCGACCCCACGCGGATCAGCGAGAAGCACCAGCAGACGGTCAAAAACTACTGCAAAGGGTTCTTCGACAAGGCGGCCGCCAAGCACCATGAGCGCGAGAAGCGCAAAGCGGCCAAGACGCATGGTCATGGTTCCGCCCAAGTTGACGCGGACGCGGACGTGAAAATGTCCGACGACGAAGCTGATACTGGCGCCGCAGCCTCACCTCTAGACGACGACCTCGCGGCCTCACTGAAGCGCAAGCGCGACCCCGACAATGACCTGGACCAAGACTTCGGCGTCGAGAACGGCGACAGCTCTCCGTCCAAACGCCAAAAGTCCACGCCTCCGCCTCCGCCCCCTCCGCCGCCTCCAGCCGACGAGTCTGACCAGGCCGGTGACCGCAGTGGTAGTGTCGGGACTACTGCCGAGGACGATTCTCCGCCACCCCCAAAAGAGGATTCTCCGTCCGGGCCGGGGTATGCAGTCGATATGCAGACGGAGCTGCCGCCATCGCAGATTGGGATCGAGGGCAAGGTGTAGTAGTGGAAGCCTGCTACTCATACCAAGAAAACCACTGCATTGAGATGTTTTGAGGCTCAAACAAAAATAAAAAAAAAAGAGCGACTCCCGAGAAAAAAAAACGTTGATAGCGAGAGTGACAAAAAAGGGGAAGATTCTGGTTTGAATTCGCTTCTACTCTTGTGTTTCTTTTCTCTTTTCTCTTTTCTTTTCTTTTCTTTTCTTTTTTTTTTTTTTTTTTTTTTTTTTTTTTATACATTCCATCTTGTCCAATACCCCCCCCATATCAGTTTCCAACCAGCTCGAATCTCGCGTTTAGGATGGTTACCCTGTACACTATTTCACTACCTTGGTAGTTTTTTTTTCAATTTCAAGAGGAATATTTTTAAATATTCTCTTCCAACAAAAGTCAGGTGGGGGTCCGTCAGACTCATTTCATCATGATCATCATTCCTCTAATATCCTATCAAGGGCATGGCGCAAGTCAAGTCACACATGCGATCATGACAGAATACCAGACACAGAAAAGAGAAGAAACAAGACAAGAAAATGTAAAGAGGGAAAGAGAGAGAAATTAATAGAAACTCTCCACAATACTCTCCTTATTAACAGCACCAGCCCCAGCCCCAGGCCCACCACCCGGAGCCATCTCGCCGAGCCGGAACACACTCTCAACAACACTCAGCTCGGTGGCGGTAGTGTCCAGCCCCGTAACAGCAAGCCAGTCATTCACCACCATGCCGGCGCCGACGACGGGCGAGCCGCGGTTGACGCTACCGGCGACGAGCGGCACCTGCAGCAGCGAGGAGAGCTCGTCCTGGTCGCGGATCGAGGTCTTGGGGTGCACGATGCCGCCCTGGTTGGAGAGCGCCATGTATGAGCCGGTAAGGACGTTGTCGGCGACGGTTTGGCGGAAGACTTCGACGCCGAGGACGTCGGCGATTCTTTTTATCGTTAGTAACATTGTATACAAATATACATATACATACATACATGTATATGTATATGTATGGGATTAAGAACGTACATCTCTTCCGTCTCGCGCTCCAGGTCAGGATGCACCAGTGCCACATGGTCGTTGCAGCAGATCACATTCCCCAGTGCCGACAGCCGCTCTTCTATGCGCTGGATTTTGACCGAGTCCGGGAGCGTGTTGCGCAAATGCTGCAGTTCTTGATCGGTCGTTGTAGTCGGGACGAGCAGGCCTTTGCGGTTTCTACACAGAATTAGTTTCTCTTCTCTTCTCGTTTTTCTTTCTGTTTTTCTTATACATACCCAACAGTTAACCGCCCAATAATCCGTGTCCCCGCAATAGTCGCATGGCAGATCGGGATGACGTCCTGGAGCTCCGATTCGAATACACTGGTCTGTGTTAGGGTGCTTTTTCGCTGGTTGACTGCAGTAGCAGTGGTATCCGGAGACATGCATACCTGTAAAAGTTCTCCGAGGCACCGACAGCAACGAGGGCGTAGGAATTGGTCAGGCGGGAGAAGACACCGACCCTGCACGCAATTAGCTCTTCATTCTTTTCTCATTCCTTTTTTCATTTTCCTGTCTTTTCCTGTCTTTTCCTGTCTTTTCTCTCCCGGGGTCCCACTCACTCGTTCGAGTTCTCGAATTGCGCGCGCACAGCCATACTGCCAGAAATCCGAAGTGTATAAAGGTCTGGATGGGTATCAGGAATATCGAAAGAGGAGGAAGAAGGAATAAAGGGCGACAGCGGGCGCAAGTCTAGGAGGTGGTCGGAGACGAGGGCGGATGCGAGAATGAGAATAGCGGAGAGGCTCGCTGATTGCGAGGGAAGAGAAGGGGGAGGGGGTTGGAGAAGAAGAAAAATGACAAACTTTTCAAGAGCTCGGAAGAATGAAATGCAAATCAACACTTCACTAGAAGCTCTTAAATAGCCAAGGACGAGGACCAGCGTGGGATGGAAAAAGCGCAAAAAGCTCTGCCCCGCCGCAAGTCATGGTTAGTCACGGGCTCCACATCACCGCAGGCTGTACTGTTCATCCCTATACTTGTGACTCATTGTGTCTCATATGATTCATTGTCCATCTACCCTCGAAAAAAAGAACGACAGGAATGAAGATAAAGATAAAAATGGAAAATAAAAAACAAGGGTGAAAGTGATTGCAGGGGCAATCCATCGAAAAACACGGCCACATTCAGTGGAAACGCCGGCGCTGAAAGACACAAATAAAGTACATGGAAACAAGATCAGGGAATCGATGGTACATCCGATCGCAAATTCATGGTATCGCAATATTCACCCATCCATGGATATCGTGGTAGATCGAGGTTAAGAGGTGCTGTAATGGTACAAGTGATGCTGGCGTATCCAGTGGTGGTTCAGGTGGTTCAAGTAGTGAGGTTGTTCAGGTTGTCAATGAATTGTCAATCGGTTATCCGATGATAGTCTTGCAATTCATTCGCGGCATTTTTCAATACCGACGAGGAGGCGGAGGGTGAGATCCCGGTGGAGCAGGAAAATAGAGTGAAGGTCCTGGAGGTCCGGGAGGCCCTGGTGGCCCCGGAGGTGGCAGGTAACCGGGAAGAGGCAGACGCTGGAAGTTAGAGCCGGGCGGCGGCGGGAGTTGCGGCGGTCCATTCATTGAGAACGGGTCTGGGAGTCCCAATTGGTGCCGTGCAGGGAGAAGACGTCGAGGTTGCTGGGTAGGGGTCGGGCGAGGAAGGATGAATGATCGGGGGTCAGTAGGGCCAGCGGCCATGGTCGGAGGAGGGACTTGAGATGGTGGAAAGATAGGTCGATGCGGACCCGCATTGGCATCGGTAAGGATCTGGGGCAGAGTCGTTGGGCGCTCCGTCAGAGCGGCATCCGCCAGCGCTGTCAATGCTTGAGGGAATGGCTCCAGTCGCATGTCGGCCGCACCGTCGTAAGACATCATCATTGGGCGACTGTCCGAATCGCCGATTACCTTGGCGGCAAACAACAAACTGTCAAAGATTTGTTCGACATGGGCCAACCAGGTGGGCTCACGCGCCTTGTCCAGCGCTTTCATCTGCGGATCGAGATCTTCACCCAAGCGAGCTTTTTGAACAAATTCGTCCCAGCCTTCTTTGCCACGAATGTACGCTGCCGCGCCTTCAGGATTCCGCACAGCCTTCGAGGTGAATCCGCGCTCAACCTGTCTGATGGCGCGTTTGGTAGTCCGGAACAAAAACTGCTTCGGTTCAGAATCGGAGTCGGAGCCATCGGTCTGTAGAGTTGGCTGTTAGCACATCCTTCCAACTTTGAATCGGAAAATGCTTACCTCGGTATGCTCATCGTCCTCGACCGCTCGTTGCCCTTGGACCAGAGCCATGTAGCTGCCCTTGGCCGCATAGAGGGTTTCTTCCTTGATTTCCCCGAGTTCAAACTGATCCGAGTCGCAACCATAATTAGAACCACATCCGTCAAAAAGCAAGGTCGTTTTCCAACTTACCTCCGTCATGTTCTTGATCGAGAAGACTTTACCTTCCGTGACTCTCTTGTCCGCTTTAATTTTCCGATCACGTTCAGCGCGCAATCGATCGAGCACTTTCTTTTCGCGGGCGGCAAGATCTCGCTGTAGCTGCAAGTACTCCGGGCAATCTTCGTAGGAGGTCTTGTCGCGAGACACCTTCTGGGTGGAGTTTTCTGCCACAACAGTCAACGAGACCTGTTGCACCTGTCCAAGTTTCTTGAAAAACGCCGCCAACTCATCCTTTCGGTTTCTCACCGGCTGCAAGGCCGGGGGAGGTGACGGGGTGCGCTGCCGCCAGGTCTCGCTATCCCAGATCTCATCCTCGATCTTCTTGCCCCGTTTCAAAGCGGCGGCTTGGCGAGCTGCCCGGCCACGTCCACGAGTCCCTCCACGCTTGGCAATTCCTCCTCGGACGGGCGCGGTGGTTGTGCCGCCACGGCCTCCACGACCGCGGCCGCGGCCACGTCCTCGCGCGCGGCTTCCGCGACCCCCACGGCCTCGTCCGAAAGAAGTAGCACTCACAGGACCGGGGTCATACTCATCGGCAGCAGCGAGTCCGGCATCGTCGGGAGATGATTCAAGCGAGGTCTCGGTCTCGACTCCATTCTGCGCAGCATTTTCAGACTGAGTTTCCCCGTCGTCAAGCCGAGGCTTCTTGGCTTCGGGGAATTCAGCAGTCTCTGCGTCGACGGCTTCATGCTTCATCTCAGTTGATTTTCGCTTGCGGGACAAGCGGGGAGAATCCAGTGAGGTTGAAGCAATGTCGTGAGCAGTCGATTTGGGGCTGTTGGGGGCAGAAAGGTCGTTCGAGGCCTGCACAGACATCTTCAAATCGCCCGTTTCATGGCTTTCTGCGACCGCTTCGGCAGGCTGGATCTCGGTCGCTCCCGGCGATACGGGCTGAGATGCATGGTCCGGGGCTTCCGGGGTGTGAGACATCTTTTGAATATGTGACTGTGTGGTGATGTCTTCTTCCCGGGGATTAGGGGCAGAGTCAAAAGATGCCTCTTCCGGTTGACTCGCCGGTTCCGCAGTCTTGGTCGGAGTTGGCTGTTCAAAAGACGGGTCGTCGGGAGCCTTCAATCTTGCCGACTGGCGTGTGGTGCGCGAAGACTCGGGAACGGCCACGGCACGCTTGAGCGCCGGGGGCGCGGCGTCTCTGGGTTTTGCGTGTCACCCGAAGAAGTCGACGACGCAGGCTCCTGGTCTTCAGAGGGAGCTTCCGGAGACGTGGTCCGAAGGGCCTGAAGTGAGGGCACTTTGAATTTGATAATGTGCGAGCGAGGCTCAGACCTGCTCGATGCCGGTGTCTCCGGCGCAGAGTGTCCAGGGAGGCTCGTCCGGCCTGCCCAGCGACCTCTTCTGCGGGGACTTTCATGAATGAAGTCTGCGAGGATTAGCGACAGCACGGATATAAATTAGAAAAATCATGAAAATCATGAACTTACCGGAGGTATTGCGCGAGGATCGTGTCGAGGTACTGGGAGTATGAGCTGGCTCTGGGGCCGCTCTGCTTCTTCTTCTTCCCACCATGGCGATCGTCTTTGCAGGGGATTAGCGATTTTTTCGAAGTGAACTAGCAAGGTAGGGATGAACAGAGCAACAGAAGACAAGGTAAGAAGGGCAGAGTCACGATAGAAAATAGGAGATCGAGGAAGAGTTTGAGACGAAAGAAAAGAAAAGGATCGAAAAAGGGACCGATGGCAGTGGATTTAAAGTACAAGATGGGGATGGCAACAATAGAGACATTGGGGGTGAATAGGGCGAATGGGGCGAATAGAGTGAATGGGGTGAATGGGGTGGTTGAGGTGATTGAGGTGATTGAGATGATTGAGATGAATTCGATTGAGCGACAATCGGGACAATCGAACAATTCGAGGGGGGAGAATGAATGGCGTGGAGAAAGGGGGGTTGGGGATACTTTCGAGATGTCATGTAGATGAAAACACGCGATCTTTTTTACTGGTACACCGCCGTGACTCGCGCTAGGGGGGGGAGAGGGAGAGAGTAGAGTGCGCAATCAGAGAGACATGGGGGGGGGGAAGAGAATGAAAGGAAAAAGAAAAAAAGAAACACGCGACCTACCGGGAAAGCGAGAGCCAGAAAGCGATGAAGTTGGGAGAAGTAAAGAGTAGAAAAGAAGAAGTAGGAGAGCAAGGATCTACTCGGGGCGCAGGATTTGACTGGGCCGGGTAGAAGTGGGTGTCTAGGGGAAGGGCCACGGCAGAGATAGAGGGAGAATGTAGGATAAAATAACCCCATAGAATGGAGATCCGGAAGAAATAGGAAAGAAAGAAAGAAAGAGAAAAGAAAAAGAAAAAGAAAAAGGAAAAAAAAAAAAGAGTCGAAGCAAGGGTACGTTAGAGAAGAGCCAAAACAAGTGGGCGAGAAGAGAATTGCCCCCCGACCAGTCGGATTATGGGAGATATGAGAGCGACCACCATAGAGCGCCAATTGATATAAAATACGAAGAGTAATCCCTAGGTATGCTTGATTCTTAATTGATTGCACTTGCCAAAAAATCATCAAGGTGTACAATACTGACTGGACTATGCTTGACTATGCTTGACTAGACTCCACGTATACTTCATGATGGGTCGCGCCAATTATAGTTCTGTGCAGCTAGCTCTGCTTCATATTTTGTGCCTCAACTTTACGAGTACGTACCTCTGATCCTTTGTACTCTCCCCACCACCCTCTACTCTCCCTTGGTCCGTATATACAAAAATAGAAAGAAAAAAAAAAATTTACAAGCAACAGCTTCGGCCCCGGGGTTTCTCTAATTATTCAATCAATTAATATGCAAGTCTTACAACTTGACACGCTATACGGTGACATGAATACAGTAAGCTAGGGACCCACTCTGTGTATATTTTCAGACCAACCCTCAGCTTTGGCTCCGTTCTTGGGTTAGTACGGAGAAGGTTACATCCATGGATGATACATACTTCCTAGGGAAGACCGGGAAAAGAGGTCATTTATTCGTTACTCAATCTATATTCTTCTTCAAATACAGATTGGAGAACCCCTGGAAAACCCTATATATTCACAAACTCCTTTCCTATAGACATACTCATTCATACAAGCCATGATTCTGTACATAAAGCAAAGAAGAAGAAAAAGAAAACCAAACCAAGCAATAAAAAATGAACCATTTCCAGTCATCTATATCATTTTTCTTCGGCCGATTCGTTTAGGTCGTGTCGTTTCTCGTACTCCGAGACGTTTCGACGGACATGGCCGGCGAGGATACCCGACACTCCCTGTGTCGGGTCTAAGTAGGTGCCGGTGCTTTCGTCGAATTCCAATCCAGGCAGCGGGGATGGTGTGCGCATTGTTTGGTCTCGGAGCGAGCGAGCAGATCGCATGCGGGTCAGCGTCTTTGTGGTAATCGTCTGTCCAGCAGACGGGGAGGCCTTGACCATGGTCCCAGGGGTAGGGGTGGGCGACGGCGAAGGGCTGTTCGAGCGGAATAGCGGATGAATGTGAGTCTGTTGAGACGGGTTGGTCTCCAGGATGTTGTGGGTAGATCCTGTTGGGGGAGTTGACGTGGAGGGTCGAGGCAGTCGGGGATGGCTGGACCAAGGTGTCGAGCGACAACTTGATCTCTTGGTTGCGGCGCAGACTCGGCATACTGCGGATACTACCACTGCCACGCAGAAGGGGTCTGGTGTCGCGATGTTCAAGAGACTCGCTGACTTTGTCGATAATTGGGGACGTTTCCGGAGACAAGGTCGAGGAACTAGTGTCGATGGATCCATATTTGTCTTCCTCGGAGTTTTGAAAGCAGAGTGTTCCACCAGAGTAACGGCTCGACCGTCGAGGGAATTTGCGGAGAGAGGATCGTTTAGGGTTCAGTCCAACTGACCCACAGGGATCACAGACAGCCCGGGGAGGAGAGGAGACGGTGTCCAGATTTGTAGAAGAGCCGAGCTCATGCGAGTATGAGCGTGGCCATTCTGGATCAGACCTCCTCTGAGACCAGGTCATCAGGAGATACCCACCGTACAAGCCCTGGGTAAACACCGAGATCGCCCAGAAGACCGAGCGAGCAATAGACAAAGAATTGAATTGCGTGTTGCTTGCCATTGCTCCCGCAGTTGAGCCGGCGGCAATCAGAAGATATGCACTAGTGAAGTAAAACACCCCCATTTTCCACTGCATCGAACAGTAGCCAGCCCGGTTATCGTCGTGTAGCAACACGCTGAGCACGATCAAGGCCACACAGCTGACAGCACTCAGACCAACTGGGGCCAAGCCAGTGGGAGTATAAGTAGACAAGGATTGGAAGGTGGCATAGGAGAGTCCATTGAGAATTGTGACAATGAATGTAAAGAGCATGGAAGCTCCTGCCAACGAGTATGCGAGGACACGAGGCATGATGGGCATTGAGGTCAAAAAGAGAGAAACGAAGGAGTGAATTTGAGATTGATATATAAAGAGAGAATGATGAGAGCCTGATGGCCTTGCAGGCACTCCACGATCCTCGGCGCTGGCAACGCTGGGAGTCCTCATACCATGGGGAGGCAGCTCATATTTATGCCGAGCATCCATGGATGGTTCGCGTGGCCCGGGGAAGATAGATAGAAAACGGGACGGGACGCATCCCAGCAACATGGTCCAAAGCATATCAGACGGGGAAGACGGAAGCAGACAATGTCAATCTGTCAATTTCTGGAAAATAAGAGATCCATCATTCCGAGTGCATGGCAAGTCAGGTCCAAAAAAGGGCTGATAGTCAGTCAAATAACACTGCAGCTCATTTCAGAAATTACCGGTCAATTGGATCCTAATCACTGGGACTCAGAGTCCCCAATTCCTGGATCTCCATGGTGTGGTCAATCCAGCCGCTAGCAACAAACTATTAATCTGATGTATCCAACCCGCGATCTCCGGGATCAGAAGGGGTGGATCGACCCCGATCCCGATGCCATGCTGTGTGATATATCCATCCAATTCCTCCAGTGCATTTTTATCTGCCTGGCATCCCATGGCTCTGCAGATGGGTTCATGGCCTTGATCAATTGGACGCGAACTTGGCTTTGCTGGCCCTGCAGACCGCAGATTAGATCATTCATCTTGATCGGACCCCGATCGAATGCATCCAGTCCGGGGAAATCCGATCGCTGCATAGAATTTGAACAACCTGGCATTGATATCTCATATGCAATGTTGTCAACACGGTCTGTGCTATACTTCCCTCGGTTAGTGGCCAGGTGGGGGAATCAACCCTCGACGTCCACACATGGTGAAAAAAGAAAACTAGACAGACCAGTGAACACACATACACCAGGTGCTATAAGGCATAGCAGCCCCGGTGTCTTTGCATAGAATCATCCACCATGGCATTCGGGAGTGGACGGCGTGAGGAAACGGGACTGCACAACCCCCCCACCGAAGGCGGTGAGGCTGCCTGAGGCTGCTCCAGCAATCGTCACTTCTGGAAATGAACTCCCCTCTTTACCTTCTTGACTTCATCGCTGAGATTTTCTGTCTTCGACACTCCCCATCTCATCTCCCTCATATCATTCGGTCCTACTCTGGTTTTCCATCTTGGAGTGGTGGCAAAATGAAGCTCACCTTCAAGGTACGTGGGCTGGAGCATTCCTCATTCACAGACAGCTAACAGAGGTTCATGGGCACAGGATCTCAAGCAGGAGAAATTTGTCATCGAGGCTGATCCCTCTGAGACGGTATGTGATGCTGAGTCTTTCGATATAACTTGTCCAACCGGGTGCGGGACTCATCGATTTTGCTGGTTCTAGGTGCGCCAAGTCAAGGGAAAAATTGCTCAGGAGAAAAGCGGATATGATGCAGAGCGGATGAAAGTGATCTACTCTGGTAAGTGGTGCTTGTCTCATCGATGGATTTTCCGGTCTGCTTACACAGGTTTTCGCTCGATAGGCAAGATTCTTCAGGATGACAACACGGTCGAATCCTACAACATCCAAGAGAAGGACTTTCTAGTCTGCCTGCCTGGCAAGGTATGAAGCTAGACTTGAAGTGAGTTGAGGTGTAAAACTAATCGATCTTCTTAGCAAACCAAGGCCGCTCCCTCCGCTGCTGCAACTTCCTCTCAGCCCCCCTCCACCCCGGCTGCCCGAGCTCCCGCATCGACCCCCGCTGCCCCTCCAGCTCCCGCACCTGCCTCTGCAGCCCCTGCAGCCCCTGCGACTCCGTCTCCGGCTGGTGGTGCGACGCAGGCTGGTGCTCAGGATGCTGCCTTTGGGGACCCTTCTGCGTTGGCTATGGGGTCTGCCGCCGAAGGGGCCGTTGCTCAGATGGAGGCAATGGGGTTTGCGAGAAGTGACATTGACCGGGCCATGCGAGCTGCATTCTTCAACCCCGACCGTGCTATCGAATACCTGTTGACCGTAAGTTTGATTCATCTCTTTAATCCATTCCTCTTCTAACATTTCACCAGGGCATCCCCGACAATGTCCAGCAAGAGCAGCAGCAACAACAGCAACAGCGTACTGCCCCCTCTGCCCCTGCCCCTGCCCCTGCCCCTGCCGCTGGTGGAGCTGCCCCCGCAACCGGCGAAGATGAGCCCTTGAACCTTTTCGAGGCTGCTGCCCAGGCCGGTGAAGGTGGTGGTCGAGGAGCTCGTGGTGGAGGCGCGGGAGCGGCTGGTGGCGAGCCTCTGGCAAACCTCGAGTTCCTGCGCAACAACCCCCACTTCCAGCAGCTGCGGCAGCTGGTCCAACAGCAGCCCCACATGCTCGAGCCCATCCTCCAGCAGGTCGCCGCTGGGAACCCACAGATTGCGCAGATCATCGGGCAGAACTCGGATCAGTTCCTTCAGCTGTTGAGCGAGGAGTTGGAGGACGACGAGTCGGCATTGCCGCCGGGCACGCAAGCCATTTCGGTGACGGAGGAAGAGCGGGACGCGATTGAACGGGTATGTTTCTTTTGAGTGCGAGTCTAGCATTGATCGGCTGCTAACCCCATACTAGTTGTGCCGTCTGGGCTTCCCGCGGGATTCGGTCATCCAGGCATACTTTGCCTGCGACAAGAACGAAGAGCTAGCGGCCAATTTCCTCTTCGACCAGCCGGATGACGATGAGGAGTAAACGTCTTTCTTTGTCTTATGTTGTGACGAATATCTCTCCCGCATATTTCCCAGTTCCCTCATGCCTTCAGCCCTTCCCTTCCCCTTCCCTTTTTCCCACACCCCGAACCCGAATCCAAATCCGAATCGGTGCGCAGCCTGGCGTCTCTTGAGTTTGTGCTGAGTGTGGACTTGGCTCTTTGCATCCCGATTTATTCTGTGATACGACTCTCATCCTGTATTTAACTTAATGGGCAAAACGGGATTTTCGCTGAACTGGGCAGTGAGTCTACTTGTAGATTTGGTGGATCTTTTGTAGGTACTTCTTGTCATGCTCATCGTAGACCTATATTCTATACGGGAAATAGAGATGTGCCATCGCTAATACCTGGATACCTGCAAATCCCGGGTGGGGAGTCGATCCTTGCCCTGAGGAGGTATATATATCCATATATCCATATGTGATCAACTCGGATGACCACCTGGACAGGGCTGCTGATGTCTACCACCAAGAGAATGATGTAGTTATACAAACCAGTGGACCAATATACTTTCGATTATATCCATTCTCATTTACTTCCCAGACTGTGATGTGTGACTGGATAGAAGATAGAAGATATCACCGGGTTCCAACCCCTATTCACTCGATCCATGCCCATCCCGATGAGCCGATGCAAAGACCACAAAAAGAACACAAACGAAAAAAAAGAAAGAGAAAGAAAGAGGTATCTCATCGGTTCTAGAATACAATGCAAAAGATATGACCAAGACTGTCAAAATCCAAAACGAGAATGAAAAGAATTAGAATCAAGAAAATATATAAATCCCAGCCTCATAGCCACAGCCACTTATGAACATTTCAAAGATTCTGTCAATGGCAGACCCGCTGGACAGCCCACACAGCCAGGCCGCGACGCCCAACAACCCGTTTCAGGGTTGGGAGGACGCCGTCGTCACCGAAATCCAGGTCGTCGAGGTTGAGGTGTTGGCGGAAGGACCAGCGCTGGTGGAGCTCGAGGTCGGCGGGCGATGCGGTGGGGGCGTACTGATCCAGGAAGGTGGCCGATGAGGGCGCGACCAGGAATACGGGGGAAGGTAGGGTGCAGGCGGGCACGGCCTGGTCTAGCTGTTGGATCAGGTCCGGGCCCGGTAGGCCCATCAGGTCGAAGGTGGTGATGGCTGCGGCCGGGTCCGGGTCCGGGCCAAGGAGCCAGCGCGGGGGCGAGTAGGTCTTCCACCAGAAGACGGCGGCAGGCTGCGGGGTGGGCGAGTGGGTGGCCACGATGGAGCGCATGGCCAGCTGGGCCGGCACGACGCCGCCCTGGTGGTACACGCCCATCAGGAAGCCCATGGCGGCGTTGAAGAGGATCCATGCCCCCAGGAACAGGCGCGAGCGCTGCACGCGCACGCAGCTGAGGAGCAGCGGCACGCACGGGATCAGGAACCGGGGCTCCTGGTGTGGGAAGGCTGACAGCAGCACTGTTGCGGACACGGCGGACACGGCGCGCGCATTGCGCATCCACGATGGCACCACCGGCCAGCTGAACAGCGACAGAATCATGACAATATATGCGGGGCCCAGCAGCTGGATCAGGTTGGCAATCAAGTGTTGGTGGTGCGGGTGGAGGCCATGGGCTGCCAGGTTGGAGATATCTGAATTATAGAGGAGGTTGTTGAGCGGGGTGATGATGGGCGCGCGCACAATATCCACGAGCGAGGCTGTCGGTCGGTAGAAGGCCGTATCGGTGAGGATGGCCGTCGACGTGAAGAGGAGCCCGCAGCCCACGAATGCCGCCAGGGAGGCTGGTCTGATGATGCCGACCGCGTTAGCAACTGACCTCGACCCAGCACCACAATATTTGGACTTACTTGTGTCGGAAATGAGGCAGCAATTGCAGCCCCGGGATCAAAAGGAAAGCTGGGAAGGTGATGCGATTAAAGACGCCGGCCACGGCAATAAAGGAGAGGACCGCGTAGGAAAAGAAGGAGGAGCGCTGCTTGTTTTCGACGATGCGCCGGATCAACACCAACCCCCAGGCGACCAACAGGGTCTCGAGGGAGTTGGAGAACGTGTGCGTCTGATATGTCCAGGTGACATACGACGAGGCCACTAGCACCACCGTCGCGCGACGATGGCGCGGGGAAGGAACCAGCTCATAGACAGCCCAGTCCTCGAGCACGAAGCTCAGCAGGAACATGCCCCCGCGCAGCGCATAGTATACTAATTGTGGATGTGGGTTGCCCGTTCCGGTCTCGAGGGAGAACCACTTCAAGAGGCTCATCGGTAGCTCGTAGGTCGGCCATAGTGGGAAGACGCTGCGGATGGGGTGGTCCGACGTAAACTCCCAGGGGAGGTGAGTGGGATAGGAGAAGATGCGACCTGCATTTTTGCCATGAGTCTATCTTCTCGAGGATCCTAGGCGCGTCCACCGGGGAGAAAACGCGCGCCATGGGGACGTACCTGCGAAAACTTCGGGACCTTGGAAATTCTCATCGGGGTGCAAGTAGCTCGGCGACAGCGCAAAATAAACACGGATCGCCAGTAACAGCAAGTAGGTTCGTCTCCACATGGTTCACGAGAGGAACATGCTGTAGAATAAAACAAATATAAGAAAAAAAAAAAGAAATTCAAGAAAAGAACGGAAAGGCCCAAGAGAATGCTTCGAAAAGGAGTGGAAGGGGGGGTTGCAGGACGTGATTGATTATTCGCGATGATATCACTGCCAGTTTTCTGCTATTTGCACTTAGCGCCGAAATAATACGTGAGTGCCCTAGAAATAAATGATTTCTCGAGTCATCGAAGGTCTGGAGATAAGGATCTGCCGACTATTTAATCTAATCTGCATGCTGGGCTCTACACAGTATTCCCCATCCTCATGGCTATCTGGAAGTAGACGTGGATAGATGGCTAACACCCACACAGTTGATAGGTTCCATAGATACATATACATGTACACATAAATAATAGATATACATAAAGAAATAAATCAATAGATGCCTAGACAATATTTCTACTTTCTACACTTCCGGATGCCTCAGGAAATCCGAAGGCAACTGTTTGCGTGGGGGCTTTCTGGAGAGCCTCACTGACTAACCTCTGAACCGCTGAACCGCTGAACTTCCTCTCTTCCTCATTCCCCTCTCGACGTCCACTTCCCTCAACCCCGCGCTTCTCTTTTTATCAACAGATCTCTTCATCAAAATTATACCGGTACGGCTATCCTGAGATCTTGGTTGTCAGATTGTAACGCTGACCTCCACCAGAACACCTGGCGAATTACCCTCAGTCACCATGGCGAGCTCCATCACTTTGACCAGCTCTGATGGCGTTGACATTTCAGTCGGTACGCTTGATACCTGTGGGACTTGGTTCCAGCCACATCTGACTCTCTCTTCCAGAGCGCGCAGTCGCTGAACGCTCCGTTCTCATTAAGAACATGCTGGAGGATCTCGGCGACTCCGGCGAAGCCATCCCCATCCCTAATGTCAGTGTCTCCTTAAAGAATTTTGACTGGCTATTCACTGACATCCAGTCTTTGTTTTCAGGTCAACGAGCCCGTCCTGAAGAAGGTGGTCGAGTGGTGCGAACACCACAAGAACGACCCCCCCACTGCGGGCGACGACGACGACAATCGTCGCAAGACCACTGACATTGACGAGTGGGACCAGAAGTTTATGCAGGTTGACCAGGAGATGCTGTTTGAGATAATCTTGGTTGGCGGCCCCTCATTCTTATATTTTTACTTCTTCCCCCCCCCCCCCCCCCCCCCCCACCCCAAAGTCCATCTGTTGACCCCTCATTCCCTCATCCGTTAGGCCGCCAACTACCTGGATATCAAGGCCCTCCTCGATGTCGGCTGCAAGACCGTCGCCAACATGATCAAGGGCAAGTCGCCCGAGGAAATCCGCAAGACCTTTAACATCCAGAATGACTTCACGCCCGAGGAGGAGGACCAGATCCGTCGCGAGAATGAATGGGCCGAGGAGTGAGTGTGTTCCCGACCGTTGATTGATTTCATGCTAACCGATGGCCTTTCTTTTTTTCTTACTTCTAGTCGCTAAATGATTTTTTCTTGCTTTATTCCCCTGAAAATGGAAATTGATCTCTTGCTCTCCCATGATGATGCGACTCGTGGCTTCTAGAGTCTTCCCTTAACGATGGCGTTGGCCTCTTGTGGCTTTTTCTTTTCTTTTCTGTACTGTCGCCTGCGCCGGCTGGAGGTAGGCGAATATTCAATGAACTTGAACTGATTCGACATAGCTTAGATCGCTTTGGTGTGGAACGAGCTACAGGTCTACCATGGTCTATACGCTTCTTGCTCTGTAAATGTAGGCCGCGAATTCCCAAGACAGTCATTACGATAGGTGAGATTGGGACATCCCGCAAGAAATGCAAGACAAAGAGAGACGTTCAATTCGATTCCATCAGAATTTTTGATAAGAATATCTGCCGTGCGTCTTTCCTGAAATCCGTGTCCTCCCGAAAGTCCGCTACCCGTATTTCCCCGCCTCAAACATAGTATTGCAGGGCAACGTGTGGTAGTTGTCGTTTCCATCCAAGGATTGCGTAGTTCGAGAAAGTGCACGCGGTGGTAAACAAGACAGTTGCCGAGACTCGAATGTAGTTCCAAAGTGACTAGCGCGACCGAGTCCGAGAAGGCGGGGGTCTCTCCCCTGGTGTGGAGCGGGTGTCATGCGACATTCACAAGATCGAGGCGGGACATGGCGGGTCGAACGAGAAATCGGAGAGACCAGACAGACAGAAAATGGGGATATCGGGTCGAATCTAGATGCCCAGACGGGTCTTGCGCCAGTGCCTCCGCTTGGCGTTGTATCTGTAAAAACAGGGTATCAGCCTTGTTCGGTGGATTTTCTTCTGCTTTCTGGTCGTTTTGTGTCGGGGCTCGGGTCATGTCTTTTTTTTTTTCGATATATGTTGAACAGATCGACCGCCGTGTATATTTTTCCCGACTCTTCTCCTTCTTTCTTTATAAGGGCTGCAATTTACCTGATGGTGTTGCCGGTGCGCAGACGAATCCACTGGGGGATGGGGCGGTTCTGGCGCTGAGCTTTGGCAAGCTTTTGCTTGGTGCGGAAACTCTTGTGGCTCTGTTGGAAACAGCGGGAGTAAGTATATGGTCAATTTATCATGGCGACACTGCAACCCATCGCAGATACATACCGGCATCTTGAAGGCTTGGACGCGATGGCGAGCGGTTGGATGGAGGGAGGATGACCGTCGGGAGTGGAGGGATTTGTGTGCGGCAGGGCTTGGCTTCGCTTCGGTTGGGTCAGGTGATTACGCCTCAGGCGGAAATATTCATGTAGTGCCTGAGGTGTCTATGGATGAATAAGCCTCTTATTTTCAAGGTTAATGCCTGAGGCAGTGATGTTTGATTCCAATTAACTTGATTTGTTTGACTGTGCTGAGGCAATCAAGGGATCCCAGCAGAGTTCCTTTCTTCTCCCCAACTACCCTTCAGCCGATTGCTTACCTGGCCAGGTGACCTTTCTTGATGCCTAAGGGTTGCCCCCGGGGCCGTCCGGGGACCCAATGCAGAAAAAAAAATCATCTCGGGACCTTGTAATCACCGAGCCGATACATGACCTCGTAAATGCGGCACAAAGCGATAGTGCCGGAGCTTGGTACTTGCATGAGGGGCCTAATCGTGCAACCGATGCAATATGACTGGCCGATAGCTTATGTGGAAGTGGATAATGATTCCTGCTCAAGTGTCTCGAAGGACGAAAATTCGGTCAAGAGATGAGTCAACGTGTATCTATCGTGTGTTTATCGTGATGGGCTTATGCGTCATGGATTTATCCATAGATGCATTGGTAGAGTGTGGGGTCATATACTCGTGTCAGCGATCGAGCATCTGGTCCATAGACGTCATAACAATAACAATAATAATAATAAAACATGAAAATAAAATAAAATCCTATTCGCGTTCTCCCAGGGGTGTAATGGACCCTGGCATGCCCTTGCGGCGAAGAATGCACGACGCGCTCGAAATGTGCCGATCGGAGAATCGTAGAATTCACCAACTCACCCAGGAACATCTTCGGACGAAAAAGAAAGAAAAAAAAAAGCGAGTCATTCAGTATCATCACGAACTATTAACCTCAATCGGAAGTACAAGGCGCGCTGCATAAGCCGCCCGGATCTTCCACTCTCCGGCCCACCCAAATCTCACATCTAGATGTTTCTGCACTTAAAGTCTTGAGAGGGACCGTCTTATTCACCCTGTATCCCTTCCTCGCCAACTCCCATCTCTTTTCTTTCCCGAATCCTACGATCTGTGATTGTCGGGACCTATTGTCAGTGGTCTGAATGGAGTAACCTCGTGCTCGCCACTGTTCTGTCGACCATCGTTCAGTTTTCGACATGCAGCAACCGGAGGAGGGTGTGACCGCCGTCGAGGTGCTGGCGGACGAAACTGTCGCTCATCCTCATGAGAAGGCTCGCGACTCCGACTCGGTTTCGACCTTTTCGGCGATTATCAAAGAGAGTGGCGCTGAAACCAACACCCCCGGATCGGAGGAGGACGCGCTCTATGCCCATCTGCCATCGCATGAGAAGGAGATTCTGAAGAAACAGCTGGATGCTCCCGTGGCCAAAATCTCGTTCTTTGGCCTCTATCGCTATGCCTCGCGCATGGATGTGTTGATCATGCTGGTGAGCGCCATTTGCGCTATTGCCGCTGGTGCTGCCTTGCCTCTATTCACGGTGAGTATTTCTTATGATCTGATGGAACTATCGCTCATATCTCTCGTCAGATTCTGTTTGGATCCTTGGCCAAGGACTTCCAGGGGATTACCCTGGGAACTCTTCCCTACGACGACTTCTACCACCAACTTACCAAGAACGTCTTGTATTTTGTTTACTTGGGCATCGCCGAATTTGTCACCGTTTATATCAGTACGATTGGTTTCATCTACACCGGAGAGCATGTCACCCAGAAGATCCGCGAGAATTACCTCGAGGCCATCCTGCGCCAGAACATCGCCTACTTCGACAAATTGGGCGCCGGTGAGGTGACCACCCGCATTACTGCCGATACCAACTTGATTCAGGACGGTGTGTCCGAGAAAGTTGGCCTGACGCTGACCGCTATCGCTACTTTTGTCACTGCCTTTGTTGTTGCCTATGTCAAATATGCTCCCTTGGCTGGTATTTGTACCTCGACCATTGTGGCACTGGTGGTCATCATGGGCGGAGGATCTCGATTTATCGTCAAGTACAGTAAGCTCTCTCTGGAGAGCTATGGTGCCGGTGGAACTGTCGCCGAAGAAGTGATCAGTTCCATTCGCAACGCAACCGCCTTTGGCACGCAGGATAAGCTCGCCAAGCAGTACGAAGAGCATCTGCAGCTCGCTGAACGGTGGGGCATGCGCCTGCAGATGGCCCTCGGCGTCATGGTGGGCGGCATGTTTGGGATCATGTTCTTGAACTACGGCCTGGGATTCTGGATGGGTTCGCGATTCCTAGTCGATCACAAGGTCGATGTTGGCCAGGTATTGACGATTTTGATGGCTATCTTGATCGGTTCATTCAGTTTGGGCAACGTGAGTCCCAACGGCCAGGCGTTTACCAATGCTGTGGCTGCGGCGACCAAGATCTTCAGCACCATCGACCGCGCTTCCCCCATGGACCCCACCTCGGACGAAGGCATTATTCTCAATCATATTGAGGGCGACATCGAATTCCGCAACGTCAAACACATCTATCCCTCGCGGCCCGAGGTGACAATCATGGAGGACGTGACGCTCTCGATTCCCGCTGGCAAGACGACTGCCTTGGTTGGACCCTCTGGCTCTGGCAAGAGTACGGTCGTTGGTCTGGTCGAGCGCTTCTATCTGCCCGTTGGTGGCACAGTGTTCTTGGATGGCCACGATATTCAGACCCTCAACCTGCGCTGGCTGCGCCAGCAGATCTCGCTGGTCAGTCAAGAGCCGGTTTTGTTTGGAACTACCATCTACCAGAACATCCGCCATGGTCTTATTGGAACCCGCTTCGAACACGAGCCCGAGACGAAAATCCAAGATCTGATTGAAAATGCCGCCAAAATGGCCAACGCCCATGAGTTTATTTCGGCCCTCCCAGAAGGGTACGAGACCAACGTGGGCCAGCGTGGCTTTTTGCTGTCGGGTGGTCAGAAACAGCGTATTGCTATTGCCCGTGCTGTTGTGAGCGACCCGAAGATCCTCTTGCTGGATGAAGCCACCTCGGCCCTCGATACCAAGTCCGAGGGTGTTGTCCAGGCGGCGCTCGACCGCGCTGCTGAGGGCCGCACCACGATTGTCATTGCCCACCGTCTGTCCACCATCAAAACGGCTCACAACATTGTGGTCTTTGTCAATGGCCAGATTGTCGAGCAGGGAACCCATGATCACTTGGTAGAGCAGGGTGGTCCTTACTTCAAACTCGTGGAGGCACAGCGCATCAACGAGGAGAAGGAAGCCGACGCTTTGCTTGATGAAGACTCTGATGATGAATTGGAGGAGACAGAGTCGGTCAAGAAGCACGTCTCCCGCATCAAATCCATGGCTAGTGGTTCTAGTGTCTTGAAGACCGAAGAAGACCTGGGTGTTCGCCGCGCTGATAGCCGCAAGTCGGTGTCAAGCGTCATTCTTTCCAAGAAGGAATCTGAGGGTCGCCAAAAGTATTCTCTGTGGACTCTGATTAAGTTCATCGCTTCGTTTAACAAGGAAGAGTGGAAGTTCATGGTGGTCGGGCTGATCTTTTCATGTCTGGCCGGTGGTGGCCAGCCGACTCAAGCCTTCTTGTACGCAAAGGCTATCGTTGCGCTGTCGTTGCCCTTGTCCATGGCTGCCAAATTGCGATCGGACGCGAACTTTTGGTCCTTGATGTTCCTGGTCGTTGGAATCGCCCAATTCATCACCTTCTCTGTCCATGGCATTGCCTTTGCCTTCAGTTCAGAGCGGTTGATTCGCAAAGCGCGTAGCAAGGCCTTCCGGACGATGCTTCGCCAGGACATCAGCTTCTTCGATCGGGAGGAGAACAGCACTGGTGCCTTGACTTCTTTCCTGTCCACCGAGACCAAACATCTGTCTGGGATCAGTGGCCAGACCCTGGGAACTATTCTGATGACCTCCACTACTCTCATCGCTGCATGTGTGATCTCTCTGTCCTTTGGATGGAAGCTGGCCCTTGTCTGCATTTCTGTGGTCCCGGTTCTCCTCGCCTGTGGCTTCTACCGATTTTACATGCTTGCTGCGTTCCAGCAACGGTCCAAGCTTGCCTACGAGGGTTCGGCCAGCTATGCCTGCGAAGCGACGTCAGCAATCCGCACTGTTGCTTCCCTCACTCGCGAGACGGACGTGTGGTCGGTTTACCATGGCCAGCTTGATGCACAGGGTCGCTCGAGCTTGATTTCAGTTACCAAGTCCTCGCTTCTCTACGCTATGTCGCAGGCCTTGGTCTTCTTCTGTGTTGCTCTTGGGTTCTGGTACGGAGGTACTTTGCTCGGGAAGCATGAGTACGACACTTTCCAGTTCTTTGTTTGTTTCAGTGAGATCTTGTTCGGCGCCCAGTCTGCCGGCACCGTGTTTTCGTTCAGTCCCGACATGGGCAAGGCCAAGAACGCTGCGGCCGAGTTCCGCAAGCTGTTCGATCGCCGCCCGACAATTGACAGCTGGTCTGAAGAGGGTGAGACCCTGGACCATGTGGACGGATCAATTGAATTCCGCGATGTGCACTTCCGGTACCCGAACCGCCCGGAACAGCCCGTCCTCCGTGGATTGAACCTGAGTGTCAAGCCCGGCCAGTACATTGCGCTGGTTGGGCCCAGTGGGTGTGGTAAGAGTACCACCATCGCCCTCCTCGAGCGCTTCTATGATGCGCTGTCTGGCGGTGTCTATCTCGATGACAAGAAGGTCACAGACCTCAACGTCAACTCTTACCGCCGTCATCTGGCTTTGGTTAGCCAGGAGCCGACTTTGTACCAGGGTACCATCAAGGAGAACATTTTGTTGGGCTCTGCCGATGAAGAAGTCTCGGATGAGCATTTGGAACAGGTGTGCAGGGACGCCAACATTTACGATTTCATCATGTCTCTTCCGTAAGTTCACCCATCTTCCCATCTAGCCACTTTAATGATGATACTGACTGCGTTTCCTAGTGAGGGCTTCAACACTATTGTTGGCAGCAAGGGAGGCATGTTGTCTGGCGGTCAGAAGCAGCGTGTTGCCATCGCTCGCGCACTATTGCGCAACCCCAAGGTCTTGCTGCTGGACGAAGCCACCTCGGCGCTGGACTCGGAGTCGGAGAAGGTTGTACAGGCGGCTTTGGATGCCGCCGCTCGCGGCCGCACAACTATCGCTGTTGCGCACCGGCTCAGTACCATCCAAAAGGCGGACATCATCTACGTGTTCGACCAGGGCAAGATTGTTGAGAGCGGCACGCACAGTGAGCTGCTGCGCAACAAGGGCCGGTACTACGAGCTGGTCAACCTGCAGAGTTTGAACAAGACTCATTAAGGTGTACTATGGTGTTTTGCAACTTGCCCTTTTCTCTTCTTTCTTCTTTCCTCTTTTCTTTTGGTCTAATCTCCCTTTTCATACCCCCCTGACTCTTTTCATCCTCGATCCTCATACCTTTTGCACTCTTCATACCCGTCGTGCCTCTCCATTCGATGTACCCATTATGGTTCTCTTCTCCTTTTCTGTGTTTGATAGATTCTGTGGCGTTGGATTCAGTCACCGGAGTATATCGCGGGGCCTCTCTCGGGCAACAAAAAACAGCGACGAAGCTTTAGGTAGAAATAGTCCCATCTGAATGAACTCATCTTCATCTTCATCTTCATCTTCATCGTACGTCCTAACGGGGGCAGGTTTCAGTCGTCCTCCTTGACACCAAACTCTTTCTGCACTTCGATCTGCCGCACACCATGTGCGTCTGCAATTAGTCCCATCAGGCCCTGTCCGACATCTTTGATCTCGTTGTACTCGTGCAAGAGGCGGATGTGGCGCTGTACAGTGGTAGACGGGTTTTGTCTGGAGCTGTGAGAAACATGGTTCTGATTTTTCCCACCCTTTTTTTTTATCAAGGGGTTATTTAGGGTGATTGATGGCTACGTACCTCAGCTTGGAGGTGAGCTCGGCCAGCTCGGCTTCGAGCTCGCTTTGTTGGGTTTGAAGGGTGGTGATGGATTTGGAGAGCGAGGCCTGCATGGATTGTTAGTCCGTATAGTGGGGTTGGAGGCTGACGCGTACTAGTTTTTGTTCGCGAGCAGGGTTCTCCATCGCTGGGTTGATCAAGGAGGATGGAGAAACGGCAGAGTAGAACAGGACAACCTTGGAAGAATAGGTAGAGGCAAGAGGAAGAAGCATAGGCGAGAGAAGTATACTTGGCACTTGTACTGGTACTTCGTTATGCCGTTATGTCTTCCCCACATACATGTACCGGTACATTCCACTCCTTGCCAATCACCGTCCACGCTGAATAATCGCCGGGTTAGTTCACGCGGGGATTTCTTGAAGAAAACACCCATCGCTGGAGACGGGGAAATCGAAGAAACCTCATATTGCATGAGTACGGCCATGAGCAACACTCCCAGCTCTTCGGCCATCTGATTTTTCTCGAGTTCGTTGCGCGTCGCTGCTCGACATCATAGCGGATCCTCCGGATTGGTCGAGGATCGACATTGTCTGACGCTGTCTTTTTCTCTTCTCCCTGTTGCAACACCGCGCCGCTCATTCACTCATCATGAAACTCCTCGCCTGGACTCTGCTGCTCGGCTCGGCAATAGCCCATGGCGACCACGGGCATGTCCCGGAGGGCGCGGCCATCTCCCTCGAGCCGCTCGTACGTTTCCCGTTGCAGGACCTCTCTTCCGCCGGACTCCCAGGCTAACACACTCCCCCGTTCTAGGATGCGACACTCTGGGTACACATCCTCCTCATGGGCCTGGCCTTTGGCCTCATATTCCCCCTTGGCATGGTCCTTGGCGTATGTCACCCCCAGCATAAGCCCCACTCCTCTTGTTTTGAGAGCAATCTAACTTCTTTGGCGATAGATCACCCGCTCCCGGTGGCATGTTCCCCTTCAGGTCGTCGGCACCGTCATCGCCGTGCTCGCCTATTTCCTCGGCCATGCGCACAAGGGCCGCCAATTCGGCAAGAATGTCCACGCCGGGTTCGCGAACTGGTTGATGTTGATGTTGGTGGTGCAGGTCGCCCTGGGGTTCTATCTCAAGCTGCACCTGGAGAAGGCAGGCCAGGGCCGGATTCGGTGGATCTTCGTGCTGGCTCATGGGATTGTCGGCAAGGCCATGCCCCTGGTCAGCTGGACGCAGATGCTGTTCGGTGGCATTGCCGCCCTGGGCTTCTGTCAGGGTGACCACCTCGGCCAGTGTCTTGCGCACTTTATCATGGGCAGCGCCTTTATCGCGTACGGCATCTGTCTGACCATTTTGCTGCTGGTCGGTCAGTTCTGGTTGCGCCGCACGGGCCGCAGCCAGGAGTTCTTTGACTCCCTGATCATTGCCGCCTGGGGCTGTGTCAACACTTTCACCGAGCACCGCTGGGGTGGTCCCTGGGTTCATAACGACCTCCAGCACACCACCATGGGCATTGTCTGGTGGTGCGCCGGCCTGCTGGGCATGTGGTTGAGCCGGACCCGTGGTGGCCGTCCCAAGCGGAACTTGATCCCCGCCATTGTGATCCTGTTGACCGGCTTCGCCATGTCCGCGCACTCGCAGACCCTGATGATCAGTACTATGATGCACTCGATCTTCGGTTACACCCTGATGGCAGCCGGTGTCACGCGTATCATTGAGATCTCGTTTGTGCTGAAGGACCGAAGCTCGCTGGGCTCGGAGCCCAACAGCTTCCAGTATCTGCCACCCTTTGTAAGTTTCATCCTCGGGATATTGCATGCGAAGATCGATTACTGACTCTCGCAGTTGCTTTACGCATCCGGGTTCCTCTTTATGGGTTCCACTGAGGAGCAGATGGAGCTGTTGCACAACGCCGGGATCATGCACGTGTCGTACGTGTTGATTCTGTACAGCATCGCTTTTATCCTTTTCCTCTGTACGTTGGCACCATTCTCCTTCATTTCATTTCCTTTTCTCAAAAGAGGAAATAATAGCCCTTTTTCCATGTTGCATTGCTAATGATTCGCAGTCGTCAACATCCTTCTCCACATCTACGCCGTCTACGCCTGGCCCGAGTCCACCCAGTCCGACGAAGGCAAGTACATGAATGCGAACGGGCACGCACGCTCAAACTCGGAGCAGATTCAAGACGCCGAGGCATTCGAGCTGCAGGGTCTGATCTCGGACGAAGAGGGCGAGCCGTCCGCCGGACCGCGGAAGACGAGCGACGAGGAGATGGCGAAGGAGGCTTCTCGTCACTAAAACGGTCATTTCCTAGACTTTGGGTCATTTCTTCCCCTTTCTATTTACCTTTCTCTTCTTCTCCTATCTCTCGGGTTTGGGGGTCTTTCTTAAATGGCGTTGTTTTAAGCAGGCATAGCTACTACACCTAGTACCCTTATGGAACAGACTGAATATACTTGAGTAATCAATTCCTTTGTCCATGACAATCTTAAGATTCGTTGGCTAGGTATCGTATCATACATGACAAAACCAAGCAGAAAGAAACAAATGACGGTCGTAAATGGTCCCATCCCCCATATCATCACCCCGAATCCCCAAAAACGCCAGATCAAGAAAGAATCACTGTGTGGAAGTAGGGATGGGATCGAGGGGAATAGGATCCGCGACAGGAGGCACAGCAGCGAGGGTTTCCATCTCGGGGAAGATGGGATGCAGCGGGTAAATAGGACCGGCAGAGTTCTCGCCATCAAACAGCAGGATATTCTGCAGGGGCTGTTCACGCGCAGAAAGGACATTGATGACATCCTGGGCGAGAGAACCGCCCAAGAATGCAGCGACGGGGCTAAGCTCGGCGGAGAGGTTCTGTAGGAACTTGCGTAGGAAGACGTTGTCCAGCGAGCCCGGATCGAGCTGTAGTTCGCGGTGGCAGTCACCCGCTAACCTGGTGAAGGACACTAGGTCCTCGTGCGAGGATGTGGGCTTGTGGCCGCCGGAGACCTTCTCGAACTCCCATAGCGCGCGCAGACAACTTAGCAGCGGGGTGATTTGCTTGCGGCGGCGCGGTAGGCGGGTGTAGTCTTCGGGGAGTGGGGAGGTATTGGCTAGTAGGAGCGGAGAGTAAACCTCGCGCTTGGTGACCAGTTCAATAGCCTTGTTGCCATCTTTCTTAGTGGCGATGCTCACCATGCTGCGTGTGGGCGTCTCTTGCCGCTGGGCAGTCACGTTGGACTTGGCCCGCTCGATCACAAAATCGTGTGAAATCAAGTCTGCAAATGCATACCCGTAAAACCCGTGTAGACCTGCCGCATAGAACGGCTTATTGGCCAGCCGGCATGCAGCATTAATTGTAGTGTTCGTTGCGAAGTCGAGTTCAGTCGCGATCGTCAAATCGAACTGTGCGAAGAAATCGGGCTGTTTTGTTTTAACATCGTCCGTGTCGACGTGCAACTTCACTCTCGGGTTCATCTTGTGAATCTGGGGGCCGGCCACTTCTGCTCGCTGGGTAGGGTCAACATGAGAGTATACAGAACGAAGTGGGATTGTTCGTCTCACATTCTTTCCAAGGACATCTCCCTCGCTGTGTGCCTCCGCCACGAAAAACTGTGCGCCCAGGTCATCCTCGGTGATAGTTTCGTGGTCGATAATTGTGAGACTGCCAATTCCTGCCAACACCAGGTTTTTGGCTACTTCATTCGCGAGCGCTTTCACGGTGATGAGGAGGATGTTGGCCGACCGGATCCTGTGGATGTGGTTAGCATATCTGACTGTCTGACCCTCCTAGGTTGGGTCGCTCACTTCTCCTGCGCTTGGACTCCCCACAGCCGAATCTGACGGTCGTAAAGCGCAATCTCATCTAGCTTGGGTCAGGTTGTGTTCGGTCGAAGAGCTAGCTGGAGTTCCTACCTGCGCTGATAGATTGACCGTTCTCCATGCTGTGTGTGGTGCAGTAGAGAGAATAAGAAGGGCCTGCAAAGTAGAGCTGTTGCAAGAGTCTCTCTAACAAAGCGCAAGAGTAAGAGAGAAGTCCAAACAAGAAGTATGAAACGCAAGGAGCCGATGATCTAATCGCACATCACGTGGCTGTTATCAGCTCACCTTTCGTGTACCTTCGGGGTTGTCTTCATCACTGGCCCTCGATGGGCTGATTGTGTCTGTAGATTCGCCCTTTTCTTCTTGCCAGCACCTCTCTTTCTCCTGAATCAGCCTGGGGGACCAAATATGGTAAGTGATGCGGGTCTTGTTTCTGCCTGACCGAGTGTCTCAACCCACATCCTCTCTAACTTCTTCGTCCGCCTCTCCAGTCCGGGAATTACGACTATCCCCCAGCTTCGTCCCGCGGGTCCAACGACCGAGACGTGCTTCGCCTCCAGCATCTACGCAATCTAGTCTCGGAACGCAATCGCTCCGGAGCCTACAATACCACCCGTGCCTTGGAGACGCTGAACCAAGAGATCGAAGACCACCACCTTGACCGAGCCCGTGACCGATCCCACTTCGAGCGGGCTCGTGCTGCAGTTGACCGCCAGATTCAGCAGCTGGAGTTCTCCAGCCCCGCCGAGCGCATCCGCAGTATCTGGCTTGACCAACTTCGCTCCGAACGCCTCGACTCGGACTCACCCCGCCGCCGCCGCTTCGGGTCCGACGACACCTCCATGTCGCAGCCGGGTACCGGCCGCGACGGCCGCGGGCGGTTGAAGCGCCGCAAGCTGGATTCGGATGACCTCCGCGAGGGAATGCGGGGGTTCAACTACGGCCAGTATGGACAGGTGGTTCCGGGTGCGTTGAAGATGGAGATTGCCAGCTGTGATGGCGGCACCTACGACCCCGATGGCGATAGTTCTTTCCCGGAGAATATTCTGCGCAATGACCAGTCTGTTTATTGCACCAAGTCCGACCGCTGTAACCTTGTCCTCCGCCACCGAGGCGAGGCGCCCTTCTGCTTGAAGAAGATCGTCATCAAGGCTCCTCGTACGGGGTTCGATGCTCCGTATGTTTTTGGTTCTTTTTTGGTGTATGTTTTCACATGGCTCTAATACTTTCTAGCATCCAAGAAGGAATGGTCTTCGTGGCCATGACGTCCGATGAGCTGCTCGCCCGCACCGCCCAGTATCAGATCCATTACTCCAGCGCCCGGCGACGCCGCCGAAATCGTCGCGGCGATATGCAGCCGTCGCAGGAGTACCTGAATGCCTTCCGTTCGCCCCTTCAATCCCTTGAGAGAACAGTTCTCATGGGACCCGATTCGCAATCGGCGCCGGGTACTGCGCCCGATCCACAAACCGAGTTTCGAGTCACGACCGAGTATGACGAGAGTTCGTCGGAGGATAATGTGTTTATCGAAGATGAGGGCCCGTCAGTGACGGAGCTCGAACGGATCCAGGAACTCGAGCGCATCCAGGGTGAGGAGGATCTGTTGTGGTCGGATAGCGAGGACAGCATGAGTGATGACGACGACATCTTCAACCGCCGCCGCCATGAAATCCACCAACGCCTCGTGGCGCGTCGCCAGGCCGATCCGCGCCGTCGCCCACCGAGTCTCGTGGATCCTCTCCCTCCGCCGGCGCCGGCGCCGGCACCAGCAGCAGCCCCTGCTCCGAATACCGAGGTGCTGAAGCCGCATGCCCGATTTTTTATCGAGCGCGAGAAGAGCATGGTGAGCATCAAGTTCGACCCCCGCCGTCCGGCCGCTTTATCTTGATCAAGCTGTGGAGTCCCCGCAGTGACGGCAACATCGACATTCAGTCCATCATTGCCCATGGATTCGCCAGCCACCGGTTTATCCCGGCGCTGGCTGCTCGGTGAGGTCTGCAGTGCAGCAGTCATGTCATCCAGCATTGAGCATATCACATCCCTCGGGAGAGGGTGTCACCGGGCCGATGGGTTCTGTATAGGGGCTAGAGCTATAGCTTATCCACGACGAAATGAATGATGACCCGCGAAGAATGGCCTGTAGAAAGTGAAGATGGCATTCCAGCCACATGGTATCTCATAAGATTAAAAAGAACAAAACAAGTTTATCCAGTATGCCAGTACAGTATGCTCCTCACGCCTGAAATAACCAATACCCTTACCAAAGTGCACTGCCATCTATTCGCAATGCAAGATATTCAACCAGAAGAAGTACCCATATTGAAAATTATCGCAACTCCATCTTCGCGTACGGCGACTTGTTGTTATCGTCGTACATCTGAGTCGGCGGACCCCAGAAGATGCGCGGTTTCAACCTGTTGGCTTCTCGAAGATCGCGTTCGCGGTTGCGCACTTTTTGATTGTGTCGGCGCAGACTCCTCTTGCGCTTTTGTTTGGCGAGGAATTCTCGAAGCCAATCCAGCATGGCTGGGGGGTTGGGGTCGGCATGTAATCGGAATTATAATCCTTATTAATTTCTTTTTCCATGCCAAGCAAAGGAGGAAGGTATGAGGCACAGCTGGAGGTGTTGGGTTAGTTGTTGGTTCGGTGTTGGAGTTGGACCACTGAATACCTGTACTGCAAGTAGCCTTGATTTCGGTCAAGACTATTTCAAGGAATACTTGAAGTTGCTAGGTGTTTCAAGATCAAAAAAGACCCCGATCTGTGTGTTGGAGGCTCGCGGGGTCCATGGGGGCGGAGTGTCCCTTAGGCCTCCCGGGGCTTTTTTTAGTAGACACATGGGGGCTGATGTCTCTTGCTAGGGCTGAACACCGACCCGATCTGAGTCATGAAGGATTATCCATGGATGACCGTGGATGGCTACATAGAGCCTTCTCTCAAGATTGAGAAAACAATTAGTCATGGCTAATGGAGCCTTCCAAGGAAGACCTTAGAATATTTGTGATAGTATTTAAAATAGTAAATAATCTATGAAAGAGATCATTCGCTTAGGCCAATTATCACCATACATAATAAGACCAGACCTATGGAATGACAAAAAAAAAAAAAAAAAACTCATAAAGAAAGGAAAAATTCTTGCATAGAAGCTTACCCAAGATAGTAAGATTGATATCGCGAGCTATAGTATACATCGGACTCGGGTTCGGCTTCGGATTGACGAGCCCTACGTCACACCACGTGATGTGTGGATCGTCTCGGCGAATTATCTCGCCGTGCCGAAGCATACAAACAGCGCTGGGGTTCCCCCCTTTTCTCTATGGGGCTGAGCTCCCCTCGTCCGCTGAGAACTGGGATCCACAGCGGCAATTCCTATCTACTAGCTGATCTTCACATAGCCCCATTGAATCGTGGGATTGTGTCTCCACCTATCATCATGATGGGAACGCGTCGGCTCCTTAAAGAAGAAATCACCTATTCTCTAGCTAAGGAACGGGGGGTCAATATCCTTCATCAACTGGGATATTTCGATGGACAATGCCGCTTTTTCTCCCACCTCAATGACAGACGAGAATGAATGAAAGCCGTGGTAGCTCATCATTTGGGCTTCAGGTCGCCCGATGGGTGCCATATCGCGAAGATAGAGGACTGGTTCCGGGGCAGCTTCAACGTTTGCATTCCTATTTCGATTGATCCCTGGAAGGGCCAGCAGCAGCCGGGTCATCGAGTCTTCCTCCGATTTCCTCTTCCATATCGTGTCGGCGAGAAATTTCGACCTAGAAATGGGGATGAAAATATCCAATGCGAAGCTGGGGCGTATGCATAGCTCCAACAAAATTGTCCAGACATTCCAATTCCACAACTGTACGGGTTTGCTCTATTAACCGGTGAAACTGTACGAGACCACACACTTTTGGGAGAAACCTGGACGACTAATCCTCTCGAGTGCAGTTCACCCGGCTTGAGCATCTGCCTTTTCTTACTCGTCTTTTCCAGTCCATACGCCGTCGGGTATTACAATGGCTTCGCTTGCCGACGCCTTCGTATTACGTCCGCCATCCGAATCAAAACCAGCCTTCTCTGGATGGTGTGAAGGAGGCTGGATACTTGTTGATGGAGTTGCATCGAGGAAGTAAAAGGGACGATGCATTCGAATACGTGGACTGAAAAACAACACGATCTCCAGCCGCGCACAAATTTCTTCAGGGATCTTTCTCGGATCCTACTGAGTATCAGCAGAACGCCCTTACCCCGTATTGGATCTTTCATTATCCACAAGGAAGGTTACTTAACCTTAAGCAACCGGCCGCTTTCAATGGAGCTGCATGAATTGGAGAATGAGAAGATTCCGACCGAATTGTCTCGCGAGTACACCTATTCCACAGTCGAATCTTACGTGACAGATCTCCTGAGAGGCCATGACAGCCGCCTTCGAAACCAGCCCAATGCCGTGAACAATGTTCAAGATTGTGGGTATCAGATATCAGCACTAGCCGCAATGCAGACAGTAGCGCCGTTGTTTTTCCGCCGAGACCTAAGTCGTGGCCCTTTTGTGTTTACTTTGACCGATCTCCACCAGAGCAATATTTTCGTCGATGATCAGTGGTGGATCACTTGTCTGGTGAATTTGGACTGGGCCTGCTCCCGGCCTGTTCAAATGGTCGAACCACCTTACTGGTTGACTAATAAAGGCGTGGACGAGGTCGACGCTGGAGAATACGATGCACTTCGAACAGAATCGTTAGCCATCATGAGTGCCGAAGAGGAAAAGACCGACAAATCCAGTCATATCCCCTCCGCGACAGCCGACAAAGTCTCGCTACGACTATCAAAGGTTATGAATGAAGCCTGAGTGACTGGGACTTTCTGGTAGTTCATTGGCACTCTCTAGTCCCTCGGGTCTCTTCAGCTTATTCTACGACCATATTCAGCCTTTGTTGTCCGAACACAGCTCCGAGGAAATTGGTGAAATCATGCCTTGTTACTGGGGGACGTGGGGAAATTCGTGGCCACCAAGCTCGCTGATAAAAGGAGATATGACAGTGAGCTTCGACAAGCTTTCGCAACAAGCAGCTCTGATAGTGATGTTGCTGGATTATAGTTTATAAAAAGGACATCGCCCCAAGAAAGAGGTAAGTAAGGTAGGGTCTGTAAACGTAAGATGAAGTAAGTAATAGGTAGTCAGTATTGGCGACAAATCGTTTGGATAGTTCGTTTTGTGCAATATCATGACGGTCAAGTATTTCCCGGTCCAACTGGATTTAAAAATGGAGAAATTGGAGAAATAATAATACATGAAGAATCAAAAGTGACATGAACAAAAAAGACAATGAAAAGACGTCAGCACTAGGGTTCGAACCTAGGAGGGCGAACCCACTGGTTAATGAGACACGCCGGAGCGCCATATTCAAGACCAGCGCCTTAACCACTCGGCCATACTGACCGCCATATCCTGGGCCAAGCGGAATATAGTTAGATGATGTGAGCGACTCAGGTTCCGAACAGGCATGCTTGAATATCCATGGATTCTTTCCGGCTCCTTTCCGACTCCACTTTAGATCAACACAAGCCCCATCGGAACTACTACTGTATAGTTAATTCGATATTGCCGAGATGGAGAACTTGAGCCAACCAGCCGCTCAGTCTCTATTCCACAACTAGGGAGCTACCATGCTGAGTTGGATATATAGTAAAATTCAAGTTTAGTTACTAGTGACGTAAGTAAAAAGAACAATCATAGCAATTTCGTGGATTTCACCCATCTGGTCACAGACCCTCGGGTATCTCGTAAACACTCGTCTATATTTTTCATTATGCGGCACCTTCATCAGATCCGGTTTCCCCGGTCTTCACATATCGGCTGCGGTGTCGCAACGACGGGCCATAGATCTTCAGGAGCCACGGAACAGGAGCCATGGCCAACATGATAAATGCACAGAGGGAGATGGCCCACTCAAACTTCATTGCATCAACCATCTGGATCGTGAACAAGGGGAACACGCACGAGAACGTGTACCGCATGGCGACGTCGACTGCAAAGGCTGATGCGCCGAGTTCCGCTCCGTAGAACTCGTTTTTGTACAGGGGGTAGATAAGCTGAATATGATAATTAGCGAGAGTGACCTAGGCATAGGACATGGATGACTGTACTTACCTGCGACAGCGAAAATCCCATGCCGTATGGTATGCCAGCGAGGAGCGGGCAGATCCAGTGGATACTTGGACGAGCTGTCCATGCGAGCCTGTGATTGATTAGTATCATCCTGTGATGCATTGAATAGAATGTCGTAGGCGAGAAATCTTACCAGAACAAACTGATGGGCAGTAGAACCGCCGCAACCATCGCCCCCGTCAGGGTCTGCTCCGGGTGTTTCTCGGTGTATTTTTCCCTCCTCTTTGCTGCCCAAGACAACACCGGCAGAGCCAGGAGACTGCCCACCATCAAAGGCAAAAAGGCCAGTCCCACCTCGTAGGAAGAGAAATTATACGCGCTCTGCAGGACGAGGGGGTAGCTAGCATAGAAAACAAAGACAACCACCTGGCCCATCGTGACGATAAACGCCGTGGGCAGGATGATGGGCTCGACGAAGAGCATGCGAGCCGGACGCGCAAACGCCGGGCCCAGCGTCTTGCGCCAATCGCCGCGCGGCAGCTTGAGCGCCTTGCGACGGATCTCGGGCTCGTAGGTCTCGGGGACGAACACCATTGACAGGAAACACACCCCGACCAGCATCGCAGTCAGCCAGAACGACCAGCGCCAGTCACGGTCCGCCACGATCGACTCGCCGGCAATAGGGCCAATCTCTGTGGCCAGTGTCCCGCCCAGCCCGTACAGCACGAAGAGCGCGCCGGCCGCTTTATCCTCGGGCATCTTCCACAGATCATTCAGTACGCCCGCGAAGACCGTCACCGACGGCGAGCCGACAATCCCCGAGATGGCTCGGGCAACGGCAATGGTCCGGAAGTTTGGCGCTGCACCGCCGACAATGGTGAAGACCAGGTGCAGCAGCAACGAGGTCTTGTAGATGTACTGCCGGCCGAATTCCTCGGAGAGGGCTGCCGTGAACATGGGCCCGATCACGAAGCCCATGGCATAGAAGGTAATCGGGGAGATGGCCAAGGTCTGTGAGACGCGGAACTCACGCATGATACCAGGAATGCTGGCAATGTAGATGGAGGTTGCAAGAGTGCTGTGCAAGAAAGCATCGGAGTCAGTTGCGACAGACCCCCATCAGGTTTTCAAGGTCGAGCTCACATCACAAAGTAAGATGCAATTGCACTCAAGGATATCAAGAGTTTAAACTTTGGGTTCCAGTTGCGCGCGCTGTAGGTTTGCTTGTCCGGTTCATCGTCGGGCGTAGCGCTGCCATCGCTTCGGTTGGCGCCACCAGGGCTGCCCGGGGTTTCTTTGGAAAGTTGTGTCTGGTAGGGAGAAAACTCAATGGCTCTCCCTTGGCTTTGCTCTATGGCAGCCATGATGATGGATCAGTATAATTATCTTTGATAGAGATCACTATGTGGGAGAAGCAAGGTCACAATAAACGATAGTTATAGATATGCAGGAGGAAGACCGCCGAGATAGGGCTAGGTTGCGAGGAGATCCAATACTAATACTAGTCATGCAAAAGGCCATGGATTTGAAGATCTGCATGTTGTTGGGGGCCATTCTGTGCATTTCAGCCTGCTCATTCTTCTGGGATTTAGGGCCCCCCTGGGGCCGACTAGCCCTAAGAGGTATGTGCTTTCGCATGAATCTCTACTGTGCCGAATCCTGCGAAATCCCGAAACCAATGGAACTAGGGCGCCTTAACTTTGCGACTTATCCTCCGCATCGTCAAGTGTGGTGGCATCAGTGAGAGATCGTGGACGTGGCCGACGGAAATGCCACTCTGTGTCTCGTATGAATCCAGCACTTTATTACTATTATTATTGTTGGGTTATGGATTTATGGATTTATTGTTCTCGTAATTGGTCCTGCACTAAGGTTACCCAAAGTGGAAAACACATCGTCACCGACTGATTGTCAGTTCTATAAATAAGACCCTGTACGTGTCAAAGCAGCCCCGTCCGATATCTCGCTTGCAAGGTTGTCTCACTTGCATGGTTATTTCCTCGTGGCCCCATTTGTAACGACCACGCTATCGGGGGCAAGCCACCGGGGGTTAGATCTAATTACATGTTAATCTCGATGATTTCTCGGGGGTTTTTTTGGCCCCCGGGCCAAATTTGGCGGTTAAGCTTATTGTTCACGATGCGGCAAATCCGATGGCTTTCTTTTTTTATTTTTATTTTTATTTTTATTTATTATAGGAGGGGTTTTGGTCATGGCTTATGGCTTATGGCTTTTGTTTTGTATTTTATGTTTTATTTTCCATTTTCTACTGTTTTCTCTATTTTGAGCCTACTGACTCGCTCCTGCAAAATAACGTAGGAAGAATGTATACTCGGAGACGAATCAAGCTGCATCTTGGCGGCATAAGCAAGCCTTTGGGAAGAAATACCGCACAGTATTCCCCTGCGGAGCCTCGTCGATGATTATAATCCTTCCCCCCACTGGTAGGCCCCAGCGCCCAGTACTATATCTAAAATAAGTAAAAAAGATTAAACCTGAAATTGAAAAAAAAAAAAAAAAAATGCACGTACGCAGAACAATGAGGTGGATATGGCTGAGCATCCTTCGGCCATATCAAGTTTCTCGTCTCATCTATTGGTGAAGCGTGTCTTTCATATGAAAGGGCTGTGATGAAACCCACTACATGGCCCCAGGCTGTTTATCCAGGCCTCCCTTTAGGGTAATCATTTAGTTCAGTTTCATGCCATATAAACTCCACGTCCGTCTCAAATCTCCGCCCGCAGATCTGTCTGTATGAGTTGTTGATCGTCTATAGTGTGAACAGAGACCTCGCGGCGTTCATCATGCATTATATACTTTTGGCTACAGTGGCAGTCACTTTTCACGTATGTGCCGTACCGTCTTTCTTTCCTTTCTATTGTGTGTATCTTTGTGGGCCCTTGTTAACCCGAACGTCTGATGTGTAGGTGACTCTGCTGTCAATATATCGCCTCTTCTTCCATCCTCTCTCGAAATACCCCGGCCCAAAACTAGCGGCCCTCACAAACTGGTATTCTGCCTTCTATGCATGGCGGGGATATTTGCATGTCCACAATAGGGCATGCCATGACAAATATGGTGCGCAATCTAGCCCGATAGCATCCAACATACCAAGATGCTAACCACTCTTGTAGGAGTCATCGTTCGAACGGCACCAAACACACTCTCGTTCGACTCCCACGACACGATGCCAGAAATATACGGGATCAAAGCCAACGTCCGCAAGGCCAATGAGTGGGTTGCCCTCAGCGCCAGCCGCCGCACCCCGAATGTCCTCAGCGTTGTGGATAAACAACTACATGCGTTCAAGCGCCGGACGCTAGCGCATGTATTTTACGACCAGAACATGAAACATATTGAGGACCGGATCATCGAGAAGATCAAGGGATTCACCGATCTTTTAGGCTCGGCTGATGATGGGTTGCCCGTCAAGGAGAAGAATAGCTGGGGGAGTCCTACACCGATGACGAATCCATGCAACTGGCTGTCCTTCGACATTATCAGTGACCTCACATACAGCCAGAGCTTTAATATGCTCAAGTCCCCGGAGCTGCGCTGGGTTCCCGAGGTCTATACCAGCATGTCCTATCGCAGTATGGTGGTATGTGGTCGTTCCTGTGTTCTATACCCGACATGCCCTAACTCGACCACCTAAGTGTCTTATCCAACCCAAAATCTTTGAATGCAAACTCGACCGCGTTCTCCTTGCACGGCTTTACAAGGAAATCATATCTGCGGGCACCTGGATCTACGAACGCACCAAGACACGGCAATCCCTCGGAGTGAACCCCGACAAGAAGGATATCTTCTCGATCTTGATGAACGCAAGAGACCTCAAGACGGGCTCGGAATACAAAACCAAGGATCTCTGGATCGAATCTATATTGCTTTTGGCAGCAGGTAAGACTCCACAAGGCGCAGACTACAACTCCCGACTCTGCTAACACACCGTGATCCTGTAGGCGCAGACACAACCTCGGCGACCATGAGTGCCGCCTTCTTCTACCTCCTCCACAACCAAGCCGCACTCTCCCACCTCACAGCCGAAGTGCGAGCAACATTCACCAGCGAAGATGAGATCCGCATGGGACCGAAAATGAATTCCTGCCGCTACCTGCAAGCCTGCATCAACGAAACCATGCGTCTCGTCCCCGCCGTCCCCAACCTCTCCCCGCGCCGCGTGCAAGCCGGCGGCATCACCGTCGGCGGCGAATACATCCCCGAGGGCGTCAACATTGGCACCTCGCTCTACACACTCATGCGCAACGAGCACTATTTCCAGAAACCCAACGAGTTCTGGCCCGAGCGCTGGTTCGTCGATCCCGAGGCTGGCGTCACGCCCGAGTCGCTGGCGCTGGCGCAAAAGGTCTTTTGTCCATTTGGAATGGGGCCGCGCTCGTGTGTCGGGTGGAAACTGGCGTGGCTGGAGCTGAATGTCACGCTTGCGCGCACGTTGTTTTTGTATGATATGCGGCTGCCGTTGGGGACGGACTCTTTTAACAAGTCGACTGCCGCTCGCTCGGATTATGACTTTCAGGCGTGGGCTATTGCGTCGGGTGGAGGACATAGGGCGCAATTCCGGAGGCGGCATGACTTGCAATGATTGAGCGTTGATTTCATATTTTATAGACTTTTTTTTTTGATAGACCAGTCGTGGTTGGACGTGTTTTGTATATACTTCAGTCTGGATTAGCGTTTACTATTATTCCCCAACAGTGCTTCTCGCCATGAGAGAGATAGAGCTGTTATACATTGATGATATCGTTAGCAACTCATGGTGTTCTGACTCGCAATTTGCCTACCCCCGTCCATATTTAGGTCATATAAAACAGGGAACATCTAATTGTATTCGCGACTCTACTATACTCCCTCTATGGATTTATCTATCGTTTTGAGATACCAATGGGAATGCACAATCGCATTTATTCATAGATCTATTAGCAATGGCTTCCATACCTTCCTGGAGAACACAAACTTGGTAACTGTCCAAAAGTCTGCCGACATTCACTCTATTCCGGCAAAACTTGATGATTTTAATTATAAATATCTTAAAAAAAATACCTAAAAGTCGTAGACGAATCCCTATATTAGGACCTCTCTTAATAAAAGATACAAATTATCGAAGTACGGACCGTACAACGAAAGAGACACACTAGAATATTCGACGAGCGAGAAAATCAGTAGCTTCGTAGCTACCCCAAATCCTATAACGAGGTCAAAATAGAGAGATATTGATATCAGAAGAAAACGAATTAGCTACTAAAAACCCTCTATTTTTTTTTAAATTCAATTAGCGAAATTGTTGAATAATTTATAAAGAGAGAAATTTTCGTATCGGTGGGAATTTTCGTATCTTTGTAGAGGACCAACAGTTGAAAATGCTGTGGGTCCGACTCGAGGGGACGGCTAGTTCATGCAAGGGATTCAATGGTGGAATAATAGTCGAAGATCGGGCAATGGAAGTCTCCATAATGGATCCTTGGAACCGAACCAGCCGAGATAAAATTACAATTTGGATAAGGGGGAAAAACCTCTTATAGTATAAGAGGTATGAATTCCACGGTTGTTTTCTCGATTCTATAACACCTTTTCTTTCAATATCTATTCGCAACCATGAAGCTCTATATCCCAGCTTCTCTTATTTGCCTCTCTACCCTCGTGGCCTCGGCTGCTGTTGGACCGACCCCATCTAGTCTGTGTATCCCACAGAAAAATGCTACTGCGCTCCAGCAGTTCTACACGAAGTCGACCGATTATGAGCGTCAACTTCAAGATCTTGAGGCTCAAGTCTCTGAGGAAGAGGGTGGATCTAATGTAAGACTTGACCTAGGACGTGCTAGTTATAACAGTAATACTAATATTGATACTTCCCTCTTTCAGGAAAAGAAAAAAGCGCAGTGGTTCCTCAGCCAAACCCACGATTTGCTGAGTTTAAGTAAAGATATCAGTGCCAAATTCGGTGAGGGTTCCTCTCTACCTTAGCTCTGGAGAAAAAACCTATAATTAACCTAGGATATATATCTAGAGGGTGGAAAGAACTGTCTTTCTAAACAAGACGCAGCCAAAGTTCAAAACATGCGTGACCAGCTCCAAGTCTCGTTACAGAAGTTCTCATCATCCCTCGCCCATACGGAACGTGACCTTATTCGGAAATTCCCTTCCCCTATTCAAATTGGCAGTCTCCTTGAAGCCATCGTTGTCCTTCACGTTCTCGAGGTAAGTGCTACAAAAAGCCCTGCTGAGTCCAACTCGATTCCGAGCTTACCTCTTTTCTCTTTGTAGCCGGCTAGTAACGTGCTTCATGCGCTTCTCCAAAACGTTTTAATGGTGATCGATACAGGTAGGTTGTCACAGTTGGGAGATGAGGTAGTGTTTTCTGGGCCCAGTCATCCATTGGAGTAGCTGTTGGGACTGGTGTTCTGCAGAGCAGTGTAGGTAGCAGATAGCTTCTCTTCTCTCCTACAGACAATTTGATTTCTCTCTTCTGCGTCCTTTCTCTTCAGCAGTTCTGCTTTCCCCAGTTTCCCCTAGTGCTCTCTGAGAGTAACGCTGTAGTAGTACCTGGCCTTGAGATTCATATATACAGGTTACTAATGCAATTAATAAATTCATTTTTCAACTATTTATCTACATAAAAAAACACCCGAGCTTCTACTTAGGACTCCCTGGGTGAATCATAACAATATGTTTTATACCTAGAGAGAAACATCCCTAAAAGAAAACCTACAAATCTGATTATGTTCGGATTGGTTATTTGAAGAGGTAATTATGAAGGTTAGAAAGCTTTACATCAGGTACATTTGGGTTTGATGTGAAATATTGATTCCACGTTTTTTACGCCAGGTACTGGCCTCTGAACAGGAAACGATTTATATCTCAAGCTTTCGAGCTATACCCCAAATGAACCTGAAATACCGAAATTTCTATTGAGACTGGATGGATAGAGTATAAATAAGAGCCAGTAACCTGCACTGGCTTATACTCGATTCATTCAAAGTGAAAGTTCTCTGGACAATCGAAACAGGAAAACGATCAATATTGTGGCTGCGGCATGCATTGAACAACCTCGCCTGCATCACTGCAGATCCCGGCCATTTGATCATCATGGCCCTCAACTCTAGATCATGGCAGCTCCCAGCCCTATACCCTCCTTACAAACCTCCAACATGGCTGGTGGTGTTTCTGTGTCCTATGGAGGACGCCGAGCGGCGTACCATCATGACCAGACTGATCACCGTTGACCCCGACTGGCCCGACCGACCACAAGCTGAGATGCGGCGGCTCGTCGAAGTGCCCTGGCTGCTCCATGGCACTCCTCCGCCCTCGGCCATATTCAAGATCCACCAAATTATGACGTCCGTTGACTCGGTGATCTTTGTTGACAGCCAGTCGCGCCGCGATGATTCGGCCATTATTCTCTGCGAGGGCCAGCCTCCCACTGTCGCGCGTGTGCCTATGAACCGCGCTAATGTGCTGCTCAGCGCTGCTGCTAAGGGCGAATGGTCTCTGTCGGCGGACTATCCTCAGGTCTTGCCGGAGAGTCCTCCACGCCCGAGTCTCCTGGTTCGTATTAAGATCCCGGTGGTGGTTTAGTCCATGTTAATCGACGATAGAATCCCAGCCGCGGCATACTTCCTGCGCATCTCGCAGATCTGCATCTATCACCATCTACTATCACACTGGTCTCACTAGTGCATCTTTCTGACACCGCACAAGAGGAAATTCAGTCCTCGATTGAGCGCGACGTGACTATCCGTAACTGGCCAGAACACGAACCATGCTCTCGTGCCCAGCTCTACCCAATCTTCCACGCGATCAAAGTCTGTCACGATGAAACCGACGATGCATACGCCCTGCTCATTGACCATGATTTCAACGGCAACCCTACCATCCTGGCAGCCGGGCTCGGCGGCCCGCACTGGGCAAGCCCGGAACTCGACATGTTGGAGCTGCATCGCCTGGCGATGTCGGACGTCGCCCAATTCTGGACCGTAGTCTGGACCCCGTTCGCGCATCACCCAAAGCCAGAAATGATGAACGGGCTCCGGACCAACCCGTCGATCCGGGACACGGGCTGTGGGACTGGTGGGCCAACCGAGCTGGTTGCCAACCCTGACAACATCCCGAACAGCTGGACCGGTCTACCGGTCTTTATTTTAGATACTATGACCGAGACTGAACGTCGCATTATCCGGGAAGAGCTACTGGGTACTCCGGACGGAGTCATGTGGACCGACGTGTCGGACCAGCTGGAGTCGCCGGACATGCATGGCCTGCTGGCGTATTTCGAGGCGACTTTTGATAATGCCCGGGGACCGCCAGCCCATTTTCTGGCGGTGGACCGTAAGTCTCTCGAGATTGCGCTAACACCGGCGGATGAACGCGACGAGAGCGAGGCCATGATCATTGCGTCGGATGGGGGCTGCTCGGCCTGGTTCCGAGACGACACAGATCAGATGCTCGGTTTGCTTCACATGGGGTATGGATATAGACGCATGGAAGGCGAGGAGGCTGAGAGCGGGTGGATTAATCTGGATGTGGGCAATTTGTTCTTCGAAGACGTCTTTGAGGCGGATTCGGTAACTCCTGATATTGTGTATTGGAGCTGGATTAACCTGAGCAAAGATGATATGGATGACCTCCGCGAGGGAAGAAAGCGCGTTGCTGCGGCTTACTACCCAGAGAGAGGGCTGGTCACTCTCTGATTCTGAGGAACTTATGCTTCATGTTGGATTACTGCTTTCAAGCTTATGGGTACTGCCTGGTCTTGAGTTCTGGAGTTTCGCGCATTTCAAAAGTAGAACTTATCACAGCTAGTCCTAGGATATGACCATCCACTGGAACATATGATCAACATCACTCCAAGGGTAATCCCCCAGTATACTTGCATAAAGCATGGCACATGCGAATCACGCCTGCCTCAACGGCATCACTAAGTGGAGATCCACAGGCAGCTGACTGCAGTTTGGCCATGGCCACAACCAATGAATCCGTAGAAGAAGCTCGCATCCAAAGCTCCACCGGGTGATCAGGCACATCCAGAAGAAGGTGCCTGCATTGAGCTAGGGCGAGTCACCCCCAATAGAGCAAGGTGGGAACAATCTTCCACGGGGGGATGTGGGTCACCGAGTCTGTGCCTGACTACCAAAGTGGCCAGGTGCATCCATGGATGTAGGTCAGGGATCTTGCTTTGAGCGAGCTGCATGCTGGCGCTTCATCTTTGCGGCTGCTTATAGCCTCTCACTGGGCGAAGACGTCTGTCAGCTTGAACTTTGGGTAAGACTGAGGACCTGCGAGTCCAGAGCAAAGTCAGAACCCCTCCGAATGTTTAGGCCGTAGCTTCAACGGCGCAGTGATTGAGGGGTACTTGAACCCCACTGGATGTTATCCACTTCGATCGAACGTTGGTGATGGGGCGTCGTACTTTTGCCACGGACCGCTGAGCCCCGCAGAGAGCCCCGCGAGATGATTGCCTTGTGTCTCAAGAAATGGCATAGAAGGTAGAGTAGAGCTGGAGAGGGAGAGAGAGTGTGTGAGAAAGAGAGAGAGAGATAGGGAGAAAGAGAGAGAAAGAGATAGGGAGAGATGGACAAGTAAATAAGTCAACACAGAGTGGTACCTGAGGCTCACGGGCGATCCACGACGAGCGGAAGCCTGGCGATTGACCCGAGTGGAGCAAGGAGCTTCGCTTTATCGACTTCTGTCCGCTTCTCTACGCCTCTACAAATATCCCTTATATTCTTCTTTCTTTTTTGGTTCGCTCTCTATTCCCTCCTATCCTCTCTTATCTCTATCTTGGTAACCGCCATGCGGATCACCGTCAGCGTCATCCGCCCCGAGGCGGACTCCGACATCATCACCCTGGACGTCGGCGGCGACATGACGATCGAGCTCCTCAAAGCCATAGTCCAAAGCGAGACCGCCATCCCCCCCGAAGCCCAACAACTCGTCTACAACAACGCCCTCCTCCAGAACCCCGCCCAAACCCTCGACCAGATCGGCATCGCCGAGGGCGACATGCTAGGTGTCCACGTTACGCTGCGTGGTCCCCCCCAGCCCGCCCCCAACGCCGGGCCCAGCTCGGCCCCGCGCCAGAACCTGCCACCCCCGGCCGGCATGCCCGACCCCGAGACGATCCGGCTCCATATTCTCGGGGACCCGCGCGTGCGCGACGCCGTCCGACGTCAGAACCCCGAACTGGCCGAGGCGGCCGATAACGCCCAGCGGTTCCGCGAGGTGCTGCTCCGTCAGCAACAGCGGGAGGCGCAGCAGGAGGCAGAGAAGGAGGCCCGCATTGCGATGCTCAATGCTGACCCCTTCAATCCGGATAACCAGCGGGAAATCGAGGAGATCATTCGCCAGAATGCCGTGACGGAGAACCTGCACAACGCCATGGAACATCATCCGGAGTGTATGTTTATGATTATTTCTATGCCTATGTCTATGCCTATGCCTATACCCATGGCCAATACTACGCCGGCCGACTGCAAGCACGATACCAGCAGCTAACCGTTCTAGCCTTCGGTCGCGTGACTATGCTCTACATCCCCGTCGAAGTCAACGGCCACCGGCTCAACGCATTTGTCGATTCGGGTGCACAGGTCACAATCATGTCGCCCCAGTGTGCAGTAGCCTGCAACATCATGCGGCTAGTCGACCGACGCTACGGCGGCATCGCCAAGGGCGTAGGAACAGCCCCGATCCTGGGACGAGTGCATTCGGCGCAGATCAAGATCGGGGAGATGTTCCTGCCGTGCTCGTTCACCGTCATGGAGGGGAAACAAATTGATCTGTTGCTCGGGCTGGATATGCTGCGACGGCACCAGGCCTGCATCGACCTCAAGCGCGGGGCCCTCGTCATCCAGGACCAGGCGGTGCCGTTCCTGGGCGAGGCCGATATCCCCAAACACCTGACCGAGGAGTTTGAGGACGAGCCGACGGTTAAGGGCAGCGATGGCGCCGAGGTCGGTGCCCGAACCGGGGCCGTTACCCACCAAGCTGCCGGGCAAGATGCCGGCAACGAGACCGGCTCAGGCTCGGGGCCGCCCAAGATCAACATCCGGCCGGCCCCTGCGTCGCGCTGGCCCCAGGATTCGATCGCCAAGATCACCGAACTTGGGTTCACGCGCGAAGAAGCGGTGCGGGCTCTGGATGCGGCCAATGGGGACTTGGATCATGCTATCGGCTTTTTGATCTAAGGGAGGGCATTTACTCTGCGGCGTTGGTGGGCAAATTGTATTAGCGGATCACGTAATGAATGTGTACGATTATAAATCTGCAGATCTTTCTCAAATTCTGGAAAGGATCCATGTTCTTTTGGGCGTCCAAACGGGCATGGGTGATGAGGGAATCGATCTATTCGCGCTTGGCTTTGGGCATCAGTCGGTCGCGCAGACGGCACGTCATATCCAACGCCATCAGTGCACCTAGTGAGTCATTAGAACGTATACAAAGATGGAAAAAAAAGGGGGGAGGGGGTGAGAGAGAGATATACCGAGCGCCACATAAGGCCCGTACAGCGTGGTGAGCTGCTGCTTCTGAGCGACGGAACGATCCGGCCAGCTCCACACGACGACCAAGCATGTCAACGAGGTGATGAGGGCCTCGACACCGAAAACCAAGAGATGCACGGGCACCATGGGATGATCTGGAGTGGATCAGCCCGCAGAAATTAGATTAACGGCGAATCAATCTCCGTTGCAGAGATTGATTTCCCGTATTGATTGAAGAATTTCATTGCCAAACATACCGCGGAGAAGACCCCGAATCGCCCACAGACTCAGCGGTACATGGTACAGGACCTCGAGCCAGATGAATACGTTGAACCACACGGGTATGGGCTCGGAGAAGAACTTGTCGTGGTAGGTTGCGACGTAGAAGTCGCGCAGCTGCTGCGAGAAATCGGTGCGCACGATCGCCGGCTGCAGGGGGGCGGTGTCGATTACTGCGAGGTTAGCCCGGTCGGGATTGCTCGATGACGTTCATTTTCAGGGTCAATACATACAGTAGACGATGGGGAGGTGGGTCATAAAGAAGGCCAGGTAGGCCAGGTCGCGTTTGCGAGACCAGATGGAGGCCATGGCATACAGAGAGAAGAGATAGATGGAATGCGTGGAATAAGGAGGGTCATCCAAGGTGAAGGTGAAGATAAGATCATCGATCAGGTGATTTTTCTAGAAAACATGTTTGCTTTTTCCCCCCAAAAGCTTCGAAGCTTAGTTGCACTTGCACTTCTCTCTCTCTCTCTTGCTATCTCTCTTTCTTTTCTTATCTCCTCATCAACATTGGATCTTCCCCATTCCTGCATTCCCGCTCCTTTCCACGGTTCCCGTGTGGGTTGCCGGGCCGGTCCTCAACGGATCCACTCGTGGACCTTGCGAGATAGAGGGAACTGACGAGGGAAACTTTCAGAGGGGCAGAAGGGAGACTCAAGAGGTCCACCCGATAATGCAATTGCATCACAAGCTAATCTGATCAAGTCGGACCGCCACGCAGGATCCCTCGTGCTACGTGGAAGGGAAAAAAAAAAGACAGAAGGGAAGCAGACCGCATGTTGACCTGGCCCAATCATCCTCGATGCGCGGGATTACTCCGGATGAGGTGGACTCGAGAGTTCTTGGGAGAAAGAGAGAGAGAGAGAATGTTGGAATTTGGGGGCTTCAGGATCTCGCCCCCTTCTCCAGCCGAGGCCCCATGTGGCTCAATCCATTGCATCACGATGTATGTGTAGGATTGGCATTTGGGCTGCAGCTGTTTTTTCTTATCAAGCTTGCAACGGGAGAGCTCAACCGAGACTGGAGCGGTGAACAGACCTCAAAAAAGAGAGAAAAAGAGATATTGGCAGGGAAAATAAAATAAAAGCAAAACAAAACAAAAAAAAAAAGAGAGAGAGAGAGAGAGAGAGAGAGAGAGAGAAAAGTAGAGTGCCAGACTGTCGGGCCACGTCGGGAGATTCCCGTGTCAGACCGCTTCTCCGGAAGGATGGAAGCCCGGGAGATGAAGGGCGAACTAGTGTTTCGTTCTTTTGTATTTTGTATATATTTTTTGATATTATATGATATCACTATATATAAATATATCGTTCATGCCCTCGGCACTTCTTCTTTCCAAGCCCTATCGTGAAATTCCTACAAAACACCAAAAAAAAAACCAAACAATAAAAATGCCGTCATCGGCGCCTCTGCGGCCTAAGGCCCCCAACGCCCACAAGCCTGAGGTTCCCATCAGCTATGATATCAACCTCCCCTACGTGGACGTCAACAAGCAGAGCTCCTCCCCCTACCCGCAGTATCTGCCGTCGTGGGAGCCCGTGTGGTTTGATCCGCTACCACCTTTTAAATATGAGGACCCGGCATTGCGCGTCAAAGACCGCAGCAAGCCAAACCTGCTGGGCCCGGGATCCAAAGTGCAGCACATCCAGCCCAGCCTGGGCAGCGTGGTCAAAGGCGTGCAACTGAACAAGCTCTCCGACACGGCCAAAGATGAGCTGGCCCTGCTGATTGCCGAGCGCAAAGTCGTCGCGTTCCCCGACCAGGACCTGATCGATGCCGGCCCCGACGAGCAGGAGCAATTCATGCGCCATTTCGGTAAGCCCAACTACCAGCCCATCTCCGGCAGCATGCCCGGCCACCCGGCGTTCCATATCATCCACCGCGACGGCAACCGCGACGAAATCGCCCGGTTTTTGTCGCAGCGCACTACCACCACGCTGTGGCACCAGGACGTCAGCTACGAGATCCAGCCGCCGGGGTATGTGATGCTCGGCCTGCTGCAGGGCCCCGAGGTTGGCGGCGACACCGTTTTCGCCGCCACTGATCTCGCCTACAAGCGGCTGTCGCCCACCCTGACCTCGTTCCTGGACTCGCTGAAGGTCGTGCACTCGTCCGCCAATATGATCAACCATGCCCGTCTGACCGGCGGGCTGGTCCGCAAGGACCCCGTCGACACCGTCCACCCGCTCGTCCGCGTGCACCCCGTCACCGGCGAGAAGTGTCTCTTCATTAATGGCGAGTTCATCACCCGCATCGAGGGCCTCAAGGAGCCCGAGACACGCTGGTTGCGGGATTTCCTGATGCAGCATATCGTGGGGGGCATGACTTCCAGGCCCGCGTGCGCTGGCAGCCGCGCACTATTGTCATGTTTGACAACCGTTCCACACTTCGTATGTATTCCTTCTTCTCTTTCTCTTTCCTTTCCCTCTCTTCCAGCGCTCATGCTAACCCACTATGTAGATTCCGCCATCGTCGACTACATCGACGAGGAATATGGCGCCAAAGCCCGCCACATCTTCCGCCTCATCGCCCTCGGCGAGAAGCCCATCCCCGTGTACGATGAATTTGAATAGATACCTAGAGCTGGAGGGATTCCCGGTGTTTTTGGTTTCGGTTTATAGATTTCGGTTCTCCCAATAATGATCTCGAGTCAATACCATTGTTTTAATTGCTTGCCCGGAGAAAGATTCATTACCCATCCCATGCAACTAAAGTACAGACACCAGAAAGTAAATGAAAAAAAGGGAATAGCACAAGACTCATTGTAAATCAGAGAGATTTCACCGCATGTTCGCAATCCTCGCCCGCAGCTCGTGCGCCGTCTCCAGTTGTTCCGGGGTGATGCCACCGCCCTGCAGCAGCAGCAATAGCGTCTCGGCCACGCGCTCGGCCACAACGTCTGACCCGAACACCATCCCGCCCAGCCGCACCGTCTCGCGGAACCAGCCATCCAGCAAATACAACAGATCATTGGCGATGTAGCGGCGGTTGCCATCGTGGAAGGGTGCCTCGTTCGTGTAGTACATGGTCTCCAGGACCGCGTAGAGCGACTCGTGCGGCACTCCCAGGTCCAAAAACAGATCCACCACCCACGTAGCCGGACCCATGTGTCGCTGGTGCTCCAAAGAGTAGCGCTCCAACAACGGGATGAGCTCCCGAATGGGGAATACCGTCTCCGACATGCGCAGCCGGTTGCCCAGGCTTCGAACCTTGTCGATCACCGCTTCATACGGCAGCGGCGATCCACGTTCCGACGTGGCGGCGTGCAGATCCTGGATCAGATGCTGCCAGGTGGCTCGGATGTCCGCTGCGTTGCGGTAGTCGGCCAGGTAAAAGATCTGCAGGCAGATGTCATAGTAACTGGCCGAGTCGGCGTATTGGTTGAAAAGCTGCGGCGGTCAGTACAATCGTTTTCGGAGGGGGGGGGGGGGCCTGACAGACAGGCTTGGGAAAGGGAACATACGGTGCTAATGTCCATGACGGGCCCGTCCACATCGCGAATGACCTCGGCCTTGCGCTCTGAAGTGATGCGCTCATCATCCTTCAACCGTTGGAGGAGGTCGTCCTGAATGTTGGCTACATCAATGAGATTAGAAATTTCCTGCAGCAGCCGCTGTCGGGATTGACGTCCCACGTCCGCCGTATATGTCGAGGCGTTGGCGCGTGCCCGACCCAGATACTCAATCCGCCGGCTCAGTGACAAACTAAACGCACTGTTGGCCAGCTGGAACTGAACCTGGGCTGCCTCAAAGAATCGCTGGGACTGGGCGTAGTACCGCCACAGCAGATCTGCATGGGATAGGTCGTCCGTGGATTTGCGCTCGAGGTAAGTAACAACGAATGGCGACTGCGTCTGCAGAAGACGGTCGCTCCAGCCCTGCTCCAGGTACCAGTCATACAAACTCGTAAGGAAAACCTCGTCGGTCGAATCGGAAATGACGCCGTACGCCTCGTTTTGCCGCTTGGCGATCACAGTTAATTGGCCATCGATAAACCTGGGATCGTGTGCTGCCAGGTTGTCCACTGCGAGCACCACCTTGGAAATCAAGTCGTAGCATTGTTTGCGGAAGTAGAAGTAATCCTTGCGGGGGTCCTGCACTTGTGTGAGCCATTGGGAGTGCTGGAGACCGGGGGCGAAGGCACCTGTTCGGGGCGCCCATCCATGATCCAAGAGAGCGCGAGGTTGGCTTTGTCAGAGCGGCCGGCAACGTTGAGAGCCAGTTGGATGGCCCCTAGAGCATAAAAAGTTAGCAGCATTGAAAAACGACCAAGCAACAATTCAACATACCGGCAAAGAACTGGTTGGCAATGTAGTTGTCCACCGCCGACACCAGGTAGTCCATGGGGAGGCTGTCTGCTACTTGCTGGAAGAGGTGAAGGCTTTCGTTCAGCAAGTTTCGCCCCAGTTCCGAGTTGGCGCCAGCCTCTGTGGCACGCTTCAACAACTCCTGTGCCTTGAAGATCACCACATCCTCTGCGCTGCAGAAACTGCCGCATCGGCGTCGCAGAGCATCAGCCACGGTCTCCACATTGGAGCCCTTGGCGATGTTGCGGTTCACGATACCTTTGACCAACTCCTTGGCAATGTCATGGCCCTTGCTGCTACTGAAAAGCTCTTCAAAAGTCAACTTGAGGAATCGCTGCTTAGACTCCTCGGGCAGCGTGGCCACAATCTCATCGACTCGCTCATCGAACAAAACCAATACAAACGAAATACCCTCAATGGTGTGGGATACCAACTGCACCAGCGAGTGCAGGGCGCGATGCTCGGCCTGCAGCGCCGTCTCTTCCTGCTTGGTGGATACACGGGCAAGGGCCTCGGGTCCGCTGAGCCCTTCAATGAAGCTCTTATTTACCTTGAAAAACCGTTGCAAGGCCGACAGGTCGTGCTGGATAGTTTGCAATTTGGCGGCGGCCACAGAAGCCGATATTGTCAGGGCGCCGTTGGGGCCACTGCCCACCTTGGCAATCTCCTTCTTCCAGATAGACCGCAGGAGCCGCGAAATGTACAGGGAAATACCGGCATGTCGTGGAGACGGCACCACCGCGTCTATGGCAGGTGTCGAGCTGTCCGCCACGGCGTTTTCATTCATTGTGGGCCGGCCACCATACTCAATAAAGACCTTGCGCGCAAACTCCAACACATCGGGATCGTTGATCGGCGTGAGTCGTTGATCGGGGGAAATTTCCACGCCTTGACCGCATGCCACCGCCAGAGCAGTCGCCAGGGCTTCGCTGCGACCGTACGTGCGAATGAAATTCTTGACCTCGCCTTCCAAGCCTTCGTCGGTGGTACCACCGCCGCGTACCAAGGCGGCAAAAATGTCGACCAGACGGCGTCGGCGAATGACATGAATTCCGGTGTTGGTCAGGATCGCGACTTCAGCAGCGGGGTGATCGAATTGAACGGCCAGCTCATTGTTGGATCCAGCAGGCGCCGAACACAGCCCGATATCTTCTGCGCGGCCTCCCAAGCTCAGCCAGATGGCCGATTCGGCGGCCTTGCCGGTCAAGACATTTTCCTGCGAGCGGGCGATCCGGCCGGAATCGGGCGACGAGATGAAAAGAGTGTCCGCTTTTTGCGTGGCGTCCTTGCAAGTGAAGCAAAAGAAATACCCTGGAGGATACCGAGCGGCCAACCGAGTGGGCGTGAGCGAGTGGGTCTTTCCTGAAGACTTGAAAGCAAAGTCGGCCACATTCTCGATGGGCGGTGTCTTAACATGCTGCGCCTGCATGCTTGTGGGGGCATTGGTGCCGTTAGGCGCGGGGCTCCAGCTGTAAGAACTCGTGGCGCTGAGGTAGATGCGATAGCCTGTTGCGGTCGTGGCGACCAGATGATACCGTGAGGCTTCGGCGGCCGGCACGGGACTGATAGAAACAATCTTGACCTTGGAGTTTAATGTTTCGTTTGAGACAATAATGTGTCCAATGTTCGAATATATATCAACGGCCGATTTGGTGATGGCGAGAGGTAGCGTGTTGTCGGGCTTCATATGGAACACGCGAATCGTCGATGAGGACGAAAGCGTGTAGAGCAATTTCCGACTGTCATCAATCTCCATCTGCTCCACGTGCTCTGACGCTGCTTGGGTGAGGTTGGTCAAACTAAGCGACGGGGTGAAAGCCGAAAGCCGTGAGCTCGTGTGGTTGACCTTGGCGCACCGGCCCTGAAACCATCGCTCCTCTTGTTGATAGGTAAGCTCGTAAACATTGTTGTCGGACGAACCACCAAAGAAGATCCGACCAGTCGAGTCAGACGAAGCAAAGACGTGGATATCCAAGCCTCGAATCGAAACCGCCATCCCGGTTTGGTACAATGAAACCTGTCGGCCCCCGCTGGGTGTGGTCTCACATCCCATTCCTAGCAAAATCACCTCGGCTGTCGTCGAAACCACTAACAGATGCGTAATGGCCGCTAAGAACACTCCGGGTCGCGGTTTCACCAGCTTGACCGAGTTAATGCTGTTGGGCTGGTCCTCGAATCCGACCAATTGCGGGTTGGGATGTGTAAAGTCCCAGAGATAAAGCGCGTTGTCGATGGCCACCCATGCGTGATTGAGCTCGGCGAAGAGACCCATACTCGTCGATACTTGTGCGCGGTTGTACTGGTCGAAAATCTGGTCGGGGATATTATACATTTTCACTTTTTGGAACGGGGCCCATGATGTGGACAGGGGGATGTCGTATTCCGAAGAGAAACCCTCTGGATCTAGTCAGCTTCGGCGCTTTGAGAATTAGCGATTCAACGCGGAAACCTACGGGACAAGTAGCTGTCCAAGTCCGGGTATCGCGACTCTTGAAACAGGGTGTCATTGATGGTCCGCGCCCCGCGCTCTTCTGTGCTCAATGTCTGGTTCTTGGTCCTGGATGCTGCCGGCGGCATCTTAGGGAGGGGCATTGGGGGAGATGTCGGCTGAGCCGGAGACTTGGTGAGGCCATTTTGGGCTGGAGCTGGAGTCTGCAGGTAAGCTCCAGGAAGGGGTTTTTGCGGCGTTGCGGGCGGAAACGTTGGCAGCGTCGGATACGACATGGTGGGAGACAGTTGGGAGAGGAGAGGGAGAACTCCCCGAAGCCACCGTGCAGTTCAAGTCGAGACAAAAAGAGGGAGGGACGAGGTGGAAGATTGAGCAATGGGAGAAAGTTGAAAAGAGAGTCAACACGGAACGCACAGACCACCTGACGGATTCCGCCTTTTTATCCTCTTCGATTCATTCCTCCCATTGAACATTGTCGCCTGTTGTCACCATGTTCTATTCATTGCGCCTGTTTGCGCGTGTCCCGCGAGTTCCTGTGCGAGTTCCTGCTGGTTCACTTCGATGGAATTCCTCGACTTCCCCCGCGACTCCGCCACTGTTGGCGACGCTGCGGACTGACCTCAAGACTGCCATGAGAGCCAAGGATACTTCAAGGTGTGTTTTGCCTTTCCTCTCTCTCTCTCTCTCTCTTTTTTGATCAGAAGCTCATTTACAGACTCAATGTCCTCCGCGCTCTAATCTCCGAGACCAACAACGCCGCCAAAACCACGTCGCCAATCACCACAGACATCCAGCTCTTGTCGCTCATCCGGAGACGCCAAGCTGCGAGTCGAGAGGCCGCAAAGCAATTCGCCGCGGCTGATCGATCGGATTTGAAAGACCAAGAAGAGGCGCAGATTGCTGTCTTGGATGAGTACGCGGGTCAAGTCAAGACTGTGAGCACCGAGGAGCTCCGGGAGGCGATTACACGAGACATCGAGGCCATTAAAGCAGATGGAGGCAAGCCTAATCCTGGGATTTTGATCAAGAGGCTGGCGCATTCCCCAGGTGGATCTCTGAATGGTAAGCCAGTCGACATGAGACAACTGGCTGCTTTGGCACAGGAGATCATCGCAGCATGATCTACCTACTTGTACACTACGATATTGTAACAATAGCTTCGATGCGAAAATAGAAAAAAAAAAACTCCCTTGAAATTGCAAAACCGGCTGATTAAAAGGACACAACAAACCCCTTGGAAACAATCACGAGCAGTAAAAAGCCATGCCTCCCAGCGAGGTCATCACAACACCCAGCCACCACCACCGGTCCGGGTTGATCAGCTCCTCTTTAATGATCAGATGACTCTCCGACAAACTCCGCTTCTTGTGAGACCCGGTCGGGGTGGGATTCAAGGTCGTGGTGGGCAGCATCTTCGGGGGCCGGTAGGCAAGGTACATCGGGTGCAGAATGATGCCGTCCGATCTGGTCAAGTCGAGGCGTAGAATGCCGCTGTATCGATCGGCACCGACAGAAAACGTCTAATATCTGTGAGCGAGGCCTGATACATCTCGTCAGAGATAGGCAGAGATCCGCGGACATACCTCGTAATGTTCTGTCGTGTTATAGCGCGTATAGGTGCCAATGTCTTTCCGACATGGCTCCGAGAGCAGTTGACGGCCATCAACCGCGATTGGGGTGAGGGTCAAGGACCCGTTGGACGCAACAGCATACGATCCATGTTGCCATTGCATGATCCCCGTGGGACAGGACGGGTCGGTGGCTGCGAAGCATTAGCTGTATAGATCGACCACCAGAAGGGACCCACACTGACGATTGGCGATCGCTCGATAGTAGGCTTCCTCATAGTGTCCGTCGGCATCGAACGAGTATGAAATCCCCGTCAAGTTGGGCTCCAGCAGTTTGTCGTGCAACGGATCGTAGAATCCCTTCGCCGCGTCAGTTGACACTGTTTTCTTTCCTGTTCGAGTCCACATACCGGGCCCGTGAGGACATCGCGAGACTTGGTTGTCCAAGTACCGACCAAATCCTCCACATTGGTGGCATAGGCCACAGATAATAAAGCCCAGATCAACATCATCGTGAGGGTCGGCGAGAAGAGAACAAAAGGAAAAAAGGAAATTGGATCCTGGAGTGAAGATGTCCCCTTCATTAGGGCAACCCTTCATTCGAGTGGGGAACATCAACAGACCTTCAGCAATGCGCTCCACTCTTATCGTATCGGCAGGAATGTGCTTTTCTCCCGCAACCTCCCGGTTGACGCAAAGATGATGGCGCTGCAGTCGGCCAAGCGCGACCTGCGCAAGACGATGCGCGAGGCCCTTCGACAATTACCGGCCACATCCATCACTCAACAATGTTCGTTTTCTTTTCTTTTCTTTTCTCTTCTGATGTTTGGGGGTTTAGGTCTGACCATCACAGCCCGAGTCGCTACCGATCAATTGCTATCACAGGCCGAGTATCAGAATGCGAAGAGCATCGCTGTGTACTTGTCGATGCCAGTGGGGGAGTTGTCGACGACGGGGATTGTGCGAGATGCATTGCAGCGTGGAAAACGAGTCTACATCCCATACATCCACACCCACAACAAAACCTCGGTCATGGACATGTTGGCGCTGGAATCGATGACGGAGTTTGAATCGCTACAGCCCGATAAATGGGGCATCCCGTCTCTTCAATCTACGCAGGCCGATGGTCGTCCGGACTGTTTTACCACCGGCCTCGATCTCGTCGTGATGCCGGGCATGGCATTCGACCGTGATTTTCGACGGCTTGGCCATGGCAAAGGATATTATGATCATTTTCTCACGCGATATTCTAAATGGAGCAACAAAATGCCATTCCTGGGTAAGAGCCACTCTCCCCAAAAAGAATCAACACAATCCGTTTTTCCCCCGACTGAACTCCGTGCTAGTTGCCCTTGCCCTCCAGGACCAATTGGTCGCCGAGGGAATTCCCGTGGTGGAACATGACTGGCTGGTGGATGCGATCGTGGTGGGCGATGGCGAGTATCTCAAACGTAGATAGACCCGCAAAGAAGAGAGAGAAAAGAAAAAGTAATAAATCAAACGGCCTGGATCAGTGACACGTTGTCGCCCTTGAGCAGGATTTGGCCTGTGATACACATTCAATTAGTCGTTGGTGCTTGTGTGGGCTTGGGCCTTGAGTCTTGTACATACCGAGCGGGCGGCGCTTCTCTTCCTCGGTCTTGGTTGCGAGGCGCACCTCCACAGCATCGTCAATGACCAGGTTCATAAACTCATCGAATCCCTAATGACATTAGCGCGGAGCTGGGGGAGCTGGGAGATATGAGGAAACGAACTCGGATCTTGCCCTCTATCCGGAAGGCGAGCTGCTCGTACAGCCAGATAGAAACCGTACTGCGCTTCTGCAGCAGGCTGAAGATAAAATGGATCGGCGCCAACAAAGTCTTGCGGCCAGCCATGGTGGTTGAGAGTTTGACGGGGAAGTCCTTCGTCCATCGACGCGGGAAGTCAAGCTCTGAGACCCCGTGATCTGTACGGTAATACCGTGACGCCCCCCGGTCAACATCCCACCTTCCCTCTCCTCACACTCTGTGACTCGCCTCTGCCTTCCCCACCGCTCTCTCTTCTTTTTGTTTCTGATGCCGATATTCTCTTGCTGTGCCTGAATTCTTATTCAATTTCAAAATGGCCAGCAAGGAAGACGGGCAGCCATTCGCCCCGGTCCTGGCGGCCGTCGCGACCATGCAAGGGAATGTGCCCCGGTCCGAAAAGACTCAGGCCCATGAGTTTCTCGAGAAGTTCCAGAAATCGGTAATTCCCGCCCCCTTCCCCCTGGTGCAATTTTTTCTCGGTTATTTCTGACGCATTTACAGATCGAAGCCTGGACTACTACACACGCTCTATTACAGTCCCCCGACGTGCCGGTGGAAGCAAAACTATTCGCGGCCACAACCTTGAAAGGGAAGGTGAGAGGGACCCTTGCCCCGCATCATGACCGCGTGGCTAACCGGACAGATTGTCTTCGACCTGGATCAACTCCCTCCAGAGGCGATAGTCGCGTTACGAGACTCGGTACTCAATTTGCTGGTGGCATTTGCCTCGGGCCCGCGACCCATCCAAACACAGTTATGTGTGTGCTTGGCTAGTCTGGCGATTCAAATGATCGCCTGGAAGGATGTTTTGGCGACCGTCGGAACCGCACTGGGAAGTAGTGCGGGGGACTGTGTGCTGGAATTCTTGAAGATCCTCCCGGAGGAAGTGACTGAGGGCCGCAAGATTAATCTGAGCGTACGTTCTTTTGTCGTGTCGCGTCTTCTGGGTCGGGGCTAACACAGTCTACAGGAGGATGAGTTGAATGCAAGGACCAAGGAGTTATTGGAAGACAATGCCGAGCAGGTGATGCAGCTGATGATTCAGTATGCTCAATCGTCGCGTATGTTACCAAGGATCTTTCCTTTTTCTCGCGCCAAACGAATAGTACTGACTACCGTTCTCGCTATTTAGCCACGGCCGCAACCAATCCGCGTCTTTTGGACTGCATCACTTCATGGCTTCGCGAAATTCCCGCCGCCAAGGTCGTCGAGTCACCTTTGATGGACGTGATCCTGAAAGCATTGGACAATGACGTGTCGTTCGATGCCGGTGTCGACTGCGTGTGTACCCTCTACAGAGACACGAAGGATGTCGACGAATCTCTACCCGTGATTCAAGCCCTCTACCCGCGATTGATGGCTCTCCGACCGAAGATTGCCGAAATGGCCGAAACTGAAGATTCCGAGGCGTTCAGAGGCATTACAAGGATGTTCGCTGAGGCTGGTGAGGCCTGGGTGGTGTTGATCACCCGTCTACCGGCTGAATTCCGGGGCCTGGTGGAAGCTGTTCTCGAATGCTGTGCGCGAGACTGGGAGCGCGACGCAGTGTCGCTGACGTTTATCTTCTGGTTCGAACTGAAACAGTACATTACCCTCGACCGATTTGCGGACGCTCGGCTTAACTTCCAGGATATTTTCTCCCAATTGGTGGATATCATGGTGAAGCATCTCGAATACCCCAGCCCGGAGGAAGGAGAGACAGATCTGTTTGGGGGTGATCGTGAGCAGGAAGAAAAGTTCCGCCAGTTCCGGCATTCGATGGGCGATGTTTTGAAGGACTGCTGTGCGGTGGTCGGCGTGGCAGAATGCTTGGGCAAGATCTACCAATTGATCCAGCAGTGGGTAGCCAAGTATGCGTCGCAGGCCAGCCATGAACATGTTCCGCACTGGCAGGAACTGGAAGCCCCGCTCTTCGGTCTTCGGGCGATGGGCCGCATGGTTGATCCCGAGGAGAGTACGGTGCTGGGACAATTAATACCTTTGATTGTCCAGATCCCCGACCAGGAGAAGGTGCGATTCCAGGCGATTATGGCCTTGGCGCGTTACACGGAGTGGACAGCATTACACCCGGAAACACTTGAGGCTCAACTGAACTATGTGATCTCTGGTTTCCACCATACCTCCCAAGAGGTCGTCCAGGCGGCTGCACTTGCCTTCAAGTTCCTTGGGACCGACTGTCAGAAGCTACTGGGAGGCCACATCGCTCAGCTGCACTCGTTCTTTGAGTCCGTGCTCGATAAACTGAAGCCCACCAGTCAAGAAGAAGTAACAGAGGGTGTTGCCGCCGTGGTGTCGGTGCAGCCTCTGGAGAAGATTTACGAATCGTTCAAGATGTTCTGTGATCCTATCATGGCCCGGATCATGAACCTCGCCAATAATGCACAAGACGAAGAAGGCCAGCGAGCCGTGGCGGATCATCTGCAGCTCATTACGATCTTTGTGCAGGTAGTGACTCCCATTGTCGCTCCCGGAGAGGAGAACCCGGCTGTGAAATACTGTGGAGAGGTTCTGCCCATTATGACCACGATTGTCATGAACTTTACGTCTTCGACGCCCATCTTGGAGCGAGTGTGCCGCTGCTGGCGCTATATGATTATTTCGTACCGGACGGCGATGATCCCGCTGCTGCCTACCCTCGCTCAAAGCATCGGGAGTGGGTTTGAGAGTTCGCGGGAAGGCTGTTTTCTGTGGGCCACGGACGCCGTGGTGCGCGAGTTCTCCGACGGTGCCGAATACGTGGATCAGGCCACGAGTGATGCCGTCTACCAGTTTTATGAGCAGCAAGCCATTGCCTTCTTGCGGATCCTGAACGACCTGCCTCCCGAGAATCTGCCCGATGTCATTGAAGACTTTTTCCGACTCTCGTCCGACGCTGTTCGCTACTACCCCAAGAAGTGCATCAGCTCGTCCCTCGCCATCCCTATCTTCTCCGCCGCCCTGAGTGCTCTCACCCTCCAACAGGTGGATCCTCTCATCGCCACGCTTCATTATTACCGAGATCTCTTTAGCTTCGCATTTGAGAAGCCGTTGGTTTCGCAATTCACCAGTCCCGAAGGCGAGCCCTACTTAAACCCACCCGAAGTGCGCGAGGCTGTCAAGGCTCTGCTGGTCTCGCAAGGCCAGCCGTTGGCGCAGCGTGTGCTAACGGGGATGATGTTCACGTTCCCCAGCGACTGTTTCCCGGATGCGTCGGGTGTGATTATGACGCTGTTTGAACTTCTTCCGCAAGAAGCTGGGGCCTGGCTGCAGACCACGCTGCAAATGCTGCCGGCTGGGTCCATCAAGGCCGGTGAGGCCGAGCGACTTCTCAAGAACGTTTCCGACAAGGTGCAGTCGGGAGAGACCCGGAAGATCCGCCCACTTCTCCAAGGTAAGCTACGATACCAATTTCTAAGATTGATGTGCTCTCTCGATACTAACTGCTTCCAGACTTCACCAATTCATACCGCCGCCGGAACGTGGCTCCTCGCGATGGCCTGGGCCGCTTGGAGGCGACTCGGTTCCGGTTCAGTGGGTGAATGATTCTCCGTGTATATTTTTTGTGATCTTTTTGTTTTCCGAAAAAGAAAATCCCCCGGAGCATTTGCACATCAGGTGTTGGTCCTTTGCTATTCGCCATGGGGTACGATGGCACGAATCCGGTCACGATTGATGATCTGCCAGATGATCTGGCATTGACTTACGGGGAGTGCTCTACAAGAGCGGCCTCGATCAGGGAAGGGTCCATAGAGATTTCAGTTCGGGCTGCAATGAGCATGTCATAAATACGCAGCATTCTATCTGGCTCGCGTATCTACATCCAAGATAGCCGATCAATGGTGAGAAGGTTAAGACCTCGGAGATTCAAGACATGGAATCGGTGGATATCACTAGCCAGAAATGTGAATAAGGCTGCATCCATCAAGTGTTTTCTCGAGTAGTTCGCATTCATGCATGGTTCCTGCATTGCTGGTCGGGTTTCCACGATGTATATCTGTAGATCCGATGCATACGGCGGATGGTATATTCTATGTAGAGTGGAGTACACTAGAGACTCGACAATAATGTATGAGCACACACACACACACCAATAGCGTAGATCATGAATTCATTAATGTACCATAATGTGCGATGTTATCAAGATCGTCTCCGTTGCCAGCCAAGAACCAGCCAAGTAACCTTAAGACCCCGCGTCTCCGCACTCCCCCGGATCAACTCTTGTCTTTCTCTTCTCCCCCCCACGTGGGATCTGCTATGGCTCGATAAAATGGCCGAGGTCGACCAGCCTTCCAAGCGTCGGCGTCGCAGCCGCAAGGTCCTGGCCGATCGCAAATTTGAATGCACCCACGAGGGCTGCGGCAAGAGCTATTCGCGCGCTGAGCACCTGTACCGCCATCAGCTGAATCGTAAGTCTTCTGTCTCGCGACTCGCGTCTTGCCTCCTCTGACTTTGGTAGATGCTCCCAAGCAAATCTATCGCTGCGATTTCCCCAACTGTTATCGATCCTTTGTGCGACAGGATCTCTGCATCCGCCATCGCGAACGCCACACCACGCGTGGCTCCCAGCTTCAGAAACGCGACCACTTCACAAGCGAAAACCCCGAGGATGACGACCTCAAACCTGCCCCGGCCTCATCGCCGACTCCTCCATCCATGACCGCGCCTGATTATGCCTTTGAGCCCAAACCTCCGCCTAGCTCTGCTTACCCGCTGTCGACAGGGATCGATGTGGGTGCGGTGCAAATGCCTGAATACCCAGACTTCCCGGGGGCTCTGGATCAATCCGACAGTCTACTCGATCTCGAATCAATGTCGGGCGCCTACCCGATCTTCGGCGGCGAAACCTACAACCGGTCGCCGTTTGCCATGGCTGACGATTTCGCGGCCTGGCTCTTCAGCGAGCCGCTCGCCCCGCTGGGGTATGGCATGATGCCGTTTGTCCAAAATCAGTTTTATATGAATGAGCCCACCTACAATAATTTCTGTTCGGTCATCCCGCAGCACCCGATGAGCGTCACCAGTATTTTGGACTCAGGGTCGGCGCCCGCCATCATCTCCGATGATAAGCGACAGGAACTGCTACAATTGATGGCGGCGCGGTTCAACGAGGCGGCATACACGGCGGGCGCTAAACGAAAAGATGCGCTGATGGATGGTGATTTGAATAATGATCGCCACGTTCTGAGTCTGCGCATGATGCAGACGTATATCGGGTCCTACTGGTATCATTTTCATGCCCAACTACCAATCTTGCATCAACCGACTTTTGCCGCCGACCGCACCCCGAATCTACTGTTGCTGGCAATGATGGCCATTGGGGCCGCGACGCTAGACAAGATCCACGGGCAGGCCGTCACGGAGACCGCCGCGGAACTGGCCAGTTTTATTGCATGGCATCTTCGTTGGGAGATCTTCATGGATGCAGATTTCCGGCCCCCAGCCCGGGTCTGGGTGTTCCAGGCCCTGCTACTGCTGGAAGTATATGAGAAGCTCTTTTCTACCCGGGCACTGCATGAGCGCGCACATATCCACCACGACACGACGTTGACGCTCATGCGTCGTGGTAGCTCACTGATTGGCCGGTCATCGTTTGAGTCGCCCGATACTAAAGAAGAGGACGAGTCGTGGTCGCACTGGATCAAGGCCGAAGCTACTCGGCGTGTGGCATTTGCGGCATTTGTACTCGACTCCACACATGCCACCATGTTCGGGCACTCGGCCAAGATGGTGGCACACGAGCTACGGCTGCCGTTGCCGTGTGATGAAGCATTGTGGGCTGCGACAAGTGCGGCCGAGGTCGCCCGAGTCCAGTCAAGCTTGCAGTCGCACGGGGTCCGGCCGGTGATGTTTCTGGACGGACTCAAACGGACTCTCAATGGGCAGCCTGTGCGGACCAATGCGTTTGGCCGAATCATTCTCATGGCGGGTCTGTTAAGTGTCAGCTGGCACCTGAACCAACGAGACCTGCAGATCAGCTCGTTGGGGGTTGGACAGGCCCTTGGTGGGCGCAACAAGTGGCGGACAGCCCTGCTCCAGGCATTTGACCATTGGCGCCGCGACTTCAACGAGGCGTTGGGCCCATCGGCCTCGACGGAATTGCGGGACGTGTTACATGGGCTGGCACACATGGCCTCGCATGTGGAGATTGTTGATCTTCAGATATTTGCAGGTGCTGGCCGACTGATGGGCCGGTCGATCACGGCTCGCGACTATAGCACGGCCCGCGAGAAGACAGTCCGATGGGCGGCCAAGGCGTCGGCGCGGGATGCTGCGTTCTACGCGCTGAAGTTCTTGTCGGCGTGCTTTGCCGACCCGGCGTTCCCGTCGGGCCAGTATGCGGCGCGCGACGACTACTTGCTGAATCGGCCGTGGGTGATGTATTTTGCGGCGTTGGTGGTCTGGTGCTATGGGTTTGCGCTAGATGGGCCGCTTCGCCCGGCACCCGCTCTGCCGACAATAGCAGACCGGGAGCACGACCTCCAGATGTTTCTGAGAAGAGTCGGCGCGGCGCATGGGCCCAATGATCTCGAGTCGATGAAAGGGCGAAACGAGTGTCTGGGGCTGTTGATGATTCTCCGAGACTCGTTTGTCAACTCGCGGTGGGAGCTGCTGGGCGAAGCGGCGCGGCTGCTGGACAGCTGCATTGCAAAGCTGCGCGATGTACATTTAGGATGAACCACAGTTGTCAACGTGCTATATTGTAATTCCTCTTGTTCTAGTAGATCTGATCGGAGTGGATTTATTGTCGTGTATCCGTTGCCCCTAACGACCAGCGCCGATCCCACTTCCCCAATTTCCACTCTTCGATTTCTCCCCCAAAACTCCTCCGATCTTCCTGTCTTGCGCTTCTCTTTTTCCCGCATATCTCCCTTGCAAATTCCCGTCATGGTAGGTTGATCCCCGCATACCAATGGCCCCCCTGGGCGATGGTGAACCCCCCTTGTCATCACTTTGTTGACGGGTTGCCTCATCGGGGCTGTGGCCACTGGCCCGCCCGCCCCTTTCCCGCTCATCACTCCCCTCCTTGCGAATCTCTCGAAGCCGTTCTCTGTTTTCTGCTCTCGAGATCTTCTCTGTGTCCTCTTTCACCATGGCTAACAAGAACGATCAGGCCTCTACCAACTACAAGGAAGCGTTTTCGCTGTTCGACCGCCGCGGCTCTGGCCGTGTGTCTGGTGAGCTGTTGGGTGATCTGCTGCGCGCTTGCGGGCAGAACCCTACGCTGGGCGAGATTACCGATCTCGAGAAGGCGATTGGCAATGACTGTACGTTTATCAGTGTGATTTACGGATGATTCCTCAGTGCGAATGTCAAAGATACTAATGATGACGTGAACAGTCGACTTTGAATCTTTCCTCAAGATCCTCAACCGCCCCGGTGGCTTCCGCGAACCTGGCGACCCCGAAGAGTACTGCCGCGGGTTCCAGGTGTTTGACAAGGATATGACTGGGTTTATTGGGGTGGGCCAGTTGCGCTACAGTATGTGATCGATGAACAGAGTGAAAGTGTGAAGGCGTGGAAGAATGCGGCTAATAATGCTGCAGTCCTTACCAACCTCGGTGAGAAGATGTCTGACGACGAGGTCGACGAGCTGCTCAAGGCCGTTGATACCAGCTCTGGCGAGATCAACTACACGGGTATGTTCCATCTCTCTGTATGGGGGTAGAGGGCAGCACTAACTCTCTCAGATCTCGTCCGCACCATCCTCGCCAACTGATACCCTTGACTTGTTTATGATTTACGCACGCATTTGGAGATTCGGTCGGGTTCTCGGGCGCGAGGGACTATCTTGTATGATTCAATCCAGTGAATATTTATGTTCATCTTTCTATTCTGGTGTGCTTGTATATGATGTAACGTCCTCACGACCCCTCTGCCCACGCCCGCCATTCCTTCTCCCCCACTCCCTCTCCGCCCATCTGCTCCGTCTCCACCACCGCCGCAGGCAGCAGATATACCGCCGGCGGCCGGTCCTCGCCCGTCTTCTCGGAATCCGTCTGCTCCGTCGACGCCCAGTGCACCCGGTCCAGATAGTAGCCCATCAACACGCGACACCGCCCGCACCGCAGCAGCACGCGCTTCTCGATGCCGTCTTCGCGACGGATCAAGGTTGGGCGCCGGTCGGGGATGGTTGTCGAGAGGAGAAGCGTCGTGTGTTTTGTGTGAGATTGCGTAGATGTAGATTGTAACTGTGTCGTAGAGGACTGCGCTGTCGTATCTAGTTGGCTTGCTGGGTTCTTGTCGGCATCGCTGCTATCTTTGGCGTCGCTGGCACTCTCGTTGTCCTCGGCTTCAGCCTCCTCTTGTAGTGTCTCGGCTTCAGCTTCAACCTCGGCCTCAGCTTCGCCTCTCTCCAGAGGCAGAATCACTGCCCTATCTTGTGCGGCACCGCTGCGTCGCGGGAGATGCGCGAGCTGGCGCGTTGTCGCGAGGAGGAGGTGGTTGCAGAAGCGGCAGTGCAGAGTGCGGATTGGAAGGGTGGGTGGATGGTTTGTGACCATGGTGATTTGTTCCAAGGGAGGTTTTTTTTTTCGAGTGAAATTGGGACTTGAAATTGGTCGATAGCGGGTTGCGTTACTTGCGTGGTGAGAGATTCTTTGCGGGGAGTTCGGTCAATTCGGTGAGGGAAATAGATGTCTTGTTGTGTTTTGGACTCGACTGTTGCCCATTTCTCGTTTGTGGTAATAAGATATTCCGTCTGGAAGAAAGAATGAAAGGTATTCAGCTCGTTGGTTCAGACAGAATTGAAGCTCTCGAAGGCGGTGGATCCACTGTCAGGGCCTTATGGGAATATCTTGGCGCGACAGCTATGTATTTCGTTCACTTTACAGTATATCTAGTGAATACTGGACTTCTGCGCATCTAACAGCATCTACGATCATTGATGTCCAAATAACAACATTTACCGAAGATGTTTCCGATGCTACCCTGATGCTACCAATCACGATATCTACGCCAGTCCCAGCTCCTGGTAAAACGCATCCGTGCGAGGCTCGCGGCCCAGGAACTCTGCCAGCGTCTTCATCTCGTCCTGGCTGCCGCCCTTCTCCAGGACCTGGTAGCGGTAGCGCCGGCCAGCGGCCTTGTTCATGGGGTCATCCTTGAACACGGTGTAGAACATATCGGTCGAGTAGACCTGCGAGCTCAGGTAGCCATAGTAGCCCGCATCGTAGCCGCCGATCAAGTGGCCGAAGGTCGCCTCGCCGTGCCCCCATTCATCGCCTGCACTCAACGCCTCAGGTCCGTCCATCTGCGTGATCTCATGGCGGAGCCGGTTGTATGTCGCGGACAGCGGCAGGGCCTCGATGTCGGCGTGCGAGGCGGGCTCGTGCACGGTCATGTCGAAGATACCAAAGTGCAGCTGGCGCAGGTTAAACAGCGCGTCGTTGACGTGCTTGGTCCGAATCAGATTCTCGATCACCTCGTCGGGGATGCGTTCAGACGGCGGGCCCGTCGCTGTCTTGCCACCGCTGCGTGCCTGCTGCGCCTCCTGCCATCCGGCCAGGTACTCGGGTGACAGCGTCGAGTAGTGCCGGCTCAGGGCCCGCAGCTGCGACGGCGTCCAGCACCAGTTCTCCAGCATCTGGCTGGGCGCCTCCACGAAGTCGCGCACCGTGCTGGTACCGTGGAACCGCGAGTACGTCGTCCGCGACACGAGGTCGTGGATGCCGTGGCCCAGCTCGTGGAACAGCGTCACCACTTCGTCGTGCTTGAGCAGACTCGGCTTCTTCGGCCCTGGCTTGGTGAAGTTGCACACCAGCGCCGTCGCCGGGTAACGACGGTTGCCCGACGCATCGGTGAAGCCCTGCATAACGTTAGATTAAGTATATAGGCCATAACAGAAATATACATACCGGTTGCAGGTTGAAGTTGGCGGCATGGCCGTACTTGCCCTCGCGCGGGAACAGATCCAGATACAAATACCCGACGAACCCACTGCCTTCGCCCTCGTCATTCCAGACACTGAACACCTGCACATCCTCGTGCCATACGATATCACCGCCCTTGCCCGTCGGGGCAACTGCCGCGCGGTCGTCGCCCGTGATCTCAACAAACTCCAGTCCAAACAGCTCCTCGAAAATCTTCAGCATGCCCTCAATGGTAGTCTGCAGCGGGAAATACTCGGCGATGAGCTGCTGGTCCAGCGAGAAGTCGCGCTCCAGCATCAACCGGTCATAGAACCGGTGGTCCCATAGATAATAACGGCCGTCCGCGGCGGAGTCGGTCGCCTTCTTCAGCTCCATCAGCTTCTGAATTTCTTGCTTGCCACCCGCAGTCAGCCGGGACCGCAGGTCGCCCAGGAATTTGTCCACTGTCTCCGGGGTCTTTGCCATCTTGTCCTCAATACGGAACGCGGCGTGGTTCGGGTACCCGAGCAGACGGGCCGCCTCGTCGCGCAGCACAATGGCCTCGCGGAAGAGCGGCACGTTCTGGTTGCACTTGTTCTCATTGGAGACCATCACCTGTCGGCGGGTCTCGGGGTTGGAGGCGTACTTCATTGTCGGGAACAGATCCGGGTACTTAAACGTCAGCCAGAGCTTGCCGGCATTCTCGCCCTCGCCGCGTTTAAGGCTGGAGAGCACGTCCTCGGGTACACCGGCCAGCTGCTCCTCGGTGAACCACAGCCCGCCGTTCTCTTCGTTCAGGTTCTTCTGGAACTCAATGCTCAGCTGGCTCAGCCGCTTCTTGATCTCCTTGAACCGGGCCCGCTGGGGGCCCGCAGGCAGACCCAGTCCATTCCGCACGAAATCCTTATGTTCCTTCTCCAGCAGACGGCGTGACTCCGGGTCGAGAGACTCGTTACGGCGCAGGGCGGCATCAACCAGAGCAAAGACATCCTCTCGCATCACCGCTTCGATGAAGAACTCGTCCATCAGCTCCTCGGCCTTGGACGAGGCATCTCGCAGTTTCTGGTCCGTTGAAACAGCCTGGTAAAACCCCAGGATGTGTGCTTCAAGGGCCATGACATTCTCATCTTGAGCCAGGGGGCGCACGACGTTGTCAAAGGTGGCCGCGTCGGGTTTGACCCCGGCCACCACCTTGTCTTGCACGGCACGCGAGCTTCGGATCAGGCGCTCGGCGTCCGTCACCACGGACTGCGGGGTAGCTGTGAACACAGGCGGCGCCTGGGGCGGGCGCCGGAGATGAGCAGGGGCCATGCTGGAAGTCGTCAACAGTCGTGCGGGGGGACGAAAGTGGCCCAGCACGGATGAGAGACGGGCGGGGAGACGGAGGAACGGCGCCACGATGAGGAGGGCGAAGAGAGGGACTAGAAGGTGGAGGCGGGGAGTGAAGGCGAGAATCTTGGCAAATGTCGGAAGTCAAGTCCGTGAAGATGCGGTGAAGTCGAGTTCCGAGGACGACTATACGCAGGTCAGGTGATTGTCTCGTTGTCCCCGTTACAGTCTGTGGGGACTCGACTACGGGTGGGTCGATGGTAATTACGTAGAGGCCAGGGAGCTATTAGGATTCAAAATGAGCATCAAAGCAAGTCGTTTCTAGTTCATGACAGATTATCTATGGAGCCAGTCCCCATCAATTTTGAGACAGTGCAACACAAAAGAAGAAAACGCCCCGACACCCGATTCAAATATGCTAAACAATTCTTGTCCTCTTGAGGCCTTACGCCGCATCCGCAGTGGGGATCGGCTCCGGGATCTTGGTGGGCTGCTGGCCGGCCCGGATGATGCGCTGACCCGTCTCGTCGCGGACGTACTCCGAGTTCTCCTTCTGGGCGCGCTTCCAGATCTCGACCTCGCAGCCACCACGGATCACACTGACACGCATGGTGGACAGGAGGTTGTGGGCGGCGTTGGAGTGGTAGTAGATACCACCATTGAACATGGCCGTGGCGTCCTTGCCAATGCCCGAGCTGATCATGGCCTTGCCACCGGGGTGGTCTTTGATGAAGTCGGTCACGTCGTGGACCACACCCGCCACCGCAATGAGACCGCGGCCATTCTTGGCCTGCTCAACGTAGTCGTCCCACTCCATGACGGGAAGCTGGTCCAGCGGAACACCCCAGTCCAGCTTGGCGCGCTTCTGGTCGATCTTCTTCTGGAGCTGCTGCACGCGGCCCTTCTCGATCTCGTTGGAGCGGAACTGCTTCAGGTCGTAGGCCAGGCCCAGCTGCTTCAACGTCCAGATGGTCCACTTAGTCGGGTCGTACTGGTGCCATTCGATGGCGTTGCGGTAGTCAGAGGGGAACTCGTGGTGGAAGTTGTGGTAGCCCTCGCCAAGGGTGACCAGGGCGGTGATCACGTGGTCCCGAGGCGAGTTGCGGTCGTCGAAGGGCTGGTCGCCGAGCCAGTGGGCCAGCGAGTTGACACAGAAGGTGGCCTGCTGCACGAAGAAGATGCGCAGGATGCCTGCGTACACGAATCCACCCCACCAGTCACCCCAGCCGAGACCAGCCACGCACATGGGCACGATCAGACCCATGGCGATGACGACCTTGATGTAGTGGCGGTGCTGCCAGACCACGACGGGGTCCTCGTTCAGGTCCGAGATATCGGTACGGCCAATGCGCTTAGGGTTCTGCTTCATGACCATCCAGCCCAGGTGCGAGTACAACAGACCCTTGCGTACCGAGTACGGGTCTTTCTCAGTGTCGGTGTACCGGTGGTGAGCACGGTGACCACGAGCCCACCAGCGAGCGGAACCTTCGACGGCACCGCCGCCGACAAGAGCGAACCAGATTCGTAGGGGCATAGTGGCCGAGTAAGAGCAGTGAGCCCACAGGCGGTGGTATCCTAGGAATGTAAGTTAGTTTTTTTTTTTTGGCCCATCGCTGTTTCATGCAATTCAACATACCTGCGGTGATACCGAGTCCAGTAAAGAAATAGTAGATAACTGCCCAGACGGCAGTCTTGAGTTGCAATGGCACCCAGAGGGCCTGGAGGCATCCATAGAGCGGAATGCCAATGATGAAGGTGACATTCAGCCAGTTGACATGCTTGTGCCAGTTGTGCTTGGTCAACGGGGTGTCGGCAATGTGCACCTTCTTGGTGTCTGGTGCCCGAGGGCGTGATGACTCTGGCTTGGTCGACATGGTGATGTATATGTGAGAGTTGTCGGAAGGAGACCAGGACAGGGCGATGTTTTTTATATGCAAGGCCCACTTGGGACCAACGTTGGGGAAGCTGAGGGACGATCACCAACGACTATGAGGGAAGTGAAGTCCACAGGCGAATCAGAACCACAGAGGCATTGGGCACAATCACAAGATCCCTCGGTTAGAAAAGAGAAGAAGAACAGTGAAAATCTTTCTTTTCGCGCTTTTTGAGGTGGCGACTGAATTCCGCAATCGTGTTGGGTGGCCCACCCCAACGCTTTCATGCCTCAGGCATGAAAAAGGGCGGATCAGAAAATCCGCTGGGAAAAAGGAGCAGACGATTTCATTGGCTCACCAACCCCACTAGTCCTAACCTGGAAACCCCGGGTTATCTATTCACGTGACTCATTCGGGGCCTGATAGATCAGGTGATATTCCTGGCATCCAAGGATGTGAACTCCACGGAGTACTCTCTTCTCTTTCTTTGCAGCCTAGTCTGATTACTCTCTCTTCCTTTTTTTTTTTTTTTTTTTTTATTTTCTATTATCTTTTGCAACCATGTAAATGATCGACCCCTAGAGTAGATGACTTTCATGGCCGACCGAGACAGCCCACTCAAGTAGGTTCAGCCGCATGTCTCACCTTCCACAACTTGGTTATTTATTGATTTTCTTCCTCACTCTCCCTCAGGTGAGCATGAGTGTTGGGTTCAGCGTGGGCGATTTTCTAACAGTCATAGGGCGTGCTAACAATATTCCAACCAGATTTGTTGGTGCGCCTGCTCAATTCAAGGCTCGCTCCGATGAGTACGCCGCTGTCTCTCTAACCATGGATCCATGGATGGCTCCACTATCCTCAAGGAACTTATTGATCCATCGGCAGAGTATGAAATCTTACCATCGTTGTGAATGATGTCAAAGTCGATCTATCAAACACTGCTCTCAGTGCTGAGCAAAAAACAGAACTGCAAGAAATAGCAGCCAGCTGCCAAAATGTTCTCGCTGGAATCGAAAAAGTCATTGAGCGATACTCCCTAATCAACGCCCCTCATAGTTTCCAAAGAGTCTGGAAACGTCTTGGGTGGGAACATGAAGATGTTCGGGAACTTCGGAATCGTATTCGCAGTAATATCGGCCTTCTCAATGCCATCAACGGGCGAATCACCCGCAACAGTGTCCTGGAATTACTGGATCACAAGAGCAATGAGCAAGACCAAAAGTGTGTAGAGTGACTGTTGCCAACGAACGATGCAGTACAGCAGAGTGACTTGATCGGCGTCAGCCAGGAACAGGGCAGTGGCTGTTGGAGTGACTCGAATTCCTGGCATGGATCGAAACACCACAGGAAACAGTGTTCTGTCCAGGGATTCTGGGAGCAGGTAAAACAATCCTTGCATCGGTTGTGATCGATTAGTTAGAGGCTCGATTTGAGAATGACCGCGACATGTGTGGTATATCTCTCGTTCGATTCCTTCCAGAGTGGCACTTGCTCCGCTGATACAGACTTCGACTTGGTCAATAAGATGTACCCGGCCACTCAACCCTCCTATTAGGGCTAATTGCTAACCTACCTCGCTACGTCCTTTCCCTAGGCTGTGCCAATTGCCTCATGAACTGCCTTCGCTGGCACCATGAAATATCAATTTAAACACTTCTCCAAATCACTGTACCTTTCAAGGGCCACGCCAAGAATTTCATCACATTCGAAACCTATGGGCCCAGCAATGTAGCAACCGACACGGCCAAGATGGAATAGAGAATGGACTATAGATATCTCCATAGATCTGATTGTATAGATGCACTGATAAGCCATCGGCCCACGGCCTCCTCCGACGGTTAACCCCAGACGAAGTATAGCAACCTTATCGTCTCCACTTGACCATGATTGGGCGTGATTATCGACTGATAACGCTCGCCTTATGCGATGCGCTTGCTAATTCCCCGATAACTACGCCAGGAAATATCGCGTGGTGTTCCTCTTCCTTTTTTTTTTTGATGTTTATAAACCGCCTCGGGTTTCTTCCAACTCGGCATTCTTCACATCCCTCAGACAATGGACGGCCCCGACCAAATTGGCCCCGATCTGCCACCCCAGCGCTCCTGGGGCGACCGAGTGCGACGCATTGTCAAGACCTTCACGACGCGAGAGGGCTTGGTCGGCGACTACGACTATGCGTATTTGTTTACGCCCCGGCTGCCCTTCACCAAACAAACTCGCAAGTCGGCGCCGTTCTTTGGACTCGAAGATCGTGTCCCGGTCGTCCTCGCTCTACTGTTGGGCCTCCAGCATGCGCTCGCCATGTTGGCCGGTGTGATCTCGCCGCCCATCATGCTGGGCGGGTCGTCTGGGGTCAACTTTGACGCAGAGCGCTATCAGTACCTGGTTTCGACGTCGCTGATCGTCTCGGGCATTCTGAGTGCCGTCCAGATGTTTCGCGTCCGGGTTTGGGGCACAAAATACTGGATCGGAACAGGTCTATTGTCGGTGGTTGGTATGGACAACATCCCCTTGTTGAGGTGGGAGTGAAATATCTTGTGTGTTAATCACCGCTACAGGCACCTCCTTTTCCACCATCACCGTAGCCACCGGTGCATTCTCGCAGATGTATAAATCGGGGTATTGTCCCGTCGACGCCAATAACAACCCCCTGCCGTGCCCCCGCGGATACGGGGCGTTGCTCGGGACTTCATGCCTCTGCTCGCTACTCGAGATCGGACTGTCGTTCATGAGCAGCCGGATCCTGTCGCGCGTGTTCCCGCCGCTCGTGACGGGCCCGACGGTCCTCCTGATCGGAGCATCTCTGATCAAATCGGCCATGCAGGACTGGGCTGGGGGTTCTTCGTGCGGCACCAACCCCGCAGAACGCGCGCTCTGTCCCAGTGCCGATGCCCCGCATGCTCTGCCGTGGGGAAGTCCCGAATTCATCGGCCTGGGGTTTTTGGTCTTTATGACGATCATCCTGTGCGAGCGGTTCGGCCCTCCGATCCTGAAGAGTTGCTCGGTGGTTGTGGGGTTGCTGGTTGGGTCGATCGTCGCGGCCGCTTGCAACTATTTCGATGACTCTGGCATCACTGCGGCGCCGGTCGCCTCCTTTGCCTGGGTCCATACCTTCCCTCTGACCATCTATCCGCCGCTGATTCTGCCGCTGCTCGCGTTGTACATTGTGATTATGATGGAGTCCATCGGTGACATCACCGCCACTTGCGACGTGTCGCGACTCGCCGTGGAAGGCGCCACCTTTGACTCTCGCATCCAGGGCGGCGTCCTGGGCAACGGTATCACCTGTCTGCTGGCCGGCCTGATGACCATCAGCCCGATGTCGGTGTTTGCACAGAACAACGGCGTGATCGCGCTGACCAAATGCGCCAACCGCATGGCTGGCTACTGCTGCTGCTTCTTCTTGGTCATCATGGGCATCTTCAGCAAGTTCGCCGCCGCCCTGGTGGCCATCCCCAGCGCCGTGTTGGGCGGCATGACCAGCTTCTTGTTTTCGTCGGTGGCCATCTCGGGCATCCGCATTATCTCGACTATTGACTTTACCCGCCGCAACCGCTTCATTCTCACGGCGAGCTTTGCTATTGGCATGGGCGTGACTCTGGAGCCGGACTGGTGGACTTACTTTTTCACGTATAGTGGCGATAACCGTGCGTTGGAAGGACTGTTGAATGCCGTGGATCTGGTCATGACCAATGGCTTTGCGATTTGTGCCATCCTGGGCGTGGTTCTCAACCTCATCATCCCCGAGGAGCCTGACGACAACCCGCCGGTATGGAACTCGACTGAGCCGGAGGTTGGCCGGGCAGATACCACAGCACAGAACCCGACGAAGATGGAGCAGCCAGTCATATAATTAAATAAAACTCTGGGAAAAATTCATCAAATTTGATTATCAATAATTCTCGACGCAACGAGATCTCAAAACTGAACTTCAAGTCCAAATATTAAATAGAATCCAAGCGTGGAAGCAAAATGTCATCCATAGCCAACGACCAGGACACGAAGCGCATAGCATAGGATCTTCATTCCATCGGAACTTCCAGTTCCTCCTCCAATTTGGTCATTCTCTCTTTCAGACCGGCCACCTCACGCCGCAGCTCGTTGATCTCGTTGTGCTGCACCATGTAGTCAAGCACAGTAGGGGCAGCCGGGGTTGAAGGACGTCCGATGTCGGCAATCACCTCAAGGCTGGAGCTGCTGCTAGGCGTGCTGGCTTTTTCAGAACGCTTGACTCGCTTGCTGGTCATTTCCTTCTCACTGTTGTCACGCAGGGTCCGCTTGCTGTTCATGTTCTGGGACGTGGTTAGCCCGGTGGATGGCTTGTTTTCACACCTCTGTTCTCTTTTTTACCAGCATGTGTCGAGCCATAACCCCGGCCGCCTCGAGGGTATAGCAATGGGCGGTGTCGTGGCCCGGCTTCTTGCAGTAGGTGCAGAACAGTCTGACCTTGGGCTATTTCGAAGTTAGCTGTGGCTGACCTCTTTATGGTGAACAATGAGCTAGCTGATAAAAAAAACGGCGCTCGCTGTTCTGTGGTTCAACAAATCACAGATGACAGCAAGCAGCTAAACAAGTGCTGGAAGTGAAGGTTGGTGAGTCTGAGTATGGGCTTACCTTGGTAGCCTTGGACTTGGATTTTTTAGACATATCCGATAGAAACTTTGGTGCTGTTCAGATTTGTTCAGATTTTTCTCTGATCAGGAGCTTCAATGGAGCTGGTCGAGAAGAGAAGAGAAAGATAAGAGAGGTGGCAGGATAGGAGGGTGAGAGGACGAGAGGATGGGAAGATGCGAAAAGGAAGAACGGAAATGAGACAGAGAGAAAAGCCAAGAGCGTATTCTGGAAGCAAGCAGTTTGTATCTCATGATTTGGTTTAGAGGGACGTGGCATGGCGTTGTATACAATTTTGTATGGGAGGTCATGCTCTGTTACTCCAAGATAAGGGAGACTGCCATATATTGGGTTTGCGCCTGAATAGTTTACAGCGGAAACAGAGCAACACTTCTCAGAGAACCCGTCATGATCAAGACAGAGCTCGAGCCGATCGTCCAGTAACTCTTAGGTATTTGAATCCCGGATTCCGTGTCCTGCACGCCCGAGTAGAACTTGGCAGAGCTGCATTCATTCACCTGCCTGTATTGTTATATCCACGCGTTCAGTCATTAGATTGTTCTAAGCACTTTAATCTCTCACTTAGCTCATGGCAAGTGTATAAAACCATCAGTGGTGTTCGTTCCGATCGGCAAGCCTGGTGTTTTCCAGGTACACCTCGATCTATAAGAGAGAGATATTAGCATTGTCCAGAACACCATCTGAAGGAAAATTGAGCTTACCTTGTTCGTCATCTTATGGTCGACATTCTTGCAGCACAGACAAGCGAAAATGCCGACAATGCCGAACGCCATGGAACACATGGCCACCGTACTAATGCAAGTCAGCCAGACATCAACCAGGTAACTTCCTCCACAAATGAACCACTCACAAAATCGCCTTGTAATATGCCTGACCCAGTGCTGCCGTGGCGGCCGTGGCAATGGCATTGCCATACGACTTGCTCAGTCCCGTGGGGTCTTGCGACAGAGCCGAGAGCAGACCTGTCAACTTGGACTTGGGCAGACCGGCAGACAGCGCGGCGGCGGGTACGTATCGCGCAGTATACTTGGTCAAGGTGGTGCGGTACACAGTCTGGTAAATGGAAGAAGCAACTAGATCTAGTGTGAGCAACGAAGACAAAGACAACACAAGAATACCGAGTTTCAATCACTTACTCGCTCCACCGGCAAACCGGAATGTACCCGCGATTCCACCACTGATCCCGAGGTCCTTCTGGTCAACACCCATCTGGGTGATGGCGATGGAGATCGTGATAGCCCAAGCGTAGGTGAATTGACATAGGAAAAGGAACACACTCATGGTAGCCTTGTTCGTGGGCGTGGCCAGTCCCAGCAGCGAGCCAAACAGAGTCATCAGGAGCGTCGATACTGTAAGCTGCCAATGCCACCGGCCAATATAACTCGAGCAGAGGCCCACCATAATCGCGCCAAAGGCAATGGGAAGGCCCTGGACCAGCGTGAGCTTGACCCCGTACGTCCAGTCATGGCCTGGCGTATAGAAGACGCTGATCAGCTGCGGCCAGATGATGCTGGCGGAATAGTAGAACATATTCACAATAGCAACAACTACCGCCGGCGCCGTGACATCGCGGCCCCAGGAGCTGCTGAAGACCCGCGGCGGCGTCAGTGGATATTTGAGGTTTCCAAAGGTCTCCCACAGGCCGAAGAGGATCAGCACAAACGCGCCCACCACCAGGGTTGCCACCACATGCGGATCATTTGAGTCGTAGACTTGGGCCCAGACGACGCCCATAAGGAAGGGGACAGCCCCGCCAATGAAGAGGAAAGCCCCTAGTAAATGTTAGTTGCAATGTATTGAATATAGTCCGGTGGGAACTCACCGAGATAGTCCAACGACCGGAATGCCTCCATGTATGAGATACCAATTCTAGAGAGGTTAGTATCAAATCAACAAAACAGAGAAAAGTAGAAGCAAGATAGTACATACGGATGCTTGGGCGGAAAGTACAGGGCCAATAACGCCACGAAAGACAGTCCCTGGAAGATGGCCAGGGCATACCAGTTCCAGTACCAGACCCCCCACTGCACCGAGTATTGACCAGTGATCGGACCCACTATCACAGCGACGTAGGTAGTCATCTCAGACAGCATAACTCCGAGAGCGCGCCACTTGTTGGGTAGGAGCTCGGGCAGGGCAAATGCCGCCATCTGTCGAGTGGTCAGCGAGGATGAGATGGAGTGGGATGAGGTTCGGTTCTTACCTGGCAGTTGGCAGCACCAACTCCAGACACGGCCAGGCCGGCAATGACCTGGCGGTTGTTTTTGGACGAGGCGACGATAACATGGCCGACAAAGCACAACTTCCACACTTAGCAATCTATCGCACTTCTGACTATCAACACACGAAGGCCATACCAAACTCCCGCCAACCAGAAACCAGCGGCGGCCAAACATGTCAGTCATGGGTCCACTGTCAAAGATGAATTTCTGCGATCCCGCTCCCTTTGTCATTCTGTTGAAGGCTCTTACAAGATCAAAAAGGCAGCAGTGATCGAAATCGTCCAAGACGGCACAAACCACACGTAGGACTCGGGCGATCCCAGAGTCGTTGAGATGGACGGCCCAATTGCCGACAGCACGGGGATGGGCCAGAATGAAAAGGCATGCCCGCACGAGAGAATGGCACAGACGATCCAGGTCTTGAGTGTCACGATGGGCTCGGCGCTGCCATCACTCCCGACATCAGTCGAGCGGTAGCTGGAGGGTCCGTCCGATGAGTAGTGACCGGCTTCTTTGTCGAGGGCCATGCTGTTTGATGTCAACCGGCTAGGTACAGAAAGCTCGAATCTGCAAACAAAAATGTCCAATATCGAGCTGGGACAACGCCGGGGGCAGGGATCTACTTTATCTTGCAGCTATCTCTCTCTGACGACAGGCCATCATCCCACAGGATTTACATGGCGACAGTCCGCAGGTCAAGACCCTTATTTACTGGAACCAGGCTGAGAGGGTTCTTGGCTCAATAATTCAGGATACGATCCTGCTACATGGAATTTTGAGACCATCAACGCCCAAAGCAGTCAATACTTGGGGTGATTGCCAGCCATTTGACTGGTAAAAAGCCCTATTGGCCTTGAAGGAAGGATCAACCCACATTTTTATGACCACTCATCAGAGGGCTTCGACATGATTGGCGTTAGGGCTCTTGTGCAGTCTGGGGATCAGCAATTATTAGAGTAAGTCGACTTGCAGCGTGGGGGCCAGTTGATATCATGCACCTATGGAAACTCGGCCAATCAAGATCTGAAGTGCAAAGTGAAGGAATCGCTTGTTTCTTGCCTGGTCTCCACTACAAGCCGGAGTGAGGTTGTTGACGATGCATACCTGAGTCAGTTGAGAAGTATGAGAAACATACTGACGAAAATCCATGACCAGGTCTATGTGTGTTTGAGGACTCATCAAAGACTCCCTGATTATCTTTCATCCAATCCCCATACTCCTCAGAGCATCTTGGAACCAGACCCACTATCAAAGTGGCCACAGCCCAACTTTTCAGTCTTCCCGCGGGGGCCAAGTTCCAAGCTCCTCATGGCCATGGAGTATGAGCCAACAGGGGCTCGAGTGAAGCATGAGGTACCTGCGGGATGTGCTCGGTGTCCCCGCTCCTCTTATAGAACCCATCCAGAATCGCTTGGGGTCTTCGGGCCATCTCACCTCGTCCAGACAACTCTCATCCCTGTCTTTGGAAAATTGACTGCGTAAACGCTTGCAGTTGCCGATATACCAGACTTGAGCATTATAGTTTGATGTCTAAGCCTCCGGCCATTACATTTAACCATGACACAGAAAGTAGCGTTGATCACCGGGGGCAGTACGTATCCACCAACAATCTCTCTCCTCTTCTTTCCCCGGATTCTCACCATTTTTCTAGCGAGTGGAATCGGCCTCGCCGTCACCAAAGCTCTCGCTGAGCGCGGCGACTGGTCGATCCATGTACTCGGTCAGAACGAAGCCCGCGGCGCCGAGGCCGAGAAGCTGCCACGGACGACGTTCCACCGTGCCAACGTCACCGTTTACGACGAACTGGCTGCCGTCTTCCACAAGGTCTTCAGCGAGACCGGCCGTCTGGACTATGTGTTTGCCAACGCCGGCATCTTCGAGCGAACCCCGTTCTACGAACCGCATTCTGACGCCACTAATGGCCCGCCCCGACTGGATCTGACGGCCCTCGATTCCAACCTGACCGGTGTCGTGATGACCGGTTATTTGGCTCAGCATTATTTCCGAATCTCACCACACCGTGGCCAGGGCGCTAGTATTCTCTTGAACTCTAGCACCGGTGGCATATACCCGGCTTACAACCTACCGATCTATTCGGCCACCAAGCGTGAGTGATTCTTTCCTAGCCTGAGCTTCAGCTGTACTGACTTCTTTTTCGTTCAAGATGGAATCATTGGCTTTATGCGCGCCATCTCCAAGCAGTTCTACAGCAACGGCATCCGCGCCAACGCCATCTGCCCCGGCATCGTGCGAACCAACCTCGTCGCGGACGCCATCTGGGATAGCTTCCCCACGCACCTCCTGATCCCCATGGAAGACGTTCTCAACGTGATCCTCATGCTTTTGGACGGCGAGCAGAAAAATTCCGAGATCGTGGATGGCAGTGGCACTCGTGTCTCGGCATCCCAGCTGTATGGCCGCACCGTCGAGGTGTCGAATTCGCATTTCTATTTCAGAGAGCAGCCGGAATATTCCGACGAGGGCATGAAGGAGCTGATGACTTTCGAGGGATAGATATTGGATTTGATCGTGGCATGAAATCATGACTTTTTTTTGATTTAGAGCTGACTCTTAAAAGGACGATCGACGGTGTATGGTGTACGCTCGAACGTGGCAGTCCACTGTCGTTGATATTATTAGCTTTGCGAAGAAATGTTTTCGAGAATTAGATGCACTTACTAGTAATACATGCTTTTGTATATCAACTAGACCCCCTCAACGCGCTCCCCAGGCGCCAACATCTTGATATAGCGATGCTCGCCCGTCTCCAGGACCCGAACAACATCCCCCACGCAAACCCGAAACTCCTCTCGAGCTGGCACGAGCTGCAACCCCAGACACGCATTAGTGCGATCTCCATCATCGATGCGCCGATACGCCTTCAGCGCGCGGTCCGGCTCAGCAGGATGGCGTTCGCCCGTGAGCGGATCCACATTGGGTAGACGGCACCGGACGGCACGGCACGCAGCATAGATCTCAGTACCGGTAACCGCAATGCGCTTCCAATGATCCTCGGCGAATGCGGCGGGGCCCTGGATAATGATATTGGCGCGGAAACGGCGGATACTCAGCCGCGGGATCGCGTACGCGCACCGGGCTGCCACGTCGCGGTGGCTGGTCAGGTTGAGCAGGTGAATCGGGTAGGCGTCGGCAAAGGCTGTGTTGGGTTGGAACCCCAGGCTGGCTTTGCGAGGCGCGTTGCGGAAGATCTCGCGCGAATGGCGTGAACTTGCACGGAAGAGTGTCAATTGTGTATTTGTTGGGTCGGATCCTAGGTAGGCGTGCAGAGAGGCCGGCAGCTTCGCGCCGTAGTCGTAAGCTAGAGGCTTGTCTTTCCAGATCCGGACTGACACTAGTCGGCACTCCGAGTCGGCACGGAGTGGCAGGTTAAACTGGTGTCGGCGCTGTAGTACACCGAGCGCCATGCCGAGTCGCACGCACCATCCAATCCATCTAGCTGGTGGGAGACGAGGGTACGAGACCACCATGACGCCCTGTGACTGCACCTCGGGCAGAGCCACATCGTAGTCGGGGGCAGATGGGTCAGGCACCCAGATCTCTGGTTGGATCAGGGCCATGCGGTTGAACCCAGCATTGCGCAGTGTCCGACAGGTCCATCCGTCGGCGCCGTGCTCGGCAAAGACGAATTGGCGGTCGAATGCGAGCCCAGTCGGGACAACATCCGACGCCTGCAGTTCAATCCCGCCACACGATTTTAGTGGGTACGTAAACAACGCCTTGACGCGCCAGGCTCGGCCGTTGTCGTGGACGCTGGGTACGCCCTCGGCATACTTGGGATCAAATTCATCACGCAGATTGCTCTGGCCTGGCGACAGACCCAACCGGCGACATCCTCGGGGACGCGGGTTTGCAAATTGGCGACGAACAAGGATCAGCAGAGGAAGAAAACAGAATAAAGCGATCCAAATGATGGAGGAAGATACCTCGCTGGGGGAGACGTCGACGTGCATGGGAGAAGTCAAACGGGCGGAACGCGACGACCCGCAACCTCAGCATCTTCAGACCTGCAGACCTCCGCCCGCTCATCCACCCGACGAATGCATTGTGGAACATGAACGTCCAGCAATGAAATTGGCTCCCTCTGATGCGCTATGAGCATCCACGCCGACCTGCTGGGTCTCGACAGCCAAGACACGCGTACGTAGATTCTCGCGATCTTTCGCGACACCCCTCGGTAAGCTCCAGGCTGAGTCGCGTCTAGTGCCCGTGGTCTCGATTTCGGCCTCGCAGTCCCTCAACGCTTCTGCGAGCACCCGAGACCCAATCAGTACTGGCCTTGTGCGTCTGGATACGGCCCTCGATGAGGCGAGTTCGCAGCGTCCCGGCGGGATTGTGCGAGGGCAGCTCACCGAGGTGTTTGGACCACCGGGGGTAGGGAAGACATCGCTGGCGTGAGTGTTCAAGTCTTACCACTATTTTTGTTTGAAAGTGTGTGTAATAACCTTGACTAGGCTCACCATTGCATGCAATGCGCTGCGAGATGCGGGCAAAGTCGTTTGGATCGGTACGGAAGACACCGCGCTCTATAGACTCGCGCTCACCTTGTATTAGATACGGGTTCTCCTGTGCCAGGCCCCCGTCTCATGTCAATGAGCTCTGATCTTGACAACCTGGCCTACTTCCGGGCGCCTACGCTGCCGCATCTACTAGCACTTCTTGTCCGGCCGCCGCCGAACTTCCCACCCAACGACACTGCCCTGGTGGTGATCGATTCGGTGTCTGGGTTATTTCCAGCATATTTCCCCAACGCAGCCGAGCTCAAGGACCGGCTGGCGCAGGGCAAAATCACCGACAAGCCGCAGCTGCAGTGGCTGCTGAATCGCAAGTGGAATGTCGCCGGCGAGCTGGCCACTCATCTGGCGCGCCTGGCCGCGCGCAACATCGCCGTTTTGGCTCTGAATCAGACCCATACGAAGATCAAGGGCCAGCCGCGTGCGACCTTGCATCCTGTTCTGGCGGGCGGTGCCTGGGAGAGCAATGTGCAGACGCGTATCATGCTCTACCGTGACCTGCCCGATACTCGGTTGGCTGAAATCACCAAGCGAGCGGGCCGGGTTTTGCCTGTGCGGTCGGCTGACTTGATTGTGCCATTTCGAATTGAATTTGTATGTTCTTGAACTTTTTTTTCGTTTGTGTGATTGTTCTTCTAACTGTATAGAATGGTCTCCATGAATTGGACGAGCCAGAAGACGAGCGACAGATTGAGCCACAAAAGCCACAGGAGTCGCAAGATGTACAGGAAGAACAGCAACCGCAATCCTCGGCGGTCCCCGACCACACTCCAAGCCGCAAGCGCAAGATGGACGAGGTAGCCGACAGCCAGGATGAAGACTCGGACGAAGAATACCAATGGATGGACGAGGCAATAGTTGACTCAGTCTAGAGACATCATTAAGATGAAAAAAAGAAAGAAACATTAATTTGATAGACATGATATCATCATATAACGGTCAAGGCCCTGGCCCTGGATCCACAACTCTTCTCTCAACCACGCGAGCTTCGGTCGACGAAGCCAGAAACTCCTTGGGCTCGCACGGAGCATCAGCTGTACTTCCGATGGACACATCAGGCGGGTCAGACTCGCGCTGGACCGGGCACAGCGGCACTGTGTCAGCAATGGCCACAGAGACGGGGTGCCGCGAGCCCTGGATGATATCAACCAGACGGCCGAGCACAGCAAACTCGAGCTTGAGCTTGAGCGAGTAAATAAAGCCCTTGAGTGTAATCTGCACCGCGTAGAGGTTGGCGTACTCGAGTCCCAGCAGCAGCAGGTCCATGGCGATGATGGTACAGTTGATGCCGAGGAGCTGGTATAGAATCGTGCGCGCGTCGGGGCGGGAGGCAACGTCGGCGCCTAGACGCAGCAGCTTGGCCGTTTCGATCACATACAGCGTCGAAAGCAGGCTCTCTTGGATCGTGAACCCGGTCAGCTGGATCTTCTCCATGATGTTGTACCCATCGATCCAGGCGGCCTCGCCGCCGTGCACGATGTTGGCACCATATGTTAGGATCGTCGTTGGGATGTGCAGCAGGAAGACATTGGCCACGATGAGGCAGAACACTCGCCGCAGCGCGCGCTCATCCCGGAGCACCAGGTGTAGCCGCGAGTACAGCACAATTGACTGACCAGTTACCATAGTCCACCAGCCGACGGTTAGTACGGTCACTGACAACACCGAGTCGGTCCCCGTGAAGAATTTCATCAGGAACCCGATCGAGTACGGCACCACCCCGATACAGCCCGATGCTAGCAGCGACCAGAAGTACAGACCGTGCCATCGTCGGAATGTCGACAGTACCAGCACCACCAGCTCCGCGACATTGTAGCAGGACAGTCCGATAAACGTCACCAGAATCATCTGCAGGACATCGCCCTCCTTGGCCAGTGCACCGGAAATGCCATCTAGCAGGTCCTGCGGGGGATCGGACATGGCCGAGAGCGATGCATTCGGAATGGACAATAGAGGAATATCACAGAAATGAGCGACCAGACTCAAGAGGAGCCAGGTTCACCCGGTCTGGTATGCCCACATCCTCTGGGACAGAAGAAAGATGGGAAGAGAGATGATATGAGATGAGGAGAGTAGAGACTGGAAAAGAGGAGAAGGGCAGACAGACAAGTCGTACAACACCAACGCTAGGCAAGTCACTGGTCTACTCAAGGATGCAGATGCACCAACCCGCTGGTCGGTTTTATAACCTCAAATCCACACATCAACACAAAACGGCATTTCATTGAAGAGTCTACGGTGTCATATCTTGCCCCTGTTCATAGGTTGGTCAGGTAGTCCTCGATCTGACCCTTGGTCAACTTGCGGAATCGCGGTCCCTTGGCTCCCTCCACTCCTTCAAATCCCAGCAGGTGGTCCGCCGGCGGGCCCACAATCCCTGTCGCAGGTGTCAGTGTCAATCATGGCCCTAGCTACCTAGCGAGGTAGACAGGTTGGTCCCGGAATGGGCGCTTACCAATCTCTATTGTGTCGCCATTCATCTCACCCTCAATGGTTTCCTTGAGTGTCAACAGCGCAATGTGGATGGCATCTTCCAGTTCCATGCCCTCGGTGTATCGCTTCTCCAGGAATGTTTTGGCGCTCGTCGCGTGCTTGCCGATGGCCGTCGCCTTCCACGGGTAATAGCTGCCGCTGGGGTCGACCTGGTACAGACTCGGGCCACCCTTTCGGATTCCACCAGTCTTGCCCGGGGTCTTCTCCGGGTCGTCGTCCTTGTGGGCCTCGCCGGTCTCTGGCTCCACACCCTCGTCCCAGCCGGCAACCAACAGACTCACACCGTACGGCCGCACACCACCGGACTGTGTGGCTTCTTGCACCACCCGGGCGACGTCCTGCACCAGTATCCGGGTAGGAGGGTATTCGTTGTAGATGCGCTTGTAGCCCGTATGGGACACCTTGCGGGCCTTGTCGACCAGCACCCGGTAGTCAGGGCCCATGCCGGCGTAGACCATGCCGATGTCGGGCGTGATCAGAGAGATCTTTGACAGCGAGGGAGGATCAATCAACGGCGAGGAGGACTTCTTTTCCGTCGCGAGCACGATGCCATTGGTGGCTGTGATGGTCAGCTCTGGCACAGGACCTCGAATCAAACTACCAGCCACATACCTTTAATGCCAAGGGCCGTGACTCCCTGGTTAACTGCATTCAAGGCATATTCTGAGAGTCATCAGTTCAAGCTCATTGCAACATCAATGTCGTCGAGTCGATCTTACCAATCTGCACCAGCTTTCCACTGTAATAGGGTGTGAGCACGGTCATTCAATCCGGGGAAGCTATCCTTACCTGGGAGAGAAAGTCGTGAGAGAGAACGAGTAGCGGTCCGCCATGATCCGAGGTTACAGAAGCAAGCAGAGACCACACAAGAAAAGACAAAGTTGATGAAGGGGAGGAAGCAGGCAGATGTTGGGTGACGTTTGACGCGAGCTGGGAGCTGTTAGGCGGTGACCTGATGGGGTTAGGGTGGGCCCAGCTGGCCTCTTCGTTTTCTTCGCTTGGACTTTTCGCTTTTCTTTCTTCTTCACATCCATTTCTCCCAAATGCTCGAAAGTGAGTAATGGACTCGGATCATCCACCTCGGGTCTGTCGGATCTGCCTGGAAACAGTCCAGCCGACCTTCCAGCCCTCTGAATTCCTGCAGAAGCCGCGTGTGATTTATGAGTCGCCCGACCCTGAGCTCGGCCGCCTATTACGTCCCTGCCCATGCAAAGGGTCCTCGCGCTACGTCCATGAGGGCTGTCTCCAGTCCTGGCGACATGCCGACCCCAAATATGGGACGAGGAACTTCTGGCAATGTCCCACTTGCGGCTTTCAGTATCGGCTAGGGCGTCTGACATGGGCCCGCTGGATCAGTAGCGCCGCCGCCCAACTAGTTTTAACACTCGGCATTCTTCTGTTAACTATCTTCCTACTTGGATTCGTTGCTGACCCCCTCATTGATTTCTACGTCGGTCCTGTGGACATTTACCCAGACGTGGAACTGGAAGAAGAGGCGTCGTGGGTTGCGCATTTCATCAAGGGCCTGGCGTCCTTGGGCATGTTGTCCTTCCTCAAGGCGTTGTTTACTCTGTCTCCATTCTATTGGAACATGCGCTCATCGGGCGTAGTATCGACCGGCCGGAATACTGGCCGCAATCGGGTTGCCAACCTGAATTGGGTGGTGATCCTACTTGGTGTCGGCACATTTCTTTGGGTATGTACTATCGTCTGGGTTTTTATTTGAAAACTCTTGGTGCTAACTCTACCCCAGGCAGTATGGAAGGGCGTCCGGTCATGGAGTAGACGCACATTAGAAAAAGCCGGCGAAAAGGTCATGGATGTGCCCTTGCCGGAGGAAGAAGAAGAACATCCCAAGGACGAATAACCTCCTATTTTTATTCCGCGCCACTTTGAGTTGCCGTGCTCCTCTCAATGACACGTCAATCAGTCACGGCGCGAAGAATGACACTGCCCTTCTTAACTCGTGGAGTGTCTGCTTGAGAAGCTGAGTTGGGTGACGCCTGGAGCGTTTTGTTCCTTGTCCTCGACCAGCTTCAATTATCAAGCAGCCTCCATGGGGAAGGCAGGCCCCGTCTCGATCGTATGGACTGTTTCTTTTTTTTTCACTCTGAGCGTCTGTGGATTGAGGGGTGGTACATTCCTGTCGCATAGCATCTGATATCTTGAATATAGTCTTCTCTCACTTCACCGTGTGACTTCCCAACAAAGCACTGCCTTCTTCCTCTCCCTTTTTATCTCCTCCTCTCCCTCTCCCCTAACTTATCTCTTCGTATTTGCACCTGTGTTTTTCTTCTGTTTTTCTGCTTCAGCGATGGCCGACTTCCCAGAAAAATCCCTCTTGGCTGCCGTGCGCTCGCAGCTCACCCTCGATTCGGACTCTGATCAGTCCTCGTCGCCAGCCCACAATGACCAAGAGCCATTCCCTGTCTACGAGGAGTCTGCTGCTGTGGATGTGCAGCACGAGGAAGCCTACAAGTACGCCTTCGCCAAAGCCGTGCAGGACCAGATCCGCAGCCAGCAAGTCGACCCCAAAATCGTCCCCATCTCCCTCGCCACAGAAAATGGCCACTCCATGCAGACCCAGGCCCTTGACGCCATCAAGGAACTGCTGTCTCTGCCACAGCTGCGCAAGCAGACCCGCGACCGCTTCATTGCTCTCACCAACATGACTCTCCGCCTCAACCACGTTCTCTTCTGCCGCGGCGATGACTTCCTGGCTCCACGCGAGACTACCGACGCCAAGGACCTCGCCTCCACCATCCTGATGTACCTGGCGTGGATGGACGAGATGCTGCAGGAACATCTGCAGACGGCCAGCCAGGTCGCGTTCATCGTGGGCCAGATTTCCCAGGAAGAGGAGGTGACGGTGTACGTGCGATACCGGCGCATGGCCAGCGTAGTGACAGTGTAAGTGAAAGCTCTTCGTTTTGGTTTCTTTGGTTCTCTGCCTTTATTTCTTACTGGGTTTTCGTCAGCCATCTCAAAAAGCCTCGCCCCCTCGAACGCCGCCTGCTGACCCTGTACCTGGAGCTGTACGAGGGATGGGTGCACACGGCCTTTCTCCATCGTCGCAACCGTCAGATTCTGCAAGAAGAAAAACCCAATCCGGACCGGCTCGAACTGTCTCGCTTTCTCCTCGCCATCTGGGATGTCATGACGCGCTGCATTGAGAATTATGCCGTGTACACATCCACCACGCGCGATATCCGCGAGAAGTACTTTACGCCGGCTCTGCAGCAGCTTTGCGATTCGGCCGAGGTGTGGGAGCAGTGCTTCGAGGTGCATGCGGCACAGTAGCTGGTAATTGCATGGGATTTGTTTTTATGGCGTTCATGATGATATGGTGATACCCAAGCATGATTTTCTTCGGACTTGACCTGGAATGACAGGTATACATGTTCTCTCAGATTTCTTGTGATGTTCAACAATTCAAACGACTTAGCATGTCCACTCATATCAGTGAGCCGATTTCATTTCCACTATTGTCTGCTATGCACAATCTTCAAACGCAGAGGGTATTCGTGGATATCCTCTTCGAAGATCTAAGACGAGCTATCCTTATAAGGACCCAGCTTAAACAGTTTCTTCGCATTCTCCCGTCCAATCTTCGCCCGATCCGTCTCCGACAACTCAGCAGCATCAAACCAGTCACAAGCATCCGCAAAGGTCTCAAACGGATAATCAATGGAAAACAGAATCCGGTCCGCCCCAACCTCCGCCATACAGAAATGCAGCGTCGGAGTCGAGAAATGGCCCGAGGTCGTGATCCACAGATTCTGCGCAAAGTACTGGCGGATGGTCTTGCGGCACGTCTCGCGCAGCCCCAGCTGCTTCTTGCGGTCCTCGAACCAGTGGTTGATGCGCCACAAGTCGAACGGGATGTGCTCGCCCAGATGGCCTAGGATGATCTGCAGTCCTGGGTGTCGGTCGAAGACTCCGTTTGTCACCATCCCCAGTACATGCAGGCTGACTCCCTGGGCGAAGGATAGCGGCGGCCCAATGAGCCATTTGCGGTCGGCCCAGAGCTTGTTGTAGATTGTGCCGGTGGGATTGCGTGGGTGCAAGTAGAGTGGCACGTCGAGCTCGGTGCAAGTTTGCCAGAATGGGTCCCATTTGCTGTTGTCGTAGAAGATCATCTCGTCGCCGTCGGGCCCGGCTCGCTGTGTGTCATTGACGAGTGCACCAAGGAACCCATGCTGTGTTACACACCGTCGAAGTTCCTGGGCTGCTTCGTGGGGGTCGTGCATGGATAGTGTGCTGTCGTTATATCAGCATCGGTATAACTAGGTAGTATCTAAATACTTGATGAAGAAAGAAATGTTTATGAGATAAGGATCTTACGCAAAAGCAGCAAACCGGTCCGGGTGCTTCTTGACCTTGCCCGCGATATAATCATTGATCTCCACCGCCAGCGCCTGTGCATCCTTGGGATCCCAGATATCCTGCACACCGGGTGCAGTATACGACAGGATCTGGAGGCCCACGCCATGGCGCTCGGCAAAGTTCAGACGGAGGGAGTCGACGTCGGTGATCTCGGCGACGTGCTTTTCAACATCAGTGGCGAACATGCCCGCCCACCAGCGGGTCTTTTCTTGGAATCGGGGAAGCGCAAAGGCTTCTTCGAGGGCGACTTTTCCCAGCATGTTGTAGGTTGAGGGTATATGTTGGGGTTGGGATGAGAGGGAATAGTTCTCGGTATACAATTGAAAGCAAAACTGCGGTGTCCAACCATTTTTATATACGGAGACCCCGCATCGGAAGCTCAGTAGAGACCAAACTATAAACCTAAGCTTACCTCCACTATGCAACACACAATTCAAGCAAAGTACAGCCGATGCGCGTCGGAACGTGCATCAGTTTCATCCGACAGCGGACCGCCCCCGCGGCGGGTCGGGTCGGGTGGAGCCAGGACGTTGATTTACAGCTATATCAATAATGCATAGAGGATGTGCATTTATATAAATTCCATTTATACGTACAGTAATGCATATGATAAGTACGCTGTATACATCAAGTAGACCCCGACGGACTCCACTCGCCATACCAGACCGGATCCGATGAATGTGCATGCACAATCGAAACCAACATACCCAGCACGGCAAACTCCAGCTTGAGCTTGATGCTGTACACGGTGGCTTTGAGGATAATCTGTGTGAAATAAAACCCCAGAAATTCGAGAACCAGCAGTGCCAGGTCCATGGCAATGGCCACGACGTTGATGGCAAGCAGCTCATATAGAATCTTGTGCCGGCGTTTGTCGCCGTCAGGGCTGAGCCGGATCATGCGCACGGTTTCCACGATATACACCGATGAGATCAGGGTCTCCTGTGCCGAGAACCAGGTTAATTGAATGCGCTCGACAACCTCGAAACCCTTGGTCCAGCCCGGCGAGGTGGGGACGTATGCCGAACCGAAATTCAGTGAGATCGTTGGGATGAGCAGGAGGACGGTGTCGACGATGATCAGCCACTTGAGGAAGCGCAGCATCCGATGGTTTTGTGAGACCAGGTGCAGACGCGAGTACAGCACCACGGACTGGTTCGGCACCATCATGACAAACCCGATGTTGGCCAGCAGTAGACTCACCCACAGCGGGGTGAGACTGAAGAACTGGAATATTGTCCCCAACCCGGCGGGGATCACCCCCAGCATGGCCGAAGTCAGAAGTGCCCAGAAGTATAGGGTGCGGTAGCGCTGAAAGCTCACGGGGATGAGCACCGCCAGCTCGAGTGCGTTGTAGAGCGCGATGGAAACGAAGATGATCACACCGATGCTGATGGCCTCGTTCCCGGCTCCGTTCCCAAACAACAATGCTGGGGGGCTGCTCGAACGCTTCGGCCACGGTGCGAGGCAAGCGGCGCGAGGGTGGCAGGGCATGGTGCCGGGGGCGTGTCTCATGCTGTCGACCGCACTGCAGCCATCTTATCACTTTTCTGTCTTCCGTGTTGTCGCGGGCGGGGGTAAAATCGGAGAGGGGGGGGCTTCCAGCCCAACTGTCTCTCTTCGGTTCGGCAACCATGGACGGTGCATCAGGTTCGGGCCATGTGGCTTGAATGTTTGTGTTTAGCTTCGGGGAGTGTGGAGAGGCAAAAGCCCGTCCGCCACTGGCGAGCTTTCCCGACGTCATTCTTAGGTCCGTCCACGGCTCCAGTGGAGAAGGTTTCTAGAAGCTCTGGCTCCGTCTGTAGGAACGTCGTCGGGAATTCCCGGGTTGGTTGTCAGTGATGGTGTCGGGCAACATCCGGATACTGCCTGGTATAGAAGGTATTGATGGTTCCGAGTTGGGGATCGAAATATATCCGGTCTGAAATCATCAGTAGGAGGCAGATGTAAGAGAGAGCGTAGTTGATGGTTGACATATTTATGCCGGTCATTGCCGACTCCACCCGGTTGTTGCGTCAGGGGACCTCTTCACGTCTCTTGATAGTCGCAAGAGACTCGCAAAACAGGCGGATAGTGTGGCAGATAGCCCCTGAGTTTTCTCCAAAAAGCGAGAATTTATATAATTCTAGAATGACCAGGTATAGATATATATTTTAATATTCTATCATTCACCCCTTTTCGCCATAAAACAAATAAAAACAAATAAAACAAAAGCGTGACATTCCCCGCATTGTGTGGGTCCGGGGTTAGGGGAAGTAGACCATCGACATCCTTCGTATACTTGGTATCCTTAGTATACCCAGTGTCGTTGGATGTCTAGCAGTTAGCGACAATTACTGATCTAAAACCCCATTATCTCTCATGTTCCTAATTTCCGTTAATATCCACTCGGGTTACATTGGCCCCGTGGCTTAGGAGTATTGGTATTCGTGCTAATTGATCATACTCAGTCCCTTAAATCCCTCTCTCTCTCTCTCCAGGCTAAAATGGCCGAGCAGCCCCTATGGCCTAAACCCAGTTGATCCCCAAAACACGATCCTTTGTTCTCTCTCTGCTGCCCACACCCTGGCCTTCCCCCCTAGTTTGGGCCCCCAAGTGCCTCCCAGCGAGCTTTTTGGCCGTTCTTTGACAGTTGGACCCACCGGGCTTGGTCCTGCGCGATTTCGAGTGTCCGGCGAAAGAGAGTGCGAAAGAAAAAAAAAAAGAAAGAAAGAAGAGTCATGTGTCTACGGGCTTGGAGTTTTTTTTTCTCTTTTTCTCGTTATTTTTTCTGATCTTTCTTTGTTTGTTTGCCTCGATTCTTTCTCCTCGATGCCCTCATAACCCGGTGATGTCCCCATTTCACCCATTATGTCTGGCAAACTAGGCACGATGATCGAACACGAACAAACTGCCACAGCCCCCGCGCCGGGCAAGTTTGTCCCCCAGCGCACGTTTGGCACGGCCGCCGAGCGCGCCCGTCGCAATATCAACGCCAAACTCTCCAATCCGCTTGCTGGTTTCAGTCATGCCGATCTCAGGAAGCAGGGCCGCAACTTTGCCATCGCCCACGAAATTGGTGATGAGTCGGACATCCGTGCCTTTGAGCTGGGTGCCGTGCTGGCCCAGTCCCCCGAGCGCTACGCCACCGTTGCTGGATTGACTACCCAGGAAAAAGAGGTGCTGCGGCGCGAGTTTGCGCATCGCTGGTCGCAGCCTTGGACGATGTATGCGGTCATTGCGCTGTGTTCGCTATCAGCGGCCGTTCAGGGAATGGGTAAGGGCTTGATAGAGACTTGACGAATAACCAAGAAAGAAAACGAGTGCTGACCCGACTTTCTTCTAGATGAGACCGTGGTCAACGGAGCCCAGATCTGGTACAAGCATCAGTTCGGCATCGCTGATGACAGCCCAAGGAGTACCTGGCTGGTGGGACTGGTAAACTCGGCACCATATCTGTGCTGCGCTGTCGTCGGGTCCTGGCTGACAGTCCCGTTCAATCACTGGTTCGGCCGCCGTGGCACCATCTTCCTGACCTGCTGCTTTTCAGCAATTGCCTGTCTATGGCAAGGGTTCGTGTCGACATGGTGGGCCATGTTCGTGGCACGGTTCGCGCTGGGGTTCGGGATCGGCCCTAAATCAGCCACGGTTCCCATCTACGCGGCCGAAACGGCGCCGCCGGCCATCCGCGGTGCCTTGGTCATGCAGTGGCAGATGTGGACGGCATTCGGGATCATGCTCGGCTACGCGGCTGACCTGATGTTTTTCAAGGTCGCCGACACTCCCGCCATAGTTGGTCTCAACTGGCGCTGCATGATGGCCTCGGCCATGTTTCCGGCCCTCGTGGTGTGCTGCTTTGTCTTTGCGTGCCCCGAGTCGCCGCGCTGGTACATGAGCCAGAAGCAATACTACCGCGCCTACCAGTCCATGTGCACCTTGCGTCACCACAAGATGCAGGCTGCCCGCGACCTCTACTACATGCATACTCTGCTCGAGGCGGAGAACAGCATGAAGCTCGGCCAGAACAAGCTGCTGGAGTTGATCACTGTGCCGCGGAACCGCCGCGCCATGCTGGCATCGGAGATTGTCATGTTTACACAGCAGGTGAGTGTCGCTTTTCAACTGAAGCATAGGCTCTTCAAAGAAGGAATATAAAATTAACCAGATCAGTTCTGCGGCGTCAACGTCATTGCCTACTATTCCTCAGAGATCTTCCTCGAAGCAAACTTCTCTCCCGCCGCAGCACTGGGAGCCTCCCTCGGCTGGGGCATGATCAACTGGCTGTTCGCAATCCCAGCCATCTACACGATCGACACGTTCGGACGACGGAACCTGCTCCTATGCACATTCCCGCTGCTGGCACTGTCGATGTTCTTCACGGGGTTCAGCTTCTGGATCCCCGAAGAGACCAGCCACACAGCGCGCATCGCCTGCATCGCCCTGGGCACATACCTTTTCGGCATCGTATACTCACCAGGCGAAGGTCCTGTGCCCTTCACATACTCGGCCGAGGCATACCCGTTGTACGTGCGGTCGTACGGCATGGCGCTGGCGACGGCAACCACCTGGTTCTTCAATTTCCTTCTCGGTGTCACCTGGCCCTCGCTGCGCAGCGCTTTCACTGCCCAGGGCGGCTTTGCGTGGTACGGCAGTTGGAACCTTGTCGGGTGGTGGCTGGTGCTCCTGTTTCTGCCCGAGACCAAGGGCAAGACCCTCGAGGAGCTAGATCAGGTGTTTTCGGTCTCGACGTGCTTTCATGCCCAGTATGGGTTGCGCCAGATTCCGTATTGTGTTAAGCGTTACCTCCTGCGCCGTGATGTCCGGCCTGAGACTCTGTGGGAGCGCGAGGATGCAGCTCCGGCGCAGGATCTGGGCTACAATGCTTGATACGATGTGGTATAGGTTTGGCTGTGAGTTTCTGCTATGTTTATCTTGTTTACGATACATGGTTTATATCCTGATATATTTGTTTGAAAACTTGCATTTCTATCTCGATAAACGTTATACCTGGGAGTCTTTGAACCACATTAGCTGAGTTCATCATAATGTTGAAACGGAAACAAAATAAAAAGCTCCTTCAGACAGCAGTTGGAACAATTGATTGTCCTCATAATATTTCAGAACAGGTCTGTGTGAAATTGTGCTTCATCATTGGAGAAAAGAATGGGGAAAAGATAGACAACTCACCAGTAAGGCTGAGACAGGTAGGCAGATTATGCTGTCCCCGTCAAGCGATAGAAATCGTCCATCGGCTGCTGTCGCGAGCGATGGGGGCTATCGGGCACCGTCATCGTATGGAGATTTCCATCGAGATGCACCGTGCTGTCCACCGCCATGATGGTCACGGACCATCCCGCCAACGGGTGCTCCATGGGAGGCTGGTCCAGACTAACCAGCCAGGGGGGCTTGACATCGGGATGCACCGCATGGACCAGCACCATTTCCTCGGGCAAGCCACCAGTCCAAATGTCCAACTCCAACACCCCCGTGTTCGACCACACGGGATGCATGTAATCGGAAGCGGCCGAGTCCACGTTGCGGGCCAGATAGAACGACGCAAAGAGATCGGCCAAACACGCCCACACGACCTGCAAAATGATGCCGTGCGCAACAACCGCTACCACAGCATCGTTGCGGGCGCGGTCCGCCAGGAGTGGCAGGATGTGGTCGCGCAAGAACCCGTTGGCCCGGGCCCGCATCGACGACATTGACTCTTCTGACGGGCCACGCCGGCTTCCTGGCTCCTTGCCCGAGGCAAACCACTGCTCGCGCAAGGCCTCAGTCTGAATCGGCTCGAGCAACGGCCCGCTGCCCAGCTGGTACTGGCAAATCACACGGGCAGTGTCGGTCGCGCGATCCAAATCCGAGGACAGGACATGCGTGAAGCAGACGGTTCGATCTCGGAAGTGACGCGCCAGGAGCTGTGCCTGGGTCTTGCCAAGATCGGTCAGACCAGAGTGGTCGGCATTGCCTCTGGAAGATTGAAGCCCCCCAAAGTCAGTTTGCACTCATTGAAGCTCATCCCGCGCACATACGATGTCTTGCCCACATTATGCTCGCATTCAGCATGGCGGATCAGGAAGAGCTTCATGTTTGTTAGGTGTTGGTGTATGGCCAGGTACGAGATTCACCTGCCATCACCTCTTGAGGTCCAGCGATGAGGTCTTGATGAACTCATGGGATGCTCATGCTTGAACCAATGGATAGATCATCCACGTAAGACCAATCCATGGTGCCAGAACTATTTTGCAATTCTGAGAACCCTGAAGGACTGAAGAGGAGGAAGAAAAGGATAGAGGGAAGAAAAAAAAAATCAGCTAATAAATAGCCCACGGTGGAGCAGTGGAGACCAGCTGTTTTGCACTGTTTGCATGGCTTCAACAAAAAAAAAGGCGAATGCAATCCCGCGGATTGCGGTTGCTGTGTGCGACTTCGCTAGAATCATCCATTTTGTGCTTCGAGGCTGACGACGATTCGCCATGGCTGACACAGAGAACCATCCCCAGGAGCAAAGTGCGTGAGATTGGAGCCATGAAGATCTCGAGATAGCTAACACGCCCATCTACACATCTACAGCGCCCCGGTCACCCTACGAAAATGTCCGCACCACCGGGCGAGCCTTCCACTCGCCTAACTGGCGTACAAAGGGCTCTTCAGCCCCGGACTCTCCCTCGCTGCGCTCGAATAACCCCCGCGTGGCCTTTAGCCGACCAGGGTCCCATGTGCCCCAGGCCATTGCGGAAGGGCGCCGCTTATACGTGGGCAACATGCCGTACACGGCCAAGTCAGAGGATGTGGAGGCATTGTTCACGGCCGAATTTTCCATGTAGGCCTGCATTTGCCCGCTGAGGGGTTAACCGACTGAGTTCTGGATTAGCGAGCGCATTGATATCGCCATTGATCCTTTCACCGGTCGGAACCCGTCCTACTGTTTTGTCGATCTCAACACCAAGGAAGATGCCGAACGGGCCATGACCGAGCTCGACGGTCGAGACCTGCTGGGCCGGCCCGTCAAGATCAAGCCCGGGGTCTCCAAGTCGGCGGATCGCACTCCAGATCAAACCCGATCACCATTTGCGCTCGACCGCTGGCGCCGCCAGGGCAACCCCAGTTTCGCCAAAACCCACAGCGATTCCAGCAAACGGGTTTATGTCGGTGGTCTGCCCCGAGTGACGGAACACCAAGATGTCGAGACCGGCGTCCACGCCTTTTTCACAGGACTCCATGTGTATGTGCCGGGATCCACCGATTTCGATTCCAGACTGACATTGTGTCCAGAGAGAATATCAGCAAGCTCTTCACCCCTCACCCGGCCAAACGGTTCGAACCCGGTGACCACTACTACCTCTTCGTGGACTTCCATAGCGTAGAGGAAGCCCAAGAGGCCATGGATTCACGGAGCGGCCAGGAGGGACCATGGGGGAATCCGCTCCGAGTGCAACGGGCCCGGGGCCCACGAGAGGAGCGAACTGAGACCGAGCCCTAAACAGCAAGAAAGCAAAAAATTAGTAGAGAAAAACAGAGAAAAACACAAAAATCCCATAAAATGGCGCGGGATTGCCTCATTGAGAGAGAATATCGGGATAGAAGAAAAGTTGACCGAGATGACGTTAGTGGAGAATTCCAGACTCACCGCATTGCCCCGATTCCTGCGATCTTCTTTTTTATCTTTTTTTTTATATCTTTTTTTTCTTTTTGATGTTCATAGTTTTCGAGGGTATTTCTATGATCGGAGCTCTGGCTATCCCCCCAACTCGAGGATCTTCACCTTGCATCTTTCCCCTGTACATGTCGTGAGTGTGTCCAGGTGTTTCTCCGACTTCGGGTCGGCTTGTCCCTATTCTTCCCGACCGAATTCCCATCAGCCCAGCATGTCGTCAGGGAGTATGACCCGGGGCCAACACAAGGTGTTCATTGCGAGTGTAAGTGTATCTTGGATCTTCTTTTCTTTGCTTCAATTGTGATTCTCTGCGTGTTATGGCCCCGCCATCTCGGCGGGGTACCCCTCAGCCTCGGTCCAACGCATTCTTGCGAGGGTTGGGATGGATTCAAGTCGATGGGGTGACGATGGGCCTGGAAGGCAACGCGAGTCATCATCAACAGTGAATGATTGTCTCGGCATCCATATGATGTATAGATTGTTGGGGATCAGGCAACGCGGCTGCGCGCCGATTGACCTTATCTTCTGGACTTTACTTCTTTCACCATCTGTGCACGCCTTTCTTCCATGCTCATTTAACTGCGTGCACTTCTTGCTCTGGTCAAGATGGCCTCCGTTAACTTGCCAGTTCAGTCCGATGAGTCGAAAATATGTGTGGTGATGGTGGGCCTCCCGGCCCGAGGCAAGAGCCTCATCGCGGGAAAAGGTACGGCTCCCGTCTCGAGCGGATAGACCAGCATGCTAACTTTGAGTGACAGCCATGCGATATCTGGCCTGGGTGGGTGTCCAGGCTCGGGTTTTTAATGTCGGCAGCTACCGCCGCAACAACACCCCACAGCCGCAGGCTACCTTCTTTGATCCGCACAATGCAGAAGGAGAGCGCATGCGACGTGCAGCAGCAGAGATGGCCATGACCGACATGCTGCAGTGGTTCAAGTCAAGCAAGGGGGTGGTGGCTATCCTGGATGCCACCAATTCTACCCAGGACCGACGAAAGTGGATCTACGAGAAGTGTCGTGATGCCGACATTGAAACCCTCTTTGTCGAGTCCATCTGTGATGATGAGGATCTGATCATGACCAACATCCTGGAAGTCAAAACCACTTCTCCCGACTACAAGGGCCAGGACCCCGAGCTGGCTGCCTTGGATTTCCGCCGCCGAATCCGCAACTATGAAAAGGCATATGAGACCATCGACGACAACGAGAAGCACTACACCTATGTCAAGCTCATCAACGTCGGGTCCACCGTGATCATCAACCAGATCAAGGACTATCTTTCCAGCCGCCTTGTGTACTACATCCAGAATCTCCATATCAAGCCCCGCTCGATCTGGTTGTCTCGAGTAAGTTTCCAAGTTCCTTTTGGTGCGAATCAGGCACCAAGCTGACGATGAATATAGCATGGAGAATCTGAATACAACCTCACTGGGCGTATTGGCGGCGATTCCAGCATCTCGGAGCGCGGCGAGGCCTATGCTCGCGCACTGCCTGAGCTCATGCGCAAATCTGGGATTCCACCCAACACCAAGATTGTCATCTGGACATCAACGCTTCGCCGTACGATCCAGTCAGCCCGCCATTTGACCGCGGAAACGGGATTCGAGAAGCTCGAGTGGAAGGCGCTGGATGAGCTCGACTCAGGGGTATGCGACGGCCTGACCTACGAGCAAATCGCTGAGAAGTACCCGGAAGATTTCGCTGCCCGTGACGAGGACAAGTACAACTACCGCTACCGCGGCGGCGAGTCCTACCGTGACGTGGTGATTCGGCTGGAACCCATCATCATGGAACTTGAGCGCAGCGAGAACGTTGTGATTGTCACACACCAGGCGGTGCTGCGCTGCATTTACGCCTACTTCATGAACGTGCCCCAGGAAAAGAGCCCCTGGATGGAGGTGCCTCTGCACACACTCATCAAGCTCACCCCGCGCGCCTATGGTACCGAGGAACAGCGCTTTAAGGCTGACATCCCGGCCGTCTCGACCTGGCGTGGCAAGGGCACCTCGGCGAAGCATCAGGAGTTCCCGGCGGACAGCAAACCATAGGACCATAGATCTGCATCGGATGGGCGTCATTTCTGCTGGTTGGCTTGGGTTGAGATTCGGATACCAAAACATCTTCCAATACGATTCTTTATTCTTATATTGTTTCATGATTTTTCGTAGTTTTTCTTTTATACTCCATCGAAATTGATGATAATCAGAGTAGAACAAGACCTCGAGAGCTGCCTGGGCAGAGGGCTGCAGAATACTGACTCAGCCATGACTCAGCAGACGTCACCTCAGAGCTCCGGGGGGGCAATCCCGCCAAAGGACATGAATTGACCTCAGCGATGTTGTCGGCATTCACCGCGCGGCCGCTCGTCGAGCTCAAGCCGCGTGACAAGTCCAGGATCGACTCAGTCCTCGCCTATGGCGATCGCCTGCTGGCGGGTCTCAACAATGGCAGCCTACGCATCTACCGTGTCACCGACGAGGGGACGACCGAGCTCCTCCGCGAACTGGAGAGGTTCTCGCGCTATAAGATCGAACAACTCGCCCTAATTAAGGAGGCTAATGTGCTGGTCGCGCTGTCTGGCGGTTATGTCTCGCTGCACAACGCCCAGACCTACGAGCCCCTCGAGCAACTGGCCCAGACCAAAGGCGCGTCGGCCTTTGCAATCACCTCAAACGTTGTCAACGACCCCGACACCAATGTCCCAGCCATTGTCTCTCGCTTGGCCGTCGCGGTCAAACGCAAGATCTTGATGTGGGTCTGGCAAGACATGGAACTAGAGCGCGACACCACCGAGCTGAGCCTTGTCAGCGGCATTAAAACCCTGACTTGGGTATCTGCCACTCGGCTAGTGGTGGGACTGAGCTCGAACTATGTCATGGTCCATATTGAGACAGGCCAGGTCGCCGAACTGGCAGGGCCCGGCAGTATCGAGGAGTCCGGCCGGTTCACGGGCGTCGGCGTCGCGAGTATGAGCTATATCGGCATGGGAGGCATGGTGCCGCGGCCGCTGGCAACGAGGTTGCGTGAGGGCCAGATTCTACTGGCCAAGGATATCAATACACGCTTTATCGACGTAGAGGGCCAGCCCCTCGGTCGGCGACAAATCCCATGGAGTCATGCCCCTGTCGAGATCGGGTATTCCTATCCATTTTTACTGGCACTGCACGACTCGGCCAAAGGAGTGCTAGAGGTTCGAAATCCGGAGACCTTGTCGCTTTTACAATCCATCCCGCTGCCGTCGGCTAGCCTTCTGCACATCCCGCAGCCTAACATCAGTCTCGCCCACGCCGGAAAAGGGTTCTTGGTGGCGAGTGACCGGTCCATCTGGCGCATGGAGGGGCTGAGTTATGACACGCAAATCGATGCTCTGGTTGAAAAGGGGTACTTGGACGAGGCGATTAGCCTCCTCGGAATGCTGGAGGATGCGCTTCTGCGGGATAAGCCCGGTCGATTGCGTGCCATCCGGCTGGAAAAGGCGCAGAGTCTGTTTGCTTTACACAAATACCGTGATTCTTTGGATCTCTTCACCGAAATTACGGCCCCTCCGGAGACGGTCATTCGTCTGTATCCTCGTTTGATCGCGGGTGATCTCTCCGCCATTCCTGAGCCAGATACTGATAAAGTCAACGGCTCCCAACCGGATGGATCCTCTGAAGCGGCTGCTCCGGGTCAATCATCCATGTACGCGCCTTCGGTCAGGTCTTTTCTGCGGAGAACCGATGAGGGCAGTGATTCCAGCAGCAACCGTGATGAAGAAAAAGGTAAGACCCAAAGTTTCGATGACTCGTTGGCTATTCTAACTCAGTTTTAGATCTCAAGGTCGCTGTCCGCGAGCTGCAGGGATACCTAGCGGATGTTCGTCGACGCTTTCAGCGGTTCCTCAACCCCGACGGTTCTCTGAAAGCTCCCGTGCCAACAGAGCCCAAAGACGATGCCAGTGATTCGGTTCTCAAACTACTAGACTTCCCCCCTACAGAAGAATTCGCAAGTCAAATCCAGAGTAAGGCTCGGCTTGTCGATACCACGCTGTTTCGCGCGCACATGTACGCAACGCCCTCGCTGGCCGGGTCTCTCTTCCGCATTGCCAACTTCTGCGACCCAGAGGTGGTCATGGAAAGGCTCGAGGAAACCGGCCGGTACAATGACCTGATTGACTTTTTGTATGGCAAGAGACTGCACCGCCAGGCCCTCAAATTACTGCAGCGCTTTGGACAAGAAGACTCGGGCCTTCTCAGTGGGCCCACGCGCACCATCGCATACCTCCAGAATCTCTCTCCAGATCAGATCGACCTGGTTCTTGAATTCGGGGAATGGCCGCTGCGCACTAGCCAAGAGCTGGGGATGGAGATTTTTCTGACGGATACCGAAAACGCCGAGACACTACCGCGGCCTCGAGTCCTCGAATTCCTCGAGGGCATTGATCCCAAACTTGCTATTCAGTACCTCGAGCATGTCATCCATGAATGGAACGATTTGACACCGGACCTGCACCAAAGATTACTGGTTTTGTATCTGGATCAATTCATCCACAACAAGCCATCTGCGGAATGGAAGGCCAAGTTCTTGGGCATGTTAAGAGAGAGCGAGCAGTACTCGCCAGCGAAGATGCTGGACCGGCTGAACCGAGAGGGTGAGTTGGTTGGCCCCAGTGAAGAACGAGGTTTCATTGACATATACCAGATCCCGAGTTTTACGAAGCCCGCGCAATTGTGTTCAGCAAAATGGGCCAGCACCGCCAAGCGCTGGAGATCTATGTCTTCAAGCTTGAGGATCATGAGAAGGCAGAAGAGTGAGATTCTACTTCCTGAGATTTCTTGCTATTCTTGCTAACCACCACAGGTACTGCAACCAAGTCCACTTGACCGAGAAGATCGAGGAAGAAAGCGAAAGCTCCATCTACCTCACCCTATTGTCGTTGTATCTGGCACCACCACACGGCTACCAGCCCCAAAATGGCCCGGCTCTGGCAGTCCTGGCTAAGCACGGGTCTCGATTACCGGCAGATGCGGCACTAGGTCTTATCCCCAGGGTATTGCCTGTGCAGGAGTTGGAGTTTTACTTCAAAGGCCGGATGCGCGCGGCCAACTCTGCCTTCAACGAAGCCCGCATCGTGGCCAGCTTGCGCAAAGCACGCGACATGCAGATCCAAGCACAGTTGGTCGTTGGCGAGGGTGTTCGCGGCGGGGCAACCCGGGCTCGCCACGTCACAGTCACCGAGGAGCGGATTTGTGGCGTATGTCATAAACGATTGGGAGGGAGCGTGATCAACGTGTTTCCCGAGTAAGTGTGATGTGCTGTTTTCTTCTTTTGTTTTCCTTTCTGGCTCGTTCATCGCTGACCATATCTAGTAACTCCGTGGTTCATCTGGGCTGCGCCAATCGAGTACCGACTGTTCGTTCCGGGTAGCGTTCTTTCCATGCCTTCTTTTCAGCATTGTCGGGGTTTTTTTCTCTCGTGTTTTATATTTGTTGGGTTTTTGTATTGTGCGTGTGTGGTAGAGGCTGTTTCCAGCGATTTTTGATACCCCAAGATAGCATCGTGTGAATTTCATGCATCGTCCTCGACGACCTCCTCGCCGTAGTTCTCTTCTTCCTTGGCCTCCTTCTCCGAGATCTGCCCCTGGGCCTTCTTGTCCTCTTCCATACGCTCGGTCAGAAAGACATTGATCTCTTCCTGCAGCTTAGGAACGAACGATTGCAATGCGGTGAGGTGGGCTTGCTTGGCGGCCACAGCATCGGTTGCAGAGTCGACCGGGATTGCATGCTCGAATGTGCGACTGGCCTGTGGAGCGGTGTAGACCGCGTGTAGATTCAACGGAGTGGGGGAGGCCATTTTGTAATAGAGGGGAAGAAGGGAAAAGTGAAAAGGGGGAGAAGAGAGGAAGAGGAAGAAGAATGGAAGAGAAGAATTGTGGTGGGGAGACGATCAGCAAACCGAACGAAGGAGGCTCTGTTTTTGCAGGCACCCGCCCTTTCCACCGCAAACCCTTCAACACCCTCTCGACACCACCTTAACATGGACACATCATGACCTCGTCTGTTCGCTCTCCCAATTCGCCGGGGCGTCTGGCTCGAGCACCCGTTCCTGCCCATCGCCATCCCCAGCCGCCCCCGGTTTCGGATGATGAAGATGACGACTCCGATGAAGACGAATTGGCACCCCCGGATCTTCCGGCAGTGATGCCTCCTCCAACGTAACCACCGTCTCTGCCGCTCCGATAACCCCGGTCACCACGCAGAATTCTGCGGCGGGTTACTTCTCCCCTAACCCGCGGTCTGCCTCCGCTACCTCTTCGCCCGCACGCCCGATGCCTCCAGCCCAGGACTCGTCTGGCCGGCGGCCGTCCGGTCGAGGCCCGTCAGCTGAGCTGCCGCGGATTCGATCGAGACACCATTCGCAAGGCTTCTTTGAGCCGTCCCTACCGACAGCCTCGTCCGACCAGGTGCCGACGGTGTCCGCTTCCCGGATTGCCGCCCAGGCAGCCATGCAGCAGACCAAGCGCCCCCAAACCGTTGCTAGCCCACTTGACGAGGGCCCGCGCCCACGCCGGAGTGGAAGCGCCTCCCCCTCCGCTCATGCCCGCTCCGCTGCGTGTCAACCAGCCATCGCCAGCCCCTCCCCAGCCCCCACCAGGGAACGTAGCCACAACAGCCGCCAACGTGGTGTTCCCGCGAGCCGGGGCCCAACCGCCACAGCAACAACCCGAGAAACAGAAAAAGAAGAGGCTCTTCTCTAAGCCAAAGCACATCGGGATCAGTCGGGACAAAGACCCGTTCAGCAAAGACCGCGGCCTGCCGTCCCCGAGCAAGATGAGCGGGCTGTCCCGCATGGTCAGCGCGTCTACCACCACTCTGGCTGATCTACCATCCAATAATTCTTCCATGTACAACTTGTCCAATGCCTCTGTGAGCACGGTTGTGCCCGCCGATCGACCTCCGGCCCCGGAAAAGGAAAAGGACAAGGACAAGGATAAACACAAGCACCACTTTCTGTCCCGGCCGAAACTTAAACTCAAAGATCGCGGCGGCGATGATAATTATAATCTGCCGCTGTCATCAGCTGCAAGTAACTCCCGTCCAGCCGATCCTAATGCCCCCCAGTCTCTTTACTCTTTTACCGGCCCTGCAACTCCGGCCCCCGGGACGGCCTTTGGCAAATCCGTCAGCGGGCTGGACATCCTGCATGGCGGGCGGGCCCTCCGTGAGAAGAAGAAGGAGGAAAAGGCACTGGCAGAATCTGAGCAGATGGAATGGCTGGCCTATTCTAACGGCGGCGTCCCAACGCCGGGCGCGACGGGTCCTTCTTCGCTAGGCAATCCAGGAGGTCCCTTGGGCGAGGCTCTACTGCGCGAGACATTGCAGGGATTTGGGCTGAACAACATGAGCCCGGAAGACGCGTGGGACTTTCTCAAGGCAAAACTGCTCGTTATCTTCGACGGCGAGGATGTACGGATTGCGATTGAAGACCTCAACAAGCTCGTCCTGGTACATCTGCAGCGCTGTGTGCAAAAACGTGACCCCACTACTGTTATCACCGACTTACAAGAACTTCTCGAAACCGGATTCGCTACGTTGAACCACAGCTCCTTGATGGGTATCCTAGACGAGAAACTGATACCGCATCTGGTACAGATCTGGATGTTGGTGTTCGGCACGATCCTACCCTTCATTCAAGCCGTATTCCTGCCGCTGGACCTCGAGTTCAAAGGATGCGGGTCTCTAATGACCAGCCGCGAGGCCCAAGAATTCTGGGGTGCGCTGCCAGTAGGCGGGTCCTTGGAAGTACGCAATCTGGTATTGATGGCTTTCCGGGACCGGATTATCCTCAATCGCTACGACACCTTGAAGGCGACGTTCTCTCGGCTTAGTCTCGACAGCATTAACTCTGGTTTCCCCACGCTCAGCGTCACAGCCAAAAGCACCGGCACCGGTGGCCGCCCGGGCACCGCCGCGTCTCTGGACGCCGGCCCCGGCAGCTACACCTCACAATTTTCGACCCTTCTCAACACCGGGTTTACAGACACCGACTCAATGAGCGGTCTCGCACAACACCCGCGACCCCCGAGCAGCGACTCCCGCAGCCGCGCCACCTCCAACACCTCGTCCAACCCAGACCCACTCATATTTCAGTCTGTCTCCTCGCCCCCGACCTCTCACCAACGGCCTACAATCATCCACCGCGGCGGCACACCGGATGTGTCGCACGTCATCACCGAAACAGTTGGCCGCATGCTGCAGTGTGTCAGCGTCCTGGCCAGCGTGCAGACAGATGATCCCGCCCAGGAGAGGATCGAAGTACTCAGCAAAGCCCTGAAACACAATTGGCTCGGCCGCGGCCGCACTGGCCGTGACCGTCGTGGGTTTGTTGGAGCCAAGATCCGGCCTGTGATGGTTGGCGGCCCGCCCGCCATCGATGACACCGAGTCCCTGACCACTGCGGGAATTAGTATTGGTGCGAGCACTAGTGCCAGCGAATCTCGAGCCCGCGGAGACTCGTCCTCGTCGGAGTGGAGCTCGGGGCTGCCGCCTGGAATGGGGATGAGTGTGCGGAGCGGAGGTCGCCGCGAGCTGAGTGTGCTATGATTTGTTTATTTCTTTTTTCTGCTTTCTTTTCTCTGCTATTTATGATTGAATGACAACCGGCGGGAGACTTGGATTTGGTATCTCTTCTATCGCGGGCTGGTGGGGAGGCGTTTTCGGGAATTTTGATATCCTGCGCAAAGGCAAGGCAATGCAATGATGGCGATGAGTTTCTTTTTGGGTATCCATTTGATAAATCTATTCATGAATGCTGTGGTCGACGTTGATCCACGTTTCACATCAGTCATACAAACCGCTGGTCCACTCTCAATATCCACTTCACGGTTCAGACTTCACTCTCGTCGACCCTGTTCTCACATTTGGTGGCCGCATAACCCCTCTCTAGTTCCACCGAGCCCGTCTCTGTCTTAAAAAGGCCCTGCAGGCTCAAGCAGTCTCTGGCTCTTGACTTGCTCTAGTGCTTTCTGCATCCACCATTAGTATCACAATCCACAATTGGACTTGCAGACCAAAAGAAAGGGAAGAAGGCAAAGGAAAAGAAATATATACTTGTACCATCCCCATGCACCGCGCCCAGCTTCATCTTAATGCGACTGTACCGTGTACTCAGACTCTTCGCGGAGTAGTCAAGCCCCGTCACGCTGTTCCAGGCACCGGTGATCTCGGCCCAACTGGCGCGTTGGTCTTTCAACTGCACGAGAAGCCGGTCCTCAGGCCGGGCCGTATCCCAGGAATTCGGGATGGGCCTGGGCGTCTTGGTTGGCGAGTCCTTGTCTCGACCGTTTTGTCTACTCTTCCTCGATTTGCTGGTCGTGCTGGTCTTGCTACTGGATAGTTTGCGCCTCTTGCTGGGCGGCGTGGTATCAGTGCGGACTTGTTTAGCTGGTGTGGTGGAAACCACCACTGTGGGCTTGGTATTGGTTGCTTCGAAAGAAAGTAGTTGCTTCTCGCTGTCAGCTTGGTGTTTTTATCTTATGAGTGGGAGTTCAATTGGGAAATGGGAGGTTGCAACACCTCCACTGGGTCAACGCCCAAGGAGTGCCATGACTGACCCGAGCCGTCTCATTCTCATCACCAGTAGGGTGCTGATCATGGCCTGCCTCCATTGCCTCGAAGAGCTTATCCAGGTCGCCGGAGGAAAGTGGCTGCAGGATGGCGTTCTCATTAATGACTCGGCGAGGCATGGAAGGAGCGCGGGAGCCTTTCAGCAGGTTCACTAGTATCTCCTCGGACTTGTCGACGGGTATGCTGTGGTGCGCTGGTTGCGGCATGGTAAGTTCGGCAATAGAAGACAGAGATAGCTTGTGATTGTGAGGACTCGTCATGTTGATGGGTTGGTGGAAGAGGTTGTTGGTGCAGGCAAGTGGGAAAGAACGGGCAACGTTAAGAGAGAGGCGACGGGTAAGGGTGATGCTTTCTTTCCCTGGAACAATCTGGGGTTGCTCTTAAGAAAATGGAGTTGTTGAGGTCTATGTCTTTCTTCTAGATCGAGATTTTTATGGTCTAGTATGAAGCTGGAGGATACCGTCTTGATTGAAGGCGTTGTGAATGAATCTATGTAAATCATTGCCAGGCACATACACTCACTCCGATTCTATTTTAACCGCAGACTAGAATGGGGTTATTTGAATTGAATACTCAAGGTCGGCTGTTATCTTCAACGATATCAGATCTGATCAGATCTGACCAAAGTCAAGCCTCTTTCTTCTGAGACACTGTCCAGTAGTCAAAGCAAACACAATACACCTCAGCTGTTACTCTAGCTCTTCGTGCTTGGGAAGTACTTGAGAAAGCGTTTCAAGTAGCATATCACTGTACTCTAGCGATTCGAATCCCCGGTGTTTGAGCGATGCCACTTCAAATCCATCTGGATATATCCCAGCGTCACCCCAATCGATCAGCCAGACTTTGCCATCAGGCCCTAGTATCAATTTGCGGAGAGCGATGCCCAAGTGAGTGACCACTAGTTTGTCAAGATGAAATAGTGGAGCAGTCTCAGACGCCTGGTGGAATTTCTGGGAAATATCCAGTCGGCGGTTGAACCATGCTTCACAATCCTCTTTCGAATCAAAGGGACCAGCTCCTATATTGGAAAACCAGCAACCACGGGCTGCACAGTTTTCACAGCCCATGGGGCCTGGTCACTGGTGCTGCTCTTGCGATAGCTGAAAAGACCGTAGAGTGGTGATTATCGAAGCGACTTGAGAAACCACGTCTTTGCGCTGGATTTGACTCAAGTCACCCCAACATTTCTCGAGTGATTTGCCCTCAATAAAATCCATCAGGATCAGGCATGAACAACCAAAAAATCTGGTGTCCGGTTTCGATGTTGAACACTCGGTGAGCCTTGGGCACTGAGATTGCTGTTGATCCCTCTCGCTCCCCCTCGGCGATGAGTTTCAAGATCTTGGCCTCATATGGACGTGTAGTAATCCCACAATTAAGGATTAATGATCGAGGGACATGCACAATGTGAGTTCCTGCATAGGAATGGAGAGTCGGCGCGGTATCAAAGAGAGCAGTGAGAGTTTCATCAGAACTTCGCGATAGGTCACAGCCATCCAGAGGGAAACTGGGTTCGGGTATTTTAGAGTCTTCCATTGTTGTAATTATACAACTGTGCGGTGTGTTGAAGATAGTATCTTCTGCCTGAGAGTGTCAGGAAGTGGCTGCCTGGAGGCCTGAAGATGAAGGAACACAGACTTGGCTCAGCCATCAAGGCATCAACACTTCAATAGTACCAAATTGCCAGCTTATGATGGATTTTTAATTCTACATTTGTGCTCGTATTCATTTCAGAAGAGCCTCCTTTGTTCTCTCATTCTGATTAGTCCAGCTGGCCAAGTGGCTGCATAGCTTCACTTTGGCCCTTTGGCGCAGAGATCAACAGAACCCACACTCCATCGAAGAGCATAGAAGACATGCAAGAGGATTTTGGGCCAAATCCCAACACCCCCCGGTCCCAGCATCGCCAGCACATCCATGCGTGGGCCCGACTGATTGGTTTGTGTACTGCAGCATCGCCTTGAAAAAGGCGTCTCACCCACAGAGCTATTCTGCCGTGACACCCTTTTTCTTTGTCTTTTGTCTTTTGTCTCTTGTCTCTTTTCTTCCTCTTCTACTCTCGCTCTTATTATCATTTTCCTATTTCCCGCCTGTTTCCAGGTCTCTCTCGCTTCAGTCAACCAGCTATCACTCTTCAGCTCATCTCCCCACGCCCCCACTTGTGAAGCTTGGAGCTCCACCATGCCCGATCCTGCCACTCCGGCTGACCCAGCTGACACCAAGCTTGAGATTGATCCATCACCAGAGAATGTCAATGGCACAACCCAGCCCAGTACTTCAGAGGTTCCCGTCAAGGATACTGCGGCCCCAATCGCGGCAACGGAGACAACACCCAAGGTTGCCGTGTGCAAGAAGCATGAAAATATTGCAGACTCTAAGAGAAAGAAAAAAGGCAAGAAGAAGCCCGATGCCACAGACAGCTCCTCTGAGTCGACCTCTTCTTCGGACTCTACAGGCAAACCTGGCTCGGCCACGGCAGACTCAGAGTCAACCGCCAGTGAGTCGGAAACGGACCGGCACAAGCGCAATCGACTACGGGCAAAGGCACGGTCCCGACGCACCTTGAAAGATAAGCAAAAGAGGAAGAAGAAGAAGAAGAAGTTGCGTTCGCGCAAGGCGGCTGAAATCGTCTCTGAGACTGACTCCAGCACTGAATCTGAGTCGGATTTTGATGGCTTAGACGATGAGGGCTCGATGGATGAAAAGGCTCTGCGGAAACTCGTCTTGAAGCTTAAGCTCAAAAAACGCGCCAGAAGGCTGCGCGACCAGGCCTCGGACGAGCTGGGTGGATCTGACCTGCTGGGAGAGACTCGGCGAGAGAAACGATCCAAGAAGAAAAAGCCCGCATCGAAACTGGCATTTAAGCGAGTGGACCAGCGTGAGTACCAATGTGTGTTGTGGCTGGCCTATGCCCATACTAATACCTTCATCGCTAGTGTGGGACAATACAATCCACCAGTACAAAATCACTGAAACCGTCGACGATCCCGACGCAGACGAATGGGACCAGTACATCTTCACGGTGCGGCGCACGTTCAACTGGGAGAACAAATATCTGGATACCGTGGTCGACATCAAGAGCAAGCACCTCCGCGATGCACTGGGCAAAGTCATGGATGGGGTCAAGGGGGTCAGTCTGGTACAAGAGCCCGCAGTGGTCGACCCCAACATGCTGTTCTTATATCTGGAGGAGACGCGCCAGTACATGAAGGAGCTGAAGCGTCAATCGCGCACCGAGAAGAAAAAGAAGCCGCGGAAGAATGCCTCCCTCAAAGTCGCGCATCTCAAGGTCCTCCTCAAGTACCTCGACACCGACTATGCCGACACCAAAAAGACCCTGTATCCCTTGCTGGAGGCCAACACCATCACCTTTGACCTTCTGTGGGCGCTGTTCAAGCCCAACACTATCGCCTACACCCCGACCTACGGCAATGCGGACGAACCACGGGCCTTCAAGATCGAGTATGCCATCAAGGAATCCTCCTTCATGAAGGGTCAGTGGTACAGTGTGGAGGGCCGGTATCTGGAATACGATGGCAAAGATTTTGGTTTTGGCACCATGTCCGCCGAGGTGGAATCGTTCAAGGGAGCCCGCAAAATCACCAGCCTGGCCTGCTACCCCCTGCAGTACCACCGCAATGCCGAGGCGCTGCGAGCACGTCTGATCGAGCGCGGCAAGCGGTTTGTGGCACTGCGCGGCATGAACTACCGCTTCCACAAGGGCATGGCCTTTTACAAGAAGAAGCGGTCGTTCGTGGTCAAGGTCAACATTAACGGTCGAGTGATGATCGATCCGGCCATCCACCGACGCATTAACCCCAACTATCCGATCAGCACGGTCCGTCCCAAAGACCCCGACCTGCTGGAAGCGTCCGAAGCTGGGATGAGCGATGCTGAGGACGAGGGTAGTGATGCGTGCTGCTGCGGGGGGTCGGCGTCAGACTCGGAGCACGGCGGTTCATCTGACACTCCTAAAGTCGTCTACAAGGTCGTCGAGGGGTGCGATGGGACGCCGCGTGTGGTCGAGGTCGAGGTGGATGAACTGGGCAACGAGATCCAGACGGAGAAGATGGACCGTATCGACGGCGACGCGGCTGGCGCCCAGGGGCGCGAATTCAGTGAGGAGGAGCTGCTGGTGGCCAGCCCCGTGGTGCTGGGTTTCGCGTTCAGCGAGAAGCTCTGGCTGGAGTTCACCATCTCGGGAATCAGTGACATCGAGTGGAACGCCGACGCCTTCGACTCGCTGGTGCTGCCGAACAACCAAAAGGCCATTGTCAAGGCATTGGTTGAGTCACACACCTTCCACGCCGCTGAAAACATCGACGATGTGATCCAGGGCAAGGGCAAGGGTCTAGTGGCCGTGCTGCATGGGCCTCCAGGAACAGGCAAGACGCTGACGGCTGAAGGCATTGCCGAGCTCCTTCGCCGGCCCCTGTACATGGTCAGCGCTGGAGAGCTGGGCACGGACTCGCGCACGCTGGAAGCCGAGCTGAACAAGATCCTGGACATTGCCCATGCCTGGGGTGCTGTGCTACTGCTGGACGAGGCCGATATCTTCCTGGAGAAGCGCACCATCCACGACATCCACCGCAATGCCCTGGTCTCGATTTTCTTGAGGCTGCTCGAGTACCACCAGGGGATCCTGTTCCTGACCACTAATCGCGTCGAGACCTTTGATGACGCCTTCCAGTCGCGAATCCACGTCGCTCTGCGCTACGGAGACCTCAACGCCAAGGCGAAGCGTAGCATTTGGAAGATGTTCCTGGAACGCGTGCGCGCCATCGATGGCGTACGCACTGCCGCATTCTCCGAGGAGGATTACGACATGCTCTCGCGACATATTTTGAATGGCCGGCAGGTAAGTTATCCTACGCTGCAATTTCGTGCTTCTTTGTCTCTCTGGTGTCATCTATTTTATACTGCAATGACTAACCCCGCCAGATCAAAAACTCCGTGCGCACTGCCCAGGCACTGGCCGTCAACGAAAAGTCACCTTTGTCAATGAGCCATATCAAACGCGTGCTCGAGGTTGCCGAGACCTTTGACCACGACCTGCGAGGTGGAACGGGGTACTTGGATGCGATGCGGAGCTACACTTAGGGTTTTGATTTAGTTTCGCAGTTGAAAGATTCTGCCATTTCAACAGCATGCAAATTGGTTGATTTTCGGGTATGGATGTTCTTTCCTTGCATCTATCGAGCTCGACAAGCCGAAGATCTGGCGGTGATGGCTATGCCGAGGATCTAGGCATATCTTACATGAGACTACGCTCGTACTACCAACAGAATTGTCCCTAGACAATTTCTGGAGGCCGAACATACTTGGAAAATACTGCTGGTCTCTACTACATGCTCTTACGTTTGTACTACAAAGAAACCAAGTAGACCGATATGAATTGGACATGGATATCGATCGGCACACATGCCACCACGATAAACACGGTGACAGGTACACATAAAATCAACAGTGGTGTTATACAACAGACCCCCATCTAAGGGTTGGCCTTGACGAAGTCAACACCCTTCTGGATGTTCTTCTTCAGGTCGCCGAGGCAGGCCTCGAGGAGCTTCTCCTCATACTCGTTGACCTTGCCGACCTCGTGGATCTTCTCGACACCGTTGGGGCCGAGCTCGACACGCGAGGCGAAGAAGTCGACGCCCTGGTCCTTGTACAGCGGCGAGTCGATGAAGGTGGGCTCAACCACACCCTTCTCGCCCTGGGCGGCGCGCAGCAGCGACTCGGCGAAGCGAGCACCAGCCATGGCCATGGAGAGGGTGGCAGATCCGGCACCGTCCTTGGCCTTGACGACCTCGTCACCACCGAACTGGATGCGGTTGACCAGGGCGTCGCGGGCCTCGCCAGCGATCGAGGGGTGGCCCGATTGCGACAGCAGGGGCACGATGGTCACACCCGAGTGGCCACCCACCACGGGGACGACCTCCTTGGAGGGGTCGGTCTTCTGGGTCTGCGAGATGAAGCGCGAGGCACGAACCACATCCAGGGTGGTCACACCGAACAGGCGCTTGGGGTTGTAGACACCGCGGGCCTTGTAGACCTCCGAGACGATGGGGACGGTGGAGTTGACCTGAGAATTATTAGAATTGATATCCCGAACGAGAGATTATTGATCATGCGGGCGTACCGGGTTGGAGATGACCAGGACGTTGGCCTCGGGCGAAGCCTCGGCGGCAGCCTTGGCGAGGTCCCGGACGATGGAGGCGTTGGTGTTGAAGAGATCGTCACGGGTCATTCCGGGCTTGCGGGGAACACCGGCCGGGATGAGGACAATCTCGGAGCCCTTGAGAGCATCACGCAGACCCTCGGGGGTAGGGTTGTAACCGCTGACGTTGCTGTTGGCGTTGATGTGGCTCAGGTCGGCCGCGACACCTGGAAAACACCCGTCAATGTCTTGAACATCGAGGGACTAATCGACCGAAATCACATACCAGGGCCGCCACGGATGTCGTAGAGCGCGAGCTCCGAAACACGGGGGTTGAGCTTCAGCAGCAGCGACAAGGGCTGGCCAATGCCACCGGCGGCACCGAGGACGGCGACCTTGGAGGCCTGGAGAAAGCTCGGTTAGCGTGATAGGGTAAACCGAATCCACAAGAGTCGTACCTGGCTGGCCGAGGCCGAGAAGGCACGCTTCTGGAAGAGGTTGAAGGTCTGGCGAGCGGCAAACATGACTGCGACAGCAAATGGAAATGGTGTAGGGGAGAAGAAGAGGGAGGGAAGAGGAAGGGGGAAGAGATTGGCCGGGCGGGCTCCACTGCCGTTTCCGAGCTCCCGGTGGTGCGACACCGGGCACTCACACTAGACTTTTCGAATATAATATAGAGAATAACTATAGTAAATATATATTTAGAAAGGGGAATGGAAAAAGGGATTGGAAAAAGCATTGGAAAAAGGAGACGGAAAATAAAGAAAATGAATTAATTTAAGAGAAAAAAATATTAACAAACTAATATTAATAGTAGTAAAATAGCTATCTATATATTTCATAAAGAATAAAACCTCCTAAATAGGATAGAATTCAGTTAATAAGCCTTTTGAATCTAAATTCTATTCTCTACTATATCTTTCAAAGCCGCCTCAGCGAAGCGAAGGTCAGCGGTGTTTTGATAGATAGAGACGATAGTCTCGGTTATATGATAGAGTATACAACTCCGTCACCGATAGAAACTTGCAGCAACTTGGCACTATAGACAGGGAGGATATTCAGAGTATTTGCTACCATCAATACTTGAAGCTGAGGCTCAACAATGCTTACTGTTCCTTTTCCCATACTATGGTGGATTGACACGTGGAAATGAACTATATCCCGAACCCCCAACGCCGGCGCTGATGGAAAACCACCCCCTAAAAAAACATACAAAGTATAGACCACAAGGCAGTTAAAAAAGCAACAAAGAACAAAGATATATGAATCAAACAGCATCACCGCAGAAAGTGCAGCACTGCCCAGCAAAACAAGAAAAACACTACTACCCCAACCCAGAAAATCCACTTGTCCTGGCGAGCGCGCCGCTCGACCATTCGAATTGTATCCCCACTAACTCCCAGTGTATTGGCCACACTATATAGCCGCCGTTGAGTGCCCTTGAGCACTTCACGCTGCTGCCCGAGATCGGAGAGCACGGCGCGCCCCCGGTCGAGGAAGTCATCGAGCTGGTTGTGGGTGCTGGACAAGAAGGACTGCTCGCGCAGGGCATGCGATTCGCGGTTGTAGTCGGCGGGCCCGCCACCAAAGCTCAGGCCCGAGGAGGGCGCAAAGGCCGACGAATTGGGGAGTGCCGACTGGGCGTACGGGTTCTCGGGCGTGACGGCGTGGTGGGGTCGGCGGCCCAGGAGCTCATTGCGGTTGGAGACGGATTGCTAGAACACGATTGTAAGTGGAAGGGCACTCAAACGGGAAATCCATATGCCACGTACTGTTTCCTCTCGCTCTTTGCGCAGCCGATCGAATTGTGCCCGGTAGTCCGTCAGTTCGTTGCGGAAGTTCTTGACTCGGTCAAATGCCTTTTCTTGCTTCTCTTGTATCAGCTCCTTCTTCGACAGGGCTGAGTAGTCGTCGACAGTGCGTGATAATGAAGACAGGGATGCGGCAATCTGGCCTGTGAACTGCGTCAGGAGGGGTGAGAATGGCGGGGCTTGAACCAGGCGCACCTTGCAATGCCGGCGAGGAGGTGCCCGGCGACTGGGCAAAGGTATCCAAGTCCCTTCTGATGGCGGACGATTGCTTCAGGGCGGAGTTGAACAGCGAATTCTAAAGCTGTGAGCCGTCATTCTTGTCGCCTCCCAGCTGAGAACATACCATCTTGTCGGAGTGATCACCACAGGAACCCAGGAAGAGGATGTGGAGAACAGCGTTAGCGGGGAGTGGAATTAATAAGAGATCGAGGGCAAACCCACGGCCAAGGATGCGCAAAGCGGCCCCCGAGGCCACATGTCGCGTTTGGAGCGATTCTGACGCGGCTCACCGCCTGGGAGCTTCTCATGAAGTGCATTGTACAAAATTCGGACTTTACACGGACTCATCTCCGCAGTCTACGAGGCAGCTACTCATGAGAACTAGCACGTCTCCATTCTCGCCGATTAAATACAATGCAAAATATCCGAAGAGCTGGGATGGTATCTGGGAACACAACTCAAGACGCCAACGGCCCACGGGCCTCTATTTCGGGGGGAACTTGTTCTGCAGGAACCACCTAGACTCAACATTAGCAGGATGTTCTCGCGTTGGGTAAACTCCAACCTACTTGCTGACGAAGTAGTCCACCACGCCGAAGGCACCCACCGCACCGGCCGACAACCCGACAAGCTCCCAGGACAGCTTGCCCTGCACATGCTGACGGTAGGCACCAAAGCCTAGGCCGGCACCCACGAGAGTGGCCACCAGGGCATTCCCAATGAACACGGGGTTGTCCGAGTTAGCACACAGGCCGCCCTTGGTCTTGCGGGCCTTGGCCTTCTTATTCTCGCGCGCGTGCTGTTTTTCGGTCTCGGCGGCTTCACGCTCAAGCCGTTGCGCCTGGGTAGTAGTCTTGACTTCTTGGTTGAGGAAGTTGGGGTCCACGGCCGCCACGTGCGGCGAGTCGACGTCGATCAAGGACGCCGTGCTCTCTGATTCATCCTTGTAAACGCCGCCCACATCAGGAGCGCGACTACTGGTTGTGAGCGAGGGGTCATCGAGCTGAAAATCAAGCTCTGGAGTACTTACGCCTGGTGGTATAGGATGATTAGCGATGGAAGTTGGGATAAATGTGGGCTCACTTACTTGCTCGGGCGACTGTTTCGGACCCTTGGCGGCAGCGTCGGCATAAGACATTGTGTATGGAGGGTGATAAAGGGGTTATTATTTCAAGAGGAAAGAAGCAACCAAAAAAAAGTCGGGAATAAAATCAAGGAAAAGTTGACGTTGAACCGAGGGGGAAGCGAAGGTTTTAAAGCGGAAAATCAAGGTTGATCGATGACATCATGAACCGTACCTGACATGCCCACGGGTCGACGGGTGTCTCACGAGAATCTTCGATCTATACGTTAGCTACAGTGGGTATTAATAGGGAGATCTAGTGTATCTATACTATGCAGAGTAGAAATAACCCTATCTAGCCCGAGAAGTAAAGACCTTTAGGCCATCTCAAGTTCGTTCCTTCCTTGCATCACCCTGTGCGCCAGTTTGTTTAGTCTTGGCGCTTTTGCTGTGGGAATGTTGAATATATGCAGAATAACCTACCTCGATAGACTATAGATCCCACTCCTAAAGTTTCAGCCAAATAACCTACGTGGGTGTTTTTAAGACTGCCTTATCGACAAGGCATCATTCACCAGTGCTCTGGTAGTCCAAGAGATCTTTGACAGGTGTAAAATACAAACAATATGCTAATATTCTGGAAGGGGGGTGCTTGCTAATTAATATTCAAGACCTATAGCTTAAAATCCCCACCTTGGAATAACACAAATGGTCTGTCTATGTGCTGGGTGACTAGTGGTATATCTTCCTTTAGACGGAAAGCGTCTATACATAGATTATAATAAACCGACTTTTCGAAAACTATCCTAGAGTATTCAGTTAGTATGATAGGGAAAAGCTGCGCGTGATGCCTTAGTTGTGAGATGCCGCTAATTTCGAGAGTTACTATATACTCCCTTCCTACAGATATCTATGGATTTCAATTAGCACGAACAGGCTACTGGTTAGAAAGTCGATATATAAAGGCTCCAAACTTTTATCGTCATTAGCTGATTCGTTTCCCCAATAACTGTGGGTTAACACAAGTCTAGTATGATCGTGAGAGTCATAACTACAGGTTATAGTTTCATCTAGAAAAATTCGTAGAGGACCTAGACCAGGTTTTCTTCCCTCCTAGCATGCACCTCGCACACCTCTCGAACGACAAGGGCTCGGCTAAGCCTGGATGCAAGTACATGGAGAGTTCAAATCAGTTCCCATGATACATAGTACCGTTTACGGATGCGGCTAAAACACCTAATGGTGGAGGATCGTAGGTTTTTTTAGGTAGAAACGAGTTGGCAAGGGAGAAATATTTATTGATATCGATAGAACCTTTCACGGCTCGGTTCTCATAAATAAATCGATTTCTATCAGGCGCAGAAAAAATGGCGCAGTCAAGCACATAGCCATGGATCTATATTGAATTTCCACGGGTATATACCGATGTAATCACAAAGGAAATGGATTCAAAGCGGCTAAAAACCAAACACAGGACCAATGGTCTAAGATAAAAATGAACAAATGGGAGAAAAGGTTTTAATACAGATTACACAGTACTCTCGATCCCCTCGGCCGGCTCTACAGCAGCAGCTCCAGAGGGTTCTCGACCACCTTCTTCAATTCCTTGATCCATTCGCCACCAACGGCACCGTCCACCACCTTGTGGTCGAAGCTGCCAGTCACGACGATCTGGTCGTCCCACTCGGTCACAGTGCCCTCCTCAGTCTCGACGGGAATGGCTACCTTGCGAGTGGTGCCCACGGCGAGGATGCCGGCCTGCGGCGGGTTGATGACCGCGGTGAACCGCTCGACGGCCGCGTTCATGCCCATGTTGCTGATGGTGAAGGTGCCGCCCTGGTACTCCTCGGGCTTGAGCTTGTTGTCACGCGCACGCTTGCCCAGGTCGCGGACCTGGTTCGAGATGCTCGACAGACCCAGCGCCTGCGCGTTCTTGACCACCGGAGTGATCAGGCCAGCAGGGGTCGCGACCGCAACGCTAATGTCAGCAGTGTTGTGCTGGCGGATCACCGTCTGGCCATTCTCCTCGAGCCAGCTGGAGTTGACCTGGGGCACCTTCAAGAGAGCCGCAGCGCAAGCCTTGATCAGGAAGTCATTCACAGACAGCTTGTACTTGCCCTCAGCCGACGCGTTCAGGGCCTGGCGCAACTTCAGGAGCTTAGTCACCGACAGCGTAGTACACACAAAGTAGTGCGGGTTCTCGTGCATCGACTGCTTGAGACGGTTGGCGATGGTCTTGCGCATCGAGGTCAGGGGGATGTCCTCATAGGTCGGACCGGCCGCCGTGGCGGCGCCGCTGGGCTTGAACTTCTCCACATCCTCCTTAGTGATCTGACCACCGCGGCCAGTTCCCTTCAGAGTCTTGATCGACACACCCTTCTCCAGGGCCAGGGCCTTGGCTGCGGGGCTGATCGAGGGCTCACGGTCCAAACTGGGCTGCAGCTTCTCGCCAGAGGTCTCAGGCTCCTGCGCGACGGGCTCGGGCTCCGCCGGGGCCGACGGCTCGCTCTTAGGCTCCTCCTTCTTCTGCTCGCCAGGGGCAGGCTTGTCGCCACCAGCGTCGGCCAGGGTAAAAGATTCAAACGGCGCCACATCAGCACCCTCCTCAACCAGGACAGCAATGGGCTGCTCCCGTTAGCGCTTGTCGCATATCCGCGGGGAATGTCGGGAGAATTCTTACCGAGCCCACGGGGACGTCCTTCTCACCAGTCTCCTTCAGGACCTTGGCGAGAACACCCTCATCCTGGAATTCGAAATCCATCTGTGCCTTGTCGGTCTCAATTTCCACCAGGACATCACCAGGCTGGAGGCCGTCACCGGCCTTCTTCTGCCACGCGCCAATGTTTCCCGCGGACATCGTCGGCGACAGGGCCGGCATGCTGATAATCGTGTGCGAAGGGAAAGCTGCGAACCCAAGCTGTCAGCATTGACCCACAAGACCGGGTCATTAAGGGTTCATCTCGTACACTTGGAGGCATAGAAGCGGGAGAGAGCGGAGAGGGTGGGCAATTGGGATCTGCGCGTAGCGAAAAAGAATCCATCAGCATCCAATCATAACCACAGTCCATGTCAATGACACCTACTGCATCACCTCCTGGAACTTGTAGGAGACCTGAGGCCGCCGCATAGAGGCGGCGCCTCGGAGCATGGCACTCGGGGTGCGCATCCGGACAGCAGCGGCGACCATGGTGTCAGGAATTGCTGCGATTGGGAATGGAGAATAAGAGGCCCTCGACGTGGAGGTGACAGAAACAAATTAACCCGAGTACGGGGGGTGTGGAAACGTGGAGGGCCAGGGGAGGGTAAGGATGGGGGGGGGTTGGAAGGAAGAGGTGCCTGGGAACTTTTCTGTTGAGCTCCCGATTTCCTACGGCTCCCGGTGAGCGGCCTGTTCCGGGTCATGTGATGCTGACTCAGCGCCTAGTCCCGATCCGGAGAAGACACGCATCCTGCTGTTGCGCAGTAAACAGCTCCCCTTCCCCACGTTCTGTTTGATGTTATTGTGAGATCGTTCCGCCGGAGATGGCGGACGTCGACCCGGGCTCCGAGCCGAAGCACATGTCGGGGGTGCCCGACACCCCCGGAGATGCCCCCAATGCATCACCCCCGACCTTGACAGCGGACAAGCCGACGTTGCCCGAGAAAACGCAATGGCAAGAAATCAATGAGGAAGAGCGCTCAGGAGATCAGGAGGGTCAAAAGGACCAGGATGATCAAAAAGGCCAGGAAGAGCCAGAGCTTTCGTCTGATGTAGCTCCAGAGGTCCCCCCCAAGGACACCGAGCGCAGCCCCGAAACCGAATCACCGGCCAAAACAGATGCGCCCCCCGAGATCCAGGAACCCGTACCGGAGGAGGACAATGCTCCCGAGACCAGGATGCGATCAGACTCGCGGTCTACGACGGCCACGGTAACCACGCAGCGATCAGGCGCAGTTAGCTCCACGGTCTTTATCGTGACCGCCCTCGACTCGATCGGTGCCTCGCGGGAAGCACGGAGGAGCAAAGAGCTCGATGATGCAGTACAAGTGGCCCTGACCAACGTCAAGCAGTCGGATCGGCAGCCAATCGACCCCGAGCTCATCTTTCGTCCCTTGCACCTGGCGAGCAAGTCCTTTAGCATTCCGCTGCAGGTGACCGCGCTGGACTGCATCGGCAAGCTTATCACATACTCCTATTTCGCTTTTCCCTCTGCCGAGACCGAGAACGAAGCCAGCCCAGAACAGCCGCCCTTAATCGAGCGCGCCATTGATGCCATCTGCGACTGCTTTGAGAACGAAGCCACTTCCAATGAAATCCAGCAGCAGATCATCAAGTCCTTGCTGGCGGCAGTCCTGAACGACAAGATCGTGGTACATGGAGCGGGTCTCCTGAAAGCCGTTCGTCAGATCTACAACATTTTCATCTACTCCAAATCCAGCCAGAACCAACAAATTGCTCAAGGGTCACTCACTCAGATGGTCAGCACAGTGTTTGATCGTGTGCGTGTGCGGCTGGATCTTAAGGAACTGCGGGCTCGAGAGGTTGAGAAACTCTCAACAAACTTGGATGCCTCAACGAGTGACCAAGGTCAAATATCCGAAGCTGCATCGGTGTCCGTGGCGGACCAGCCAGTCACCAAAGAGCCCACAGAGAAACTCACTCTGCAGAGTTTCGAATCACCCAAGGAAGTGACCAGTGTCAATGACAATGCGCCCACTATGGTTACTCGCGCGAAGATCTCCCGGTCGACGACTCGGTCTTTGTCAGGCATTCCCGAAGATAAAGAAGAAGATGGCTCTGCCGAGGATGAAGTGGATGAAATTTATGTCAAGGATGCCTTTTTGGTGTTCCGGGCTCTCTGCAAGCTAAGCCATAAGGTTCTTGGCCACGAACAACAGCAAGACCTCAAATCCCAGAACATGAGGTCGAAGCTACTCTCACTGCATCTGGTCCATTATCTTATCAACAACCACACTGCAACCTTCACCTCTCCCCTGGCAGCGATCAAGAATAGCTCGAGCAGCACGGATGCCATGACCTTCCTCCAGGCTGTGCGACCACACCTCTGTCTAAGCCTGAGTCGAAACGGCTCCAGCGCCGTGCCCCATGTCTTCAAGGTGTGCTGTGAGATTTTCTGGCTGATGCTCAAGTATATGCGAGTCATGATGAAAAAAGAGTTGGAAGTGTTTTTGAAGGAGATCTATCTGGCCATCCTGGAAAAGCGGGCTGCTCCCTCGTTCCAAAAGCAGTATTTTATGGAAGTCCTGGAGCGCCTGGGTGGTGATCCGCGTGCGTTGGTGGAAATTTATCTCAACTATGACTGTGATCGGACGGCACTCGAGAATATCTTCCAAAAGTATGTTGAAACTGGTCGCTAGATCATCGCCGAAACACTACTAACCAACCATCGCAGTGTGATCGAACAACTTTCACGATACGCAAGTGTGCCAGTTGTCACAAGCTCCAGCCAGCAGCAGCAATTCCAGGAACATCACATCAAAATGTCGAGTGTTGGGTCGGATTGGCACCACCGCGGGACTCTGCCTCCTTCGCTCACATCTGCCAACATAATGACCCCTTCACAGCCTACCATCCCCAGCCTCCCACCGGAATACACCCTGAAGTATCAGGCTCTAGAATGCCTCGTGGAGATGCTCCGGTCCTTGGACAACTGGGCTTCGCAGCGCCCCGAAGACCAGCCCGCTCAGCCCGCTCCTCCATCTAAATCCATGGACAATTCCCGAGAATCTATGGACACCAATGTGTTAATATCCCCGCGTCCGGAAGCTGTCGAGGGCGGTACGGGTCGGTCCACGCCCTTGCCCGAGGACGACCCGAACCAAATTGAAAGGGTCAAGCAACGCAAAATTGCCCTCACCAATGCTATCCAGCAATTTAACTTCAAGCCTAAACGTGGCATCAAGCTCTTCCTTTCAGAAGGCTTCATTCGCTCAGATACACCGGAAGACATTGCCACGTTCCTGTTGCATCACGACCGCCTGGATAAGGCCATGCTGGGCGAATACCTGGGCGAGGGAGAGCCGGAGAACATTGCTATCATGCATGCGTTTGTTGACAAGATGGAGTTTTCCAAGCGGCGCTTCGTGGATGCTTTGCGCGGATTCCTACAGCACTTCCGACTGCCTGGGGAAGCCCAAAAGATCGATCGATTCATGCTCAAGTTCGCCGAGCGCTACACAACCCAGAATCCCAATGCATTTGCCAATGCCGACACCGCTTATGTGCTTTCCTACTCGGTGATTTTGCTCAACACCGACCAACACAGTGCCAAAATGAAAGGGCCTCGGATGACCAAGGAAGATTTCATCAAGAACAACCGTGGCATCAACGACAATCAAGACTTGCCTTCCGAGTATCTTGTGTCAATCTACGAGGAGATCGCTAGCAACGAGATTGTTCTCGATACCGAGCGAGAGCACGCGGCGAATCTCGGCCTCCAGACCTCCACCCCGACTGGGTTGGCGACCCGCGCGGGACAGGTGTTTGCGACCGTTGGGCGTGACATTCAGGGCGAGAAATACGCGCAGGCCTCCGAGGAAATGGCAAACAAGACCGAACAACTGTACCGCTCCCTGATCCGGGCACAACGGAAGACAGCGGTTAAGGATGCGCTCTCGCGGTTTATCCCCGCGACCTCGGACCGACATGTCGGGTCGATGTTCAATGTGACCTGGATGTCTTTCTTGTCCGGGCTGTCTGCGCCGATGCAAGATACTCAAAACCTCGAAACAATCCGGCTTTGCATGGAAGGTCTCAAGGTGGCGATCCGGATTAGTTGCGCGTTCGATCTAGAGACTCCTCGAGTCGCATTTGTCACTGCACTAGCGAAATTCACCAATTTGGGTAACGTGCGAGAAATGATGGCGAAGAACTTCGAGGCCCTCAAAGCATTACTTGACGTTGCGCTCACCGCGGGTAACCACCTCCGGGGTTCGTGGCGGGAAATTCTGACCTGTGTCAGCCAGCTGGATCGGCTACAATTGTTAAGCAATGGTGTGGACGAGGGTTCTTTACCAGATGTCTCCCGAGCTCCTAGCACGATGGAGAATTCCCGTAGGTCCATACAGGGCTCGCGGCGACCTCGTCCACGCTCGGTCAACGGACCTACAGCTTTCCGTGCGGAGGTCGCCATGGAGAGCCGATCTGCAGACATGATCCGTGGCGTGGACCGCATTTTCACTAACACTGCCAATCTATCGCATGAAGCCATCATCGACTTTGTGCGGGCACTCAGCGAAGTCAGCTGGCAGGAAATTCAGTCCTCTGGACACAGTGATTCGCCGCGAACATACAGCCTGCAAAAGCTGGTCGAGATCAGTTACTACAACATGACTCGAGTTCGCATCGAGTGGTCCAAGATTTGGGAGGTTCTGGGTCAGCATTTCAACCAAGTTGGCTGCCACTCCAACACCACTGTAGTGTTCTTTGCGCTGGACTCGCTCCGTCAACTTTCAATGAGGTTTATGGAGATTGAGGAGTTGCCTGGCTTCAAGTTCCAAAAGGATTTCTTGAAGCCCTTCGAGCATGTCATGGCGAATAGCACCACTGCTGCCGTCAAGGATATGATCCTCCGATGTCTGATTCAGATGATCCAGGCCCGTGGCGACAACATTCGATCGGGCTGGAAGACCATGTTTGGCGTCTTCACGGTTGCAGCGCGCGAGCCTTATGAGGGAATTGTGAACATGGCCTTTGACCATGTCACCCAGATTTATAACACCCGATTCGGAGTAGTGATCACTCAGGGTGCATTTGCGGATCTGATTGTTTGCCTGACTGAGTTCTCGAAGAATTCGAAATTCCAAAAGAAGTCCCTGCAGGCCATCGAAACGCTCAAGTCCACAGTTACTAAAATGCTGCGGACTCCGGAATGTCCCCTGTCCCATCGTGGCGCCGCAGCAGCGAACTTCCAGGATGAAGGGACTAATCTCGCCAAACAGCTTACTCGCCAGTCACAGGAAGAACAATTTTGGTATCCAATTCTCATTGCATTCCAGGACGTCCTCATGACTGGCGATGACCTCGAGGTTCGATCACGGGCCCTCACGTACCTCTTCGACACTTTGATCCGCCATGGTGGCGAATTTCCTCGGGAGTTCTGGGATGTTCTCTGGCGGCAGCTGCTCTGTCCGATCTTTGTGGTTCTACAGTCCAAATCAGAAATGTCCAAAGTACCTAATCACGAGGATCTTTCGGTCTGGCTGTCTACCACAATGATCCAAGCGCTGCGGAACATGATCACACTTTTCACACACTATTTCGATTCGTTGGAATACATGCTGGGCCGGTTCCTGGAGCTTCTCACTTTGTGCATCTGTCAAGAAAACGACACAATTGCCCGGATCGGCAGCAACTGTCTGCAACAGTTGATCCTGCAAAATGTCACAAAATTTCAACAAGAGCATTGGACCAAGATCGTTGGGGCCTTTGTTGAGCTCTTCAGCAAGACCACGGCGTACGAACTGTTTACGGCTGCGGCGTCGATGTCGAAACCGACAGAACCTACCAATGGGGATGTTCCCCCGGCCCCAGAATTTGTCCCTGCCGCAGAAGTGCCGGAGTCACTGGACACAAATGGATCCCAAAGTACGACATCTCTCCAGGAGGATGGAGTTCCCCCTGCGCAGAGCGAGGCGCGCGCCGAACTGGAAGACTACCGGCCGCAAGCAGACCAACAACCACAGCCCGCGGCCGTCACCGTGACGCGGCGTCGCTTCTTCAACCGCATCATCACCAACTGCGTCCTGCAGCTGCTTATGATTGAAACGGTCCATGAACTTTTTTCGAATGATAATGTCTACGCGCAAATCCCGAGTCATGAGCTCCTACGGCTGATGGGGCTGCTCAAGAAGAGCTATCAATTTGCCAAAAAGTTCAACGAAGACAAGGAACTACGCATGCAGCTCTGGCGCCAGGGATTTATGAAGCAGCCCCCAACCTGCTGAAGCAGGAGAGCGGTAGTGCTGCTACTTATGTGCATATTCTCTTCCGGATGTACCATGATGAGCGAGAGGAACGGCAAAGCAGTCGCGCTGAGACCGAGGCTGCGCTCATTCCGTATGTTTCTTGATGCTACTCCCCCCCCTGCTGATCATTGATGTTAATACTGACTCGGGTTTAGACTCTGCGCGGATATCATCCGCAGTTTCGTCCGTCTCGACGAAGAGACACAGCATCGCAACATAGTGGCCTGGCGTCCAGTGGTGGTGGACGTCATTGACGGATACACCAATTTCCCACAAGAGGGCTTTGATAAACACATTAACACCTTCTATCCGCTTGGTGTCGAACTGCTCGGCCGCGATCTCAACCCGGAGATCCGCGTTGCTCTACAGTCCCTCCTGCGACGGATCGGCGAGATTCGTCTGGGTGTTGCTCCGCCTAACCCCCTGGACGCCCCGATCAGCCCGCGCAGCTCTATTTCCCAGAAGGGACCACGCCGCGATAGCCACTGATTTGGTCTCTTTTGGATATCCGGTCTTTGAGTGTATTTCCAGGCGTTTGTATTGTGCTTTGTTTCTCGCCGTCAAGGTTTCCCCGTTTGACCGGGGCATTTTTCATTTCTAGAAGCATAGGTGCTGTATTGATAAGACAAAATTTCGTTTCTTGTTTCCTTTTAATTTTCATCTGCGATTATTTCCTTTATGCCCGGACTTGCTGCAACGGAGGAATCTGGCCGGACTCGTAGTGGGCCAGCAACCTATCCATGTCTTGCTCCGTCATCTGTACGAGGTCTTCTAAACTCCATGATTCGCACACGCCAGACATCCTAGAGGGTAAAACATCATTAGTTTTATAGCAGATACGGGGACATGCAAATCGGACACTCACCATTTCATGCGCTTGGGGCCTTCGTCCGGATGGGGGACCACCTCACGCAGTTTCTTCCGCAGCTTGCCCACGTTCTCGATCGCCGCTCCCATATTTCCAGGGAGAGTCTCGGCGATCTTCTTTCGAACGAGGCTGGCCAACTTCGGGCCGTTCCCGTTGGTGCTGACCATCACCTGTAACGGCCCATCGCGGTGGACACTCCCAAAGTAAAAGTCGCACTCGGGTGGGACATCGGCAATGTTGGCTGGGATGCGCCGCTCCTTGCAGAGTTTCCACACCTGAGTCGAGGCGTCGGGATCATCAATGGCACACAGCACCATGTCCGCATGGTCCAGATCGCGGGGCTCGAAGTGGCGATCGACGTGGGTGACCTGCTTCTCAGCTACCCGGAATGCCACCTCGTCATTCAGTCCACCTGCTGGGCAGACCACTGTCACTTGAGCGTCGGCATTGAGGGCATGCAGGATTCGCCCAGCCGCCACCTAGAAATGTATCCGGTCAGATCTACTACCAGGTCGTAGATCGTAAGAACATACCTCACCACCCCCGACCACCAACACCTGCTTGTTTTTGGCCTGCCAGGCCACTATCAGCGAACCTCCCCCCTGAACCTCGGGGAATTTGGCCATGTTTCGCAAGGGGAGAGGGGATTGTGATCGGCCAAGCGTAGATAATGAGATATGACAGGGCCCTACGGCGGGGGACACCACCCTCGGCCGCACTTCCGTTCCCGACCTTTTTTCTTCTTTTTTGGCTCCACACTTTTTTTCGTTCCTTTTTTCCTCCAGTTCTTCCACGTCTCCCCTTCATGTCTTCCAGCAATGCGGGGTGTCCAGATCTTCTCCGGGACTTCCCATCCCGGTCTCGCAGAGACTATCTGTGAACGGTTGGGCACTGTGCCCGCTAAAGCTGATTTGGGGAAATTCGCCAACGGCGAGACTAGCGTCAACATTGGCGTCTCGGTGCGCAACCAGGATGTCTACATCGTTCAGAGTGGCAGTGAGAAGATCAATGACAGTGTGATGGAGCTTCTGATTATGATTTCGGCATGCAAAGGTGGCTCGGCCAAGTCGATCACTGGTAGGTCTCTCAGCTTTTGCTTGAACCATGAAATCAAGGCTAACTATTCCTTCCAGCGGTCATGCCGTATGCTGCCCGTCTTGTTTGAATTTCAATCAACGATGAATGCTGACCCACACGAGATACTTTCCATATTCGCGCCAGTCTAAGAAGAAGAGCCACCGCGGAGCGATCACGGCGCGCATGCTGGCCAATCTCCTCTCGATTGCCGGTGTGGACCATGTCATTACCATGGATTTGCACGTATGCTCCCTATATGTGGATATATATAGATGCACATATCTGATTTCCATATGTCACAGGCCTCCCAGATGCAAGGCTTCTTTGGTAAGCCGGTGGACAACCTCTTCGCCGAGCCGTTCATTGCACGGTGGATCATGATGAACGTGTCCAGCTGGAAAGATGCTGTGGTGGTGAGCAAGAATGCCGGCGGTACCAAGCGAGTCACATCGCTCGCCGATACCCTGAAACTCAACTTTGGCATTGTCACTACCGATCGGCGTCGCCGCAAGATTCCGGTCACCATGTCCGATAGTACAGTGTTCTTTGATGCCGTCGAAGACGACACGCGCGTGCCCAAGGACCAGCAGCTCTTCGAGCTTCACCTGCACAGTGCCGAAGCGACACCTCCGATCCCAGAGGAGCCTGAACCAGACACCGCACCGGCTCTCCTGCGTCCGGAGACTCCTCCCGCTGCCCGTCGTCCGTCAGAGCTGGAGGCTGCTCGCGAGTATACGGACGTGCGAGTGCAGGATGTGGTGACGGGGCGTCTAGTGCAAGGCCAGCTGGTCGATGATGACTATGCCGAAGCGGCCGAATCCCAGTCCGGTGGGACGACCCCGGAGGCAGGCCCGATCACGGAAAACACCGAAGTGGTCCCGGACGCCATGTTAAACTCTATGATTTCCAACTCCTCTTCATTGCCGCCGGACCACGCATTGGGTGGCTCTTTTGACGCAGTCGAGTCTGATGACGAGGCCAGTGTAGTGGGGCCCGACCACGAGAAGACGATCACGCTGGTGGGCGAGGTCCGCGGCCGCTCTGTATTCATCGTGGACGACATGATTGACAAGAGCGGATCATGGATTGCGGCAGCCGAGACGGTGGTCAAGCGCGGCGGGGCTCGCAAGGTCTACTGTATTGCTACTCACGGGCTTTTCAGTGAGGACTCGCTGGACCAGATGGAAGCATGTCCGTCGATCGACCATATCGTTGTGACCAACACATTCCCGATCTCGCCGTCGATGCTCCGACGGTCGAAGAAATTGATCGTCATCGACGTCTCAACTCTACTGGCCGAGAGCATCCGGCGGCATCACTATGGCGAAAGGTTTGTTTTCAGTCTGGACTTGTTTGCTACGGGAAAACCGTCACACTAACGGCGAGCAGCGTCTCCGCCCTCTTCCACCTTAACGATTGATGATATTCGGGCAGATAGCCGTTCCGACGCAGCCTTTTTATGCTGACGGCCTTGTGCATACTGATTTGCAGGTTTCCCCATCTTTGCATGCCTCAAGTTCATGACATGATACCTCTTTCCTATCCAATGAATGGCTTCTTCTGATCCTGTAGTTGCACTTTCATGATATCCCACGATTTTTTTTTTCTTTCTTCTTTTTCCCCCAGCGATGCAGTCCACTCTGGGTACTGCAGGAGCATCTCGTTTCCCACGAGGTGTTCTTAACGGAGCGTTGGCAGAGCAAATATCGAGTCCGGTCTTGTTCGAGGGAGTACTTCGGTGCACCCTTTGACGAGACCCGACTCGACGAGGAATGAAGGCACCGGTTTCTGAATCCCTTGGGATTTGGCCCGAAGGGCCGTGGAAGTGGTGCAAGAGAACATCTCGAACATACTGTACCTGTAAACACAATACATGGTTTCACTTTTTTTTTTTTTATTCTTGTTATTTCTTCATTTTCGGTGTCTGCGGCTGGCCGATCTCCCAACAGTCGGGTTTGCTTCTGGAAGCCGGTTTGCACATTCGGGCGTGGTCTAGTCAGCCATCCACACGATAGGCGAGTTGCTCTCGAAATGAGAGTGTCGGTGTGCATCCTCCCATGGATCGTCATCTCCAACTCTTCAGTCTCGTCTGCTTCTCTTTCTCAACATTCTCTCGTCTCGATGAATGTGAGCACAAGACTGGCCCCAATGCCAATGCTCGGGTGGAACCACCACGGAACGAGTCAGCGTCTATTGACGCTGGATCCGTTCGGAGAGCACTCGGGGAAGTCTTGTGTCCCCCCGTCGGCCACAGCAACAGCCCCATCCAGCATCTACCGGCTTGGCGATGTGACCGAGGAGACAGAGTGATCAGCGGACAATTCCTTTTTTTTTCATTTTTATCTTCTCGGATTTCTATTCTTTTAACCTTGCGGCTGTTCAATAAGCAACTGGACCAGCAGACCGCGCTACTGCCGGGGCTGCAGCTCCGGTCGATCCTCATAATCGACTCGTCACCGCCGATCACGAATTGCGAGTGTCGATTTGGTGTCTCTTGAGGGTGCCATGTGGAGATGAGCTCTGGTCCAAGCGTCTGGGTCCTGGTCAAGATGATCTATCCATCTCACTATCGAGACTCGTCAGGGGAAAAGCTTCCAGTGGAGAATGGGAGCTCAGAGAGAGAAGTCCACGATCTGCGAGGAGTGTCCCTTTTTCTTTTTTGTTATTTTGTGGATTCTGGTTCCTGCCGAACAGGGTTGTTTCATAGACGATCTCTTTCCGTTCTAAGTCCACCCAGTCGGGTTCGCGTCTTCGCGGGACGGCACTTTTTTCTTTTTCTTTCTTTCTGGTGTATTTTATTTTCCTTTTATTATTCTGTTAATTCCATTATTGCAAATATTCAAATATTCAACCGTGAAGATCAGAGAGGAAAAAGGTGCGCGATCGCCCCCTTCCAATGGGAACCCCACGATGCCCTACGATCGATGTTGATCTGACATTGCAGACCCGGGATGTGTCTTCTATTTTTTCCATGCATCGGTAATTGAGTAGATCATAGACCTTTCCTCCCCGGTGAAGTCTTTCTCTTCTTCGTCATTCCAGCTACCTGCGTCCGGTATCGTGCAGCCTCTTCTCGCGTTCTTTGGATGGAGACTGGGGGAGGGTCCAGGATCCTCACCGAGTTGATACAGAGAAAAAAAATTATATAAATATATCTTCGACCTGGCCAGTATATAATGGCGTCGTCATCCTGAATCTGTCCAAGGTTGTGTTCCTTGATTTATCTCGCTCCTTCCCTTGCCATTGACTCTCCCTGTCTTGTCCGTTGGCAAGAATCTCTCTGTTCGACTCTTCAAACTGCCCTCCAAACAACCAAGAAAGACAAAGGAAAAGAAAACAAGGAAACAAGAAAAGGTACGTTCCAGTCCCATGGAACCCGATGGTGATCGACGCCAGCTTCCATCCCCTCGGGTCATGGTTCAATACTGGCGACGGTGTCGCGGGTTCCCAGGCCCAGGGTTTGGCTAAGAGAACCAAAAAAAAAAGAAACAGGAACAGGAACGAAACCCCAGATATCATGGCCAACCAGTGTTCCGGGCATGTCTTTGCTATTGTCCAGGCTACCAACGGCAATATCCTAACATGGCGCTGTTCCGACTGCAACTCAGGTCCCTTTGTGGCCATCTGGCGCTGCAAGATCTGTGGACATTGCCGGTGTAATGCCTGCCACAATGCCAAGGCATAGCCAGTGCGGACAAGAGAGAGGAAAAAAAGTATAGTGTAAGTATCTTGTCCCGATGGAATGTGATTTGCCCTAACTCCGATGCAGGTGTACGAAAGACTGAGATCCAGGGGAAATCCCTGGCGTGGAAATGCATTTGATCGATTCCAAAAAAAAAAAAAAAGTTTGCAAGTCGTTGATGCATTGCATCTTGCATCTGAATGGCGTTTTGACCTTGGAAAGACCTGGTGTTCGACCTTGTATTCTAGAGAATTTGATATGGAATCATTCTATACTTCTCGAGCTCCCTACAACTTAAGAACTTAAAAAACCCGAGGCGATCTGGGATCTACATGCATTCGACTACAGGGTCCTTCTAATACCCTTGGACGGCATTCTTCCCTGTCAAATGCCAGGTTTACATTCTCCCCTCAAAATAGAAACCCCCCCTACAGATCCGAGAGGGTCGGGCTCGTCCCATTTGTCACGGCAAAGCAAAATACAATTATCCTCTCTACAAGGTCTTTTAATCCCTACGAGGGAGCTTTGGAAACCATTTTCGGTGCGTCAAGCCCTGGTAGTGGCTGCAGCGTCTAGAAAACAAAAAAGAAAAAGAAGAATGGGATGTGTCGACTGGTCATTGCGCTCACAAGGGATTTCCAGGGGTTTGGACCCGCCAACTCTATTGTTCCAACAAAAGTACAGTGAAACAAACGTACCAAATCCTTTGTAGTCATGTCCTATATCCTGAAAGGCTCCAAATTTACCTCATTATGCACGTTTCAGCGTCCGCCAAGATCTCTAGGTGTAGATACTCTGGAAAGTCAGTCAGTAAAGGCTCGAGAGGGTTTTCTATGTAAAAAGCAAAAAGGAATGAAAAAAGAATACTCACCTCGGTAATCTGATTCACTGCCAACCCTGGCTCCGCCATCTCAGCGTCGCACAAGAAATCCAGTGGCAGCCACACCAGATGCCCCTTGATACTATCCAGTCTGCGGCGCACCTCAGCCGCTGGCTGGTACGGATCGAACAGGTGACCCTCCTTATGTGCCCCACGCGGCCGGAAGCGATCGTAATCCTCAAAGGTCTTGATATTGTCGTCGGGGTCCGCCCGGAACAACATCCGATACGTCTCGGTATTGACGCTAGCCTGCCCTGTCCAGGTATTCCACACCGCATCACTCAGGGGGTCGGTGACAAAGTCATTCTCGGGGCCTTCAAGGATCGTGTTCAAACACACACTGGGATCCCGCGCATTGGGATGTCCCGTAGCATCGTAGTTCTGCGACGGGAGAAGCCCCAAGTGCTCACGCCACAGCTGCCGGCGCAGCGTTGCTGCCAATCGGGCTGCGCGGTAAGGTTTCCCATCCATCTGGCTCTCGATGAAGTCTTGGTCTTCCATGACGATGGCAAGCTCACTGTCGTGAGACCCGAGTTGGGACTGGGTGCGTGTGAGCAATCATACGTACTGCAAAAGAAGGGAAAGGGGGAGGGTGGGGACAAGCTAACTCGGTCATTGATGTTTGCACTGCCGCAGATGGCAATGCGGTCATCGACAATGCACACCTTGCCGTGCACATACAGTTCCTCCTGCACGATATTGCCCTTCTCAGCCTCCAGGTCACCCTCCCAGGGCTGCTCGGACATATTGCCACCATCCAGCATTGTTGTGTGTGCAACCGAGTCCCTGCTACCATTGCCCTCTTCGACCTTGATCTGCTCGACCTGTTCCTCGAATTTCTCAAGCTTTTGTACCTTTTCTTCTTTCAGGCTCGAGTCGGCTTCGTAGCTTTTCTCGTGTCGGTCACCATCCTTGCCAATCGACGGATGGACACTCTCGCTCATAATGGACTCGGCAATTCCACGCTGAATGTCCTGGTACGTCACCCCGGCTTTTTTCTCCAGGTCTTGGAGTGCAGGGGTTTTGTTAATGCGGTCATAAGCACGCAAGGCAAACACAAAAATATGTTCTAACCACTCGTTAGCAAAAGATTGAAGATACCAAGGGAGAATCAACTCATACGCTTGGGGTCAATCCCTTCCTTCTCGATCTGGCCCATGATCGAATGCTCGCCGCGGCAGATCGACTTGTACTGGTAGTCCATGATGGCCCGGGTGCCAGTCGCAGCAGAATCACGCAGATCACCAGCAAAGCCTGGGATGGCAGGGATGACGATAACAACGCGGAACTTGCGTCCTTCCTTGCCTGCGCGGACACAGGCATCGACAATGGAACGGCCGATGGTGTTGAAGATGGGACGCTGCTGATCGCCCGTGGCGGTGACTGCAAAGTATTGGTGAGATAAACCATCCACAGCGTACAAGACAAGAGTGAGCATACTGAAAAACTGGTTCTCTATGTAGACCAAGTGCTGCGCGTTGCGAATGATCTCGCAATACGCATTCTGGATGCTGTGCTCGTTGAGAATCCCGCTGCTCCAATCATCACTGCTCCGCACGATCTGGGTCCGAACGGAACCCTGCTGGCCTCGCTTCTTGGTGGACAGAGGGGTCAGGGGGTGTTGGATATAGTCACCACATGGATACTTGGGCCGTTGCACGGAAATCAGGTCCTCGTCTTCGCCAGTACGGCCCTCCATCAACAGCCAGTCGACGGTGTCCTTGCGTTTGTACTTATCTCGCTTGACGCAGTTCCAGCGCAGCACAAAGTGCTCGGCGATGTCGTAGACACTGTCCCCGATCAGGCCCATCGCCACATCATGCCACGGCATGCGCCCGTAGTCGGCCTTGCTCAGCTCATTGCTCTGCCAGTCTTCCACACTTTGGAAGTCCATGATGCGGTTGTTGTTGAAGTCCTGTCCCGGAAAGATGTCATCTCGCAGACCGGCCGGGTGCACGTCTGCCAGGGGGTGCTGGTTCGCATCCCATCGTCCGAAACAAAGGTCAATGCCTCCGATAAATGCTAAATTGTAGTCAATGACCAGGAATTTTTCATGGTGTGCCTATCTTTCGGTCAGTACGGATATTTGCGGGGGTCCAATGTCCAACTCACCCAGTACAGAGTCATGTCGGCCGCATTTTCAAAGACATTGTGGTCTGGATGGCGCATCACCCGAATATTTCCATGGCCGGGAGTGCCTTCGGGACAGAGACTCCGTAGGGCATGTTTTGTGTGCGCCGAATTGCACGTCAGGGCTTGGTTGACCTGGAGGTGGGATGTTAGCGTCGGGGCAATATCAAGATAAATCAAGGAAAATACTCACCTCCTTGTACACAATTACATAAATCTTGACACCGGCCTCGGCCCGACGCTTCAGGACCTGATCGAGTCGCCATTCCTGATACTTGACCGGCGGGCGGCGCAGGAACAATTCCGGGGACAGCCACCAATCGGCGATATAGATGGTCTCGGTGGCCTTCTCGAGGGCCTCGGAGACGGCCCAGAGGTAGTCCAGGGCGTCGACATACCATTTGACGCGATTGCCCTCGTGAATAGGTGCGAACGACTGGAAGCGGTGCGATTCGGCCACAGCCGAGCGTTTTCGGTCTGTGGCCTGCTCGTGCTCCTCATCGTGTCGATGGTTGGGGTTGATCACGTTGAAGAACTTGCCGACCTTGTGCTTGAAATGCACGGCCTGGGCTTTGGCGTCATGCACATGCGTCCCTGCGATGTGTCAGTGTCGATGGTGGGGGGGGAGATGGTGGGGGGTGTCCGACCTCGGAGGGACTCTTCCAGGTGGTCGATTTCGTGCTCGAACTTGTCCTTGAATTTGTGCATGATGAGCCGGGGTAATAGAGGAGAAGAAATAAAAGGGGGGCAAAAGGAGTAAACAAAAATAAAACCAAAAGGGAAAACAAGAGTCCCTCGGGGGGGGAAATAATGGGGATCATGGAGAACCAATCTAAGTGATGTCACTGCAGCCCTACTGGCCTTACGGATCTTGCGGCGTACACCGTGTATTCCATATAATTCCACAGAGAAATATAAAATACTTGCCGATCTTAGCATCTCACTGTTTTTGTTTCAGGATGCCGCGTGGACAGCGCTGGGTCCCCCACCACACAATCCGTGGTTATCCGGCGACAATATCGGGGCGACCCAGCAATTAGTTTCTTGGCATTCACTTCTGAGCAAGGGTGTGTCGAGAGAAATCTTTCTTTTTCTCTAGATATCAAAATATTTCTGGGGGGTATAGAGATAGTGGATCGGCATAGTAATGTGGAGAGTAGAAAGCGAAGAGATATATATCATGTACTGGTCAATTAAGATGTTGGAATATGGATTATATCTCCACCAGAAATCCTTGAAGAGACGCAGAAAAAGAAGTAAGTAATAAATGCCCACACCCTGAGATATCCTAACATTTATTCTGGTTCAATTGTTCTAAGCGGGACAACTCAGGCCAGGCCATTTGATTGAGGAACAACGTGTTTTGGTTGATATAACCAAAGGGAGAGCAGCTGTTCTATGCACAGGCAAGATGGCCGAGTTGGTCCAAGGCGTCAGGTTAAGGTCTACCTTAATACCAAATCTTCTAGATTTCCTGATCTCCGCAAGGGGACCTGGGTTCGAATCCCAGTCTTGTCAATGTTCAGTAGATGAGATTTTTCATCTCTTTCTTTTTTTGTGAAAAAAAAAAGAAATAATCACTTATTCTTTTTAGACCCTGGTCGATTTTCCCCTTGGATTTAGATATTATACCATGACTGTCCTGAACATTGTCACAAAAGGGCAACGACCACGTGACACAAAACAATACAGCATCACCAGCTATTACATCTATATATACTGCTGCGGGGTCAGTATATCGGGCTTTAATGATTTATATGCCAGTAAACATGATCTGCATGTACAAATAGGACTAAATTCAAGCACCTTTTATCTCCATATCCTCACCCTTTTCAATTCCGCCGAATGGTTTGTTTTGGTCTAGGGAATGCTGACCTCACCATGCACGTGATCCCTACCTCCCCGAGCAAAACAATCCTCGTTGTCTGAGGAACGGAGCCTCTCTGTTTATTCTCCTCGACCGACTTCAACACAACGCGGTGGCCAGCCTTCACGAGCCTAGCTGGCTCGATACGACTTCCCTTGGGGGTTTGATTGTTTTATTTAATTGGGTTTGTCCCTCATTCCCTTCTGGAATTACCTTTTGAACGTAAATGGTCATCGACGCCGTGCAAAACACGACCGTGCAGGATAGGCCATCTCCCTGGTGACGGGCTCCTCCACTTCGACCCTAACCTCCAACCACTCCCAGAATGGCCCCAGAACTTGGTAAGGATTGCCACCCGATACGTCGCTCGTGCCATCAATTTTTCCCGCTGACTCCTGCAAGCCCGAGCACCGTCTCAAGGCAGCGCGGTGTCCCAAACCACGCAGATAGCTCCCCATAGCCGCCCTGGGACAGCGGACCCTCTGCGATCAAGGTCCGAAACAGCCTCAAGGGCTGGTCGCCGTCCTCGGTCTCGAGGTTCGACGGCTAGCATTCATTCTAGCACGACGCAGCAAACGCAGGATCAACATATCGACGGATTCCCTCAATTCATCGCGTCGCAAGTTCCCGGGTTCGGCAATAACCCAGAAGACATGATCATGCGATTCGGTCATCAGCTGTCTCAGCAGTCCACTGGCTCGCCCCTGGATCAATCCATGCAGGACACTCATTCCGTTATGTCCCGGGCGGAGGATTTTTCTCAGCATGGGATGCACGGACACGGACTCTCCCACCACTCGTTACCCGCAGAAGTTTCGAACGGGCTTCCCATCTCTGTCCCGCAGTACCAGGCCATGTATGATAGTGGCATTGAGAACCATCTTCCGGACCACGGTATGGACGACCAAGACATATCGGAACCAGGTGGGAAAAAGAAAAGGGGATCGAGCTCCACGCTGGCCAACGATAACGAGTTGCGAAAATTGCTCCGCCAGTATGAGGGATATACATTGAAGCAAATGGCCACCGAGGTTATGAAGCACGAGGGCGCTGGCGGGAAGGCTGAAAAAGTGAAGCAGGTATTTGCCATGATCTGGTAAGGGAATCCCATCGCTTGCCCCTAGCGGATCATCATGTTAACGACTGCAGGCTGCGAGAGAACTGTCGGAAAAGTAGCGGCTCCGTGCGTCGAGATCGAGTGTATTGCTGCTATGCCGAGAAGTGTGGAACGGAGCGTGTGTCGGTTTTGAACCCAGCGTCTTTCGGGAAGCTTGTGCGCATCATCTTCCCGAACGTGCAGACACGGCGCCTTGGTGTTCGTGGAGAATCCAAGTATCACTATGTCGATTTGTCCGTCATTGAGGAAAAGCAACAAAAGCCGCCGCCTCTCAACCCTCAAGTTGCCCCCGCTCCCAGTAGCTCTGCTGTGCTCCCCGAAAAACCTGCCAGTGTGATGCGCCCGAGGAGGTAAGAAGAGTTGTTTCCTCCGATTTCATATCTCAGTGCTCATCATGATTCCAGTGTCAGCATCCCGCAGCCCACTCCGGACACAGCTGTTTTCCCGTCTCCCACAACATCATTCGCGCCCCGATTGTCGGCTAACCCCCCCACTGCCAGCTGCAGCTGCCAGACCCATCCTTCGGCTGGGCCAGATGCCATGATCACCGGTGACAATGTTGCCCAGCAGACAGGCAAGATGATCCATCAGATGCTGCAATTCCCCACAGACGAAGCCCCTTCGGTGGAGAACGACGCTCTTCAACTTCCCGACATCCGCGGCTATCTGCCTGCCAATACCGACCTGAAAGTTGCTGCAGCTCTTGCCGCCCTCTACCGATCCCATTGCATTTCGGTCATCGACAGCTTTCGATACTGCAAAGAACGTAATCTCTTGAAATACTTCTCCGCCTTTCATGGCACCCTCACTGTTCCAGTCCAAAAGCTACTCACCCATCCCAACCTCGCACCATGGATCAAAGAGTGCGACTGGCTGATGTACCAGAAGATGATCGCGTTTGTGGCCCCTCTCACAACTCAGGTGGTTCCCAGGGTGGTTATGGACGCGTTCAGCTCCATCTCGCAGCGACTGTGTGGCCACATTGCCGAAACCTTCAAGGCCCAACCGACTCATGTGTCATTGGCACGACTGATCCCCGCGCATACTTTTTGTAACTTGCTCAAGCACATGCTTGACGTCAATCAGGCGGCGAATGCGGCAGCTGCATGGCTTTGCCATCCCGATAATCGGAACCAAATGTGGCTCGACTTTAAAACTCTCGTCGAGCCGAACGAGATGATCATGAAAGCAAACATTCCGAGCTGCGCCGAACGGGCCACTCAGCAGATCCTTAAGCATGATGTTCGAGCGCTTCTGACTCCCCTGCGTGATCCTAACCCTTCCACCTCCCTGCCCTTCTTCACCAAGCCCGACTTGGATGACGGCCTTGAGGCCCGCAAATTTCCCGTGGAGACTGCTCCAGGCGAAGAGTACAACTTCCCGGACAAGTGGGTTTCATTTATTTTGAACCTTCCCGCCACCTTCTCCAATCATCGCACGCATTGTGTCATCGAGAAGGTTGATGCGCTGTGGGACAGCATTTTGCACCGCCTTACTCTGGGCGGAGCCGCCAGCTTCAGTGCTTGGTGGATGACCAAAGTGTTCTTTCATGAGATGATGGTGTGGCAGGCGGAAAAAGGTGGTTTCATGCGCAATAGCCCCGGCTCGTTGCAAAACGCGACCTTTGGTGACCCCGAGCACACGGGCCTTGGCCATTTCCTCCCAAAGCAAGCTTCTGCTGTCGACCATGCATCCTTGGATGGGTCTAATGACTCTCAACCTCAATCGAAGGCCAGCTCCTCGGTCGATCAACATCGAGTGCAGGACCGAACTGCCAATGACGGTTCAACCTCTAACTCCGCACCAAACGAGAAGCGGCTGTCCCTCGCCGACCCGGCCTTCCCGAACAATGATGACAGCGCCATTGACCTGGAAGACGATCCCATGCTGATAGCAGTGGGTAAATACGGCGACATGATGGCTTCTGACCCTGCCGATGCCGAGGGTGATGTGATCGTCATTTGAATTTCCATTTTTGGGGGTGGCTTTCTGTCTGTTGGAGTTGGAATATCCCTTAACGGCGTGGTTTTGGATGTGTTTATTTCCTTTTGTTTGGGTGAATGGTGTTCCCACGATTTCCTTTTTGTTTCCCTTTGTTTGCACGAAGAGATGAGACATGAGCATGGGGCTCTTTGCGAGGGCCTTGTGTCTGCGGTTTTGACCATCACTGATACGGCATTTAATCGGCGCGGCGGAATCCCACTACTGGCCTGGTTCTTGCTCCCCATTTTCCTCTTGTCCTTTACTTCCTTGGCCTCTTTCTGGTTGGATTTGAGGCCGCCTGTACATACGTCTTGGACCCTGCGCGGACGATCCTTTCGCCCACCGAGTAATCATTGAATGCTCTACCATTTTGTTCAAAATTTTTTTTCTCTCTTCTATATATTCTCTCAGAGTACTAAAGTGGATCCTAGGTAGGCTGGGAATGAATTACATGCCAACCTGCTTCTTTGGGGGCGCTATACTCCACGGCCTTGCCGGTGCTAACCAGTGGATATCACTGGCTCAGCCAACCAGACCCTCAATAGGCAGTCCACTCAATCCTTTTGATTGAATCACTTGCTTGAGAAAGACAACAGGCAACACAATCCCCACATGCCGATCGTCGAAATCCCCCACGCCGCCAACCCTGCGAGGGCTCCTGGAGTCGGCGCCGAGCCCGATGGCTCCGAGTGAAGCTGGATGATGTGGAGGCTGACATGCCATCTGGGAGCACTATAAAAAGGAGCGTGGATCCTGCAGTTTTCTGTGTACACTTACACTCGACCTAGTCTTTCTATCGTCATGGTTCTCAAATTGAAACAGCCAAATGGCCCAATGGCAGACTCCGCGCCGGTGGCAGACACACCAGCGATTGTTCGTTGGGTCATTGATGATATTCGTGCCAGAGGGAACGAGGCCGTGAGATGTTACTCGAACAAGTTTGACTACTGGAGTCCAGCCAGTTTCAAGCTTTTGCCAGATGAGATCCAGCAGATCATATCTACGGTCCCTAGGCAGATCATCAACGATATCAAACAGATTCAGGAAAATGCTCGAGTCTTTACGCTGGCCCAGAAAGTGTCACTAAAGGACTTTGAATTAGAGATCCGTCCTGGTGTGCATTTGGGGCAGAAGAGTATTCCGATTAGCTCGGTTGGCGCGTGAGTCTCTTTAGCATAGAAGCATGTTTTGGGATCGTCGCACTCAACAGATTCACAGGTACATTCCTGGTGGTCGCTATCTTTTGCTCGCCTCCAGCCACATGACGATTCTTACCGCGAAATGTGCTGGGGTCCCTCATGTCACGGCATGCACACCTCCTATTGCTGGGAAGATCCCTGTCAATACAATTGCCGCCATGCACTTGGCCGGTGCGGACGAGATCTACATCTTGGGTGGCGTCCAAGCTATTGCTGCCATGGCTGTGGGTACCGAGACCATGAAAAAAGTCGATTTCATTGCTGGCCCCGGAAATGCCTTTGTTGCCGAAGCCAAGCGCCAGCTGTTTGGGGAGGAAATAGGCATTGATCTTCCCGCCGGACCAACCGAGATCTTGATTGTGGCCGATGAACATGCCGATCCGTTTACTGTGGCCACCGATCTCTTGTCACAGGCCGAGCATGGCTTTGATTCTCCAGCCGTTCTCATCACCACTTCCCAGACGGTGGGTGAAAAGACGATCCAAGAGGTGAACCGCCTCTTAAAGATCCTCCCCACAGCCGACGTGGCAGGCATATCCTGGAATCGCTTGGGCGAAGTAGTCGTGGTGGACAACCTGGATGAGGCCTATCATGTTAGCCAATGAATATGCGTTCGAGCATGTTCAGATCTTGACTGAGAAGCCCCGCGAAGCCCTCGACAAGATGTTTCACTACGGCGTTCTCTTAGAGAGAAAAAGAGAGAAACAGAGAGAAACAGAGTAGCAATCACCGTCAGCTATACATCAAGTAAATAATCAGCTTATGAAATCTACTTCTTACTGTTTACTATGTCTCCTAAAGCCACCCAAGCGAAGCGAGGGTCAAGTACATATGTATGTAGCTTGTGTATAGTATAGTACAGTATTTACATCGACAATACTTCATGTCTCGGGCGAGCCTAATCTCCGATCAGTTCAACTCTATGCAATTGGCCTTGCAAGACCCACTGATCGACTAGGCTCAGTTAGGGCGTCAGCAGCTTGCATTAGCGCGTTATTTGCCTGTAGAAGAAGTGGATCGGGCAGAGCTGCCCTGTGTTTCATATATACCGAAAGATCAACTTCTCCCCCCGCCGCGCCCGCCAATTATTTGTCGCGTTCATCAACTCTGGACAACCTCGAACGACAAACCCCCATTTCTTGAGGAATGCTTCGGTCACCTCCCAATTTCGCACATCCCACGGCTCTCCCCATACCAGCAGCCCGGCATCCTCTGCCGAGGAATCCCAGAACCCCATGATGTCGCGGCACATCTGGTCGTCATCCCAATGATCGCCCGCTTCGATCAAATTATCACGCATTTTGGCTAAGGGGAAGAAGTCTAACCAGGGGTGATGCGTCACTCGAGTCTGTATTCGGGTAGGCTGGAGGCCTTGCGGGATGTCCGTGTTCTCGTTCGATATTGGTTGGCGGCGTGGTAAAAATGTGTTGAATGGGGAGATGGCATCGTCGTCCATCCACTCAACCGACCAGCCGATTAACTCCATGTTCCGCACCAAAGCCCGGAAGACATTGACCTTGGTCAATGTCAGAAGATGGTCAGCCGTGGGACAGCCCGATATGTAGCTATGATATGCCGAGTTTGCGAATTGCTGCAGCATGGCAATTCTGACGCCCGCGGTCAAACAGTGGTTGCCTCGGATGTCATCTAGAGGTGTATACGACTGCTTGGAAGAAATGAGTGACGTCGAAGCGGGCAATTCCACCACACTTTTCGGATGAGTGTTGGTATTAAATTTGCTTCGTTTTCGTTTCCCTGCAGATCGAAATGATGAGGATACGCTATGATTGATTTTGACTATAAACCACTTACGGTATGCCCGCTGATTAATACGGTTCTGTCGCCGGCGCCGTTCAGCCGGGTCTGTCAATCCTTTCCACTCGTCTGTCGGCTGAGAACTGTCATCCGCCGGGATCGGCTCCGCGGTGGTCGATATATGCTCGGTCATTGTGACTGTCAGCACTAAGAGTGTCAGCAGGGAAGAAGAGGTAAAAGATAGAGATAGAAAGAGAGACCCGCCATTTTTATGCGAGTCGGGGGGCAAATGGAGCCGTCGCTCTTCCAATCAACAATGCGATGTGGGGGAGTATGACCGGAGTTAGGAGATCGGGTCTTGTATGGTCATAACGAAGCTCTGACCTTACGAGAGTTCCGTGAAGAAAAGACAACAGCACCCGAGATACCCCAAAAAATAAGAAATATTGCAAGACTGCTCTTACATTGCTCCGATGTGTAGAACCCTCAAGGTTTTGTGGTAACGGGAAGCCCTATCTCAAACCAACAGCAGCAGACTCGAAATATTGCACCAATCCACATGGGAACTTTTTAGATCCTAGGGATTACATGCAGGATCTATTAGTTAATAGCCTATTTTTGCCGGACAAACCTGTATTTTCTTACCTAGGTAGCATCTAAAGTGTCAAACTTTGGCTGATACTTCAACTCATGAACGAAACACAGACTGATCAGGCCTATTGCCTGCAGAGAAAACACTGAATCTGTTATTATGCTATGTATTCCGTAATAAGAATAAATACATTATCTTTACGTCTGCTTGCTAGATAAATCGTCCGGAGCATCGATCGAATCCTATGCAAAGGCTGCTCTTTTCTTGGAATCTAACTCCGTTTTACTGAATAGCGCACATCCCGCCAACACAAGAACTATGCCAGCCCCGTTCAAAAGGTTGACGGTAAAATCCCCAAAGACAAAGATCCCGATCGCGAGGGTGAGGGCCTGCTTCAGGTTCCCACACACCGAGATGGTGAGAGCACCCGCTAGCTTGTTGGTCTGGAAAGATGACACGTTCAGAAAAAATGCAAGAAGACCATTGCCGAGGAGGAAGACAAGGGTCGAGGCCGCAGCCGCCCTCGATTCAGTCGTAGCGCGATGAGAAATCGCCCGAGTAAACCCGGGGAGCTCTCCAGCGAATATTGCGAAGCAAAAAGATTGAAGCGCAGCGAGGGGCGACATCCGAAATAATAGTTCCATCGAAGGGAGCGCTAATGATCCAGTCATGAGGCGATTGGTGGTGACCGTCTGGAACGATCAGTTAGGGCATGGAAGGATACAAGGCCATCAGTCAGTATCATACCTTCACAGCTGCCAACATCACTCCGAAAATCGAAAGAAACAACCCCAGGGCCGAGTAATGATACTCTCCGACCGTAGTCATTCCAGCCCCAACGATGATCGGGAAGAGCGACAAGTACGTCGCCAGAGAATAAAGGCGAGAAAACCGGAGACGGTAAATGAGGACGGTGAAGATAGGAACGGTATTACGAATAATCTGGAAGAAAGCCAAGCTCACGAGGGACCTGGACGAATTCGTGTCAACAAACAAATCGCGGGGGCTCAGCAAGAGAAACTGACAAGGAAAGGTTGGACATGGCAATGTTGCCAGTAAACAACACCGAATATAGAACCAAAATGAGGTGTTCACGCCGGCCAAGTTGTTGCGATAATTGGAAGTAGCCGAGTTTCAACATGACGAAGGTGCCGACGGACGCGAACGTGGTATGCATGCAGGTGAGGAGCCAGGGGAAATTGAACTAGAATCAGTCATATGTTCATATTAGCAGGTAAATCAGCAAAACGGCTTGAGGGTTTTCCCCAGTTATGCTCACCTTGCCCAGAATCAGCTTGTTGTACATCGTCAATAACATGCTGAAAAGAAAATAAGCTCCGAGCCAGATAAACTTCAGTGTCGCAGGCGTCTGGTACTCGGGCTCGCTGGAGCTAGAGGTCACCTCTTTAACGGAATGATTGGTTTCGGGGTCATCGAAATTCGATCTTGAGATTTCCTCGTTGGCAAGCAAGCCGAGCTCAGCATCCTCAGCCTCGTTGCGCGGGCCCATTTTCTCTCTTATCAAAATAGTTGATGCTAGCTTGTTTTCGTGAGAAAAACCATCAAAGCGCCAGGAGCAATACCGGTCTTTCTCAGGAATGAACACAGTGAGGGAGTGCACGTTGAATAGAAAAAAGGAGCCTTTGAACGGCTGGAATCGCGACCTCTCATCTTTCTATCAATTCCTGCATATGAGGATTCGCGTGCTCATCTTGGCGAGAGCAACTATTACAGAAAGTGGAGTCCTGTAGGGCTTTTCGTTCGCGGCGTGATCGTCGTGATTGTAACTTGCAACCCGTGGAATTCCTCTTGAAACGGAGGTCGTCTTGTACCCAGGGCGATCCACTAGGGCCGATCAGTCTCCACCACGGGGGGCGAATGGGGATTGGCATGACAGGCACAAGCAACGACGGAGCAATTGTATAGGTGCTAATTTCTTCATGTGGCCAAGCCATTTCATCCCCATCCGATCTCATCCGGAATCCAATATTCGGTGATATGCACCAGCGCATCGTTTGCACCCAGTGGACTCGTAATCTACTCCGAAATCAGAAAAAAAAAAAAAAAAAAAAAAAAAAAAAAAAAAGGGGGACCACACGATCAGAAACCAAGTCAAAGTGTCGGAAAACAACCCAAAAAAAAGAAGGGACGCATACTACGATCTCCCCAGGTGGGCTGCTTGGTCCAATGGACTATGTTCGGCCACCCTTGGCCATGACCAGGTGAAAGGGGGCCACGAATCATAGTTTTTGATTGCCGAGAATTGAGGGTTTGCGATTGCTCCCTATGGGAGATCCACTTGGCCTGACGCAATCTGAAATCCATAATAATAGCAATGGACGCGCACATCTCTCCGCAGCTACTCTTTTCTTGAGGTCATCCGAGAACCTTCTACCAAAAGGGGCCTCGCAAGATGTTGCGAATGGACCGCTGGCGATGGGCAGCTATGGTCGCAATAGCGACGATGACCCTAATTGCCCTACTGAAATACCGATCACCAACCGTGACGAGTCCCGTCTTTGTTCCACCCGTCAGTCGTGCTCGAGGGCTAGCCCATTGCCTCATTTCACTACTATACGCTAACTTCGCCAACTGCCCTGAATCACAGGTTTCTAAAATACCAAATACCAAGGCGGATATTGGGACATCCAAGTTCCATCTTCTGCTTGCTGCAAGCAACCAACATCCGCGACTTTGCCGAGCGATTCTTTCATCTGCCCTCCTAGGGTACCCCATCTCAGTCCTCAGCGGCTGGGGAAAGACCGATGACCTGGATGCAGGCATTTCCCACCTCGCCAAGGTTCGCAATGTGATGCGCTACTTGGATACTTTGCCGCCGTCTTCCGACCAAGATCTTGTTTTGATGGTCGACGGTTATGACGTCGTTTTCCAGCTCCCTGCGGATGTCTTGATCCAACGCTATTTCGCCGTTACTGCAGCTGCAGATGAAGCCCTAGCAACCCGCTTTGGCGAGGACTACTTGCGCGCAACTCCAGAAGAGAGCCGTCCCCGAGCAACGGTTCTATTTGGTCCCGAGAAGCTCTGCTATCCGCCAAACGAGGCTCGGTCGGGCTGCTGGGCGGTTCCCACCAATACTGGACTTGCCCCTGATGCGTATGGGCCTGACGACGGGACTATAGAGCATATGCTCAATCGTTGGTTGAATTCCGGGACAGTCATCGGGCCCGTAAGAGATATGAAAAAGGTTTTCAACGGGACATTGAAACGCATCCAAGACTTCTATAACCCCGAGGATGACTGGTCTAAAGACTCGGACCAAAAATACCTGAGTGATCTCTGGGGTGACCAGGAGTACTTCCGCTCTGTGAAGGAGCTCCAGCTCAACAATCATACTGGGACGGTGCTACCTGGCGTGGGCTCAACCAAGGCCGTGCCAACTCGGGAATTAGGGCAAGAAACAGAATACCACATCGGCATCGACTACAAAGGGGAGCTCTTCCAGACCCGTGCCGTTTTTGAGCATGCTCTGGACCTGGTTCCCTTTAACAATACGGACTCCCAGGGAGCCTTGTCGTCCTGGGTTACGCGCAATGTGACCGACCATCCGGATTTCAAACCCTACTCCGTCCCACTGCCGGCCAATGTCATACTCTCCTTAAAGCGGCTTCTCATGTCTATTTCCCAGACGCTGAAGGCCAAGCCCGCGGACATGATCCCTCAATTACCTCTCAACATGAACGTCGTTACTAGAAAAGTGCATGCCATCTTTCACTGCACCGGTCCAAAAGAATACCTCGACGACTTGTGGCCCAAGATGTGGTTCTACCCATACCTCCGCTCACTGCTTGATGTCGCGATAAGGTCACAGAGGACAGGCCGGAGAATTTCCGACACTCCGGTCGATGGACGCAAGTGGATCCCAGCACATCCTCCTTCAACAAACGCAGGAAACAACGATGTCAATGCCTTGGGCGCATGGACAGACCTAGAAGGAGAGTGGCTTGAATGGGGACCACTGTGTGGACAATACAATCATGAAATATTTGGTGATCAATAATAGAACAGTGGATATACCAATATCATACAAGAGGGAACCCGACTTGAGTGTTGCCACCACCGGCGCCCTAGAGATACCCACAACTAGCCTACATTAGATACAATTCTTCACGGCCAACGATTCCGAATTCAAATTATATTCATAGGGAAGAGATAATCTGTTGAAATCCGAGTACAAAAACAACACAACCTGGTGTCAAATGCCAGCGCTCGCAGAAATGAACAAAGCCGCCAACTCCGATATCCCGTTAATCCAGTTGTCACTGGGGTGTCGGCCTTCTTCTCATGGATTTCCACTCCACAAACCCGGCTCCCACGAAGGAAAGAGCGGCAGCGGTCACCGAAACATAAAAGGTCTGAGTGACAGCAGTGTTGTATGCGTGGATCACGAAAGGGAGAACATCTTTGGGCAGACGCTGCGACAGATTTGCTGCCCCTGCTCTGATCACAGTATCTGGGCTTATCTTCGAAGTGTTTGCCAAAATATTTGTCACGAGCCGATTCTGGAAGACGTTCTGTGCAATCGAAATAAATATTGCACCGCTCAGGCTCTGCGAGAATGTGATAATCGCAATCCCAATCGGTATATCCGTTAATGGCAACACGGTCTGAAGAGCATTGATGCATTGCTGGAACCCAAGACCTGCCCCAAGTCCAATGATCACCTGATATGCAATCCACTTGCTGTGCCCTGTATCGACCGTAAAGGTTGTGCAGAGGCCCGCGCCAATGGTCAGGAATGCACTTCCAATGTACATGAACGGCGTGTAGTAACCAATGATGTTGACCAAGAGACCTCCAATTGCGGAACAAACAATCATTGACACAACCATGGGAAGGTTGTTGATTCCCGACTCCGAAGCCGAAACCTCTTTGATTGCCTGGAACCATATTGGGAGCTACACAGATGTCAGCGGTCGTTTTCTGGAAGATCAGACTCAACTCACATAATAGCCCAAAACAAAAAATGAGCCGCCCAGGAACATGGCATGGATCACAGCCCCAAAGACATTGCGATTCCTGAGCAGACGAGGTGGAACTGTGGCCTCCTCCTGCCTCCACCACTGAATGCAGCACCAGGCTGAGCCAAAGACTCCAAAGAGAACAAAGAGAGCAATGATGCGGGAATTTCCCCAGTCGTATTTGGCGCCGCCCCATTGAAGGGCCAACAGGATCGAGATGACGGCAGGAATGAAGACCACAATTCCAAGAGGATCCATTCGTTTCAACTGCTCCAGGCCTCCAAGTTCTTTTTCAGTCATGCGGGCGTCTTTGAAAAACATGATTATAAAGAATCCGGTAATAGCGCCGAGCGGTAAATTGATGTAGAAACACCATCTCCAACTGACCCGGTCCGTCAACAATCCTCCAATCCTAGGGCCACATCAGTCACTGTCTCGCTGGTTCACAAAGGCCAAATAACATTGGCAAATCCTACATTGGTCCAGTCACGGTAGCAATGCCGCTGGTGCTGCCAATGATACCAAAATACAGTGCCCGGCGGTGCAAGGGTAAGATGTTAGCCAGCACCAGCAAGGCCCCTGGAGAGATTCCACCAGACCCAATTCCGGCAATTGCTCTACCCATTATAAGCCCTTTTGATGTTGGAGTTGCCGCGCATGTCAGTGACCCTATCTCAAACAACGCGAGCGCAATTATGTAGGTCCACTTGGTCGAATAGTAAGAGTAGATTTTGCCGAATGGAAGGGTCACGGCGCATGATGTCAGAAGATAAGCACTGGCGTACCAGGATAAGTCTTCGAGTGAATTGAACTCTTGGGTAATCTTGGGTACTGCGGTTGCGAGGATGGTGTTGTCCTGGAACAAGGATCATCAGTGATGAACCAAGGCAACACCGGGAAGTAGGGAGCTCACCAAGGCAATGCAAAAAGACTGAAAACACAGTCCTACCAGAATAGGGACTAGCTTTGACATTGGTGGGTATTCATCCTGTTCGTCGATGCCCGATTCACTTCCGGACTCCTTCAGTGGAATATCATCTCGGTTCTCGAAGCTTTCATCCCGATATTCTCGCATGCTGGAGCTTTCTCCAGCTTTAAATCAAAATGCAGAGACTCTTATCCTGTTCCTTTCCCCTATAGGTCATTGAGATAAGACCAGAAGCAGCATGAGGGATGTCGTAATGGAGTATGGCAAGTAACAGGAAAGCAGAAGTCCCATTCAGGTCTAAGAAATCGCACAGAGCTTACCTGAAAAAGCATTACAATCAAGTGTAACCCATTTGAGCATGCAAGGGGGCACCTCGAATTTGAAGTCGAAGGGCGTTCAGTCCGCTATCACATTCCTTTCAGGTTGACCCGGTATGCACTTGTTACTTTCTGGAAAAAGATTGCTAGAGATTCAATCGCTGCCCAATAATTGTAGAGTGAGCTAGGTTGCTTTTGTTTGCTGAGAACCATTCTTAAAATTGGAATAACAAGTCGCTTTGAACTGGTTTTCGTCCGATATCACTTGGTACTTGTTCCTAGTCAAAGCTTGATAAAATCCCGAATCCCTACATTCCAGGGTCATTCACGTTGTTCCGAAATTGATTCCATTTTTAAGTTTTGGATTCGAACCAATGAGGAGAATTGTTCCACGGATTCGGGACATCTGGTGCTGTCATGAGGATATTGCATATTTGGACCGGAAGGTGATCTCGGGAATTCTATCTATCTATCAATCGAGGACACTCTATGAGGTCATTTTATCCTGAGACGTGGGTACTTTTGAATGCTTAGGTTTCTCAGAAGCATTAAAGAAGACATACATAAAGGGGCCGTATACAAAGTAACATGTCAACCGTGTTACCATCAGGATGCCGACACTCTCTGCCTTCGTATCACGAATTCAGTCTTACAAACCTTTCTTCTACTAGTAAGAATAGTAAGAAGATACCTGTAAGCAACCGCGATGTTAATCAAGGAATAATTTGAGTGGTAGGAAAAGGGCTTGGGTAGGATTGTCGGAGGCCGGTAAGCCACAAAGTACAAATCATCTCTCGGTTAAGGGCCGGCTTATTTACTATGCCGCTTGGTTTAGGAGAAGACGTCGCTATTCGAAATTAAAATAACATTCAATATCAGTAGCAGATAAATCGTATGGATAATAAGACTTTACTATTTATGGTCAAGAAGTCCTTATTATATATCAAGAGCAAATACATTACCGACATTCACGCGCTTCGGTGAGGGTCACACCAGTGGTAATCAGGCCACTTTTGAGAAACTCTTTATTTGCCCCTAGTACCTCATTACTCAATGGTCCTAATACCTGGGCTCATATACCTGTCAGGGTATGCGACAATAATACCCGACCACGGGAAACAAGCCTTAGGAAGGAGAGTGAGCTGCGAGTTTATTTAGGTAGAGCTTGACTAAAAGGGCTCAGATCTCGGGTTTTTCGACAGCGGAGATATAGACCCGAGTTCCATCCTGTTAACTCTGTGCTCAAGGGATAGAGGAAAGGGGGCCACTTTTAAGGTCGAGCGGCACGGGAACCCAGATTCACATCACAGATCCCGACTTCTGGTGGATGACCATGGTCCCGCGGAATGTACACAGGGATGGTTCTCAAATCATGTCTCCCTCCACAGTGCATTAGCTGCGTGTGATAGAAATCAATATCTCCGACTTTTTTCGAGGGACCACGCAGATGTCTTTTTTGTTTCTATATTAAGCTCTACTGGTATCCAGATTCCACTGTTAATACTGATCCTTGGTTACTAAAGAAATATATTATCAGAAGGTGGTTGTGACTTCTCGTTGGCATAAGCCAGAGATCTCAAATGACACATCCTCCGGCACTGTCGACTTGGGATTGGAAATCAGGAGTAAGTCTGTCGCTAGTGTGGCTAATTCATTAGCTAGTACCGGATTTTGGTTAGAAGCTTCAATTGGATATACACAACCTCGTGGTACAGACAATTTTTCTTCTAGTAGTCAAGCGGCAGGAATAAACCATTTAGTCATACGCCAAGAAAGACAAGTAAAAGCAGGAAGTTGTCGATACTTTCTCCCACCCGGCCCGAAGTAGGGAGAGAGGAATATGAGTGGCCCCATTGTATGTAAGCATGATAGTTAGGCGATCCAAGCTAAACACCCTAGTTTTGGGTATTATTAGCATCATGGCAGGGCAAGTATCGTGTGGTCCGTGATCCCTTCTCGAAGAATATTCCTGTGCTTTAATCTCCGCAGTTCGCTTGAGTAGCGCCCATGGTGTTTCCAGGGGCACATCTTGCAGATAGCCGAGCCTTGATCCCCTTATCTGAGTTAGCGTCCCGTGGGGATCGACTCTTGCCCGATTCATCTCATTGTTTTCGCCCCTTCTTTTATGGGATCTCGCAGGGGATCCAAGCCGGTGGCGTTGGAGGGAAGAGCGCGTGGTGTTGCTTAGTCGATCTACAGTCAACCCGGGCCACATCCCAGAGAGATACGATATAGGGCAGGGGCCAAAGGAATCTGACCCTAGTTTCTAGAAAACGAGGCCGCAGGGCGCCTGTCTCTCCACAAACGTACAGTCCAGACGATCATATTCGGTCGCTCGTTCCGGGGACTATGGAGCACGTCCTTGCCCTATTTGGACATATTATGGGTAGCAATATTCGAGATATTATAATGAACAGAGCACCAAAGAAATCCATGTTATTTCATGGGTGAATGCTTGTAGTTGTAGGGTTTTAATAAATGAATCAGTGCAAATTGAAAACTCGCTTGGAAGATGTTCTTAGAACTTGTTCTTCCCCACAACAGACAGGATAGAGAGTCCCCGGTCGCCGGTCTCGAAAGTGATTCGCATTATGGCCAACCATTTCTCTGACTCATACCAGATGACTTCAGCGGCGATCGGGAAGACGCCACGAGGCGCGTATGACCCCGACGCAAGGCATCATGAGAACTTGCACCAAACAGGAACTAGAGTAGAAAGAGTAGACATCCAACCAGTTATTGTGGATACTAAAATTGGCCCATCGCACACACATGGCATGGGCAAATGAAACACCGGGGCTCCTATCCATGGGCGTAGGGGAGCCCGGAGTTGCCGGATAGAGTAAGTTACACTGTCTATCCCCCAGGATTCGGTCGCAACCGCAGTGGGGAAACGATGAGCCCAACATTCATAGGTCAAGATCCTGGCCAGTCGAGTGGGGTCCATGGCTGCGTTAGTGCGGTGAACTTTTCAGTTGTCTTTGGCATAGGCTTAACTATGGCTTGACTATGGCTTGACTAGGCTTGACTAGGGCTTGACTACTCGGTGCCCAGCCCGAGAAGCCAGAAGGATTCTCATCCTTAAAGTAGATATTATAGTAGACCTCCAGATTCGCCACCATTCAGCATTCGCTGCCTAAAAACCGCGGGTCCCAATCCGTGGATTCTACCTTTTTCCATGTGCCGCGTGGCGTTATCAGCGTTCCATACTGGTTCTCATTCACATACCAAGAATACGCCATGCGCGGCATGAGGCGTCGCAGTCTGCGGACGGATGCACGCCAAGCCGCCGTCGAAGTTTCATTTCGGCTTCGCGAAATTGTCCCGGCCATCCAAGAATCCCGGTCCCGGATAGCCATGGATGCTTGGGGCACCATTTCCAATACAGCGTGTGAATATATGCGATCTGAACAATTAGGAGTTAGCCTAGAAATCCATGAAAAAACCTAGCCCTAGGTTAGTCGTCGTAGATAAATCAACATCGAAATCAGAAATAAATCCACCCCACGGGGTTCCATTCCAATAGTTTCGGTGAGGATGTGAGGCATGAATCTGGGTTTGACCCCAGAAAATAGCAAAAGAAACCACAAATGTCATCCCCAGATGGCAATTTGGACCCATTTTATTTCGCCCGGGGCCGAGGGCTGGGGGAAAACAAAAGAAGGGGGATATTCTCCACATAGTGAAGTCTGACGGGTTGAAGGATTTCAGTGGAATCAGAGAGAGAGAAAGAGCTGAACCTGGAGAAAGACGAGACTAACCAAGTCAGGAGAAGCCGAGAGTACCCTGCGCTTTGATTGTTACGCTCGCGTGGCTCTGGAAACCCTCCCACCCCAAAAACTGGGGGCCGTTGGCCGTGATGTCCGTGCAATGACCTGGAGATACCCGGGGTCGACCAACCACATCTTCGCCCTCGTCGCTCGCATGGACACTTTTGGGGCATCGCAAGTGGATCCGATTCTTCCCCGGTCCTCGAATCATACAGAGTTCACCCTGGTACAAGCGGCTCGGCAAGGTCAGGGAAAAAAAAAAGAAACGAAGTCCTAATCTGACTCCCCGGTCCGGAGAGAAAGAGAGAGAGGTCACGGCCCCCGATGCCATTCAAAACTGCCCTTTTAAAACCCATCTGGGTCCCCCGGAATATGATTTTCTTTCGATCGTCTTGTTCTGTACTGATTCTCTCCCATCTTTTCTTTCCCTTTCCCTTTCCCTTTCCCTTCTTTCTTGCTCTCCCCCGGCTGGCTCGGTCCTTTCCCCTGTCTGAACAGTGCGAAGTCGTGAGCCAAGAGGGCTAAGCTCGCCAAGATGCCCACCAAGCGTTTCTTGGGCCTCAATGGCACCAAGCTGCAAATCGCTATCGGTATTCTCGCCGGTATGGACTTTCTGTTGTTCGGCTACGACCAAGGTGTGACCGGTGGTCTCCTGACGCTCGAGTCGTTTACCAAATACTTCCCAACCATCGATACCCGCAAGGCCACTCTGAATGGAATGACCGCCGCCGAGTCGAGCACTCAAACCACTCGCCAGGGTATCACTGTCGCCGCCTATAATCTGGGATGTTTCGCTGGGTCGATCCCCACGATTTGGATCGGTAACATGCTGGGACGCCGCCGCGCCATCTTCCTGGGTTCGTTTATTATGTGTATCGGGGCCATCCTGCAGACGACGTCCTACGATCTCGCCCAGTTGGTCGTCGGCCGATTGGTAACTGGTTTCGGTAAGCCCTAGAATTGAAGAGTTGGACCACCACTCAGCCAGGGGAACTGGGCTAACGGGGAACCCTCTAGGAAACGGCATCAACACGTCAACGGTGCCCACCTGGCAATCGGAGTGCTGCAAGTCCCACCGTCGCGGCCAGATGGTCATGATCGAAGGCGCCATGATTACCTGCGGTATCACCATTAGTTACTGGATTGATTTCGGTCTGATGTTCGCCGATCCCAACGAGGTGTCCTGGCGATTCCCCTTGGCCTTCCAGATCTTCTTTGCCGCCATTATCTTGGTCTTCGTCATGTTCCTGCCCGAGTCGCCCCGTTGGCTCATTCTGAAGGGTCGGGAGGCCGAGGCGAAGGTCGTGTTGGCCAGCTTGATGGGTGACGAGACCGACGAGCTGTTCGTGGAGACGGAATTCACGGCGATCAAGGCGACTGTCCTGGAAATGGCCAAGGGCTCGTTCCGCGACATGTTTACCATGACCGAAGACCGTCACTTCCACCGGACGATGCTGGCCTACGTCAACCAAATGTTCCAGCAGATTTCGGGTATCAACCTCATCACCTACTACATCCCCACCCTGCTGGAGGATCAGGTCGGCCTCACTCCGACCCTCTCGCGCCTGATCTCGGCATGCAACGGCACCGAATACTTCCTGGCTTCCTGGGTGGCTGTGTTTACGGTCGAGAAGTTTGGTCGTCGGACTCTGATGCTCTTCGGTGCCGTCGGCATGTCGCTCTCCATGGTGGTTTTGGCCATCACCGACAGCATTTCGGCAGCGAATCCACAGACTCCCCTGGGTACCAGAGCTGGTATTGCCCAGACGGTCTTCCTGTTTGTGTTCAATAGCTTCTTCGCCATCGGCTGGCTTGGTATGACCTGGCTCTACCCGGCCGAGATTGTGCCGCTGAAGATTCGTGCCCCGGCCAACGCTTTGTCTACCTCGTCCAACTGGATTTGGAACTTCATGGTTGTAATGATCACCCCGGTTGCCTTCAACAACATTAGCTACAAGACTTACATCATTTTTGCTGTCATGTGAGTTGCATCCCACCATCTGCATACATTTTCCGGAAACTGATCTATTGATAGCAATGCTTTCATCGTTCCCGTCGTCTACTTCTTCTTCCCGGAGACCACCATGCGCTCCCTGGAAGAGATGGACCGCATCTTCCGCAAGACTACCACTGTCTTTAATGTGGTCACGCTGGCCCGTGAGGAGCCCCATATGTACGGTCCGAACGGCGAGCTCCTGCGCACTTTGGATGACGTCGAGGATGAAGCTGTCCGTCGCGCCAGCATCCTGAATCGGGAGGGCAAGACCGTCACTCAGCTCCACCGCGAACACGCGGGGGAGAAGGGCAGTGATGGAAGCTCCAGCGGAGAGAAATAGACCTAGGCCGACGACCTAGTGTAGTCTATTCACTTTTCAGGCATGTCGTTTTGCGAACTGCCACGACAATTTATTCGTTTTTGCTGAGTTTTGAGGTTCTTGATGGTCCTTGATTGATGAGATTGGGAATAAAGGTCCAATACCCCCCCATGTTAGACTGTTGTTTACTTTCTGTTATAATTATTTGAACTTCATCTTTATGTGACATTAGTCCAGTCGTTTCAGATTCAACCGAGTAAATCTCAGCCCTGTGCTTCCTCGCCCCACTCCATATACTTTATATACCTAGACGCCATGATCTTCTGTATTGCAGATGCTATGTATTTAGTGATCTTCAACGTCCAGGTGGAGCCCAATCAAGATATGCATGTCATCTTGACCAACAGCGAATCTCGGAGTCTCCGCTTGCTAGATCCAGCCAGCTATGTATAGTCTACCATGTGTGATCATCGTACTTTTCCCCCTTGTCTCTCGAGTTTTACCGAAGCCAGGAAACGAGGATCTATCTGCCTAAAGCAATATCAAATTTTGAGATGGAGGGGAAAGCAGGACTTCTGATTTTCTGACACTCAATTCATTGGGTCATGCAGCATCTTCTTAACACAGAACTCTTCATATCAAAGGGCATTGAGGTGATTCACACCACCTCTTCATGGGTAGCGCCGCCAGCCTTTTTGGAATCGACCGTCTCCTTGTGTCGCTCGATTTCCTCGCCAAATTTGTCCCCAATCTGATTGGTACGCCACGGCTTGACATCCGTTTCGAAGACCAAGTCGATCTCCTCAAGAGTCCGGCCGGAAGTCTCTGGGTACATAAAGAACACGTGAATGGTCATGGCCGCACAGAAAACCCCGAAGATGATGTAAGTCTTCCACTGAATATTGTGGAAAGCGGGTGCAACGAAGTACGCCAGTGCAAAGTTGAAAATCCAATTCGTGGCTGCTGACACTCCCACACCTTTTGCTCGATACTTCAGTGGAAAGACTTCGGCAGCGTAAATCCACGCAGTCGGAGCCTGATATGGTCAGTAGGCTTCGCGAGTCCCGGGCCTGCAAGTACATACCCAAGTGAATCCGTAGATGCCCGTGAAAATATATGAGAATGCAATCACGGCCATGCCGGCATTCCCCTTGATCTCCCATGTTAAATTGGCGTTACCATTCACGTCCGGGACTGGGTGGCCCTTGCTGGCCATGACAGCGGCGATGATAAAGTGAACGATCATGCAAGTGACAGCACCGATGAGGAGTAGCGATCGACGGCCAACGCGGTCAATTATGGGAAGCATGACTCCTGTAGTCACCAAAAAGATAACATATTGAATGGCTGAGGACCACAGCGTTGTGTTGCCGGTCTACATCAAGTCAGTCAACCACACGTAATCCTAATTCACTTGCAGTGAGATCGCAAGTAAAACTCACCATCCCAGCCATCTCAAAAATATAGACGACGTAGTACATCGCAACATTACCGCCCAGCAGCTGCTGCCACATCTGTACACTCATCCCGCACATCGTACGCTTCCAGACGCGAGGTCCAAATAGCGCCAGAAACGAAATGTCTTTGGACTCGTGGGCCAGTCGCACGGCCTCCTGAACCTCTTCGAATTCGACCTGCACCACAGGGTCGTTGCGGTTACCCTTGCCGTGCAGCATGGCCAAGGTCTCCAAAGCCTCCTCCCATCGCTCCTTCGAGGCCAGCCAGCGCGGTGACTCGGGAAAGAAGAATAGGGCAATCAACAAAATCAGGCCCGGAACAGCCTGCACGCCCCAGCAGACCCGAAACGCAGCTGGCCCAGACACTCCGACAGCGCAGCCGTAGGCAATCAAGTACATGATCAAAATGCCCCATTCAATGGCCCATTGCTGAATTCCCACCACGCGACCGCGGATCCGGGCGGGGGCTAGCTCTGATAGATAAACGCAAGTTTGCGACGAAGTAACGCCCACTGCAAGGCCACTTACCACGCGGCCAGCTACCAGATGCGTCACATTTTGCGCGCTGGTTTGAACCATCGCCCCAATGATCCAAACCACTGACGCGATCATCAAAGCATACCGACGACCGAGAATATCCGATAGCCAGCCCGCCAAGATGGAGCCGGCAAAGGAACCCGCCGACATGGAGGCGGTGATCTATATTCCAGTGTGAGTCTTGCATTCTAACATCAAAACAATCAGGCCAGGCACCACATACTCCCCCTTGGAGGTTTGAGTCGGGTTTGTTGAAAAATTCAGTATATGTGTCAACGCCAATCCAGGCGCTCATTGAGCTGTTGATCATGTTAGTGATGTCGTTTTCTTCAGTCGACATGAGGGATATTCACCTCACATCGAAGCCGAATAAGGCCCCGCCGATGGTACCAAATGCGGCGAGAGCTATCACAGGTTAGCCGGACAAAACAGTCTGATAAGGGAAACAGGAGAAGAAAGTTCACCATAGATGTTGGAAATACAATACATGGTTGCGGGTGGCCCTTGGGAGCTTGACAATCCAAGTCCCTCACCAGGCGGCCCTGCCGCTTTATATCTTATAAGAAAACGGATCCACTGTTTAACGCACGGTTCGGCGTAGATTCGAACTGAGCTGGAGCTACAAGCGAAACGGCAGGAGTGTACCACCTAGGACGACTCCTGGGCCCGGGGCATTGAGCCTGGAGCGGAAGGGATCGACAGCGGAGAATGCGGAGGAGCATGGAGAGAGGATTCCGGGGGATAAACTCGGCGGAGGATGCTGCGTCATTGGTGGAGGAGCGATGTCAGCCAACCAGTCGGCGAATTTGATGAGCTTTCGGTTCGGTTCAAGTCGCGCCATTTTAACCGAATGCCGAATTTACCCGGAGATCATCCACGACAGGTTTCAGACGGTCTTTTCCCGAACTGTCCACCGTGGTATGATCTGAATTCAGGGATTCACTGTAGTCTTCCCTCGTGGATAAGGTGATGTCCTTGATCCGCGACGGAAGATACCAGTGCGAGCTCGGCTGGCCTCTTATACAAACCGATCGGCATGCCGACGTCATGCAAATGAAAGCGCGCGTCACTGTGAAGTTCTATACCTACGAAAAGCTACGTCTACTTTCAACCCTAAAGCCTTAAGAAGTGGGAGGAAGGATCGGGTTGTTGCATGGATTGTCGATAGACCCGAATTTCAATACGCATGGTTCAAGTCGCGTGCAGCAGCTCATGGACCCCACGTGGTATGTACCTTTCTGATCATCATTGGTACTATTGACGTTGGTTTCTGTCTCATCCTTGCGAGATGGTGCGAGATAGTGGCGGCGCCAACGGGGTCAAGGCACCACGCCACAAAAGTCTTGTATTCACCGCAAATATCGTGTTGGAAGGTGAGCACAATCTCCTGGCCGAACCTAGGACTCGAAATGGGGCGAGACTCGGGTAAATCACGGTTGCATTGAAGCACCACCGGGTTATTGCCACTTCAGTTTGGAGATAGCCAGATCGCTGACGCGTGTCCAAAATTTCTCAGGTGTCCGAATCCTAAAACTTCCTCTTATTTTCAACTCCTTCAGCGTAAACCCTGGAAGAAACATCCTTGCTGGTCCTGGATAGTCTTGGCCACGGCATCATACTCTCGCCCCTAGGCTAGCTGTTACCATCAAGTCATCAGAAGGGGAATGGAATGGCAAGGGATCGCAATTCCTGGGGAAGAAACGGCGGGGAGATCTATTTCTCATTTCTATCTCTATATCTTCCACATATACTAAGTGAAACAAGCATAACTACAACCGAAGAAAGGAGAAAATCCCGGAGCACATCATTCACAGTTTGCTCTTAGGCTCGTTCTTGAGGAGCGCCTCATTCCACGGGTACGGGTCAAACACCAAGTCATTAACCGGGTTCTCCTGACTGGCCCGGCGGAACAGATCCTCATACACTGCCCCATCGTATCGGCCCAGGCTAGAGTCCAGTTGCCAGTCCGGAATGGCCCACGCATCGACCAGTCGGATGGCGTGTGGGCGGATCTCATCCAGAAGCTTCATGACCGCTGTGGTGCGCGCCAGGGTGATCTGGCGCACCGTGACAGCGCCCGAGGAGAAGAACTCAGCGGCCTCGCGCTCCAGTGTGTGCAGGGCGTACAGCCTGAACAGTTGGTGCATCAGGGTCTTGGACTCAGGGTCCAGCGCCGCCGAGAGCTGCGGCGAAGAGACCGACTCATAAAAGTTCTTGACGACAAGATACTGCGAATGGGCGGTCGACAGGCGCCAGAAGTCAACCAGGAGACTATTCCATGACCGCTTCTCGGCATCCCGGTGCTTCAGCGCCTCAAATGTCAGATGAGCGGTGCGCCATGCAAACGCAGCCACAATGTCTGCGTCTGTCTCGAGCACGTCGAAAGAAGCTCCCTTGTCCCGGCGCGAGAGGTAGGTTTGGAGAATACGACTCGTGTCGTTGTCCGCAGCCTTGCCCGACAGGACAGCACGGGCAGATTTGAGCAGCTATATAAAAGAGGTCAACTTACTTGGTCGCGAAAGGGCCGGGGGGGAGAAAGGACTCACATAGCGAGCGACCTGCTGGGTCAACATGTAATTGTCGCCCTCCCACGTCAGTGTGGGCAGATAGTCCGAGTACCACGGTCCAATGCCGCTATAGCTGCTGTATCCGTGACCACCGCAAGCCCGGCGGCAGACCTCTAACCCTTCTCCGGCGGTGGTACTGGCGAGAGCCTTCAGGCCACATGATGTGGCATGCAGATCCGCCAGCAGGTCTGCACCAGCCCGCAGCTCCTCGGGGCCAGCACCCCGCGATTCCTGTCCGGGTGAGCTGGCTGCCTTCATGCGATTCTGGTTCTCCTGGTACAATTGCATCATGCCGCGACCGGTAAAGTGGAGAGCGTACATGGCTGCCAAGAGGGGCAGCAGACGGACTTGCACCATCTTATAGTTCAGAACCTGGTTCTCGCCTGCGTTCGCTTCCGCATCACGGTCTTGGAATTGCCGCCGAACGGCACAGTACCGGGTGGCAATGGTAACACCACGCGCCAGAACCCCACCGGCCTGGAGGACAATGTTGGATCGTACCCAGGTCAAAGTACCATAGACTAGAGTAGGCAGTGCGGGACGAACGTATTTGTTCGTTTCCTTGTCGATTCGCGAGAAGCGGGCCAGCATATTAATATGCGGAACCTTGACGTTGTTAAACAGCAAGAAGCCGTTATCCATGGTACTGATGAAGTATCTTTAGCAACAATCCAAAAGAAAAGAATGCTAGGGTCCCATGCAACCTACTTGTAACCAAACTTGGGTCCAATATCACCAACGTAGACATTCTCGAGCGGTTCATGGGTCTTCAAGTCCCGAACCTGCACCACGAATGGGTGCGGGCCATAGTTCTTGCCGCCGATGTAAAGCTGCGCCATAACCACCGCATGGTTCGCCGTGCGACCCAGGGACCCAATCCACCACTTAGATGCGGTCAATGTCGGCGAGTTGATGGTGAAGGTCTTGTCGTCCGGATTCCAGGTGGCGGTGGTCTCCAGACCGCGCACGTTGGATCCGTGGCCCAATTCTGTCTGGGCATAACAGCCAATAATCTCGTATTTTTGCGCCCGCTCGAGGAACAGCTTATGTTGTTCGGGGTTTCCCTGTTCGCGGAGGGTCACCTAGATCCTGTCAGTCCATCGCTTTTCGTGCCAGGGGCCACATCACCTACCAGAAACATGCTTGCGTGCAATCCATACGGGGTAGGTTCGCCAATCAGCTCGTTGGCGGCGTGAAGCTCCTCCATGGACCATTTGTTTTGTTCTGCCAGCTGTTGCAGACGCTTGGCCTTGGCCAGCGACCGCTGCAGCCGTTCCACGCGGCCCAAGGTGTGATTCTGGGACTTGTCAAAGACCTTTTCCGGCTGCAACAGAGCCAGAAGCTTTTGTTGTCGAGCCAAGATTTCCTTGGTGTGCAGCAACTCGGACAGTTTTTCGACGTTAATATTCGATTGCGCGCGTTCGTGTTGGAGGAGTTCGGAACCCTGCGGACCCAACGGCTTCAGGGCCTGAACCCAGGCAGGTGGAGGAGACGGCATATTGAATTGTAGGGGGTTGTAATCATCAATGGGGAACAGGTAAGACACTAGGGAAGACCTGTTAATAAAGCGCCCAAAGGTGTCCAGGTAGTGACGTTTGGCCGAGGGTGGCCTAAAGCGGCAAATGCCTCGGCTCAAAAGTTGATCGGTGAGTTCCGAGGATCGCCGACTGCCAAATTCTGGCGGGTTTGGGGGAATAACGCGATGAGAACCGCCTTTGCTTGGGCCTGAGAAAATTATCTACCGGTAAAAAGCTCCGAGATATTTGTCTCGTATTTTCATATTTTCCCTGGAATTTTGGCGATTTTATGCTGGCGAGGGGATCCCCCGCATCTCCAACAGTCGGTTGGGCGCGTCCCGGAGTCGGCCAACCCGAAGTCGGGCGGATCCTTGGAGACGCTACTAAGTCATTTGCAAGAAACGGACCTCGGTCTGCTCAATGAATCCACTTGACGTGGACTAAAACACTTCTGCTCATTTCGGACTAACAAATATTGGCGAAATTTTTTGAGAAGAAAGTAAAATAACCCACGTGAAACCGGATGGCATCGATCGCGGCCAAAATCGGGGACCCGAAGCGAAACTCATCAAGCCCCGAATCTGATAAGAAGATCTGCCCCGAGAAGAATTTCACATGCCAGCTGGTTCCGACCCAGCGCGTTCGCGCCTGTGAGACCAACGCCTCGTGACATTCGTGCTTACTCACTTCGTCTCGCCTTGGATACCCGCGGCAATCCCAGCCACGCAAGAAGAATCGCTCCCGACAGGGCAATGATGAACGGCTGCAATACTTTCACGCCCTTTGCTTGGGCCAGTGCTCCAACGGCAAATGGGAGAATGGCCGCCCCGCTGCCACCAAAGGCGGCAGCAAACCCAATCGAGCTGACGTGAAGGTGCCGTGGGAGAAGCTTGGTCACCATCACTACAACGCCTGGAAAGAGCGGACCCAAGAAGAAGCCCTGGAACGAGACGGCCACCGCCGACGCATAGAATTGGGGCACTAGCCACAAGACCAGTCCAAAGGCCATCGAAAAAATTAAGTAGCCCTGTCAACGGACGTCAGCTTTGTCGGCTTCCACACCAACTCAATATCCAAGAATCCTCACCATGATCGCAATCTTCTCGCCCACACGTGGTGTCACGAACCCTAAAACGACTCGGCCAACCGTGATACCCAACCAAAAACCAGTGGCCGTCATCCCACTGGCAAAAGCACTGCCATGCCGAACACGGATCATAAAGGTAACAATCCATCCTCCCAGCGCCACCTCGACTCCGACATATCCCAGCAGAAACAAGGAACAGAGCCAGGTCACCCGCGCCGATGGGCGATGGAACAGTGCCGCCCGAAGACCTCCTTTCTTGTTTTCCTCCACTGAGTGCGTATTGGCGGCACGGAAGGCGGCCCCGGTGGCTTTCCAAAAGCATACACTAGAAGACACGATTTCGATGAAAGCACACCCCACCTGATCATTAACTCGACATGTCTCACACAAAATACGGGGAGCAAAACCAACTCACCATCACATAGTAGAAATAATACCACGGCAAATTGGCGCGGGCTATCATCGATGTCGCGATCAATGGACTTAGTACAGCGCCCAACCCGTATACTCCATGGAGGAGACCAAGCAGCTCGTTGGCATTGGCCATATTCCCAATCCAGGCGTTCCAGGCGGCATCCTCGATTCCGTTCCCGAATCCGGCAAAGATGAACGAGACCACCAGCACCGGATAGGGTGGATGCACGCAGTTGACAATGTACGCGATGAGATGGCAGCCTGGCCCAATCACGGCCACCCCACGTTGACCCAACGTGGTATGGATACGGTGGTTGAGGAACGCAGCGAGGGTATACCCGACCAGGGGTGACAGAAAAACAAGGGACACCACCGTGTACGAAAGATGATAATAGGATTCCAACTGTGGAAGAAGTGAGTCCAGAGACAGAGAAACAGTGTGGAGGGGTGGGATCACACATATGGAATCAGGGCCTGCATTCAGTGAGCTACAGTCTAGTGGATTTGTCGACTTCGAGTGTTCAGACTTACACCGTACGCTGCATCATTGGCACCCATGACCAGAAACCCCCAGAACGTGGCAAAGGAGCGGTAGATGTTGATTCGAGGGTGGTTCCATTTTTCTAATGCCGGAAAGCCCTGGGGCTGGTCCGTCGATGAAGCGTCCGTCCCCGTTCGTTGGGCCTCTAGAGTGATATGACGGAGATCTTGCGATTCCTCGTGGACCACACAGGTTGATGCCATGACGTGGGCTCGTAGGCGATGCGCTTCCAAAGAGCTGGGATATCCGTTTCCAACAGGCTTGATGCAAAATTGTGAGCCCGACGAAGAGAGTCACACATACCAAAAAGAAAATCAGAGATGAACTTCCCTCTTCCCACGAATTGTTTTCTCGACCCCGCTTGACGATGGAGCTACCCAACGCCCAAGCGGGCCATGCGGAGGGCATGCCCGCTTGGCCCCGCGGAGATCCACTTGCATCGCCGAATCAGGTCAATGGCCAGGTTCAGTCGGCAAAACTTCGGGAAAGTGATGAGTCATCTCCTTCGCATTCAGATTGCTAGGAGAAAGGGTCATGGGAACCATATAGACACAGATTTGGCAGGGTGTGAGGACACGAGGTCGGTCGAATGCGCGTGGATGTTTGATTTTGTTTTTGACGCCTTCATGCCTTCATGCCTTATTCTGATGAGGGGCAAGTGTCACGTGACCACCATCGTGTTCCGTTACTCTCGCCAATATCTGTTTATCTGCATGATCATGGCAGTATGGCTAATTCCCTAATTTCCCCCGAGACCCTGAGCACAGCAGTGAGTGCCTCAACTCACTCGGCCCCTCTTCCCCAATTATCATCCCATTCGGCCCCTCCGCCTAGCTATGAGCTGCAGGCCATAGAGGATCACCCCACTGACCAGGATTCGGGACGAGAATTCTCATTACCACCGGTGGACCGGGGCAAAGATGCTTGGCTATGCTTGATGGGAGGCTTCTTCCTTGAGGTGATGGTCTGGGGTATGTGGTGAACCCCACTCCTACCTCAGGTAACGAACATCGGCTGACAAGCTTCCAGGCTTTCCTTTCTCGTTCGGTGTGTTCCAGGAGTATTACACCACTCATGAGCCCTTTCGTCAGGGTGCCTCAAGTATATCATTAATTGGGTCTTGCTGCATGGTTCGTCGACATCTTCCGAGACTCTTTGGATGTCCATCATTAAGATCAAGCTAGGGAATCATGTATCTTGCTTCTCCATTCAGCCTTCTCATTCTCCAGCGCTGGCCCCATACCTGTCGATTTAGCAGTCTGATCGGCCTGGTTGTGGCAAGCATTGGCATCGTATCTTCCTCGTTCGCCACCCGAGCATGGCAGCTCATATTAACACAGGGCATTCTCTATGCGATCGGTGCCTGTATGCTGTACTATCCTATCCTACTCTTTATTGACGAATGGTTTGTGCACAAGAAGGGACTTGCCTTTGGAGTATGTTGGGTAAGTATATTTAAATGAGTGGCTTGGTGTTGGGAACCTCAGTCGGAGAGAGCTGATGAGATTTGGTGTAGGCCGGAAGTGGTGTCGCTGGTGTGGTATTTCCCTTCGTCATCAAGTCTGCACTCTCTCGGTTCTCCTTCCAGACTACCATGTGGGCCTGGACAGTGCTTTTGATCATTCTGGTCGGGCCATTTCTGCCTTTTGTGAAGCCACGGGTACGCCTCTCAAGCGCACACAGCCCTCGGCCACAACGTCTCAGCTTTAAGTTTCTACGCTCCCGGGAATTTCTCATCTTTCAGGTGGGGAACATCTTGCAGAGTCTCGGATACTTTGCTCCTTCTTTGTATCTGCCGACATACGCGCGGTCGGTTCTTGGAGACTCGGGTCTAGGTACCACCGCCCCGGTGACATCCATGAATGCTGGGACGGTCATTGGGTTTCTGTTCATGGGGCTTCTCATTGATCGGTGGCATGTCGCCAACGTTCTTTTCCTGGCTGCTCTCGCCACGGCAGTTGGTGTCTTTGTGATCTGGGGCTTCTCCGTTTCGCTGCCTCCTCTCTGTATTTTTGCGTTATCCTATGGGGTGTTTGCAGGGAGTTCAAGCGCCACCTGGCCAGGGATTGTCAAGGCCGTCCGGCAAACAGACGAGGCTGCTCCCGCTGGGTTTGTGATGGGTCTGTTAGCGGCGGGCCGAGGAATTGGTTCCATCGCGTGTGGCCCCATCAGCGAAGCCCTAATTCAGGGGGAATGGCCGTGGACAGGAAAGCCTTTGGCCATGGGGTATGGATCCAGCTTTGGTGTCTTGATCGTCTTCACCGGCGTCACCGCTACTTTCGGAGCACTAGGATTTGGGGCCCGGAGATTGGGGCTCATCCACTGACGCGATATCGTAGAACATGCAGTTGACATGGTTGAGTATACTTCAATGGCGATTTTATATTCTGAAAGAACATTGATTCCTCCAGCAGCCACATCTGGTGTGCTTTTCCTTCCTCGGCAACAGCCATGGGCCGTATCTCTCCACCAGTCAATACTACCAACGTTTGAAACAACATATATAACCTCACCCCTCGCCTGCGACGGTTGAGACATTCTCAGCCATGAGCTATCCCAATCCAATGATCCCGGGCTTAACCCGGACCCGTCGATTGTTCGTGTAGACCGGGATTTCTTTCTGGTCACCTCCACCTTTGAATACTTCCCTGCAGTTCCCATTTTACCATAGCCACGACCTGATTCGGTGGACTTTGATTGGCCATGTATTGACAAGACCGAGCCAGCTGTAAATTCACACCCCAGAGCCTGGTGGTGGTGTGTGGGCGCCGACCATTTGATACCACCGCGGCGTGTTCTATGTCGTTGCAGCTAGTTTCCAACGCCATCGCCCCCAGAAGGATTATCGCATCTGGCCGCAGGGCTTCTATTTCCTGACCACAAATATCTGGGATGACAGCACATGGTCAGATCCCGTATATTTCGACCAAGTTGGGTTCGACCAGGATGTAAGTCTCATACTCGGAACATCTAAAACGAAACAGAAAAAACAATGAATTGACGGACAAAGCTTTTTTGGGACGACGATGGCATTGTCTATCTTTCGTCCACCTACCGGAAACTTGAGCCCACTCCGGGTGCCAACCTCAAGGACTTTGCAATTCATATCTGCACTGTGGATCTGACCACTGGGCATTCTACTTCAGGGCCCAAATTAATCCGCGAGTCTCCCTCCGGAGTTGCCGAAGGGTCTCACATCGTCAAACGCGGCTCTTATTGGTATCTCTTTACAGCGGAAGGCGGCACAAAGAGTAGACATTGCGAATGGGTGGATCGCAGTGCAGTCGGTCCATTTGGACCATGGGAAATTGGACCTCACAACCCTCTCTGGCGCAATGGTGTGGAAGACGATGTGCAAAACACGGGCCATGCAGACCTTTTAGAGGCTATTCAGGGAAAGTGGTGGGCCGTTCTACTGGGAGTCCGGCCCGTCCGGAAAGGCGACAAGTGGGAGGATTCAGTCTTTGGTATGTTGTGGTCTATTTTTCTAAGATCATTGACTCACTGGTACAGGTCGAGAGACCTTTTTGGTGGCAGTCAGCTGGGAAAATGACTGGCCCTTGATGAATGGAGGACGAAAGCTCACTTTACACTCAAAGGCCCCTGGTCTTTACCAATTCCAAGCCCTTATTGCGTGGAGAGATGACTTTGTGTCACCCACAGATGCAGCTGGGGTGGTATAGAAAGAGTGCGTGTTGGTCTCTTCTAGATACCTGGGTCTGGGGTTAATGAGCCATAGATACCCCTGTCACCACCGACTATTCGCTCACTGAACGCCCCAATTATATGCGGATTTATGGCGGTTCATACAATCTTTCGGTACCTGCCTGTTCGACACTTTTCTTCCGCAAACAAAGTCACCACTTTTGCACCTGGGAGACGCAGGTGTCATTCCAGCCGACCACGACACAGACTGAGGCGGGCACGGTGGTCTGGTGGAACTACTTCACACATAGTAGTCTCGGCGTCCGCAAGCATCATAACAGCCGAATACTGCGCTTTCAACCGCCCGAAGGCCAAATGGTCGAGCTGGTGCTCGACGAGACCAGTGATGTGATTTTGATAGTGGAATGTGGACACCAGTACCGATTTGGGTATTGTCAAGGAACCAATTCTCGAGTCATCTGGATTGGCGCCATCTCCAACGAGGCTGCAACCAAAGCTCCACCAATAGGCGCCGCCTTCACGGGGATGATGTTGGGTCTTTACGCCTTTAAGTGAGCGACGGCGGTGCTTGGATCCGGCAGGTTTCGCACATGCTACACTCAAGTAGCTTTATACTCATTGAAAAATACTCTGGCAGAATTTAAACTATGTCAAAGCCATGGCCATCGCTCTCGTGGATTTTGTGATGTATACAACTGCGCGAACTAACACTGGGTCACGTGACCGGCCCCCACGGGATCCCCAATCTCTTTGGCATCTCCTTGACCAAACCACAGATAGAATGACAGCTGAAACTCACGATCCTCGGCCATGAACTCGCCCATGGGTATTGAGGACAGCGAGGATTCACCCCGGTCAACATCTCGTCCTGGTTCTGCGGCGTCGCGGGAGGCCTTGGCCGTCCCGCCGTCCTATCTCCGGTTGGACGACGATAGCGATACCGATTCTGCTTACGGCGAAGACTCCCTGCTCCGAGATGACACCAGGACGTTGGCTACGTATATGACCGAATATCGTTATGAGTTTGGGCGACGATATCACGCCTTTCGGGATGGGGCTTACTGGGTCCGTGAGGTTCTGAATCTTCCCCGGACCGGTCTCGGGCTGACGTCGATAAGGGTCCCAACGATGATCTTGCGAATGAGCAACAAGAAATTGCCCACCATATGTATTGCCTGACCCTTGACGGTAGGCTACATCTGGCACCGCTTGATCAGCCACAGGTATGGCCCAGCCGTCTCGAGTGTCTCACGGCCAATTTCTAACCCGCCCCGCTTCCAGGAAATCCTCGATGTAGGGACAGGAACCGGACAATGGGCCATGTACGTTCATGAGTTGGACATATTCCGTGAGAAGGAACATCATCATGCTGACCGAGACTCAGTGACATGGCCGACGAATACCCCAGTGCACGAGTCACCGGCGTGGATCTCTCACCGATTCAGCCATCATTCGTGCCACCCAACTGCACCTTCGAGATCGACGACATGACCCTCCCATGGACTTATGATTCCCATCGGTTCGACTTTATTCACGTGCGCGAGTTATTTGGCTCGATCCCCGACTGGGATGAGTTCTTCCAGCAATGCCTGCGCGCGCTAAAACCTGGAGGATACATCGAGGTGGTGGAACACTCCGTCGATCCGGTGGCTGATGATGCGACCATGGGCCCCAACCATTTTTTTCGCGTCTGGGGGGAGACAGTATTACAAGCAGGGCAGCGATTCGGGAAGAGTTTCTCAATTTGGCAAGAAAGCGCAGAGCGGTTACGCACGACGGGATTTGAGGAAGTTGAGGAGCATCGGTATCAGTGGCCAATGAATGGGTATGTTTCTCTGCTCCTCTGTTCATCCGTATTTCTTTCTCTCTTCCATTGTGCCTACAAAAGCACTAACACCCGTCGCAGGTGGAGCGATGATCGCAAGCTACATGAGTTAGGACGATGGAACCAATTTCGACTACATGGCGGCCTCGAGACTTTTATGCTCCGACTTTTAACTTCTACTTTAGAATGGCCTTATAGCCAAGCCCAAGTTTTTCTCGCACGAATGCGGGTTTCCTTGCGTGACTACCGAACCCACGCCTACCTTCCTTTGACCGTGGTGACTGCCCGAAAACCTTTGTCTGCATCCTCCCAGTCTTGATCTTTCATTTTCTTTCTCATTTCTGACTAAATATGGGATGGCTATGTCTTACGTCTTACGTGTTTATCCTTTCGTTGTTTTGTCTTTATACCCCTTTGATTAATGACCGTCATGATTGGCTCACATATTGGATTGAAAAGGCCGGAGATGGAGTTGTATATACTTGTCTCGCGCCGAATGATTCCCCCCGGGAACTCTTCAGCATGGGCATTACAGAAGCATGAGCATACAGTTGTTGGTTCTTGATGAAACTGCTTTGGTCTACTTTGCAGCGTTGCTGATCGACATAGGATCGGATCTTGCGTACATTTCTACATACAGTAGTGATGGAACCAGTGATAGTAGTACATTGGCAGCATGAAGTTTGATTGATTGATAGCTTTTATACATAATGAAGCCTTATTTTGTCGGTAAGTGCCTCTAGGACAAGGCTTGTGCCGTTGATGGGATTTGAAACCGTAACCTCTACATCAATTCACCCAATTAGCAATGTGCTTAGAGTCTTGCCTGGTGACGCACTTGTTGTTTACGCCACCCACGCCAGCCTTCAGTGTTTACGCATACAGGCATTGCGCTGTGTAATGTCACCGTAATGGGCAAAGTGATGTTAGTAATTTCGACAAAACCCAGCATAACATGTATTGATTTCAACTACAATATATTGCAAACAACCCCTCTCACAACACCCCTAAAGCTTGTACCCTTGGTTGGACTTGACCCATTTAATCAAACTATCCTCCTGGAATCGCTCCATCACATCCGCCTCCAAAGAAATCCTCACTTCCCAAGGCGCAAATTTATCACGGAATCGCGCTGGCATCAACCAAGCCAAACCCGGGATACGAATATCCGGCACATCGAAGTTCTGCACTTTGCCCAAAATAGATCCAAAATCAAGCTCGTACATCTTAAGGGATCTAATGTTGCTAATAAACATATCCCCAATGTGATACAGCGCCGACCAGTCACTGTTGTTTGACGTGCTTGATATAGTACTTCGAGCAAATTCGTCTGTGGTCTTTTGAAAGTCGTTGTGGATAGAAAGAGCTAACTCAGCCAAGAGTTTGATCTTATCAGGATCAAGCGGGCTTGAAGGAGAAATCTGAGCAGCCGATAGGTCGAAAGAAGAAAGCATACTTTCAATGTTGGCGCGGGCTTCACTGAAAACCATTGCGTTCCCAATGTAAGAATCGGGTAGATTTGGTTGTAAGACATTGCGTATTTGCGATATTATAAGGGCAGTGGATATTTCTGGCTTCGTCTTTGGGTTCAATCCAGCACCTTCGGAAGAAGGAACTCCATATCTTGATCGAACAAGGCTAAGCCATATCAAAGCAGAGACGGTTTCATTTCTGGACAAGTCGACACCTTGCGAATTCAATCGTTGACGTAGCAAAGAGTTGCACTCTTCCCTCAAATGCTGAATCTTCGCAACATCGAATTTCAGCATTCTGCTAACAAGTGGGCTTGATAAGCTCGCTATCGGGGCAGGTAGGCAATGCAGTTCGCTCGGAGTACCATGTCCATTACCCGCGTCACGAATCACACCTCTACTTTGTGCCTCTTTGTAAGGGTTAGTTCGCAGTGACTCAGCGCTTAGACTAGGACCTTTGCAGCATTTCGCAAGGTCCTTCATCACATTCTCCACCGCTATGCCGTCCATAGCCCGATGGTGGAAGTTGTAGCAGAGGATAATACCATCTTGCATGATATTGGCTTGTAGCCTGAGCATGGGAGCCAGTTCCTCTGATACCATATCCAACGACATTGGAATCCAATTCTCGTTGAACAGAGTGTCATATGAGAAGGACACACCAGGCGTTTTGGGGGAAACAGCTTCCCCATGGTGTTTAATCTTTAGCATCGGATGCTTCTGTAGGAATTCGGCGGATGAAGGTTGCATCTCGTACACATTCTTTTTCCCTTGTAGCCGAGTGGAGAGAGTCACATTTCCGGCAAGGAATGGCAAAAGCTCTACAAGTCGGTTCACGCCCGCTTGCAGAACTGGAATTGCGGTCGAAAGCTCATCGACGTGAAAGGTGAAGAAACATGACATATGAATAGGAAAGGCAATATGATCCAGTGGAGTGAGCACATACGGCTCGAAATTGGGAAGGATAGCCATATGCTATTTCCTTGTCTATTCAGTTCACGTGCTTGAAGGGAGGATGGATGTTTTGGTAAAGACTTTGAATCAGGATGAAGAGGATCGCTCACGGAAGACAAGTCCTATTAAACCAGACGACACTCGGACAGTGGAGCAATAGAACGACAAACGCTACCAAGTCAGTCGCCAGCCAGATTTGGCATAATTTTGTGGATCTTAGGTGGAGCTGAACCCTGTTTAGTGCGCTCAGATCTCATAACTCTCTTAAGTATTTACCTTACATATATAGTGCTTTGGATAGGGTTATAATATCGAGTAGGCATAATATAAATACAATATTCAAACCTAAGTCAAAGCCTATTATTAGCGGACACAATACAGCAGTCGTAGATCACTAGTATATAAATGGGTGTACTATGCGTAGATTCTATTTACCCCACTCTACCCAGACCTATCATTTCTCTAGTTTATGGTATATATCCACGACGACTTAGCAGGGAATTCCGCGGGTATCGGTCGGGAAACGTATATAAACTTTATTAAAGCTTTGTAGGGGTGTCGGAGGGTCTTAGCGGGTATCAGCTGTTTAGGCAGATGGACCCAGTGTAAAGGGTCTACAAAGATGGTGAGGCATGAAGTTATTCCCAACTGACAGAAGGGGTGGATCAGGTGATATCATATGATCTCGAAGGAAGTTGGACCTTGTTACTTGACCTACCCTATAGTAGGACGATCACGATGCTTAGCAGAGACCTAGTTATTCATATTATCGATGATACATGGAGCTACGAAGATTATACGATAAATTATTACTTTTATATCTAGCTGATAATATAAGATTTAGTCTTAATAGCAATAAAGATATACTACTTTCTCTTACTCCTCCCCCTTATTTCTTTACCTAATTAATAGGCTTTATACCCTACCAAGTATACTCTTTACAATTAATGGTAAGAAAGATATACTATAATTAATTATATTTTAGTCTAAAAAAATCTTAATAGAGCTTAATTACAATATCTACGATAAGGAACTATTAGCTATTATATTAGTATTCTAAATATAATAAGCCTACTTAGAAAGAGCTAAATATGTAGTATATTCCCCTTAGGGCGTGTGTTCTGCCGTCAGCTTCCGCCGGCGCTTAGGCTCGTGCTTACTAATCGGTTTGTTGGCTCTCGGTGGCCCATTATCAAGTTAGGGGGTCCTCAGATAACTGGTGTCTGCAGGGTCCATAACAATTATATGGCAACCCCTATTAAACCCTCGAATTGTGGCTGCCGCCTTCCCAAAACGGCAATCTATACAGATATCAGATAGGAGCAAGGGGGCTAAACTAATTAAAAAGAAAGAAGGCCCTACTAAAGTGTTTAAATTACGGCGAAAAAAGTTATACATATCGAGTTACCCTGTTGCCAAACGGAGTAATCTGTTTTGGATGGTTAGGATAAGAGTGTCATATGATTAGAAAAGAAATCGAAAAAATATTACATAGCCCAAAATCTATATTACATAATAAAATGTTGTGCCAATAGCCAAAAAGTTGTTGTGTCCCTATCACTACCCGAGGTGAGTAGGTCTCGAGGTGAGTCATTCATTATGCGGTATAAAAACATTGAAAATCTTTTCTCATTATCTTTTTTCTTCCTGGTATTTCATTACACGACATCAAACTGTGTATAGCATCGTTTCCCCAATCTTTACATTGTGTCCGAGAAAACTGTTTTGAACTTACGACGAGACTTTAAAAGAACAAATCCCGTCATCCCACGCGCGAAAATGGCCGAAGAATCGCCCAAACGTGGGACTGTTCTCCCAGAGCCTGGAGAACGCAATATTCTCATCACGAGCGCTCTGCCTTACGTGAACAATGTTCCCCACCTCGGGAACCTCATAGGTTCTGTCCTCTCAGCGGATGTTTTTGCAAGGTACTGCAGAGGGCATGGGCTCAACACGCTCTATGTCTGTGGTGAGTCGGGATATTGCCGCCCCACCCACCCTTGCTTTACTTTTAGTACCATTTGGTGCTGAATATAATTGCCTAGGTACGGATGAATATGGTACTACGTCCGAGACAAGAGCGCTAGTCGAGAAATGCACGCCACAGCAGCTTTGCGATAAATACCACGTAATCCATGCCGCCGTCTACGATTGGTTCAACATCAGTTTCGATATTTTCGGTCGGACAACAACACAGTTGCAAACAGACATCACTCAAGATATCTTCCTCAAGCTTCACCGAAACGGGTTCCTGAAGGAGGAGATGACCACACAACTTTACTGCGAGCAACACAAATCATTTCTTGCAGATCGATTTGTTGAAGGGGAATGTCCATCTTGCGGCAATGCAGATGCTCATGGGGATCAATGTGACTTTTGCAGCCAACTTCTTGACCCCCTTGAACTCAAAAATCCTCGATGCAAAGTTGATGGTGCAACCCCAGTTACAAGAGAGACGAAACATATTTTTCTCGATCTGGACAAGTTACAATCCGAAATCGAGCAGTTCTTCCAACAGTCCGCTACAAACGGTGCGTGGTCCAACAATGGCAAAGAAATCACTTCCGCCTGGTTGAAGGAGGGTTTGAAACCACGAAGCATCACCAGAGACATGAAATGGGGAACTCCTGTCCCTCTACCAGGTTATGAAGACAAGGTGATCTATGCCTGGTTTGATGCTTGCATTGGCTACGTATCCATCACAGCAAATTATACGGACCAGTGGCAGAAGTGGTGGCGCAACCCCGACGACGTTCAACTTTATCAGTTCCTTGGGAAAGATAATGTTGCCTACCACACTGTCATCTTTCCAGGTAGCCAAATTGGCACTCGAGACACCTGGACTAAGCTTCACCATCTCTCCACCACAGAATATCTCACGTATGAAGGTGGGAAGTTTTCCAAATCTCGAGGGGTTGGTGTGTTTGGAGATTCAGCGCAAAAAACTGGCGTCGCTTCTGATGTGTGGCGCTACTACTTAATCTCTCATCGACCAGAAACTGGTGACACCGAGTTTAATTGGGATTCATTTATCAGTGCCAACAACAACTTGTTACTTAAGAATCTGGGCAATTTTGTCAGCCGTGTCGTGAAGTTCGTCAACTCAAAAAACTTCGAAAACATTGTGCCAGACTACACACAACACCACGAACCCTCATTTGACATTTGGAAAGAGCAAGTCAACGGACTCCTTACCGAGTACATCCACAAACTGGACGCCGTCAAAATTCGTGGTGCTTTGTCTACAGTCCTGTCTATCTCTCAACAGGGCAATGTTTTCCTCCAATCCAACAGTCTCGATAACAAGCTTGCTGAGAATGAACCACTCAAATGTGCGGCTGTCATCGGGATTGCTGTAAATTTGATTCATTTGCTTGCTTCTATCATTTCCCCGTTTATGCCCGACACCGCAAAATCGATGAACGCGCAGCTTCGCGCAGAGCCCCTATCGATCCCGTCCCATTGGAATTCCGGATCCATCAAGCCTGGCCATCAAATTGGCAAAGCAGCTTACTTATTCAGCAACATAAAGCCGGAGAAAGGACAGGAGTGGCGAGACATGTTCGGAGGCCAGGAAGTGGAAAAAGTTAAGGAGGAAAAGGCAACACGAAAGGCAGCAAAAAAAGCGGCGGCGAAGGGCGCCAAAGCATCACAGAGGGAATTGAATTAGGCAGATAGTTCAATCTGAGCAATGCTCAAGAAAAGTATGGCTCATATGCCTAGGAAAGTAGGCAATTTGATTAAATCGTGATTAGAACAGACGTTTTTCTACTGCTGAGCTACTGCTATGATGATAGTTGTTTTATGTGGATTATCAAAATCAAAGCGCAAGTTATTTCCTTATAGAAGATCGAAGAAGGCCAGATTTGGCAGAGACGGCCTAGCAGGTATACCTATTCCTAGATCCTACTCGATGATAGGGGGACCCTCCCTACCAATTCTAACCCTACTAGTGAATTAGGGGGTATTCATGAATATATTCGGGAGGGTCTTTGTCGACGACGGGTTCTGCATAAGCACTTCAACAATCGTGTGATGAATGCCTGTGAATCACCTGATTTAGCATGTGACCTTTGTATTAAAAGGGAAAAGGAGATGACTGAGCAGAGTCGAACCGCTAGGCAATATCAGCGAATTACCCAATCGAACTACCAAGAGTTCCTCGATATGATTGGTTTTTGGCTTGATCAGGGTATTTGCCTGATTCATTTCATTCAGCAAAGAGGTAAGTCGATATTCTATTCTATATATTCTATATATCTAGTATATCTAGTATATATATACTAGATAGATCTATTCTCTATCTTGATATATATATATATCTATATCTATATATTATATACTAATATATTCTATTTTGATATAGTATTCGCCTTTGGATTTCGTCCAAATTGCCCCGATTCCGATTCCGACTGGCGCACCCACTCGACTATCCGATGCAGCGAATATACGACTTACCAAGAACGAACCAATTTTATTAGAAAATGGCTTGTTTTTAGGAATGATAGTTGTTGTTTTACCTGTTTTCTCCCTACCAAGGTATGTCAGCTGAATAGGGTCAATAATCGTTGCCTGGCCTAGGGCCTATTAGTTGCCTTTTTTCGCCTTATCTGGGAGGAGCAAGGCCTATTCGCTAGCGAGGTTAGTGAGGTATGGCAGGATCTAGGGGTCCCCGACGATGCGAGGCCTGCCCGAATAGCTAATCACCTCTTAAAATGGAAGTGGGGTATTATTGATACCGAGGTAACCCTAGGGGTTTAGGTGTTTTGGGAGTTTCATCGGAAGGTTTACTCTATTACTAACGAGGGTCTACCGGCAGAGAGTCGGGTCTAGTATAGATTAGTGTTCGACCTTTTTTTTATTAATATTTTTGTTGATATTTTTATTGATATTTTTAATATAGTAGATTAATAATATCATAGATTAATAATATCGTGGATTAATATAAATATTAATAGGTTTTGATAGAAGATATTGATTCTCTAGACCGAGAGGATTATTTTGATATAGGGATAAGGTCTTAAGGGTCTATATTGGTAGAGATATGAACCCTTCTTCCTTGATATTATGATATACCCGGGGCTATACCGGGAGCGTATACCGGGAGCGAGGCGTTCTGGGGGGTTAAATAGGGTAGTGTGACAGATTACCGGCGTTGATTTAGGGGCGGTATACCGGTAGCTATACCGGGAGCGAGATATGCTAGGCGTTGCTTTTCTTTATTAGGGGGTAAAGTTGATCGATTAGTGATAGAAGGTATGTGATCACTATATATTTAGGATGCCTAAGGCCTATATATACTATATATAGAGTAAAATCGGAGATATTCTAATCTACTTAACTTTCGATCGATTTCTAATAGTAGATCTATTTTTCTAGAATATTTTTCTAGTATTTTACTTTGATTCTCTAGAATAGAAGGAGTATTTTGATATTTATTAGGCTTTAATATCTAACAAAATCAAACTATTAAAAATCGAGAAAGACTTTTATTGCAGATTTGGATTCTCTACGTCAAGAGTATTATTTTGATATAGCTATAAGCTATAGGGGTAGTATAGATCTAAAGATATAAGACTTTCTATTTTCGGTAAGATCTATAATAGGAGTTATACCGGAAGGGGACCCTAGGCGTAAGATATTCTAGGGGTTAATATTAGCGAGGATTGCCTATATCGGTAGTGATTTAGGGGTAGTATACTCGAAGCTAGACCCAGAGCTATACCGGGAGCTTTAGAGTCTAGGGGTAATCTATTTTCTTCGGCGTATCACTAATTCGATTAGTAAGATAATATCAATTTATACTATATATTTTCGATCGAGAGATATCATAGAATCTTTATATATAAGAAAAACAAAGAAATTGCTAAATTTAGTTTTCGATTTTAGGCGTAGATCTATACTACAAGCTATATATATATCTTAGAGAGTCGAGGGAAAAAAATATTTTGTAATTTTTTTCAAAAATCTTTTTTTTATATATTTTGATATTATAATATATCTTTCTTTCTCTTATTATAATATCTTTTAGATAGGTAAATTAGGATATATATATATATTTTTAGGGTTAATCGAAGTTAAATTATTTTTTTAGATATCTTTAATTAATAGGATTTATATATTTCTTTTAATATATCTTAAAAGATTATATTAATAGTAAGCGTAGCGAACCGCTATAGAATAGGTTAAAAAAGTAAGAAATTAATAATAGTAAGAAATTGTAATAAAAAGGAAAAAAAAGGGAAAAAAAATAAAGATAGGTAAGAAATAAGAAAAAAGAAAAAAAGAGAATAGTAGTTTTAGATAGAGGAATTTTATTTATTTTATTTTTGAGGATTAGAAAATAGAGTATAATAGTATAATATTTAGTAATAAAATAAATTAGTAGAAAATAGATTAGTAATAGATATAGTAATTAGAGAGATATAGTGGTTAGGGAGATATAGTGGTTAGGAAGGAGGGTGTTACGAACCTCCTAGGACAGCCCCACTCCCAAGAATACTAAAGAGATAGTGATACCCTATCAGACACACCACCTTAGGAGCGCTAGTATAATAAGAAACTCCTAAAGGAACTATCTTAAGATACAGCGTAAGAACCACGTGACTAGGGGGAAAACTATAGTGGTTTCACTAATACCCTAGGATATAGTATAATATAGGGAAACTCGTAGAGTCATATAAAAGGACTTATTACTAATAAAATAAAACTTATTAATAATAAGACTAGAGGATATCAGTAATAAGTCCCGGACTTATCGGTAATAAGAAAGACTAGATATATAAATAGTCTTTACTATATATATTTAGTTCTTCGTGATTAATCGTACTATTATTACTTAAGTACTAGTTTATAGATTAACTATAAAGCTAAAAACCTTAACGATCTTAGAAGCTTACTTAGTAATCTCTAATCCCTAAATAACTAACTTAATCAACGCCTTAACTATTATATCTTATAAATATCTTAGAGACCCGAGTCTATCTAAGGCCTTATATAGTATTAGTATAGTTACGGACTATACTTAAGGCTTATAGTATTCTAAAAGAAGTATTACTCTTTAAAGACCCTATTTACTATAACTAGTTAATAGTTCGTAATATATTAATTACTCTATTAGTTGAAACTATAAAGTAATAGTTATTATATCTTCGTATAGTAGTAACTATAAAAATAAGATAGTCGAATCTATACCTCCGAAAACCTAGATATATTAATCTAACCTAGAATCGGAAGATAAAGATAAAAAGAGAATTAAGGAATTAGAAAGATAAATCAGCACTTTTATTAGCTAATTTATTATATTCGAATAAAAATATAATAATAAGATTAAAAACTTTTACGATTTAGTCTAATAAACTAATATCTAACTTTAAGTTCTATCGTTAGTAATACTATAGCTACCTAAAACGGAAAACTTCGATAAAACTCGCTCTAAGTTATAAGGATTCTTTATATAAATAAATATATACCTCGATATTAATAGGTATTAATTAATAACTAAAATAAATAAAGTTATCTTTATATTAATCTATTTATAAGAATAAGTATAGGATTAGCTCGAATTATATATCTAAGAATACTACGAAAAAGATAGCTCGGAATAGTTAAATACTATATAAAATATCTTTAATAGTTATAATAATTTTAAAAACTAAAAAAAAATATTTAGCGATATCGACGTAAAAAAAATGGCTAAATAAAAACTTAGATAACTCCGATAGATAGGATCGGTATTAGCCTATATAGCCGAGTTTATATAGTAAATAGCGATACTTAGATAGGATAATTATACTCTAATTCTATACTATAATAAAGGATTAAAATCCTATATTAAGGATAAAATTATAAGATATAAAGACTTTAATATTATAGATATATTTATTAACTTCGTAGTCTATATTAATAACCGATTCTATAATAAATAAATATAGAAATAAGAGATAGAAGAATAGAGATAAAGTAATAACTATCTATCTTATTAGCGATTCTAACCTTAATAAATATAATAGCTACGCTTTAATAACCTATATAGTCTATAACTAATAGAACTTAACGCGGTAAGGCTTCTAGAGAAGAAATAATATTAATATAAAGAAAATAACCTATACTTAAACTATAGAAAGCTAGGATACTAATCGAAAGAATATAAGAAATATAATAATAAGCTATATTAGATATAGATAATAAATAAAAGGCTCGATAAGGCTCGATAGAGAAATATACAATACTACTAGTATCGTAAAAACCGAAGAATAAATCTAATAGCTCTATATAATAAAGAAACAAGAATAGGTAAAACCAATAATCGTGGATAGTAATAAACTACTAATACTATATTTAGAAATAGAGTAATTCCTAGAGAATAATTAGGAATATATCGAGAGTTAAAGATAGACCTAATATAGTCCCTAAAATACTATCGACTCCTAAAATAAATAAAGTAACTTCTAAGAATAAGATATAGAAATCCTAAAGATACTAGTTAAAATCCTAGGAATATAGGAGATTTAAGAAACTCTATCTAAGTTCTAAGTAGTAGAAGTAATAACTTATCTAGAAATATCTATAGAATCCCCTAGAAATAATAAAAATTTACTAAAACCTAACAAAATTCAGAAGCTACTCCACGAGTAGACTACACTTATATCTAAGTAAATTTATAGAACC